TAACCATATATAAAAATGGTCTTTATATTTATAGTGTCTTGGCCAAAACTTGTGCCAGCAGTCGCGGTAATACAAGAAAGACTAGCGTTTCTCATCTTGACTAGGTTTAAAGGGTACCTAGACGGTTTATTTAGTCTAGAATAAGATACAGATAAACTAGAGTTATATAAAGGAGGCTATTTAGTATTGAAAGAGTAGAGATGAAATTCTTTAATACTTTCAAGACTGGTAATGGTGAAAACAAACCTCTGTATATAAACTGACGTTGAGGGACGAAGGCATGGGTCTCGAATAGGATTAGATACCCTAATAGTCCATGCAGAAAACGATGAATGTCATAAATAAGTTAAAATAATTCTTATTTATAAACGAAAGTGTAAGCATTCCACCTCAAGAGTACTACGGCAACGTATAAACTGAAATCATTAGACCGTTTCTGAAACCAGTAGTGAAGTATGTTATTTAATTCGATAATCCTCGAAAAACCTTACCTCAATTTGAATATATAATATATATATTATATACAAGCGTTGCACGGCTGTCTTCAGTTAATGTCGTGAGATCTGGTTAATTCCTCCAATTAACGTAACCCCTACAACGTTTCAGGCTGGATCTAAGCCTTGACCAAGATCAGAGGAACGTGCTTTGAGGCCCGTGGGTGGGGAAGTGCGGTGATCAAGGAAGATCGAGACTTAAGCAGTACCCACGTCACGGAGGAAACTATTTTGATGCGTAAACTAGTTCACGTCCAATTATCCAGTCCTTGTGCTTGGCTATCAGGATTTGAGACTATGGGTCCTCATCTTTCATCGAATTAATGTGTGAACGCACAGTCATTCCATCACTGAGCCACAGGCACTATTCTAGTTCTACGTCGAAAGTATGGATCTGTCCACTGTTGGTCAACAACTCGACCACGACTCTTATACGTACAATCGCTTGCTACACTCTACGCCCGAACATCTGTACCTTACCACGCGTCGTGCATTTATAGGACCTATACCCGAAGGCTGGCTCCGTAGCCATCGCAGAGACTGGTACAGGCATCACCTACGTCTAAACTATTCTTCGAAATCGGCGTCCTTTACAGCGAGAGAAGGAACAAGCAGACAGAAGAGGTTGACAGGGTTGCAGGATGGTCCGAGTCCAAGTGCTCTATACAAGGCCAGCTTTCCACAGCCAGAAGAGCTCGTGAATGAAGACGAGGATGAGGCTGATGACGTAAACGAGGAGGGAAGACAGACTGGGACGAGAACGGCTCAACCACCTGCTATTTCTATACCTAGGAACGGAAAAAACGGGGAAGAGGAATTGTCTGGCGCAGAACGAACTAGAACAGGCGCTTCTGTCAGTGACAGACAAGTGGAGGACGAGCTTGTGCTGCTTGATGGGACGCGCAGTCCACCAAACGCCGACGTGCGTGACATCACGAACCAGCAAGAGAGATTACTGAAACCTCCGTCTCCAAGGCAAGCTCGGCACAGGTCAAAATCACCTCCGACCGCAAATCCTGAGTACAACATACCAAGTCCGAAGAAGTCCGATAGCATGCGGAGGGAGAACGAAGCTTCAGATTCGTTAAGGATACACTCTGTATCTAGCAGGAATGACACAATAAATTCTCATGGTGCTGAGGGCTCACCAGGTGCTGATGCATCGACATCTTCTTTGCTGGCGCATGATGCTAAACCGCTGGAAGGTCACAGCAAGGACAAAGAACCTGCAGGCGAGGTACAAACTTCTTCGAAGCGACTTCTTGCCAAAGTCAAGCGGACCGTGACGAGATCTGGAGAGGAAGATCAAGAGACTGAGCATTCCGATGCCGTGTTCTCCGACAGGTGGAAAGACAGAATCCACTTTGATCTTCCAGAGAATGTGTCTCAAGCTGCTGCACTCACGAAAGCTAGAATAACGCAGCTGGACCTGGCCAGACCCATCAAGAGTGCCCTTAGGCGCAGGGCGGGTATGGATGGCCGGATTCTAAAGATGGAAAAAATGCTGGTCCGAATCGACGTTACAGTTGAGAAAACATTACCCGAGGACTACGACGAAAATGGGAGCCAGGGCATAGTTACCCGTACACTTGAAAAGTGGCGCGAATTCATGGTCGTTTGCCGTCAGTCTCGTGAGGATCTGGAGGAAGACTTCGTGCTGCAGATCTGGAAGACAAGAGTCATCCCTGCGATTGAGAACAAATCTAGTCGGAAGAAGGCGACTCGGGAGCTACCATTGAATCGCAACAAGACCCGCGTCAACCTCTACTCGTCTCTCGATAAATCAGTTGTACTTTGGGTACCAGCTCCACATGGAACGAGGATCATCATCCTAAGGCCGAGCACTACGCAAAGTGGTATAGAATGGTTTACTTTTCTGAGAAGCATACTTGGATGGCATAGGACTACGCAGCTTGTGGTCAATATTCCCGACATGAGTGTCAGTCTGCGAATCGAAAACCCTTTCCAAGATCTTGAAGATCACGAAAATGATGGCAGCCACGACGAAGCTGCGACTGGGAGGACTGGGACAAAGGGACAGGCAGTCGCTCAGCAAATAATCGATCGATGCTTAACCCAGCTCAAGGGCATGCCCGAGTGGGAGGCCGTTGTTGATTCTTGGGCCTCTCAACACCGCATTGGGCTAGCATGGAAACGTTACGATCGGCTGGAGTGGATATTCGGCGTCAACGAACGGAAGATGTACGGTACGATTGCTCTAGCTCGGCACATGGACCTCGAACTTCGGGCAAAAGAACATTATCCCACGCATTGTAGGACTCGCAAAGGCAAGGTTTTGACTGAGCCTCCTGGCGTAGAGGGCTTTCTTGTTCGCTTGACCTCACAAAAGGGTATTCACCAGCGCATGGGCAAGCTCTTCTTCAAGCGGCTTTTCCTTCACACGCACGACCAGTTCCTCTTCTTTACAAGGCCGGCCGCCGCCGATCCGCCCCCACCGCCAAAGATGCCAGCGACTATGGATGCAAGAGTTCCTACCTCCGAGCAGATTTCAGAGCAAATACCGCTCATATATGCAGTGAACCCGTACCCAGTTGACAATGGTCAAATTACATGGCTGAAAGCAGGGCACAGCGGAACAACTGAGACACGTTGCCGCCATGATCAGGATGCATTAGACGAGCACAGGCGGAACATTCATAACTTAAGTGAGAGTGAGGGTTTTATCAACCTTTGCGACGTGAGGAAGGTGCGAAACGTCAAGCGTGGGGCTGATCAAGATGATGAACAGCTGAATTCTGGCTCCGATATTGACTTCGATGAAGATGCTGAAGATACCTGGGAGGAGGATGGTACCACTGATAACATCGACGATACAAGGACCTTTGAGCTTGCTTTAAACAATGGGCTTGTCATTCGACTACAAGCATTTGATAGGGAGACCAAGAAAGAATGGAAGAAACGACTTCGCGCCTTGGTAAAGTACTGGAGATATCGCCATAAAGCCGATATAGAACTCCTAAAAGCAGTCCGCAAACAGAATCTCGAGGAGCTGCAGATCGACGAAGAGACCGAAGCCATGATGGGTCAGTTCGCGAAGAAATGGGAGGTGACCAGGAGTTTCGCAAGTTCTACGTTGCACAATATGTGTGGTATAAGTTGCTGCCGCACAATTCACATGAAAGGATTGTTGTACTTCAAACCTCGCCTGCATAAACTCTTCACTGCCATGCAGTGCGTGCTCATCCCGGGTAAACTCATCATGTTTGAGACTCTGTCGCGCACACGATCCGGCCACTCGCAGCCTACCATCTCACACGAACGCATCGATGCTATTGATCTTAAAGAGTGCTACCTGTACTCGGGACTCCTTACCGAAAACGATCTTCTGTATCAGAACCGCACGTTCGACTCCAATAACCCGGGACACAGCGCTTTGCCTAGAATGTGGCTCGACGATCAGTGGACGAGCAGGGACGAGGATGTCATGTGTTGCTTTGTGCTGTGGCGGCCGCTGAATAAGGGCTGGTTTCGGAGCACAAGTGGAGAGAAAGGGACGAGGCTCAAGAGAGTTACGAAGTTAGGCGCAACTGGTAGGAGTTGCGTCTTCAGGGCGAGGAGCCGGGCCGAGAGAGACAAGTGGGTGTTGACATTAGCCGCAGAAATTGAGAGACTGAAGGGAGTAGAGGATGTTAGGTTGGTGGATTAAGGAGGCACTTGCCACGGAGCTGGATGGTTTTGGGCGAAGTATCTATCCGCCTGCATACACCTGTATCATCACCCTGTTTAATTATTTGATCACCAAGAGCGCGCAGAGCATCGCGAACTCAACAGTGCCTCATCTTTCTCACTCATCTCTATGTGGTCTTCGAAGTGGGACACTGCTAACTGCGACACTCTGTGAACGAAAGCTGCAAACCCCTCTGGATACAGCTAATCCTAATAAAGGCAAGTGCGTGACGGAACAAAGGGTATGCGCGAGCCTCACAAGCCTCGCTAGGAGCTCGTCTTCAGGATAATCAAGGCCTCAACGTTCTCATATCACGCGAGCCTCGCTCACGAATCCAGCATGTCCGACAAGCAGATAAAGCCCGAAGAGATTGAAAAATACTGGGAAATTTTCGCGACGCTCACAAACAATGGGAGCCACCTCAACGGCTCGCAGGCAGCTCCCGTACTCAAGAACAGTGGTCTGCCGGACAGTCAGCTAGAGCGAGTATGGGACATTGCAGACATTGATAATGACGGAAATCTGGACTTTGAGGAGTTCTGCGTCGCCATGCGCTTAATATTTGACCTCGTCAATGGGGTACGCTAGCCCCACAGATTCCGCTTCCACGCCTCGAACGCAAAAGTATTGACAGGAAACCGTCCACAGGTAACTTCCGACGTGCCAAGGGCGCTGCCAGATTGGCTCGTCCCAGAATCCAAGGCACATTTGGTACAAGCAAGTCGTGCCCTCACGGGCAACGCTCCGCAGTTCGAGCGCGTCGACGATGACGACGACGACGGCTCGGGCCTCAAGGACGGCTTCGACTGGTACATGTCACCGCAGGACAAAGCCAAGTACGAAGAGATCTATACGGCAAACAAGAACGCGCGGGGAGAAATAGCATTTGGCTCCCTGCAGCCTCTGTACGACTCCCTCGACGTCCCCGACACGGATATTCGTTCGGCGTGGAACCTGGTCAACCCGTCTGCAAGAGGGGAGATCGGAAAAGACGCCACGCTCGCGTTCCTGCACATCCTCAACAACAGACACGAGGGTTACCGGATCCCTCGCACCGTGCCTGCCTCCCTTCGAGCCAGCTTCGAAAAGCGCGACATCGACTACAACCTCGACCGCGTAGGTTCGCCCTCCGCGTCCTCCCGGTGGGCCACGAACAGAGACGAAAGCACGTCTACCGGCCGTAAGGCCAAGTTCGGTGATGCTTATCTCACGCGCCTTGGTGTTGGCGACAGAGGGGGTTCCTACAAATCAAAGGGCACCGATTTCTCGCACACGCAGCAGGATCCGGAGTGGGACGAGGTGCGGCTGAAGCGCCAGCTTAAGGACATTGAGGAGAAGATCGAGCGGGCGGAGAAAGAGGCGAAGAGCAGGAGTGGGAGGCGGACTGAACGCAGCAAGCCTGCGCTTGTGAAGCGCGAATTAGAGATGCTGCTCGACTACAAGCGCAAGATGCTAAAGGAGCTGGAGGAGAATCGGTACAGTAATGGAGGCTCCGGGGCAGGCATTGAGGCCCTCAAAGGAGACATTGAAGTGGTGAAGGAACAAGTGGAGGGCTTGGAAGCACACCTGAGGGAACGAGAGAAGGTACTCGATGATTTGAAGAGACAAATTGAAAATGAGCGGGCGAGCAGGTGAAGAGCTAGATTCCAGCAGTTAAATCACTCGAAAACTTGCTGCCAGATAGCGGTGTACATAGCTTCAATTATATGCCCTTGTACACCTGCTAAGCGTCCTTGCAAAGAACGCCTCGAACATGCGTCACTTCGCTCGTGTTACGATGGTGCACGATACCCTGCCGTATTCTACCTGGTACAGAACTAACGCTGATGATGCTGATCACCAGTTTATCGCTTCGAAGGCGCTTCGAAGGACTTCGGTCCTGGTTTTCTGCATCTCCGGCGCGGCACTTCCAACGTGCTCGACAATATCGAGCATGCGTTTCACGTCTTCTTTCGCGTCAACAAAGAGGGAATCTAGCTTATTCGGAGGCGTGCTTGCTCCAGCAGGGCCATATACGGCGAGAAGATTGGCCATCGTGAGCTGCAACACTCTGTCAGCGTCGTAACCAGTGTGCAGGAAAACCCCGCTCAAGGAACCAGTGCGACTTACAGCCTCCTCGAACGCTCTGTGTTGAAACACCCACCACACGCCGGCATCGACTCGTAAGTAGTCCCAGAAATCGAAAAAGGAGTGTACTGCTACCCGGCCGGCCTCAAGCGCACCGCGGACATTACATCGTACACCCGCGGCCTCATTCTCATCCGCCTCGATCAACATTACGCAGTGCCAGAAGTTGCTTCGGAAAAATAGGTTCTGACGGGCCATCCTGCCACCGTCACTTAAGAGGTTGACGAATTCGGTGCGTTTAGTAGTTGTGAGCGAGGGCGGATACGTGCAGTGAAGGGCGTGGAACCGAGCTAGCAGTGCAGCCTTTTCGCGCGAGTTTGAGGCCAGTGGTTGGCCAGTAGCACGAGGTATGCAGATTGTTTGCTGGACGAGATCGGCCATCTTCCACATAGAGCGGAAGTAGTCTATATCGGTATGTCTTCCTGGCGGCAGGGGTGGTGAGGCGTATCTTGGGGCTATGTTACTTATGCTCATAGGGTTTGTGTTGGTTGGTGGCGGCGAGAGTATTGTTGGCGTTTGTGGTGGTTGAGACTCAGGCACGTCATCTACCAGAGAGTCAACCGTGCAGTCGGAAAAGACTGTTGTGGGAGGAAGCTTGAGGAGTACGGTGAGAAAGGTGTCTTGGAAGTAAACAGCTTGCCAAACCTTACGGCGCTGATTCTTCTCTTGTGGTGAAGCATTAGGTACGATAATATTAGGATCGCGATTGAGTCCCATTGCATACGCTTGCCTTACAAGTATTCCGCCAAACGCCCAAGCATCAGTTGCTTTGTTATCATTCATTAAAAAATAATCCATTAATACCATGGCTTTTATGGTCCGGAGAGAAGTTCGACTAAGAAACGGATAGAGTCGCAAGGACTGATGAGCAGCCGACACATAGAATTCGGCAATTTGCGCTCGTGTTTGCTCGGACTCCATCTGGATGAATTGAGCACCCATGGCGTAGACGGCGAAATGCAAGGCCAGGATCGACGGATCTGTTCGTTGCTTTTCGCCATGCGGAAGGCTCCAGAAACGGTCATAGTCCGTGAGAAACTGAACCTTATCTATCATGGGATAGACCGGATCAACGCATTCAAAGTATTTGGAAACCAGAGTATCGGCTTGCTCCTTGTTTGGAAGCACGCCTATCACCTCAGGAACTCCGCCAGTGGTTGTCCAGTAGTTGGCAAACGGGTGCTGAGCTCCACTTCCGAAAACACTAGCAGTGACCTGCCGTGTGTGTTGTAGATTTGAAAGCAGAAATGGCGACGAATTCGTCGAACTTATAGATCCACTTCTTCCGTATGTGACCGATGGGCTGGGTAACTGTGAATAGTGGTCAGCCAATTCTAGGTACAAAGACATGTCCCACATCCACGCTGTTTAGCAGACATTACGCGCTCCTGTTTGAAGAGTCATGGTACGTAAATCAATACTTGATTTCTACGAAGTAACAGTGAACTGCCGATGATTATATAAGACGTACACCAGGCGAAGCTGCGTTTGCAGCAGTGAGACTTGAGGCATTCTTTTTGTCCTTACGGATCTTGGAGGATCTCGTCTGGCCAGTGCTTTCGCCGTCAGCATTTTGCTTGATCGCGCAAGCGTTGGGAGCCGGCAGAATACTCATCTTGCAGCAATTATGTTGGCGATCTCCGAGTATTTGCAGGGAGTCTGCCGCTTTACACAAGCCAAACATGAAGGTCGCACACGATCGCACTGGATTGCACATATTGTTAGCATCGCCTTGCGCATAGGATTTGTTGGCTGCAGCCAAAGTTGCGCACCTTCGTTTTGCGCTCAACACATTCCTCGCAACTCAAGGTCGGCTTATTGCGCTTCTGCTTCTTCTTGACCGGCTGAGAGGCGTTCTCGACGGTGTTGATCGGGTCTAGGCCACCGCCATTGACACCCGTGGTGTCCGTAGCACGATCGGCAGACATGCCGGGCAACACATAGCGCCGAGCAGTTCGGGCTGGATATAACGGCCTCAATTGCTTCTATGACGAGATAGAACAAGCCGGGAATAAAGATGCTTGGGGGTGACTTCGTCGTGCAGGTGGGCCTTATTAAATGGCGACAGCGCCACCCTAATTTGCTTAGCTTCCCCGCAGATTGGGGAAATCCCTGGCTCCGCGAGCAGAGAACGGTGGCATCAGCAGGCTGATAGAACAGGGCGTACAGCATCTGTCTCGGGTGAGTTCCTTCCCCTATGTCCTCCCAGATGCTCGCTGCAGAGGAAGCTGGAGTCAGGCGCTTCGGAAACCGGCCATCGACTGATGCGATGCTTCACTGGACCCGACGAAGGCGGACGAACAGGCCAGCTTAATGAGTTCTGGATGAGCAGATTGGGGTCGCCCCCAAGCTGGGCAAGGAAGCGATATCGGCGCATGTCTCGGTTGATAGCTTGCACGAAGTTCCGAGAGCGACCAATGTCTGTCTTGCATGGTGAATTTGAAGAGGGCCTGGTAGGGATTCAGAAGATGTGACTTCCTCTTGATGTTCCGTTTGGTGGATAAATAACCAGATTGATACGGCTCAGACTCTTCAGGCCAAGAATGCTGGTCGAGCAAGGCTGAGCCGTCGTCGTCAAAATCAGACGGCACAGTTCCTGAGATGGCAAGGGGCTCATGGAGTCATTTGCAGGCAACGTATTGTCTCTATTCCGCCATAGAAATGGCTGATGTTCTTTCCTCAGCCGAAGACGGATAAAACCTGCTGGTATCATACCGTGTGGCCGCTGGCATTGGCATCTCCTCCTAGCATCGAGGCTCAGCCGTCAAATCATGCTTGAACCCGAACAGAGAAATCTCGCAGTTCTGCAAACAAATTTTCACGTCCCCATCTTTATGCCTTCACAGTTCGAATGACCTAATAGTTTCTCTTCACCGCCGCGTTTCAGGTGGCCCAGTCGAGGCCTGACCACACAGTTCCCACTTCTTGAGTGGTTGCCCTTCACAACCAGGTCACGTGCAGAGTCAACAAAATCATCCTTTTCCTTCGAACCACTCCCTCCATCCTCCACCTCATACATTTTCTCAACAGTTGCATGCTTTCAGTTTGCATACTTTAGAAAAACACAAAAAAATAACTTGCTTTTCGCATTTCACAACTTCAATGGCTTCGATTGCAGTGTGTACGCCCACAAAGGGCCGTGTCTTCTCGACCAAGACCGCTGGCGGTCGAATGCCACTCACACCTTCGCCTCGAAACTCGCCAAAGATGATGACCGATGACTCGCCATCGATCTGTACTCCTCCGCTGTTCGCCACTGCAGTACCCAAGTCAACCGCTCGAAAGTCAGCCAAGTCGAATATCGCGACGGCAACGTCTCCAAAGCGTCTTGAACTAGGTTTGTCAGATTGGAATTTGACCGGCACAGGAGCCACCCCATCAAAAGCTCGCGCAAGCCGGCCTCGACCTCAGAAGTCGACCGTGCGAATCGCTTACAATGCTGCTGACCGCTTCATCCCTAACCGCAATGCAAGCGAAGGCATTTGCAATATAGGAACAGGTAAACTCGACCTCGACCGACGACCGAAATCGAGCTCGGCAAAGAGCCAAGATGGCTCTTCGATCCTTGCAAATGGTGCTGCCTCAACGGCAGGTGCCTTCGAAATCGGCGGACGCGCTTCCGAAGACGACGTTACCCGTTCTCTCGACGGCCTCGACCTCGACGACGAAGAAAAGAGTTCATACACGAAGCCTGCACCGGACGCAGTTGCTTATGAGGAGTCACTTGCAAAGGCTTGTGGCGTGTCTCTGAACACTCGCATCCTGGCTTTCAAGCCTGCACCGCCAGAGTCATCAAAGCCAATTGACCTGCGATCGCAGTACAACCGACCACTGAAGCCAGCCGCAGTCTCGTCACAACAGCGCCGCCGCATCCTCACTGCTCCAGATCGTGTCCTGGATGCTCCCAACATTGTTGACGATTATTACCTTAACTTGCTCGACTGGTCCTGCAACAATCAGGTCGCCATTGGTCTTGCTCAGTCGGTTTACGTATGGTCGGCAGACTCTGGTTCGGTGTCGCTGCTTCTTGAAACATCCCCAGATACATATGTCTCGTCACTTAAGTGGAGTGGTGACGGCGCCTACGTCAGCGTCGGCCTCGACACTGGCGAGGTCCAGATCTGGGATGTTGAGGAAAGCACAAAGCTTCGAAGCATGTTCGGACACGAGACTCGTGTTAGTTCAATGGGTAAGTCTTTCGGAAATTCATTTCTATCGCCTCGACTGTGCTAACAGATAAAAGCATGGAATAAGCACATTTTGACAACTGGTGCTCGAAATGGCTGGCTGTTCAACCATGACGTCCGCATCGCCCAACACAAGATTGCTGATCTTGAGTCCCATACAGGGGAGGTTTGCGGACTTGAATGGCGGTCAGATGGCACCCAACTCGCTTCTGGAGGCAATGACAACTTGGTTTCGATATGGGATGCACGCAGCCTTAGCGCACCCAAGTTCCAGAAGACAAATCACAATGCTGCGGTCAAGGCGCTCTCGTGGTGTCCCTGGCAGCACAATCTTCTCGCCACGGGTGGTGGTAGCCACGATCGTCACATCCACTTCTGGAATACCACCACCGGTGCTCGCGTGAACTCCATCGACACTGGCAGCCAAGTCACCAGTCTGCGATGGAGCACTCATTACAAGGAAATTGCAAGCACGTCTGGCTTTCCAGACAACAGCATCTCCATCTGGTCCTATCCAACGCTGGTGAAGAATGTCGAGATCCCAGCACACGAAAGCAGGGTTCTCCACTCTTGCCTGAGTCCGGATGGCCAAACTCTCGCTACAGCGGCGGCAGACGAGAGTCTGAAGTTCTGGAAGGTGTTTGAAAAGAAGGCAGGGGCTGGTATTGGACCTCTTGGTGCAGGCGTGAGCAAGAGCGAAGGCAAGATAACGGCGCGGACCATTCGCTAAACCGGTGGTGGGCGCGAATCATGATGAAATTGAAGTGACTTTTGCATGGCGTCTGGCGTTGGTTGTTTTAACGTATGATGATACCCAAGTCGGTAATAATAAAGATTCATGGTTGGTTGCCAGGGTTGGCGGTACTCGAGCGGGATCGAGACGAGCGGAAAGGAAATGCAATAGTCACTAGTCACGACCAATGAATTACAGAATCGAAACTATTGCATTTGGTTCATGAATCCGAGCGTTACAAGATTTCGTTTCTTAACTACCCTGGGTGAGTAAGAAGTGATTGTTCCTTAGAGGGGGCTTCTGGACGTGGCAACGATGGCGGACTCTAATGTTCTCCCGGACACGCCGATTCGGACCCGATCGATACGTACGTGACTCCAGGCAGACACTTTTCAGAGGACATCAATGGACAAATTTGCGGGGATTACGACGGGCAGCTCGAGTTGGGTGCCTGAAAGCTGGTATTTACACATCTGAGTCGTGCGCCATCTGCTGCTCGAATCCCGTCGCATCATCTCCTGCTCGGACGTCTATCTACCAATTTTGGCTGGGTCTTTGTCAAGGAGGGGAACAAAGAACATGAACGAGAAAGCGGAACTCGCGAGGCAGATCAACCTCGATCCTCATGCCGACTCTGATTCGGACTCGGATTTCGAGGAGCGCGAAGAGATATTCACTCCACGGACGTCCATCAATGGCACGGTCACCTCTGATCTTCCTCCTACGTACGAAGAGTCCGAAGCGCTGGCTCGAAGTCGGACGGAACAGCAGACTGCCCGTGGCATTGAGAACCACAGCGACATAACCGTGTACAGGACGGAGATTCCCCCGGATCCGCCTATTCAGGTGGTACGACCATCTTCGGAAGAGAAACAATCGTCCTCGCCGCATTCTCCTGGACCAAGTGCCTCAGCCTTGCTCAATGCAGCTCTTAGATTTACAGAAAACCCTCCCCCAACGGCGGAACGACCGGGTCTACGGTCGCCAGTGGCTGTACCTTCGTTCGCTGGAAATTCACCACCTGCGAAATTCGCCAGGTTCTACTCTCCAGCGCTGTACCCTCAGTCCATCACGGACGGGGAGTTCATCGAATTTATCGACGGACTGAACAGTTTATCGATAGCTTCAGGCTTTTCAGCATCAACATATCATTCACGAAGTTCTTTGACAGCATCCGAGGTCCCCAGGGACGAGGAAGCCCTTCAAGGCGATGATCTCGTGTCCGCGTACATTGCGCTGAGCAACTCTCACTTCTTCAACCCGCGAGGTTTACAAGTGCAGCTTGCCGACCTCTCTGAGCTGGCTGACATCCTCAACATCAGCAATGCTGCGATACGGAAGGCCGTTATTACAGAGGTCTTGCGCATGTCCAAGGCAAGCATCGAGGTGCCCGCTGCGGCAAACGGCGCGGCACACGAAGCGGCAGGAGCTCTTGTGCCGTACATCGAGCCCTTGATCACGGCAGTTCCGGAGCCTAAGAAGAATCAGGAGGCTTTACTAGCCGTAGCGTCACGATTCGCTGCGCTAGACATTGCAGCCCGAGACATGTCAGCGCCTGAGCTGGCCCGCGAAAACACATCGGCAAGCAGTTCTTCCGGCACCGTTCCCCCTCGGACGAAGTCGTGGGGAGAGTGGGGCAGCGACATTGGAAAGTTCTGGGAAGACATGTCGGAGAAGCAAAGCCAGTTCTGGACCCAGTGGGGCGAAGAGAAAGGTAGGAAATGGGGCAGATGGGGTGAGGAGTTTGGCCGCAGAGTCGAGCAGATGGCCTCCGGTCCGCCAGCGTGGTTAGCTGGCTCGACAAGCAGGGCCTGTCTATCGCATGCTGGAGCGTGCAACGGGGCTCCGTGGGGTCGTGGAGCGTCCATGTCTCCCTTCGACATGCGAGCGGGCCACTGGCCCGGCCATGGAGGCCACCGAGGTGGATGGGGAGCAAGAACACGATCATTCCCATGGACGCCTCCAGGTGTGTCGTTACCGTTCCAAATGCCGTCTCACCATGGCCCGCATCATATGCCTCCGCCGCCAAGTCCTGGAGGTCCTCCAATAACCCCATTTCCGCCTCAACCTCCGATGGTGCCTGGCAGCGTGCCCCATATGCCACCCCATCCGCCGGTGCCGCCGATGCCAGGCGCATTTCCAACCCCTCTCGCACCGTTCACACATCCAAATGCGCAATCCAAGGAGAACAACGCCAACCAACCCACACGACGTGAAGATGGATCAGGACGGACGAAGGACGCGGACGAGCATGACGACGATGACGACGACGACGATTTTGCCGACGTTGCAGACACACTCTCGCTGTCCTCGTTTTCGTCGTCCTCGAGCTCAGACTCCGAGAAAACCTTTGTGCACGACGACGGTGTGCACAGCGAGCACGAGGCCATATTCGCGCAGAAGGCCGAAGCGATCGAGAAGATGGCGGCCGAGGCGCGGGCGAAGAACCAAAAGTCCGCGTCCGAGATCGAGCTGGAGCGGTCGAGGGCGATGATGGAGCTGGAGCACGAGTACTCGAGGCGCGAGATGCGCGCGAACCACCGGGCGCAGAAGCGCGAGCTAAAGAAGGACATCCACGCGTGGAAGAAGAGCCTCAAGAAGGAATTCAAGGCCAGCAAGAGTATGGACAAGGCCCAGCGCAAGGAGTGGAAGCGGACCAGGAAGGGCGAGTGGAAGGCGTTCAAGGCGCAGCTGAAGGAGCAGCACAGGGCGATGAAGGAGGAGCGCAGGGCTAAGAAGAGAGAGATCAAGGAGCTCGCGAGGGCCGCCAAGCGGGAGGGCAAGAAGAAGGACTGGGAGAACAAGCGGGCCGGGTGGGACGAGCGGAGAAGAGAGTGGGAGGAGAGACGTGCGGGAGGCCGTCGTCGAGGTGGTCGACGTGGGGGGGACAGCGGCCTTCGAGGCGGATCGCGGGGCTTTGGTGGCAGCGCGGAGACCTTGGATGAGGACGTGGAGACACAAGCCAGGCAGATGCTTTGGATCGTCGTGACGAGGCTCGAACAGTGAGCCCGCGCGCGCGGTTATGATATCAGACACAATGTATCAGTATAGTGATGTGCAACGACCTCGACGCTCAATCAGGAACATGAAAAGGGAGGGTCTGGATGAGAGAGGAAAAAGAATAAAAAAAAAGTCACCCTTCCCTCTCTTGAAAATGACCATTGTTTAACTATTCTCTGATCCGATTTGATACCTATCCCTTCGTTTTCTCTCCCTCCTTCTCTCCCTCCCTCACTCTCTCTCGTTTTCTCTGCTATTATAGCGCTGACCGTTTGATGCTGTCGCAAATGCATTATGTACATCAACAGCACATCCCAGGCTGAGCATCTCTTCAACGAGGATAGACAAAAAGAAATACACCATTATGCAGGATCGATGTGCTTCTGCGGACGCAACCCCAACCGCGAGACGCCCTTTACACTGGCAGAAGATGTGATCTGAAAAAACGCTCACCAATGACCCCAAATGAAACCTAGACATTAACCCATACCCCCGTGGACGTCGATGCGAAATGGGGGAAGAAGGGGAAAAAAAAAGGGAAGATGAAAAAAACGCAAAAACTCCATGCAGTATTCGCCTGGTATCGTTCCTGATTAAACGCCATCAAGTCATGTATCCCCGAATTCTTCTCTAGCCATGTTGTTGAAAGAGGAGGGAAAAAAAAAGAAATTTAACGACCAAACGAAAATGTACAAAAAAGGGGGGGAGGGGAAGAGGGAGGGAGAAGAGAGTAAGTTTCTCCATCTTCCGTTCGTCTCGTTGCGCGATTTCAACAAGTGCTAGACTGGGGGTGTGTTTGCTGCATGCTGTCTGGCATCGCTGGTACGACCGAGGACGCCGAGGCGGTTGGGCCGCCGTTCTGCATGGCCGCGTTCAGCACCATGGCTCGAATGTGGGCGCGCAAGTCCTCCGGCGAGAGGTGTGTGCCGCCTCGCTCCGCCTGCTCTTTGAGGTACTGCTCCAGGTACTGTTCCATGGCAGGGTCCCTTGCGATTTCAGGCAGCGGCGTCCCGGCCGGAATCCTGAGCATCAGAAGCCGCGCCGTGGCCGGAGCTTCGTTCTCCGACGCGCTCGGCGTCGCCTGCCTCGAGGACACGGCGTCCGGCATGTCCACGTTGCGAGAGAGCGCGGGCGCGTAGTGCGTCGTCGGGCGAGCCTGGGACGGCGGGTTTGGAGTCGAGGTCTGGGACCGCGCCTCGCCCGAGCCGGCGGCGTCTTCGATCTCGACTTCGATGTGGGTCTTGACCTTGATGCCGCGCGGGCTGCTTCTCCTGCTCCGCTTCTGGACCCTTCTTCGGTCGACGTAGGGGCCGATCTCCATGCCAGTCGTGTCGACAACCTTGATGCCTTCGTCTCTTTCGTACCGCTGCCTCGCCCACAGCGTGCCTTCCCACCTGCACAGCATGCTGATCTCGTGCTCCGTCAGACCCAGCTCGTCAAACGCCTTGAACAGTCGTGCGTGGTGCGGGAACCGGCCGAGTCGCTTTCTGTGAGGCGGGTGCGAGTAGTTGAGGCCAGGATATCGTGCTTCCACCGTTTCTAGCCCGCCATAGAATCGTTGGGTCTCGATGCGCACCTCGGCCACCAGGTTTTTGGCCAGGTGGCTCGCAAAGTCGGGAGGATCGCTGGGCGTGGGAGACGGGAATAGGTGGTTATAGACGATGGTGGCAATGCTCTGTTCGCGACGCATCCTGAACAAAGGTGAGAAGGCAGAAGCCTTCGGTGTGGTGCAGTGGATGAGCACGACCAGTTCTGAGCGAGGCTGGGCTCCGGGATTATAGTACGCCGTCGCTTGCGGACTGCAAGGGGAACGGACGAGGAACTCTGGAGGACTTTTTTGTCGAAAAAGAGGCGTGCAGCCGTTTGTGCTAGCAGGAGATTGGGAGGCCTCGTGATTAATTTGGAGGGATGTGAGACCTGCTGGGTCAAGACCAGTCCACGCTCTTTTTGTGTGCCGGTGGTGTTGTGACAAGTCAGTTCGTGGGCGCAGGCGAGACAGGTGTTTCTGGGCCGGGCTGGGTGGGAGTAATCAGGTGCGCGGTGAGACGGAGGATGTGCGGCAATATGCGAGCTACCGGGACGTCAAACACGCGGGAGATTGAGCGGGAGGCGAGCGGTGCTCAGGCGTGTTTGAGAGCGAGGCAAGGCCGTTTTCTGCGAGGGAAAACGACAGGAGTAGTCGCAAGAGCAAAGTGCAGACGGGATTAAGAAACAGACTGGTGCAGGAATGTCGTCAGGGGGATTGGCTGCAAGAGGAAAGGAAGGGGAAGAAAAAATTCAGGCCAGATTCGTAGAACGGGCCTGGTTTAATGCTTGGGACTGGGGATGCAGCGCGAATCCCAAGTGCCGGCTGGCGCAGGAGAAGAAGCAGTAGACCGCCGTCAGCCGCCAGCACCAGAGGAACAGAGGACGGGGCCAGAGCGAAACCGCAAGCGAGCAGCGCACGTCTCGTCGTAGTGGAGGCAGCCCTCTGATGCAGGGAGAGGCCGGAGGGAGGGGTGTGGGCGAATAAATGTATAAAAAGAGACGGACGACTTGCAAGGAAGCGACAGCGAGGAGATGAGAAGGGCTTCGATCCGGCGGACATGATCAGGAAAAAAAGGGGCGCGCTGGTCCCGTCCTTTATGGCAACCACCGCCGGTATTAGCATTATTGTTATTATTATCATTTATGGTCACGATTTGCTGTCGTTGTAACGACTAATATCACTACGACCGTCTTTACGACACTACTGCTGTGCTGTTGCTACCACTAACACGGCCCTGCCGCTGCCACTACCGCTATCATTTACCACTACCACCACTGCTGCTGCCGTACTGCTACTACTACTACTGCTGCTGCTGCTGCTACCACAACTCCTATTATGACCGCCGCTACCGCCAAAACCAGTTCCGCCGTGCAGCACACGCATCGTCGAACCTGGCCGCATGCGTAGAGCAACCAACAAATTAAAGAAAAAATACACTTGATTCAGGCGCGGCGCGGGTGGAAAACGGCTGGTGAAGGATGGGGAAAAAAAAGCCCGCCAGGACGGATCGACAGGCTTGGTAGCGGCGCCGTTTGGGTGTGTAGCCTACCCGACTTTTACCAACGAAAAGGCCAGCAAAAAGAGGGCACGACGACGATGAGTGGATGCCAGGCGTCAGAGGAAGTGCGCAGGCGTGAGCCACGCAGGCATAATACTCTGGCCCGCTGGATTGGTCACAAAACCGGTGCCACCGCCTGTCGGTGAGCGATGGGAAAGCCTTTGGGCTGGTAACATGTAGCCCACCCGCTCAAACGGTAGAGAGAGGGGAAAAAAAAAACTTTTTGGGGCAGCGGCCGACGCTGATCAAATGATATGCACAGTGATGTCCTGTTTCACCGCAAAGGGCTCCGCAGGCCAGCGACACTAACACTACTGCTACTTGACGCAGAAACGAGCCACGCCCGCCATCCATCCAGCTGCGGCCGGGGTTGGTTCGTGTGTGTGTGTGTGTGTGTATGCGTGTGTGCGTGTGTGTGCGTGTTTGGTGCGCCCGCACGAGCAGAATTCCGACTTCACTTCGTGACATCTGATCCAATGGTTTGCCCTCTGCATGAAGTGGACTATGCTCGCCAGCATCGTGAGGGCGAACAGCAGCAAGTTACCAAACCCCCGACGACAGCGATGGTAGCAATCGGTCCGCGGGCAATCTGCCTTAGTCCTCTGCGCCGCAAGCCCGCCCACAACTGCGCCCATTGACCAGCCATCCTCTCGTTGTTGTATTGCTGCCAAGTGCAGACATAACAGCACGCTCCCACGAACCGCCGTCCAGCGGACGAGATGACCAGAAGAATGCTTAGTCGTGCAGAGATCCGCGTTATCGACAAGCCGTTTCCTGCCCTTTCGTCTGGTACTGGTAAACGCCAAGCGGGCTAGGATCCCGTACCTTTTCTTCTTCGCCCCAAGGGTTTCCTACCGCCGGTTCTGGCGTCGTGCTGGTGCTGGTGCTGGTGCACGCGCTCGTGCTCTCCAAACAACCGAAAAGCTTGCATTCAGTCAATCAGCCCGTCCGGCGCCCAAACGACGTCAGCGTTGTGCAACAGCCGAATTGCCCGTCAACGTAGGGGTTGGCAGGTGGGAGCACGTGCGAATCGGGGTCCATCTAGAACCTTTGGTACAGGGCCGTCCACTCTCCGCCCAGTCGAGCGGATCTGACGTCGGCCCACGGGCCCGACCTCACCGTCTGATCGCCTTGCTCGGTTCTCAGGGCAGTCGAGGAGAACTTGTTCGTCCTCAAGCTTATCGCCCGTCACTACGAGGTACGATGCCCAAGATTTCGTGGCATGGTTTTGCATTGCTTACGTGTGCTTTTCAAACTCCACTCTCGCGCCGAACAGGGAAGGGATAAAAAAACCCAGCAAAAAACAAAAAGGCGTGTAAGCAAGCGGGAGTCGGTAAACGACTCGCGCGTACCATTAAAAGGGAATTGAGAAGAAATTCCTAATGAACCAAAAAGCTGGCAGCGTCCGCCCTTCACTTTCGTCTCTCATAGAATTCTGAAACGCTCGTCGCCATGCACCCAAACGTGCAGTACCCAATTTCTGAAATTCCACGTGACCCAGACCCAGCCGGCAAAATCGACGTGGGCGCCCTGCGGGCCTGGTGGGCGGTTCAGGAGCACGAAAACAGCGACCTTCTCGAACTCGTGAGAGAAGTCGAGGCCACTTGGCCGGAGAGTCTGCCATCCAAGTCTTGGTACATTGCCCTCGTTAGTCTACCGCGCGCCTGGTTTGACGGCAATTTGACAAACGCGCTAGTACGCGACGCTCTTAACGTGTGGGAAGCCAGCGACCATCGTACCGATCTTCAAGCACGTCCTGACGAGCGATGGCGCGACCGAGGCCGCGATCAAAAAACTCGGCGACCGCTTCAAGGACGTGCTGGTGAAGTCGTTCAACATCGTCGGCATTCCGCTTCCCGTCATGGCGCTGCCGCACTTGGCCAAGGCCGAACTCGCCGCCGTCGCTTCGCTGCGGCCTGACGAGGGCGATGACGCCACGAGAGCCAGGCTCAACGCCTTCCTGTCGCGTGACGCCCAGCTGTCCGATTCGTGGTACGTCTGTCAGGACACGGGCCCCGCCGTCGACCAGAAAGGCTTCGACTACATGCTGCGCGTGTACAGGCACAATCTGCCGGCCATCATGGCGACCTGGGGCCGGCACCAGGCCGACTTCGAGTGGTTGGAAATGCGGGTCGTCTACGGCCTGTTCCTGTCCGACTTTACGGTCCTGGATCCCCTCGAGTCCGAAATGGTCGTCCTGCCCGAAATCATGGCTCAGGACATACTGGCCCCGACCGTCTGGCACACCAGAGGGTTTCGACGGCTTGGCGCGTCCGAGCAGGACGCGGACGTCCTGCTGGACACGGTCAAGAAGTGCGCCAGATGGGCAGGAAAGGAGCTCAAGGAGACGGGGGGCCTAGTCGCGAAAGACGTCGACGTAGAATGGGACCCCAAGTGAAGTGACCGACTTAGTCTGACGTATACACTTCCTTGAACAACCATTTCGCAACGTTGTCGTGAATCTCTTCGGTTCTCTGCTTCCACACCTCTCGCAGCGGGCCTCGCTGCGTGGGCCATCTCTGGTTGTAGCCGTGCTCCAAGCCCTTAAGCTCCTCCCACACTACATTTCCACACGTCCACCCCACTCTTCCTTCGCCCAGGGGCATCTTCTTTGCCCCACCAGCCTCTTCCTGCTCGGCGTACTTCGCTGCCGCGTCTCTCGCCTCCGCGCACAGGATGTCGTATTCGCATCCCATCAGGAACAGCTTCGGCGGCAACCTGCTTCGATCCGCGTACAGCGGCGACAGCAGCGGGTTCTCGTAGTCTTGCTTGCCGCGAAGATAGAACCAGTTGAACGCGCGGGAGCTTCGGACCAGCATGTCTGTCCCGTTCGGCGGTGGCGTGGATGCCGCCACCCTCATCGCCAGCGTGCGCTTGAAGTCCGTGACCGGGTAAAAGGCGACGGAGGCTTTGATCTTGGTGTGCAAGTTGTTCAGCTGCGGGCCTGTAAGGCACAGGTTGCCGCCGGCGGAATATCCAAGCACGGCCACGCGATCTTTGTCGACGGGAAGCTCGGGATCGTCCAGCACCGCCTGTATGAGCGCGGCCACATCTTCGACGGGCTGTGGGAATCCATACTCCGGCGCTTTGCGGTAATTGATGCTGACAACACATATGCCGTGCTTGTGGCTGTAGATAGCGTTGTCCCTGTCGTCCACGAATGGATGTCCGATGCAAAACCCTCCCCCGTGAATGTCGATGAGCAAAGGCAGGCGTGTCGAGCTTCCAGGTCTGTATGAATTCGGTATCCAGACGTGGTTTTCCAGCTGCGGACGGACTGCGTATCTCTTGACGTACGTTGGTCGCTCATACAAGCCTCGCTTCTTGACCTTGGTGTTGTAATACACAAACAAACCCATCAGAACCTTGAAGCTTTTGAGAAGCATTTTCCACACTGCCCTCTCGAGCAGGCTTGGCGCCTTGCGCTTTGCCACCGTCTGCTCCATCTCTAACAAGGCGCTTGTGAGATAGTCCCAGCGATCCCTCGCCTCGCCGCGTAGACTCGCGTGACAAATTCTCCGCGAGAGATGGTTAGTTCGCGGAAGAACCAGATCTAAGATGTGTCGATCTAAGATCGTTATGGATGGGATTGGAGCGGTGGGAAAGGGTGCTTTTCGTCGTTTGTTCAACGCAAGCGAACGTGAAGCACCTTTCGAAACTGGCCTCGGCTCGGTTTCCCCAGGTCCGTGCTTGTTCGTGACCGTCACCGTGCGATCGCAAGCCGCGGGTACCGAAGAGCATTCGCACATCGTCAATCTGTAATCTTTACCCCAGCACTTCAAGTTGCAGACTAGTCTGAAAGAAGCTTTGGATCGCGCGGGCACCGCATGGTCGAACCTCATTGCGGCGAGCGGGCCAATAAATCAATTGCGGCGGCCTTCGGGAACACTTCTGTGATTCGATCAATTCTCTGTCCTGGAGGGGAAAAAAACTGTAAGAGCTGGATCCTGATACTTCTATCTCGATCCCCGCATCCGTTTTCTTATATAAACGCAGATGGGTCAGCTAAGAAGGCGATAACACCAAGAACAAAAAAAAACCCACTTCCTGCTTAGGAGCCTTTAGCTCTGGAATGTCCTACTTTCCCCAATCTTGACACGGCTGTATGAGTTTGCACTATCTTGATCGCCTGTCCAGGCTCGTCCGACCATGTCACTCGCTTGAAAAGGACCGCAAACGCCCGTGGTTACTGCATTACAGAAGTTCAAAGTGGTTCATTCTTCTGACTGTCACTTTTGCTGTGTTCACCGTATGTTCATCACACACGCTTGCTCTTAGCACAAGGCGTTGACTCTTCCTTCAGGACATCTTCCTCTACGCCGTCATCGTGCCTGTGATACCATTCGCACTTAAAAGCCGAGCTGGGATTGCCGGGAGTCAAGTGCAGTCATGGGTTTCTATACTGATAGCCGTTTATGGAGGTGCTCTGGCCCTGGCTTCTCCCATTTGTGGATGGATAGCTGATGCAACAAACAATCGGCGCCTTCCGCTGGTGGCCGGCCTTGTCGCCCTTGGTGCCTCAACAATCATGCTGAATCTTGGTCGCAGTATTGTTGTGCTCGTCCTTGGTAGAATCTTGCAAGGGGTCTCCGCCGCTGTCGTTTGGTGCGTTGGGCTTGCCCTGGTAGCTGACACTGTGCCAACAGACGAAGTAGGCAAGTCGATGGGCTACGTGTTCTTTGCCATGTCTGTAGGTATGATTGCAGGTCCCTTGCTGGGCGGCGTGGTCTTCGACAAAGGGGGTTATAATGCGGTCTTTGGCATGATCTACGCATTGATCGGTGTCGACATTGCCATGCGATTCTTCATGATCGAAACCAAAGACGCGAAGAAGTGGAAGGAGGTTGAGGACAGAGGAAAATCACAAGCTTCTGTTGAGAAGGGCGAGCCTAACGACTCAGAGGGCCTAGAGCCTCCACAGAGCATCTCAAACAATACGCTGGACATAGTCGAAGACGGAGAGATGGCCTCGACTGGTGGAAGACATCGCGTGGAAAATTTCGAGCCTGAAATACTGGTAACAGGAAGTCGCATTAAGAGACGTGTCCCGGCGCTGGTCACTTTGCTGAAGTCCCGACGGCTGCTTTGCGCCCTTTGGGCCTGTCTTGTCGTCGCCACCCTGTTCTCGCACTTCGACTCCGTTCTCCCACTGTTCGTCCACGAGACATTCGGCTGGGACCCGACTGCAGCAGGTCTGATCTTTATTCCGCTCCTGCTGCCTTCGTTCGCGTCGCCAATAATCGGCTGGGCGGTCGACAAGTTCGGCCCCCGTTGGATCACGACGACAGGCTTCCTCCTTTTCGCGCCAATCGAGGTGCTGCTGCGTTTCGTGACGCACGACACTTTGGGACAGAAAGCAGTCTTGTGCGTGCTGCTGGCGTTGCTCGGTCTGAGCCTGGATTTTTCAACAACGCCGTTGCTGGTGGAGATAACTTTTGTCGTGATGCAAAAGGAGAAGGACAACCCTGGCCTTTTCGGAAAAGGTGGAGCATATGCTCAGGCTTACGGTCTTTTCAACTTTGCTTGTAAGTGATGCCATAAGCTGCAGAGCTCAAACAATGTCAAGACCAAAAAGAACACCCACACAATTGCCTCCAGCTTGATTCTCCTGAGCGATGAGGATAATTTACGTTTCCGAGAACGAGGTGAAACTCTCATAGATGGTCATATTGAATTTTTTTTTTTTTAAAAAAAAAGGAGAGATAGCTAACATCAGAGTCAGGGGCTTGTGGTTGTCTTGTTGGACCGATATGGGCGGGTCTGGTGCGTGAACATGCTGGATGGGGGACGATGACATGGTCGATTGGTTTGCTAAGTGGCCTTACCGTCGTTCCTGTTTTCGTTTGGACGGGCGGTTCAATTTTTGACAAAGGGAAGAGACAGTGGTGGAGTAATAACGAAACAACACGTACGGACGTGGACATTGCATGAAGCCGCATAGATTGAAATAGGACCGAATAGAGAGTGAAGGCGCAGGAGGCGACATTTTCAGCGCGAAAGCCTTACAGGATGACAATCTTCTAGATTCATTGGCTAGATTGGGCGTAAAAAGAGATTCTGAACCGTCAAATATGTTGCTAATGTGATTAATCAACGCCTGGCTCTTAAATCCTTTAATTCTCACTGGGTGACCAAGGAAACAATAAGTTGTCAAGAGCGAGAAAAGCGGCCGTGCAGAGCGTTTCGGATCACTCGTTCTGCTTGTGGCTTGAATGCGACATGCGCCACACATCCGCGTCTGGTTCGACCAACCCTTTTACGGAAACTTCACAGCTTCAACAAGCCCTCGTCTATCTGACAACGCGTTCGTCGCTGTGGAGTTTGCTGGTCATTTCGAGCGGTCTACGGAGGCGACGCAGTTGGATTAGTCTTATATTGTCTTTCCACTCAACGGCTTCATAAATCTCCCCTCATCTCCTATCACAGCAGCCTTCCCCATGGCAGATCGTTTCTTTGATCGTGTCGCTGATGTCGGGAGCGAGGAGGAAGATGAAGAGATCGACGAGGAGACCGGCGAGGTCATACCGCGAGCTGTAAAAAACGGCACAAATGGCGTACTCGATGATTCGAGTGAGGAGGAAGACGAGGACGATGATGAGGAGGCTTTGCGCAAGGTAAGGCGTAACGTCGAAGCGGACTTGTTAAGGGCGCTAAGTGTTTATCAGGCCGGCGAAGGTTTCATTGCTGATGATGACGAGGATGAAGATGAGGATGCGAAGGTGGCCAGGCGCCGAGAGCGCAAGAGGCGAAAGCGGGAACGCGAGGAGGACGATGTGCTTGACGAGGAAGATCTTGAGCTGATCGGTGAACGCATTGCTCGTCCAGAGGCAACCAAGTCTAAGTTCAAGCGGCTGAAGCAGGGCCATCGAGAAGACCGCTCGCGCCAGGAAAGGGGTGGTATCGGTGACATCTTTGCTGACGAGGAGGATGAAGAGCTAGAAGATCGCTTGGACTTCCGCGAACCTCAGGAAGAGTTCGACGATTTTATCGTAGAAGATGAGGAAGAGGGCGGTGTCGACAGGCGTCGTGACGAAGAGGAGGTTGCGCGCCCTGGTCGCAAGTTTTTCGATGCCACAGGCGCCCTGGACACTTCTGGTATGGACCCAGCAACGATCGAGGATTTCAAGCAGGCCTTCTACGGCGACTATACGTATGATTGGGTGCTTGACTTAGAACAAGATGAAGCGGACAATCTCGTGGACCCTGACCAGCCCATTGCGCTCAAAGACGTATTCGAAGATTCACAGCTCGCAGAGAAGTACTTGACGGATGCAGATATAGAGATCAAGAACAAGGACATACCGGAACGCTACCAGCTCCTCCGCCAGCCATTCAAGCTGAGCGAGCGAAGTGAGGAAGAGGCAGCCGAGCTTTTGCAAGAGGAGGCTCGATGGGTGTTCTCGCTCATGTGGCCCAAAAAATCGTTCGATTCGAGATTCAGAGAACCGTTGCAGGCCTCGATCAAGAAAGTGTTGGAATACATCAATATCGACAATTTTGAGGTGCCCTTCATCTTCCAGCACCGGAAGGACTACCTTATTCACGAGTACAAGATATCTACCGACGATTCTATTGACGGCAGGCCTGAAACAAAAGCAGAGAAGATGCTTAACCAGGACGATCTTTGGGAAATTCTTGATCTGGACTTGAGGTGGAAAGCGTTAATCGAGAAGCGAGACACCTTGGACAACCTATACCGGCAACTTGGACAGCTTCACAATATTCGAGACGATACTATTGAGGAGCTACGACCCAAGGCCGCCACGAATGAAGAGATTCAGGACATACAAGATTATTTTCACTTCAAATACTCGGCTGAGCTCAAGGATATCATGCTAGCGGACAGCGAAACCAATGGTACCCAAAAGCGGGCACGAGGAACCAGAAACGTATGGGAGAAATTGCGATCGAGCAGAGTGTACCAACTGGTTCAAGCATTTGGCATAACTGCCGAAGCCTTTGCCCTGAACGTGACGGCTAGCGGCGCTCGTACTTATACCGAAGATCCTAGCGAGCTACCAGAAGACATGGCAGATTCATTAGTAGATCCGCCAGAATACCAAACAGGTGCTCAGGTTCTTCGTGCAGCAAAGGCGATGTACTCAGAAGAACTCGTCATGAATCCCCGTCTCAAGCGCTACATGCGTGAGGCCTTCTACACTGCAGGTCAATTCCACTGCCACCGAACCGAGAAGGGTGCCCGTACCATCACGGAGGATCACAGATACTATGAATTTAAGTATTTGCGTAACCAGGATCTTTCAACTTTGATGACGAAGCCCGAACTGTACCTTCGAATGCTACAGGCCGAATCCGAAGGCTTAGTCGAGGTTCGAGTCACTCTGATCAACTCGAAGAACTTTCGAAACAAGCTCTACTCTCTAATCGAATCTGACAATTACAGCGCGGTTGCCGAAGCGTGGAATAAGTTGCGCCGTGAAGTCCTCGATACTTCGCTTGACAGACTTGAGAAGATCATTGCGAAAGGCGTCAAAGAGGCTCTGAGGACCGAATGTGAGTCTCGTCTTGGAAAACAAATCCGAGCGAAGTATCTCGAGAAGTTGGATCAGGCGCCCTTCAAGGTTGTTGGTCTTGCACCCGGTGACAAGCCCCGTGTGCTGGCGCTATCGAACGGAAAGGGCAACATCAACCGTGACGCAATATGCTGGGTTTATCTCGACGAAGATGGTCGTGTAACAGACCATGGCAAATTTGTCGATCTCAGACCGGGCCACAAAGAGAAATATCTTCCGGACGGCAAGGACGTCAAAGCTTTTGTTGATTTGGTCTTACAGAAGAAGCCCGACGTGATTGGTGTATCGGGCTTCTCGCCTGAGACACGCAAGCTTTACAAGGACCTACAAGAGATTGTGGAGCGAAATAATCTCGAGATCAGCGAAGCTGACGATGTAGACAACCCGGACGACCGAAAACTTGAGGTCATAATTGTTAACGACGAATGTGCGCGACTGTATCACACGAGCGAACGTGCTATTGCCGAAAACCCGGCTCTGCCTCCCCTCGCCCGCTATTGCGTTGGTCTCGCCCGGTACGTCCAAGATCCGATGTTGGAATATGCGGCTTTAGGCAAGAACATCGCCTCGATCATGTTTGATCCCAATCAAGATCTCTTACCTCCCGAAAAGCTGAACAAGTATCTTGAAACTGCAATGGTAGACATGGTTAATCTTGTTGGCGTTGATCTGGAGGAAGCCTACGCCAACCCCTACCTGGCGAACCTGCTGCCTTATGTCTGTGGTCTTGGTCCTCGGAAGACGGACCAACTTCTAAGGACCATCCAGAAAAATGTTAGTGATTATTTTGTCTGTTGGGACTTTACAATGCTAATGCTTCACAGCAAGGAGTGATTAACAGCCGAGCAGAGTTGCTTGGTGATGAAACGATATACCCCGCATGTGGGCCTGTGGTATGGCAGAATTGCGCCAGCTTCTTCAATATCGACGCCGACGAGAGCGAACAAAATGCCGACTATTTGGATCACACTCGCGTCCATCCTGAAGATTACGACATTGCCCGCAAGATGGCTGCCGATGCTCTTGAGCTTGACGAAGAAGACGTGAAGGCTGAGGTTGATGAGGGAGGACCAAGTGCTGTGGTTCGTAAACTCGTCAAGGAGGACGCGCAGGACAAGGTCAATGACCTCGTACTTGAAGAATACGCCGAACAGCTGGAGCAGAAGTTCAATCAGCGAAAGCGAGCCACACTTGAGACCATCCGCGCTGAATTGATTTCACCCTTCGAAGAGCTACGACATAGCTTGGCTCCAATGTCAAGTGAAGACGTCTTCGCCATGCTTACTGGCGAAACTGAAGATTCACTTGTTGAAGGCATGATTGTGCCTGTTACTATTCGCCGCATCTTCCAGGACCATATCGAGTGCAAGCTTGACAATGGTCTTGAGGGAGGTATCGGCGCCGAGCATTATCCTGAGGGTGTTGGCAACATATATCCCAATGGCGCAGACCCTAGACAGGTCTATCACCCTAATCAAGTCGTGCAAGCTATCGTGCAATATCTTAACAAGCGTGCCCTCACATGCCAATTGAGCTTGCGCGGGGATCTGCTTCGCAAACCGTTCAAAAAGCGTCACACGGTCACGCCTGGAGAATGGGATGAGGAAGAAGAAGCCAATGACAAGAAGGCTATGGAAAAGGAACGCGAGGCCAAATCAGGGCGTGCTCAGCGAGTAATTAAGCATCCACTTTTCAAGCAATTCAATGCTGCTCAGGCACAGGAATACCTTGGCTCTCAAGGTCGCGGCGATTGCGTCATTCGACCCTCATCCAAAGGTCTTGATCATCTGGCCGTAACGTGGAAGGTCTCAGACAATGTATACCAACACATTGATGTCGTTGAGCTCGACAAAGAAAACGAGTTTGCGCTTGGGAAAACGCTCGTCATTGGTGGAAAGTATAAATACAGCGATCTGGATGAATTAATTCAGCTCCATATCAAATCTATGGCGAAGAAGGTCGACGAGATGACCAACGATGATCGCTTCCAGAACGGAAGTAAGAAGGAGACTGGTAAGTCCTTGAATGGTTCTCCAAGGACAAGTGAACGCTGACGAAGGATACAACAGAACAATGGCTCGAAGCCTACGTTGAGGCCAACCCGAGGCGAAGCATGTATGCTTTCTGCATCAACCGCGAGTATCCTGGCTACTTCAATCTGTGCTTTAAGCCTGCACCGAACGTTGATGTGATCACGTGGCCAGTGAAGGTTATTCCCGGAGGATTCGAGATGAAAAAGAATTCATATCCGGACATGCAGAGTTTGAAGAACGGTTTTAAGATGTTGGTTGCGGCTCCGCGAGCGAGGTAGGCCTCTGCTCATCCGACATGATGCGGGAGATTCGACAAGGCTACACATTCGTCGGCGAAATGGATTTGCATTTGCACCGCTGGTTGAAGACTTGGTCTTTGTATAACATATTATTATGAAAGCATAGATCACAACAAAAAGTCGAGTCGAGGATCACGACGCCATAACTATATTCTCATGGGATCGGATCGCGCAATAGCGCACCATGGCTTGGCCTTTGACGTTCGCGCTGACGAGGGTTGGGGGCGCTCGGCAATCGGCTGAAAGGACTTGAGGGGTTACCCAGAAAGTGTGGATGGTACATCTCTGTCTATCGTACCCCATCCATTGCAGTATAAAAAGCAGACATTGAGAAATTTTTTGAAGCAAGTTTGAAGCTTTTAGTGAACATATTTCTCCACATCTGTCTTCCGATCAGTGCAGCCCAAGACCACGATCAGCATGACCGTAACCGTCACCGTATTATACCCACCAGGCAAGTTTGACTTGGACTAGTATGTTTTAATCCAATGTATTCACAGACGAGGTTGCATTGGTCAATGTGTCGAGAATGTGACCGAGCAACACTTGTCACGGTCGGTGTGATTAGATGGGTCGCTAACATGAAGTACCAGTTATCTGAATAAGCACATTCCCCTTGTAGCTAAGGTATGGGGCCCAAAGGGCATGAAGGATTGGAGGGTTGTCAAGAATGGGCCGGGGCCAGATGGTGCTGATGCCCCCTACCAAATTGCCTGCGTAATAACTTTCGATTCCGCCGAGAGTCTGCAGGCAGCCTTGACCGATCCTGGTTCAAAGGAAGTGTTTGAAGACCCTAAAAACTACACGGACGAAGTTTCCAGAAAAGCCATCTTCCTAGCTGGCGAGACCGTTGCAAGCGGATAGCGACACTGGTGTTCGCTAGGAATGAGTGAAAGCAAAACTTAGAATAGCTGCCCGATAGGGCGGAAGCCGGCCTATTCGAGGCTGTCGTAGGCTCGAATCGAACAACATTGCTATGAGAATGTGTGCAACCGAAATTTGATCTTCAATTTAATGAAAACAGATTCCATATTGTTCGCAATCGCAATTGTACTCTTCGTTAGAGGTAAAAGTCACATGATACAGGTGTGAACCGCTCAGTCATATCGGTCTAAATCCAACGAATTTAGTCTTTCTGATTTCGGGGCTTAAAAGAATATTAAAATCTTAGGGAACGGCATGCACGCCTGTTCGAGACATCCGATTTCTTTACTTCCTTGAGCCATTTATGATCCCATACCTACCTTCCGCGACCCCGCATCTTTCTCGTTTGATGACGATCCCTAGGCGGAACCATGCTGGTAGCGCAGAGTGCAGCGATTATTTAGTGTGGATATCAGAATGGATCAATTAATGATCACAATAACTGCCCCCACGGCCATCCTATTAACTTTCGCTCCTTTTGCTTAGCTGCTGATCGCCTTTAATGTGATCGCAAGCGACTAGTGGGTTTATAGATTTTCACACGTTCGTCACATACTCATTCCCAAACGAGATGGGTGACACGAATATGCCAGAACCCATTGTGAAAACCAATTTCCTAGTTGTAGGTGCTGGGCCAGCTGGCGCTTCACTAGCTTGCTTTCTATCTTCACATGGATTGACCGGAATAATGATCGCATCAGCACCAGGGACGGCAGATACTCCACGAGCACATATTACCAATATGGCCGCCTTGGAATGTTTGCGAGACATAGGCCTTGATGACGAGTGCATGAAGGCTGCCAGCGGAGGAGACAACATGACCCATACACGATGGTGCAAGACCATGACTGGAGAAGAATATGCTCGAATACATTCCTGGGGAAATGATCCAAACAGGCATGGGGACTATGAAGCAGCGAGTCCTTGTAGCCACGTCGATTTGCCTCAGACATTGTTAGAACCCATTCTTACTCGAAGGGCTATCCACACGGGATGGACGGTGAGATTTAACACAACGTTTGTGAAATTCACCCGGCCGTCCCCCCATATCGTCGTGAGCGACGTCAGGGATGAAGTGCTCGGCCTGACGTACAAGATTGAATCCAAATATCTCTTTGCTTGTGATGGTGCTAGAAGTCAAATCGTTCGACAGCTCCAAATCCCTCTCATTAGGAAGCCAGGCCAGGGCGTTGCGCTGAACATCCTTGCCAGAGTGAACATGACGCACCTCATGAAGACACGAACAGGAAATTTGCATTGGATCTTCGACCCCACGAAAGAACATCCGGAGTGGGCGTCCATGTGCATCCTTCGCATGGTTAAGCCGTGGTATGAATGGATGTTCATTGTTCTCCCTGTCCCAGGAGTCGATCCTTCTGTGGCGAACTGGGAGGAGCGGAAAGAAGAGTACTTGGAAAGAATCAAAGCGTGGGTTGGGGATGATTCACTTGATGTCGAGATCCTCAACGTGAGCAAGTGGACTATCAACGAGATTGTGGCTAAGTATTATTCCGATGGCAACATTCATTGCTTGGGAGATGCAGTGCACCGTCACCCACCTTTTAACGGTCTCGGCTCAAACACATGCATTCAAGATGCCTTCAATCTAGCTTGGAAAATAGCCTATGTCGAGAAAGGAAAGGCAGGCAATTGCCTTTTAAATACATACAGCCCAGAGCGCCAGCCTGTGGGAGAAAGCGTAATTACACGGGCCAATCAGGGCCTCCGCGACCACTTGCCATGGCAAGAAGCCATAGGGATGAACGAACCGGACGTAGAAGTTCGCAAAGAGATAGTTGCCGAGTTCGACGATCCCGGGCCCAAGGGGCGAGCGAGAAGGGAGGCCTTCCAGAAGGGCATCGCCAATACCGCAACCGAATTTCACGGCCTTGGAATAGAGATGAACCAACGCTACGCGTCAAGCGCGGTCTATCTCGCTGACGAGACCGGCCCGGTGCCTCTGCCGAACCAGAAAGATGAGAAGGAGAAGGTGTTGAGACATGTCATCACGACATACCCGGGATCTCGCCTGCCGCATGCCTGGATCAACACGCGAGCTCCCGGCACACCGCTGTCAACGATCGACCTTGCTGGACACGGCAGGTTCACGCTGATAACTGGACCAAGCGGCAGAACTAATTGGACTGAGGCTGCAAAGCAGGTGAGCGAAGCGCTTGGCGTGGAGATCAAAGCCTATTCGCTCGGCTGGAAACAAGACTATGAGGACGTGTACTCGGACTGGGCCAAGCGCAGGGAGGTTGAAGAAGATGGATGCGTTCTCGTGCGACCAGACAGGTTTGTCGCGTGGAGGTCGATTACCATGATAGATGATTGCTCTGGCAAACTGCTCAGAGTCATGAAGAGCGTGCTTTCACTACAAGATTTGGCAGCATAGACAGCTAACGGCGACAAAACCAAGAGTCATAGCCCAAGAATACGTGAGAATGCTCGGTTGTTGAGTCAGAAAAATGAAGTCGCTTTCATTCCGGCATTAGTGAGACAAAAATCACGTCATCTATGTGCAACAATATTACGTCCGAAAAGTTAGCCTTGCCAAGCGAAGTAAAGAACGCAAGAAGCGTTTATTGAATTCCCGGTTGTTCAACACCCATCTCCGCCTCCCTCTTCACCCGAAAGAATGCAAGCTTGGCGAATCTGCCCAAACTGGCCCAATAATGACGGCCAGCGTCATGGACCATGATTCTCTCCAGCAGCACAACTGTTGCTTGTCTCACCGTCGCATCCTTGTGAAACAGCCCCAGACTGAGGTAGAAGAGACCACCACCGCTCTCTGGTAGACTCGAGAGTAGCTGCAAGATGATGTCGTAGCGCGCCTTCTCGATCTTCATCATTTTTTTCATGTGCGCGGCCGGCGTGGGTGCTTGCGAGATGCTATCTGGATATGCGCCTGGGGTGGCCGGGTCAGGATCCTCGGGGTCGAGGCCGACACGCTCGACGGCGCGGGAGATGGCTTTGAAGATGTCGCCTGCGGCCTCATTACCAGGTTTCTGAACCCGGAGCCTCTCAAGCTGGTACTCGAGATCGATGCCGCGGACACCATCTCCCCGCTCCCACTGTCGAGCCAGGTCGCGAATTAGAGAGAAATAACTTCGAGACTGCCGCCAGCCTTCGATACGACCTACCTGCGCGTTGATTTCGCGCATGCGAGATCCATCATCAGACCAGACCAGACCATGGCCTTGGACGCCATAACCGTAAGCATCGGCGTCTGTTTCGCTTGCGCCAATATGCAACGCAGATGCACCATACACGATCTCCTCGAATGTTGCGGCGAGGAGCGTGAATCGATGGACCCAGTTGCGGAATTTGGAGCGCACGACGGCTTCACCGTGTCTGTTGGCGACAGATTGCATGATGCCTTCCATGAATTCTTTATCTCCGGTTGGATCATCGCCTGTATCTTTGCTTCCCGATGAGAGACCATTGGTAAGAGTCAGATTTGACGTACCCTTGCCGTTCGCAAGAGCGGTGTTTCCATGACCGCCTTGCTGGAAGAATATTGTACCTTCTGTTAGAGGCGGAGGCTCGATCTTCGGGCTGATCTTCATGCGCCCAGTAGGTAAGTCGCACAGGAGGTCCCACCATTCCGTCCTTAGTCCGAAGGCTGGATTCGTGACGCCAGCGATGAATCCGGGAACTTTCAACAAGTCGTCGATCTTGGTCAGATCAGTGTAGGGGAATGCATGTCTGGTAAAACCTTTCAATATGCCGCCGGATGCCAACGAACACGCCGCTAACACAGCCTCCGCGACAGAGCCGGAGGGCTGATTATGTCCTAAGAAAATGACTCGTTTCTGTGTCAGAAGAGCGTTTATTAGGACTATAATGGGATGGGTATATGGTCCAGAGGTTGTGAGATGCGAATGCAGTGGAAACGGCTGCGGATTTGATCTGTGAGGCTCCGAGAAAGTAGTAATCAGTTTGATCAAGCTGAAGTCGCCCACAGTCTCTGGCGTGATGGCAACAGGGACCTTGATAGGCACAGGGATATTGTTGTAGAACACCCTTGACTCAAATTCGTGCGTGTCTCGAGGTAGTTGATATCGAGGCAACGAAGTCGCTGAATCCTTTGACGAGCTTGACAGTCGCTGAGCATCCTCAGCCTGCCGTTGCTGGATCATGAGCGTGAATTTCTCCGCAAACATGTCCTTTGCGTCTGAAGCCTGCAAGAGATTTCGCTCTAAGGGAGTAAGGCGAGGCATGAGGGATAGATCCATGGAGTTAACGGCATTGTAGAGCGAGGCAAGAGTGTCTAAGACCGGATTTCGGAAGTATTCCTCGAGCGCCAGCAACAGTAGAGGCTATGATCCGTTAATAATGATAGTACGAGACCGCAAAGAGTGTAATGTACCTTGTAGATATGCAAGAAAGAATGGCGTGTACAGATAGCCATTGCCTTGACAACAGCACCTCTCTTCGCTGTGGCATCCTGCTTGGTGTTCACCAAATTCAGGACGTATATCAACGGTGGTCCATCATCGATCTCTTCATCATCCGTGCTTTCAAGATCATCGTTGTTTAGCTCATCCTCAATATCGTCGAGATCGCTTCCATCACTCTGAGGCAACTGGCTGACATCCAAACCTCTCTCAGCTGCCTCTCTCCTCCGTCGCCTCCGCCTTCTTCTCGCCTTCCTCTTTTCTCTCGCCTCATCCTCTGCGCTTGTGTCCTTGTGCAGGAAGAAAATGGTCCAATCCTGGCTGCGCATGTGTGTCTGATCCGGCAACATCAGCTCTGCCAACATGTGCTCGTCGCCAGAGATGGGTCCCGGATACTGATGTTCCATAACGGAGCCGCGGTCGATATCAAAACTTGCTACCAATATGTACTCAACATGGTTCTCCGAGTTCTCGAGAGGGTACTGAGACCGTAGCGGCGGGGCGTAGAGTCTTGGCTGAGGTAGAGGCTTCTGCTTGATGCTGCCCGCCGGCGAGCCATCCCGCTCGGGTGACTGCTGCTGTCCTTGCAGCGGCGTAGAGGCAACGCCATTCTCAGCGTCCAGCGGGTGTGCGCCGGGTTTCGACCGTGCGGACGAGGTCGAACCTGATCGACGGTGTGGAGCAGGCGTGTGCGACGTCGGTGCCGGCGGAGGTTGTGCTGGCCGGTAGGCGACTGTGTGAGCGGTCGAAGCCATTGACCATGCGATAGTCGAAGCGAGCATGCCCTTATCACGACTTTGTTGCGCGAAGCCGGCTGAGGTTCAAGGAGTGCCCTTTTTCAACGCATGGCCCTGAGGTTTCTGAGACTTGAATAACGGCGGGGATCCAAACGCCAGAGCGTGGAGGAACGGAAACGAATGACTCGCGGCGGGTGTATCAGAGGACAGGTCGGAAGCAACGATTTGCGTCTCGCAGCACAAGTGTTCGGCACGGGATCAGAAGCGTCAGCTCAGGTGCACCTGAAGCATAACATGTGTGTCGAGCCAGATTTCGGTCCACATACGCAGCCTGAAAAGGGAGACGCTCTCACGGTGAGCTAGCACGGGGCGGACCTGCCAATGGCCGGCCTGGGCCCAGCCCCTGATCAGGGACCCAAGCGCTAGACCGTGCTGGCGTTTTGGTGGGGGGCCCGCTAAACTCAGCGGCGCTCGCTTACTAAGTTCACATTGGCCGCCCAGCTTAGCGTGACACAGCGTCCTCTTCTCCGACGCCTCCGCCGTCCGATTCGGTAACTTGTTTACCTGGGCCTCGTTCACCGCACACACCAGACGTTTGAACTCTACGCTGTGTATGCTCAGTTGCGCATAGCAACTGACACAGCTTCGGAGCATGGTGAGTCTTCTCGACGAGGCTATGGCCCTTCTACTTGCTCACGTCGTGCGCTCTAGTCGAACCCGTCCAGCCCTCTCAGACCTGCGCCGTTGTCCTTCGCTCGCAGCGACAGCAATGGACGCATGTCGCCTTTCAGACGGCCGGAATCCCCTCTAACCAAGTCGCCGTCCACAGTGCGTGCGGCAACACCACAGGGCTCGCCGCTCAAGCAATCGACGCCCTCCCGATTCTCGCAGCAGCCATCCTCTTCCGCGTCGTCGAAGCCTGCCTTTACTTCGAACACTGCAGACGATCGCTCGTGGATACACACGCGCAGCGCCGCGAACAGCTTTTCAGAAGCAGCAATGGACACACCTGAATCACCTACTCGATCACCTAGACAGCTTGCGTCTAGCACAAGCAGTTTAGCGCCAAGGTTCGACACGCAGGCCAACGGATCGACAGCGCGCCCAAGTTACAGCGACCGTACGCCAACGGCCTCGAGTTTCAGATCCGAGTCAACACCGCGCGCTCCAGCACCTGCAGACCCGCTTTCTTCGATTCCTCCACAATATCTCCACACCATGCGTGAGTCTTTCGCTGTCCTCGATCGCGCCAACACCGGCTTCATCACTCAATCCGACCTCGTTCACCAACTGAACGAGCTCGGCCTAGATGCCTCACCTGCAGCACTATCGCAATACTTTCCACCCGGGTCGTCATCCTTGAACCTCTCTTCCTACTTGCATCTTCTCAGCGCGGATCTCACCCGCTTAACCTCATCCACAGAACTCATGGACGCGTTCTCCACGTTTGATGTAGATGACAGCGGACAGATAGATGTTCAGGAACTGAAGGAGGCGTTGTTGTCAACGATGCCAGAGCCTGGGGAGGATCAGAGGAGATTAACAGAGCGGGAAGTGGATATGGCAATGGAAGGGTTTACGGGAAGAAGGGCCTTTAAAAAAGGAGCAGCAGGTAATACAGCAGGACTGGGGGCTGGAGATAGGAGACCCGTATTTAGATATGGAGATTTCGTAAAGGGCATCTGGGGCGTTGGCTCAGAGACGGAGAAAGTTGAAGCGATATAGCTAGCGGCTGCCATGAAGGCTGGTTTGTTACGAATTTGATGGCACGAACGGATGAAAGGTATATACATATATTGTCAGTTTGCTTTTCCGAAAACATTATACTTAGGTTCTTCAGCTTTTGACATTAAATCGATTTTTCTACTGAAAGTATTACCCGGCCAAAAACGCTTCGAGCCATGTCCGGTTTCGGTCGATTATCGATAAGTCGTAGATCTCACTTCAAAATCTCGTGACATGTCATGTAGAGAGTGAACGGTCTACAGCCTCTGCTCCTTGTTTCGGCACTCCGGTCTGTCATTAGCGTTTTCTTCCTTTATATCACCGCTTTTTTTTAAGCGATCAAAGGGTTCTTTGGAGTGAACTGCGCCGTCTGACATGGAGGAGCTTCAAGCTAAACATCGGAAAGAGCTTCGCGATCTTCAGGCACTGGTGACGCAGAAGAAAAAGTCTGCGTCGAAGAAAACGAGAAAAGGGATTAACGATGAATGCGCACGACTGGAAGCAGAGTTGAAGGAACGACAAGAGCGGGAAATGGCCGAGTTGACCGGCGAGGTTCCAGTTCAGTTGCCGGAGGAGGAGCCTATACCAGAGTCGACAGCTGAGCCTGCGACACAGAATCACGCCTCTTCGACGGATAAATTAGCGAACGGAATATCGTCGCTATCTGTGAGAGATGAGGCGCAAAACACGCAAGCGCCCGGCAAGAAGCGGAACCGGCAGAAGGAGCGTTTGGCGCGGCGAGCAGCAGAGCGAGAGGAGGAAGCCGCGAAAGCGGAGGAGGAGGCAAGCAGCATGCCTGATCTGCGAGCAAAGGAGCAGGAGACTATGGAAGCTGCCATAAAAGCGAAAGGTCTAAAGATGAAGGAGATTAGAGCGGATGGACACTGCTTGTATTCCGCTGTGGCGGATCAGTTGGGCGAACGTCACATCGGACTGTCACCAAGTATCAGACCAGTGATTGCAGAGGGCGAAGAACCGTACAGGACCGTGAGAAGGACAGCGGCAGAGTACATCAAGAAGAATAGAGCAGACTTTGAGCCGTTTCTTGACGAGCCGTTGGAGCAGTACGTTAGGAAGGTTGGAGAGACGAGCGAATGGGGCGGACAGCTGGAACTGATGGCTCTAGCGAAGGCATATGATGTCGATATCTCAGTTTTGGACGGTAACGGAAGCGTACACGAGATTGAAGGCACGCGAAAGAATGGCGCAGAGAGGAGATTGTGGCTTGCATACTATCGACACGGATTTGGGCTAGGCGAACACTACAACAGCTTGCGGCAAGGCTGAACCATGTCCTCATGTAAACTCACCGTGGCTCTTTGTTCTGCGGACTAAGCAGCTTCCCGATGCTTCCAAAGACTGACATGATCCGTCCCTTGGCCTACGGGATGAGAGCGTTCTGCATGCCAACGCGCGATCCTTGTCAGACCGTTAGGGTTGGGAGGGCGTTCCTGTTTAATCACGTAGCCATTTTCGTCATATTCTGGCTCCTCGCCCGGGAAGGGCAGAAGCATCTCGTACGTCTCTGCTCTCATAGCCCAAGGTGGGCCACCCAAGGAGGCCTCCTTGTACAGGGGAAACTCTAGGCAGATCAGCGTACCTCCGGGCGCAAGCAGCTCAGTCATGCGTTTTGACCACGCCGGTCGCAGGTTCGGTGGCATGGCGCATAGAAACTGAGATGATTGTCGAATCAGCCAGTCTTCAACATCTGGCAGCTCGCCTGCAGAAATAGAAGAAAAAACGTACCGTATAGTCATAAATGACATCGAACCCGCTGTTTCCGTCCAGATGGCAAGACGTCTCCCAATCCTTTGCGTAAAAGTCTCCCTGCACAAATTCGACCTTCCCTTTTCCCACGTTCTCGTCCCTCGCCTTGTATTCATCCCTCGTGTCTGCCTCTGGGGCAAATTTCTTCGCGGCCTCTACCGCGTTGCCCACCTCGAGCCCAAAGGCGTCGAAACCGTAAGCAGCGAACAGGTACACGTCATAGCCCTTGCCACAGCCCGGGACAAGAGCTTTTCTGCGAGAGCCATCTTGCTTCAGCGCAGGACCAATGGTGGACCATTTGCTGTCGAGCGTGTCAATCAGCGCAGGATTCGGCGTACCTGTTGTCCCGTGTTAGATGGTCCACGCCAAGTTGTTAGATTAGTGGAGAGTCCATACCTCGATCCCACGGCAGGAAAGATCCATCTTTCCACAGTTCGTCCCAGCGCTCTGGTGATCTGTTGTTCAAGAAGTGCTGCCGAAGCCTCTCACGGGCGTCGATCTCCATGATCGATGAACAGTCCAGTTGGATGTTTGCGAGAATTGTAAGAGGCAGGTCTGGACTAAATAAGGACAAATGGAACGACTAAACATGTCGGTATTTACTGATCAGAACGCGGCCACGTGCCGCGTTACGCTTTAGCTCGACTCTCCTCATCTTAGCCCTCGACCGTTCGTTCAAACATCGAGCTCTTCGGCGTCAGACATGACGATGGCTCTTGACTCTACCCTCAGAAGGTCTGAAGAGCGTACTTGACCAAGATAAGTACATGCCCAGCACGTCCATGCCGCTAATCAAGGTGTCAGCCGCCGAGGTTTTGTTCCCATGCGAAAGCGGCGCTAATTCCGCTTGGCTGCTTCCGCGCTCTCGGGTGCGTTCTCGCCTCCACTCGCAACGACAAACTGAACAAACTCACATTCTCTGAGCCGACAACGGCAAGGCCGGATTCTCGGCACCATTCCCCATGTTCTCATTGCTCAGTGTGGTCGTCGTACGTCCCGTTCTAGCACCAAGTTAAGCATGGCATTCGTCTACGTCTGTGAGGAGGCTGCAGATTCTTGTTCAAGCCTTCCTCCGAGGCCTGAGTGGTAGAAACCCGTCGCCGACCTAGAGCGACCCAGTGTCCATGCCGTCTGCTATACTCCGCACTTTCTTACGATTCTTCGTGGGGAAACTGTTTTGCGCTGACTTTTCGTACTCGCTCTTCGTGTTCTCGTCACGTCTCTGGCCGTCCTGATTCCTTCAGATTTTCATAGCAAGGTTAACGGCCACATTGGGTCAGTGGTGCTTTTTTGGGAACGCGAGACGCTGCTCGCTGTCGTAGCGGACCCTCCACGGCTCTATATCCATCATGGCTTCAGGCTCATGTGCGACCATGGACGGCATCGAAACAAACGACGTGGACACGGAAGGGAAACGCCGCCATTCGTCCACCTCGTCAGCCTCGATTCAGTCTGTCAAGGCTCTCCAAACAGATGTTGAAGCGCACGTAGTAGAACAGCCGAGCTTGTCGCGCCAGATATCCCGGATATCATCCAGATTGACGCCCAATTATCCGCCAAAGGTTCCGCGTAACGAAAGGCGCGGCCTGTTCGCACGCTTTTCGCTCGTGCCCGAAGTCACCCAGCCGGTGCTCTATCCCAGGAAAACAAAATGGGTGATCACTACCATCGTGGCCCTGGCCGCGTTTGCTGCCCCCGTAGGCTCTGCAATCGTCATGCCGTGTTTGACACCTATATCGAAAGAGTTCAAGGTCTCGCCCACCGTCACAAACTTGAGCGTGGCGCTGTACATGCTGTCGATGTCGATATTTCCTCTCTGGTGGAGCAGCTTCAGCGAGACCCTGGGCCGGAGAACGATCTACGTCGCATCCTTTGTCTTGTTCACCTTGTTCTCCATCCTTTCGGCAGTGGCAAGCAGTATCGGTATGCTTATTGCGATGCGGATGCTGAGCGGTGGTGCCGCAGCCAGTGTCCAAGCTGTTGGCGCCGGTACCATTGCTGATATCTGGGAACGACATGAACGTGGCCGGGCTATGGGCCTTTTTTATCTTGGGCCTTTATGCGGGCCTTTGCTAGGGCCCATCATTGGTGGAGCGTTAGCACAAGGACTCAATTGGCGCGCGACGCAGTGGTTCACTGCCATATATGGTGGCGCTATGATTGTCATGATCACCTTCTCGCTGCCAGAGACCTTGAAGGCGCGGAAGAGCTTGATAAAACAGGCCAAAGGGGAAGCAGATGCGGCCATGCAAACCGAGCTGGCTGTGACAGGCGAGGCTGCGGGTGAAAAGACATCGAACGAGCCAAACGTTACTGACAAATCTACGTCTTTGCATCGAACAACGACACGGCAGTCTGTGGCCAAGCACTCGAAGTCTACAATCATTTTTCTCAAGCGAGCTTTTATCGACCCACTCAAGATTATCCTTTTGTTACGCTTCCCTGCCGTCGCCATCACTATTTACTATGCGTCCGTCACATTTGGAGCCCTCTTCTTCCTCAACATTAGCATTGAAGACACCTTCTCCAGGTCCCCGTACAATTTCAGTGTTCTCATAGTCGGCCTCTGCTACATTCCAGGTTCACTAGGGTACTTTATCACGTCGATCTTTGGTGGTCGCTGGTTGGACTACATTATGAAACGGGAAGCGAGGAAGGCCGGCCGTTACGACGCGAATGGAAATTTGATCTTCACACCAGAAGACAGAATGAAAGAAAACGCATGGATTGCTGCCTTCGTTTATCCTTGTGCCCTGATGTGGTACGGCTGGTCGGCACAAGCAAAAGTCCATTGGATCGTGCCAGTATGTTTCAACGACTAAGTTTCTTTCTTTCTTTCTTTTCTCTTTTTTTTTTTTTTTTTTTTGACCTTACATCTGATTCGCCAATAGTTCATCGCCAATTTCTTCTTTGGTAGTGGCACAATGATGGTTTTCACCATGGCATCGACCATGCTGACTGAATTCGTGCCAAAGCGAGCAAGTACCGGTCTTGCCGTTCAAAACTTCGTGCGGAACATCTTCTCGTGCGTAGGAGGCATAATCGCGCACCCAGTTATACATGCCATCGGTAACGGTTGGATGTGCACAATTCTTGGACTTGTATCCTTGATCAGTGGATGTGTCGTTATCTGGTCGATGAAGTCATTCGGTCACAGATGGCGAGAAGAGATGGAAGAGAAGCTCGAGAATTCCTGAGGCGCTGTTAAGGGTGTAGCTTTAAGCGCATAAAGTCGACCAAACCGCTGAGCTCGCAAGTTCTCTGCAGCTGCCGCGGTCCCTGGGTCACACAATCCGACGAATGACCGCTTTGCAGAGGAAAGGCGCTGCCCTTCTCGAAGGACAACAACCAAGAGACCTGTCGAATTGGACGCCTGGCAACGCGGGTTCGCACGATACGAAGCTTCCCAATTGAATGTGATATGGTCGAGTGTAAAAATTGGTAAACGGGAAAGCAATGTAGAGCTGAAAACTCTACTCCATTTGGGGATAACATTGCGTGAACGTGGCAAAACCATGGCCAAAGTAACAGCGAGGGCCTGTGTTTGTTTCTATAGGCTCGCTGCTGAGGAATCTACCCTCTCAATGCAGCAGCAAATCCAAAAAATTCTCCAAAAAAAAGGTTCGATTTCGGAAAGGCTTATTACTCTGAACTTTGGAATCTCGATTTATGTTATCTTTGGCGCTATGTCTTCGTTCTCTTTCCTCCACCTCCACTCTCCTGATTTTTCCTCTTTTTCCCTTCTCGCCGCCAATATTCCTGCTTCTCTCTCTTCTCTCTCTCTGCCCTTTTCTCCATATTTTCTGCAACTTTAGCCCTATACTCAGCTTTTCTCTCCTCTTGCTTCGCGGCCCTTCTAGCCTCCTTATCCTTCCTCAACGTGTTGAGCTGTATCAGCAACTGTCTAGCCTTCTTCTCGTCTCCATCAGCTACCACAGCACGCTTTTGCATATACGTTTGGTTTCTCTGCTTCAACGTAATTGCAGGCTGTGTTTTAAACGGTAGTTCCTTGGCAAGATTTTTGGGGATGCGAAGAGGATTGAAGTGCCGCTCTTGACGCTCAATAGGGCGATATGCCGAATCCTTGTTCAGAGGGGTGGGAATATTTTGTTCGCGGCGTACTTCGCCAGTTAGGCGCATGCTCGTCCAGGCGCCGTCCGCATCCGATCCGAGGAGATTTGTTACTGGATTATAGAAGCGGTGTGGCTTGACAGGATACCAAGCGCGAAGGAATACAATGTCACTCATCAGTAACTTATCTTCGAAGGTAGCACGAAAATGCCCTTCAGGTTTGCTGAGAGCACGCTTTATCTGTCCCCGAATTCCAGAGACAGTGCGTATGCTCGCGCCCTCAAATTTCGCGATTTCGAGCGACGAATTGAACATGTCCTTAATGAACGCCGTGTTCTTGAACACTTTGTAGGGGTAGCCGGTGAGTTTGAGCTTTTTCACTATTTCCACCGACTCGTCAACACTGAGAACGACACCTGTTGCCGCAATACGAAATCCCGGGTTGGAGTTCGAGAAGCTTTGCACGCAGCAAAATGGCGTGCTCGGCGCGATTAAAGGTCCATAAAACGTTCCGAAACAATGCATGTGTTCTGGTGTATATTTCAACATCCGATTTCGAGTTCGCGAATCCGATATGCTGTACACCGGCATTGTTTGAAATCTTCGCCAACCCAAGGAGAATATTAACGGATCATTCGTCTTCAATATCTTCTTGTGCCATCGATGACGCTTGATGCGCACTTGGACGAAACCCATGCGATCCTCGGTTGGTGTCAGACCACCAATCAGAAGTGGCATTCGTGGATTGAAATTCTCAACAAATTCGCAGGGCACGCCTTCGAGGATGATTCGTGCATATGTTCCAGCCTTGTATCCCTCCACGCGTATCCGGGAGTGCTCATCTAGCTGGTCGAATTCGGCGCGGTTAATATCCTGCTGCTTCTCAAGCAGCGCCTTCTGTCGATCATACCATTCGTCCTCTCCAAACTCGTCGACAGCTTCGCCGTGTGCTCGGTCATTAGATTTGTCATTGAACAAGCCTTCTCTGTCTTCCTCTTCGAACCTAAGTTTAAGCTCCTCCTTTTTTCGAGCATTCTTCCTTCGTTCTGCTTCTAGATCATCCTCTGATCTATTCTCGTCTTCATCTCCGTTCTCATCACCTCCAAAGACTTCGCCGGTTTCTAAATCCTCAAACGCTCCATCGCCTTCATCTTCTTCATCTTCTTCGGCTCCGTCAAGGTCAGAATCTTCCTCATCTTCACTATCATCTCTTCTCGATCGTGTACCTCCACTAGCCATCTTGCTTCTCAAGGCTTCAAACTGGTCAGGATCACTCCACTTTTGCTCCAGATATGTATAGTCGAAAGTCTTGAGACTACAATCTTCGTCCAAATCTTCAGTCTTTGGCTGCTTTGCCCGTCTGAAGAAATTTTCTTGATCTTCATCAGATTCGTCAGCTTCATCAATCTCTTCGCCCTTCCATTTTGCCAGAACTTGGCGTGGGGTTAGAGACATATTGTACATCAACCGAGCTAGCTCAGCAGTACGATATGGTCTTTTCTTCCCGTGCATTTGCTGAGCCCTCTGTGCGAGATTCTCTTTCCACCTTAGCTCGCCGTTCTCGTCTTCGTCGTCGTCATCCTCATCATTCTCAATATCCTCGTCACCCGTAGAATCCTCATCATCCTCAATGTCGTTGTCGAATTGTTGGTCCTCAACAGATGATAAAGAGCCAAGGTCGGAGTCACTGTCTGCAAATACAATATCACCTTCCACAGCTCGATCTTGATTCTTATCATTTTCTCGTCTTTCTCCAAAGTTGCTAGGAACTTGATCGTCAGATAGGCCGTCATCAGAATCAAGGTCATGGCCATCGAGCTGGTCGTTATCATCGCTGCCACTCTCATACGCCTCATCTGCAATATCGTCGATGTCCTCTGTTCGTTCGACAATTTTGGCTCGCCGTGGCACTTTCCGGCCGGAGTCCGTTACATCGTCTTCGAGTGATGTGTTGACGGATTTACCATCGGCAAATAGCCGCATTTCTGTATCTGCATTGCCCAACAAGCGCCTCTCTCCCTGAAGACTGATCATGAGCTGTTCACCTAGACCTCGCTCTTCGACGTCATCATCCTTGTTGAGCGTGGCATTTTTCACATCAATATATACAGCATCCTTGTCGACCAGTACGCCACCAACATCGGACATAGGAGCGTACAGCAGCTTCTGTTTTTCACCTAGTCGTTTTTTCTTACTCTTCCCGGTCGCCTTAGCGATAGCTTGGTCTTGGTATGGTGTGGGACATGGATCTGGTAATCCTTCGATCCTCGACACTCTTAGATCACCAACGCCAGGTATATGTACCCTAGCTCCTTCAGCTTGGAAATTTACTCCTCCTCGTAGATAGCCATACAAAGCTACTGAGCGGTCACATTTTTTGTCCTCCTCTATTGTAGTAGGCGGGGTGATGTCGAGGAACCGGTCGGCGAGACAGTAAGGATGCGACTGTCTGAAGACAAGCGGCCGAGGCTTCTTCATTACGGACAGGAATCGTGATAAGTTCAGAATCTCGCGATCAGGATATCTTCCGTTGACGACACCTGAGAGGTAGAACAATTTTGCTCCCTGATATAGCTCACTCCAGAACCGATGCTTTAGTCGTTTCTTCTGTATCTTGAGAGCCTCCTGCTTCTTGAACAAGTCCAGGTGTGTTAGAATACCAAATACGTTGCCTGGCATACCAGTAGAGCTCAAAATATTCAGGAACTCCATAGTCTCCATCTCGAAGCCATAATTACCGTCAATCATAAGCAGCAGTATATCCACGACCTTCGCCATATCCATCATGGCTGCGAGCGAATCTGAAGGGCATTCAAGAAATGTCAGGCGCCTTCTCTTAGATGTGACAACAGTGAGAGGACCTGTAGGCGAGGACAAGGTTTGTTTCGTGTAGCGTCTGATTAGCGATTTAATCAAGGTCGTCTTGCCAACACCGGGGGGACCGACCACGCCAACAATCAGCGGAGGTGGCTCTTCTGGTACACGATCCACCAACGGGACGTGAAATCGCTTTTCTCGCACATCGTGAGAGCGAACGGCCTGTTTGGCGAGCTTGCCTGGTTTTGCGAAGGCGAATGCCTTGGGATTTGGACCGCTGCTCGGCTTTGATTTCTTTTCTTTCGATTTGCGATGCGCTTTATTAGTTTGCTCCGACATAGTGCAAGTATCTTACACCGTGACGAAAAAGCTTTTTATAGCGACACCGCGTTGTCAAGTACGACAATCGTCTGCAACTGTCACAAGATTGGAAAGTTCACAGGTGTGAAGCGACATGGACCAAATTTTTGGCCAGGGTCCTTTGAAAAAGAAATTTGTACCGAGAGATCCTCGCCTAAAGTTGCAGCATTACTCCGATGTTGCTCGTAACGAACTTGTCACTCAGAATTATTCGGGATGTTCTCATTCTAATTACATCACGTTATAATTCGATTCTACCCACAGTTTGGAAAGTCTTGCTTTCGCATCTCGTGCCGACTGTGCTGAAACGGATATGCCTCCAAAAAGACAAAAGCAGTTCTCACACCACGTCAAGAAAAGCAAGGAAGCACAGGTAGCACTATGGAACACAAAACATTGAACATGAACTGATTAGCACCGTTGCAGCAACCGGTATCTGAAACTGAGTTCTTGGAAGCAGCAGATGAATTTGAAGCGTCTGCGGGAAAATGGAAAGCCGGCGACGCGGCTCGTGCTGTGAGATTCTACAATCGAGCAATATCAACATACGATGAAGGTCTGAAGAAGTATCCGAAAAGCTTTGACCTGGCATACAATAAAGCTCTCTTGCTATACAATATTGCGCAAGATAAAAGAATTATGTCCCAAATTGGATCATCGCTTGATATGCTTAAGGAAGCACTTGATGCTCACAAATATGCCTTGTCTATCGACCAGGAGAATGCCGATGTTCTCTTCAATACTGCTCAGGTACTGACAAGTTTTGCGGAAGAGCTCAATGATATGGCGGATGACGAGGATAATGTCAAGTCGCAATGTGTTTCCCTGCTCCAGGAAGCCGTTGAGCTTTTCAACGCTTGTCTTAGTCGACAGGAGATGGAGTATTCAGAAATTCAGGAGCTCATCAGCCAAGGGCCGCAAAATATAACAGAAATTCAAGCAAAATATCCAGAATCCGAAAAGATCTCATCCGATAGCCCGACGATCGAACCTGAGGAATGGGCAACGGTGAAGGAGCCTGTTACGCCAAATACACTAGTTGAAACAGCCCTGGCTCAGCTTGGAAGTCTATCATCACTTGCTACGATATCTGCACCCACATCAAGCAGTTTACTAGCTAATCTGACGGAGATTGCCGGTCCAATTGTGACGCAAAGGTTACCCGGCTATCTTGCACTCTTACCAACCTCGGTAGCTAAAGATCCAAACGAGCCTGATGCACCCCCATTCTTATCTGTATCGTCATCCAGCTCCACATTTCACGCACGAGAGAAATCCGATGATAACAACCCTCAAGCATCTGCTAGAGCAGCAGCGGATCTTGCCATCGCAGTCTTCACTGTTGCTATTGCTGGTGCAGAATACAGAAGCAAGCTTTGCGATATTGTACAGTACTATGAACGAGTTACGCAAGCATTTGCGCCACTATTGATGAACGCAGGCTTGGGTACATATCCTGAAAACTCTCACGTGCCTATCCATAGTGCATATGCCGACGCACTTGTTGAGTTCGCCGAATATGCCGCGAAAATGGAGGATCAAGACCCAAGTCCCGATGCTTTGGCACGACGTTGGACAGCCCTGGAGACTGCACAAGCACAATTAACGGAGGCAACAAACAAATTGCCCGATGTATTACCAGCGGAGTCTCCTCTACCGACCAAGGCAGAAATATATTTTACTCGTGCTAACGTCGAACTTATGCGAAGACGTCTTTCGCAGGCACCCTCGGCCTCGAGCGCAATCAAAGCGAATGAAAAAATTCTGCTGAAAAATGCAGGAGTGTACTATCGGGGCACTGCTGCTCTGGCAAAGCGAGACGGCAATGCTGAACTGGAGAAGGACGCGAGCGAAAGAAACAAGATCATACAGGCGTTAGAGCAAGGGTTGGTCAAGGACTCTGTGACTGCTATTAAGGAATATTTCGAGGCCCAGGATAGCTCAGATATAGCTGCTATAGCCGACGAAATGGCTGAGGACGATCTCCTGTTCAACGACAGACAAGCCTAAGTGCCAAAGAGAGAACAATGCTTAGCTCGCCCGAGAAACCATGTCAAAGCTGAACTGATCTCACGAATACCTGAGTAATGGGAAAAGTGAAGGAAACGATGGGCTGCAACGCTTTGCAAGTGGATTCGTGGTTCAGCCAAGTTATATATTTAGTATGGTTTTAGGTGGTCGTGCAAGAGTTGGCATCGTGGCTGCCGTGGTACGGTTGTGGCACGGAGCCGCTGACGACATTGTGCTGTAAAAAGCCTTACCTGCCGCTCTGAGTTGAGAATTTATTGTTTCGATTCAATTAAAACGTGCTGTTGACTTGAAGCTTGCGAATTACTGGTTGTAATATATATATGGTCCGATTCTCGATCCGAATAACGGCTTTGTTTCGGTGAAAACCAGTCTAGTTACCCGGAGACCGCCGATCATGTAACTCAACACAAAGTGAACTGAAGGTCGTTAGGCAACTGACTTCACTGACTGGATGAAAGCAGAACGAAATGCCTCAACTGCAATTGAGCCTCGTTTCTTACCGTGCCCTGCCGATGCTGGTAGAGATTTTTTGGGAACTAAGTGAAGTCGTCAGCAAAGATGATCGCTGCAGTGGCCCGTGTAGGTGTTTCCGCGGCATGACGATCTTTTTGCCACCAGATACTGGTCGTCGACGGACTTTTGCAGAAGAAAGTTCGGCTCAAAACGTGGTTAAGAGCAACATCCAATGGACTGAACTCGCTTCGGGTAGGCACTCTTCCCGTACACAAGTGAGGGTTGAATTCGCACGACAAATGCCAACCCAGGCAATGATTCTATCTTCTAAATCCAATAAGTACGCCTCCCTGTTCTGGAAGTTCTTTGACTCAGCGGCATTAAAGATAACGTTAACTTACCTTTTGCATCACGTGCCGTTTTCCCAATCGACACCCTGCATCTACCATACCCCACACAACCTTGCTACCAAAACCAGTCTCCACTTCGGACTCTATACCGCACCGTACTGGAGAGTTTGCCTTCAGACGACGACATTTACTCTTAAAGCAGTGATCGTCAAGCTTCATTTGCTGAGCCGTTTATTGACCAGAAACGTGCCGTGAGAACCGACGGAAACGGAGTGCCATTCGCCCAAGAAAGTTTTGCCATCCAAAAATGTCAGGATATGACGGAAAGCCACAATTCCAAGAATGAGAGTGACCATGCTGGACTTGCCCCACCCGAGAGCGTCGCCGTTCAAGTATGCGCGAGTTCTATGGGATGATCGGAAATATTAATAATGAGTATTCCGCGAGTGAAGTTCCGCGTCATGCACCTAATGTGATCACTCACGGTGGACCGCCAGAAGCACAAGCGCAAGGAACGACGCAGGTAATGAAATCAGCCTCGCACTTAACCGCTCGGAGGCAAAATCAGCCTCACATTAAACAGCGGTCGCAAGCAATTTTTGTACATTTATTCCTGCGCCAAGCCCTGCCGCCGGTTCGGGTCACTTGTCCCTGCTCCGAACAAATGCTGACATACATATTATTCGCAACGATGTCCGAATAAGATGTTTTTTAGATTTTTGAAGATATGCCACCGGCTACCAAAAGAAACAAGCCGGCCAAAAGTGATGGCGTCAAAAAGGCCGTCCCGAGAGTTCCACGTGCTTGTGACAATTGTAAGGTTCTCATCGGCAATCCGGATGCTATGTCGTGCTAATTTTGGGCCACTCACGAAGGCCGACTCCGCAAGTCAAAGTGTGACGGCCTCCTTCCGTGCTCCTTCTGCCAACAACACGATTCAGGTACGAGCTCAAAGTCTGTCTGCTTGCAGACCTTCGGATTAATGCCTGCTAGAATGTACGTATGATGAAAGTCGCCCAAAGAAGCAGCTAGACACAAAGTATATCGTGTCTTTGGAGCGAACTGTCGAGCGTTTTAAGGACATCCTTGGTATCCCTTCTGATGTCGAGGTCACCCCAGAAGTCCTAGACGAGTACGATATCAGTCGCTTGGGACAGCTCAGCAGACAAAATTCTTCTCTCCATAGCGTTCACCATGTCGCAACGCAGACTTCTCCACCTGGAACTCCGCAGGGTGAATCTCCGGTGGCATGTACGTTGCTCGAAAGCATGGTGGAGGCAACTGGGCGGCTGAATATCGATGAGGATGGAAACTACGACTATAGTGGAAGTAATTCTGGCCTTCTTCTTGTTGAAAGGATACGGCAAAGGTGCGACCAGCTGTTAAATCGTCGGTACGGATCTGGCCCCAATGCTGCGCAGGAGCGAAGATCGCCAGCAGGAACATCGTCTCGTTTATTGCATCGTCCAAGCTCTCGGCCAAGATCGTTGACTGCTTTGCCATCATGGGACATTGCGGTCTTGTATACCAATGCTGTCTTCTCGGAGGCATTCTCGCTATTCAATTTCATCCATCGTCCGTCTTTCGAATCTCGGCTGCAGCTGTATTATTCTGCTCGCAATGCAGGTCTAGAACCTACACTCGAGGATACGAGATTCGAAGCGTTACTTAACGCTATGTTTGCACTTGGGGAGTTATTCAATGCCGCAGGCGATTCATCTCAGGCGGGCTCGGCAGCACGCGAAGCAAGATCGTAGGTGAGATCACTGAGAAACGAGCATGTTTTTAATTGGTATATGTAGTGAACAGTTCTTCGCTGCGGCTCAGCAATCCCTCGACTTGACGGACTGTCGAGACACTTTGTCACTCCAGGCCTTGCTATGTTCGATTATTTATCTGCAAGGCTCTGGACAAATACCATCTTGCTATACCTATCTCTCACTGGCCATGACTGCAGCAGTTCGAATGGGCATGCACAGAGCTGATTCTCTTAGCAAATTCGACCCTCTGGAGCGAGAAGTGCGGAAACGCATATTTTGGACAATTCGAGCCATGGACAGCTATATCACTACAGTGCTAGACCTGCCTCGAACTTTACGCGATGACGATACGGACCAAGCATATCCCGTTGAGCTCGATGATGACGCTATCACTCCCCAAAATATTGGACAACCGACTGCTAGCTCAATTTCTTTGATGTCGTCGGTGAATGCACATACAAAGTTGAGCTTGGTTTTGGTTAAGGCGAAGAACATCACTTCGGGCGGTAACGATGGAGAACATAAGCTGAACAACCGGTATCAAGTTGACTATGCGAAAATTGTTGAGGCAGAAAAGGATCTGATTGAATGGACGTCACATCTGCCAAGCTACAACAAACTCCCGGAGCCTGTTCCAAAGGATATTGAGAGGGAAGTGGAGCCGCTTCATGTGAGGAGAACCTTTGGCTAACGATCTCTGAAGGGCACAAATGTTGCTTCGAGTGGCTCACGGCCATGTGCAGATGGTACTCTATCGGCCATTCCTCTACCACATAGCTCGGAGAAATGCAGATGCAAATTTCGATTATCGCGCATTTGCTTGTGCATCGGCTTGCATCAAAGCCGCGATGCAAGTGGTGTGGCTTGTACAGGCTTTAGACAATGCTCAGCTGCTTAATGGCCCTTCCTGGCTTTTATTTTTCACATTATTTATGGCTGTGGTGATCTTGACATTGTTTGTAATCACGAATAAGGACGATCCAACAGTACACGAATACTATTCAGCGGCTCAAAGAGGCTTTTTGATTCTTGATCGATTCGCATCCTGCAACCAGATGGCGAGAACCTACGCCGAAAGCTTAAGGGCAAGTACTCCGCAGGATTGAGGTTTTACTCCAATACACGGCATGCTGACTTCGTACAGCCACTCTTCTGTGATACATCTACTCGGTCGAGCGCAGAAAACGCATTAGACATGACCCTTACGTCCCCAAACACTTTGAATCCCTCTACTACGATTCTCAAGTCATCCAATTCCAGCCATCAGCGCAATATCTCCTCAACTTTGCGAAACGGTGCTCTACACGACGTATTTCTTGTATCGGCAGCCGAGCCGATGATGGACATTACCTCACGACCGGCCGCAATCAATATTCCTCCTCTTCATCTATCCGCGACAGAAGATCCATCGGCAGAACATGTGTATTTGCAAGCAATGAATTGCACGCCTACAAACTTCTTTGAGGGTTTCAGCAGCGAGACGGCAATGATGGATTACTTCTCATGGCATGAACAGGATCAAAGTGAAGCGGCCAGTGGCTTTCAGTTTCAATGATACCCAAATTTGGATGGAAAAAGGATGATGCGAATTGACAGCCTCATGGAACACTATATGGTATCTAGCCCGCATGAACATTAAAGCAGTTCTTCTCAATGAATGATATGCATGACCTCAACTGTCGAATCTTTGTGATGTAAATTTGGGCTTTAGATGATCGCTTGAGTTATGATACAAAATTCCTATGCTTTGCAGATTCTGTAACACAGCTCAGAAGCACTGATCACGCTAAGACAAAATAGGACATCCCCTTTTAGCAAACGTGACATTTAAGCCCAATTTGTGTTGTCGGCCTCTTTCGAAAATGTCGTTTGTTCTTGATGCTTGAGCTTGCTATCAAGTGATCTCAAGCCAGTAAGACATGGACTCGAACACGCTTCACGCAGCCGAGATCCGGAAGCTGCACAATTACAAGGAACTGAAGCAAGCCCACGTCAGCAATTTAACCGGAGGATCAATATGGGAGGTTAACGAAGTTACGTTGGTTTTACCCGTAAGTTGTCAAGTCGGGACTCGGATTGATTCCCAACTTAACGTTCTGGCGTAGGTCGCCGTTTTCACATGGTCCGTCTTGCAGGCAAAGTTAAACTTCTTTTCGCCATATACTGCTGCCGCCGCCTTCACGGACTTCGCCATCAACTGTGCGGCAATATTGTTCTCCATCACCGTCTATGCTAACGAGCCCCTTCTTTTGTGTGCATTCCTGCTCTCACCAGCTGTTTTGATCTATCTGACATCTAAGGGCAAGCCCGGAGCCAAAATCAACACGATAGCGACGAAGCCGTCGCAGTCCGCCGAAGGCAATGCATCAGAATCCAAAGTTGAATCTTTCCCGATAAAACCCTTTGTAAGCATGTACAGAGGCCATATGATGATCATCACCTGTGCTGCCATTCTGGCTGTAGATTTCAATATCTTCCCGCGGCGTTTTGCGAAGGTAGAGAGCTGGGGAACGTCGTTGATGGACATGGGTGTTGGCTCCTTTGTCTTCTCTGCGGGACTCGTGTCTCCACGTTCCATCCTCAAAGCTCAACGCACTGGCAAGACGTCGCCCCTGTTGGTGCGATTGAAGGACTCGATTCGCCATGCATTTCCTTTGCTCGTTCTTGGACTCGTCCGCTTATATAGTGTAAAGGGGGTCGACTATGCCGAACACGTCAGCGAGTACGGGGTTCATTGGAATTTTTTCTTTACGCTGGGCTTCATACCCCCTTTCATGGCTCTGTGTCATACAGCATACGCATTTGTGCCATCGTTTGCCCTTCTCGGGCTGCTCATCAGCGTCGCGCATGAGCTCGTCTTGGATTTCACGAACCTCAAGGTCTTCATCTTCTCGGCGCCTCGCGTGGACCTGATCTCTCAAAACAGGGAAGGCATCTTCTCGCTCTTCGGTTATCTCGCAATCTTTCTCGCCGGCCAAGATGCGGGCATGTACGTGCTCGCCCGAGAGCACGCCATCCCACTGGGAAGCAGCCTTCGAAGCAGGAGCGGCCTTCTGCAACTTCAAAAGACGATCATCGGAAGGTTGATCACGTGGACAATCGTCTGGACTGCACTTTTAACACTCTGCCTCTCTTACCAAGGCTTCAACTTGCGCGTTTCGCGCCGTTTGGCGAACCTGCCGTATTTCCTCTGGGTAGCCGCGTTCAATTGCGGTCACCTGGCTCTCTGCGCTATTTCCGAGGCGATTTGCTTTCCAAATCTCTATAGCGAGCGCGACATTCAAGCTGAGCGGAAGCGATGCCTGTCCGCCACCAGCCGTTTGCTGCACGCGGTCAACCGCAACGGGCTGCCAATCTTTTTGCTCGCGAACCTTCTGACAGGCGCCGTCAACCTGACAATGCCTACCCTTGACATGAAAGGAACGGAGACCATGGCTGTTCTATTAGTCTACATGGCCACAATATGTGGAGTCGCGCTGTTCCTAGATGCGAAAGACATATCTATAAAGTTTTAGAATAGTTCAATGCACAATGCGTCTACGTTGAACAATCATTACTTTCTTTCTCATTATACCTTCAGTCCTGCCGAAATGTGGTGCCTATCATTCTAAGTAACAATAACATCAGAAGCGAGGACAGAAAAAGGAAAAGAAGAGGGCAGAACAAGAATGTCGGCTATACTCTTCTCGCAATCTACACTGTGTTTAACGCCTTGTGAATCTAATTTTTTTTTTTCTTGCGGACAAGGAAATCAACCACATGCACCACCACCCAGTCGTTTCGAGGGTATAATCATCATGACTGATCCGCAACGCCGGCATCCCGATCCAAGCCTGAACAATCCTTCTCCCGCATGTAGTTCGTAGTCTAGAATCTGGACGAACATTGGAAGAACACTATTAAAAAAGCATTCAAAATAGGGCAGACAGTGCCCATCCGATAAAACCGCGAAGAAAAAAAATTCGAGGCGTCGCCTTTTGAGCATTCCAGCTCGTTGCCCGATCCCAAGGTCATATCTTCTTCTATCTACCAGTGGCATCTGAAGAGATCCCAAAGAGGAATCCGAGCTCTCTGACGCCGAGTCTCGCTAGACTCTTGCCCGCATTTTCATCCAATGCAGTGCTGATGAGCTCACGTTTCTGGTCCTGCAATTGCAAGATGCGGTCTTCAACAGTATTTGGAATGACGATGCGATATACATTGACCTCGTTCTGCTGACCGATACGATGAGCGCGGTCGACTGCCTGTTCCTCGATGAAGGGATTCCAGAACGGGTCAAGAATGATGACTTGCGAAGCGCAATTGAGGTTGAGACCGGCATTACCTGCTTTGAGCGAGATGAGCATGACCCTGATATGAGGTCTTGTCCTAAAGTCCATCACGGCATCATCGCGATCCTTCGTGCTCATACTGCCATCGTAGCGCCGATATTCAATACCGCGGTCCTTGAGAGGTACTTCAAGGAAATCAAGAAAGGATGTAAACTGGCTAAAGATGAGAATCTTCTCCTTCGGCTTCGTTTCGTGCAGTCGATCCAACAATTCAAGTGTCTTGTCAATTTTTGCACTTGATTCCCAGGTCTTCTTGAGACGACGGATATACTTCGCCCAGGTTTTCTTGTTACGACGGCCTTCGTTACGAAGCTGAGCCAGGGTCTTCTTGACTTTCTTTTCTTTCCCCTTGCTCTTGACCGTCTTTTTGCGTCCTTTCTTGCTAGTTTTGGCCTTGGATTTGCGCTCGCCACTCGAATCAGCCTCCTCCTCGTCATCTTTATTTTTGTCACTTTTGACCAGAACAAAGCCGTCGGAATCTGGCTGTTCCTCTTTTTCCTCCTCATCGTCGCTATCATCATCATCATTCACAACGAAATCCTTCAGACTATCGCTGGAGTCGTCATCGGTGTCCGAGTCCGAATCCGACACGTCTTCATCTTCTGAATCATCCTCGTCATCATGAGTAGCCTGCTGATCCTGCGGACATTGTTCGGGAAGATGAACTTTCTTGAAAGAGAGGTAGTCGATCACTCGCTTCTGGTCGAATCTCTCGCGACACTCCGGACACTTGAGATCCGGCTCCATTTGAGACGTCGCGTTCATTGCGAGCGAGGAGAGGCAATCGCTGTCGAGATAGTGGCCGCATGGGAAGAAAATTATGGGACCAGGATCGGGAATAGCATCAATGCAGATTGGGCAGGTAAAGTTCCCGTCTTGTTCTTTCAAGCGGCGGACAACGCTCGGGGATAGCTTCTCGGCCAAAGCAAGCATATCGGTCTTGGAAGTCTCGACTGCCGAATCACCAACGACCTCCGTGGCGAGGACAGGGTGGTCGCAAATCTGTCGCAACCTGAGCAGTAATGATAGTATGTGACTGTAGTTGCGCATTACTGCTCCTGCTTTGAGGTACTTGTTAAAGATGTTGGCCGATCTTTTTTCAATAGCAGTGTAGAAATCCATCTGATCTTTGTCAAACTCTTTCGTAATCACCTCGTTGGTGCGCGGTTTCAACGTGATGATGGGCTTGCCATCGAGCTTTGTGCTCTTCGTCCGGCGGAGCATGATCCCGCGAATCAGAGCTTGAAGCTTACGCATAGCATCTTGACGTTCGAGCTCGTTGCGCGAACTTAAAGGGTTACTGATGTCTGAACGGAAGCGGTTGATATCGTTGTAAGGTCGTAAACGGCAAAATCGAATCAGGGGCCAGAGTTCACCCACATTGTTCATCATCGGCGTTCCCGTCATGCACCAGCGATATGTCGATCGGAGTTCGAATGCAGCCTTTGCTGCTCCAGTGTTCCTGTTCTTGATGTTCTGAGCCTCATCAAGAATCACGCGGTACCAAAGACAGTCATCTCCAAGCAAAGACATCTGCTCTTTCTTGGACGGCCTAGCATTTGGCTCATGCTTCAGCACTTCATCCCAGTGTATCTTCTTCTTAAGCTCGGAAGTCAAGCTGCCATACGTTGTGAGGACGACATCGTACTGCTTCAACTGACTGAAAGTTTTCTTCCGTTGACTGTGATGTATGAAGACAGAAAGAGCCTTGACGGGCTTTATCTTTTCCTTGATCTCAAGCTCCCACTGGCGAAGAAGTGCCACTGGGGCGACGACCAACGTTGTTTTTTGGGCTCGATCCTCGGAAGGGCGTGAAACGATCAAGGCGATAGCTTGTATGGTTTTTCCAAGGCCCATGTCGTCAGCCAGAATACCGCCCTTCGCGGTCGTTGCTTCCTTTTCTTTCATCCAAGTAAGGCCAATCTTTTGATGCTCCATCAATGGAAACTTCATTGCATCAGGAGTACCTTCGCGTGCTTCGGGCGGGAGGTCGGCGCCTGTAGCGATTTGCTCGATCAGTTCCTTGATCTCTTCCGCACTCCGTGTAGGATCGTTGTGGAGAAAGCCGTACTGGTCAGTGCCGTAATCATCGTCGTAATTGGAGAGATCAACAACGTCCCGATGAATCAACGACCGAGACATGTCAGGATTGTACTGTGACCCAAACAAGCGAGGCTGCTGTAGGCTCGAAGAATGTCCATAGGTGTTTACGCCACCAAAAACGCTGTCATCAGAAAGGTCCAAACCACCCGGGAAAGCGCCAGGCATGCTCGCAATATTAGCTATAGCCTGTCGAACGCCAACAGATCGTGGATCCCTGGCCATGAACCCATGTCGGTTTTGCGGTTGCGAGGCGGACTGCGACCGTACAGAGGCCAGGACAGGATTCGAGAACGGAGAATCAGACGACGAATATGAACTGGTATAGCCACTGGCTCCTCGAAACGAATTCTGGTCTTGCGTACCGAATCTTACAGTTTGAACTGGGCCTGACTCTTGCCGGTGCATCGTTGATCGACTTAGTCCTCGTCGCCGAGCCGAAGCCAGAAATTGCTCCTCTCCAATTTCCTCGAGTTCTGAATCGCTGTCGACCTGTATAGACGCCTGGCGCATGTTGTCTTTTGATGTAGAAGGAGTGGGTAATGCCATATCTTTCGACGAACCAAAGCTTTTCTGCTTAATCGAATATGAAGTCGAATCCCCCGGTAGCCTCTCTGGACCTTGTTTGAGCAACTTGTTGCCATTCTGTGAAGATACACGTCGGAACGTGCCGTCTTTGTTCAGCACGGTCTGCGAAGAAGATTGGCTCATTGGCGGGCGTTGCACAGGCAGACCTAAATTGTAAGAGTTCGCGATCTGAGTGTCGCGAAGAAGCTGACGCTGCTTCCGTTCTACTTCCGCAGCAGCCTGCCTCTGACGCTCGAGGAAAGAATTACTGACCGAACGAGAAGCGAACGGGGCCATGTGTCTACTTGGACCAGGCCCGAGGTCAGAAGTTGAAGGGTCTGGTAAGATGTCCGAGCCTGGGGTCTGCGGAGTGGACTCTCCTGGGCTTGGAGTAGCTCGTTTGGGCGCAGAGAATAAGGTTGGAGAGGACGAGAGCACGTCAAGCGGTCGCTTTCGCGAATTGGTGTCTACTGTGTACGTGCTCATGCCGTTTTTGGGCCACTGGGGTATTTGTTGTTGTTGTTGCGGCGTTGTTGGCCTCTCGGTACGTGCTGGATTGAAGTATTGTTAGCTTCGACGACGAAGTTACAGTGGCAGAGCGGAGATGAAGTTGGAACTGGGTATCAGGTGCTGTATGCCCAAGGCGTACACGCTTTTCGATGGCGAAAAGGAGAGTATAAGTACTTTGGTTGGCAAGAAGCGAGACTGGTAGTTTGAAGAGCTCCGGCGAACTTGCTGCTAAGCACATTGAATGTGGGGAGTAACTGTTGCGTTTCGCTTTCTACTGTGGCGCGAGATATCTAGTCTAAGGATCTGTGTAACTCACCATGTGTCGCGGTATTGTCAATCATCGCAGCAGAGCTAGTGACAGGCCAAAGTGCTTCCTCCATATCGCCAGTCCAGGTTGACGGGGGGGGCATACTCGGAAAGAACTGTTGCGAAGCCGCTGATGAATGGAAACCTGAATTCTGATCTTCCTGTACTCCAAGGAGAGACTCAATGTGCGCGATCTTTTTCATGTGTTGTTCCATCAAGTCGTCGTAGTCGTAAGATTCTGGGTCCATTGTCTCAACCAGCAGCCTTGTGAATTGCAGTTCATCTTCGAGCACTGCCCGTGGAGTGTCTGGCCCTAGCTCTTCAAGCGAGGCCATATTTTCACTGCCTCGACCACCGCCGGTGAATTTGTAACAGGCTGAGGGTCGTTTTCCGTCGCCTGCAAGTGGCGAGGGGTAGGTCTTGCGCACTCAAGTCGACTTGAGACGTGGAGACGGGCGGAATCTTCGAGACGCTCATTAGCAAGGAGACAAGTAGTCGAACGGGACGTAGTCGAGCACTCGGCTGCTGTTCAAGCGGATCGAGTTATGGCAGAACGAACAACCTAGACCAGGCTGAGAGCGAGAGGCATACACCAGGACTGGGTTAGTGCAGATCCGGCGGTCAGCAGGCTCAAACTATGTTTCTACAAGGCTACATGTGGGGGCCATGAGGCAAAGAAGCCCCCAAAGAAACAAGAAAGTCTATAAAAAAGACGAGACAAGTGCCCGGCCACGTTGGCGCTTGATTGTTGACGCGGTCGCCGAACGCCCGTGGAGACTCGCATCGCAAAAATCATGATTGCCCTTCTTGGACTAGCGTATTCTTCTGCCATCTTTCTTCAAACGCAATGCTCACAGAGAGTTTCTGCGGACCAGTATTGAGAACATCTTTTTGTTTCTTGAGTTGACCACATGGGGTATGACCAAGGACCGAAGTGGTAAAACCATGAAACTCAATTCATCAAGCCAATCCACTTGTACCTTCACTTGGTCAAGTGTACTATGGAATGCATGACCTGAAGTGAACCCTCGCTCTCCAGTGTCTCCAATTGATTCCACCAATATACACATACACATGCGAGTTGAGTTTAAGTGCAGAAGGCAGAATGTCTGAAACGCTATCCACCATAATCCTTGCGCTTTTACACTACTTCCGTTTTCTAAGTTCCGTTGCCATCGCCAGAAGATTCGCGATTTGTTGACGTGATTCCCCTCTATCAGTGAAACAAGCTTTTCTTACCAGCTACGTACATAACGTATCGTTTCTGCGTCATCCAGCGAACCAAGAGGAAACAAAGGATTGCATTCTCCGTCGTCTGGACTAAAAATGAAGTCGAAACTGCTGTTACAGCTGTCCTGCTTAGCCTCTGTACTTTTGCGCTGCACCACCAGATTTTGCTGTTGCTGAGAATCAGCTGACGACGGGTACACTGTATGAAAGTTCGAGAGAATCTGCCTCGGACGGAAGGAAGCCATGGAGTGCGCAAAGCGTCATCGAATATGGGCATAAAGCCGGCAAAGCACAGAACGAGTCGTCCTAGTTTCCGTCTGGCATGACCGGAGAATGGACCATCGATATCGACCACCTGCGTATGCCCCCTGGGCTGCGGAAACGCCTCGAGGCCATCGAGACGAGAGACCACGGGGCCAGATACGTGTGTACGGCGGCAGGGCGTGGTCATATCTACTTTATAGACCCGTTCCCCCACGAGGGCGAGAACTATGTCTACCACCTCCAAACGCAGTGGAAGCTTACGTATCCCAATCAACTCAAGGGCAAGATCAAGAAACAAGGGTTTATCGTGTTGGACAGACCACGTGGCATGGGCTGCGAGGTATGGGATCCTTTGTTCGCGGTCACAGAGATGGGCGTGAAGCGCGGATCGATCGAGCTGAACTGGTCAGAGAGTCACGACACGGTCCTGAAGTATCACACGAAGCCTTGGGTCATGAACGACTTCGCGACGTTGCACTTAGTCTTAGAGGAGACGTATCCGGCGCTTGAAATTACCATGACCGTCGTCGGCAGTTTCCTCCTGGCAGGTGTTGTGGCCACCGCTTCCTGAGTTGGACTCCAGTGGGCTTGCCGTCACCTCGGATGGACGCACGGCAATGCCGATTACTGGCAATGGAGAAGGCGGAGCATGAAATCGGGAGCTACGGAGCTTAACTAAAGTGATCGCTGGTCAAGGGCCCGGGGACGAGGGAACAGGAAGTTTTGGTGGTTGCATAGTCCCTGTAGATCGCCTGCTTTGAGCCTTCTTGTTCTGCAGATGGAAAACATATGCAGCAATCTGCGGACTCACTTTTTTTGTGCAAATGAGAGATGGTATCTTCGGCTCCGAGGCGTGCGAGGTGGGAGTAGACATGGCCACAAATAGATGCACCTTCACAATTTTCTAGACTAGCTAACCGTTTAACTAAACGTATGCTTTGCTTCCGATTCGGTTGCGTAAGTGGAGAACTGCTCGACCCAAAGGAGGACCGCACATCTTACCTGCAGCCAACAGTACTTGAGACGACGGCTAAACAGCTAGCACCGGAAGCGACGCTTATCGGCGTGCAGCACCCGCGTTGCAGCCCCGTGAAAGAACATGTCAGACCCTGCGTCGACTTCCAGCAGCATGACAGCGGGCTCTAAGCAGGACTCGGGTCCGATGAGGCTTCCCTCAAACGCCATTGAGGAGAGATGAGAACGTGAACAGATCTGGGGAGATGCGGACGACGACGGCACTGGACGAAATGGCGGCTCAACAGGACCGCGCCTGTGTGTTCTGCAATAATCATGGCGCGAGGATTTGATGAAGGATGACGAAATAAAGCCCAAGCTACAGTACAAGCAGAAGGCCACGGGTCGTGTTCACGGACGGCGGCGTGGGGAAAGGTTAAGCATCGCCACGGCGCGAAGTGGAGCGCTCAGCCAACGGTGTGCACAACGATCTCCAGACCCTGGAGGGTGGTGAGGCGGCGTAAACATGACGGAGCGCTGGCTGATCTTCGGCGGATGTTTCAAGTTCGTTGTGCAAGGCTCTGAGCTGCAGTGGATTTACATAAGTCAGGCTACGCCGTGATGAGCTGGTCCATGTCGAGTGCTGGGACGAGGGAGGCGGCCCTCAGCCGAGAGGCCCACGCACGTCAACCGCAGCTCTGGGCGCGTCTTCTTTGCCCGGAACTACATGGCGGCGGCGACAGGCATGAGGCACAGCCTGTGCCGCCGTTCTGCGGTTCGGTTTTGGCTGCAGACGGTGCTTTGGAGTGTGCGCAGGCGAGGCGTGCGCGAGCAACGGCGCTGGCGATGGTCACCGCACGGCGAGAGGGTGATTGCGCTCGCTTGCTGTCGCCCTCCCAGACCCACCGTCCGCCGGCTCCGGGCCAGCACAAGAGAGCTGAGGTCAGTCTGGCCTCGAGCGAGTGAGCTGTTCGCTTGGCTGGTAAATTGACTGGACTGCTGCCGTATGGCGAGCGGCAGTCACGGGACAGACCATGTGTCTGGCAGAAAGCACAAGCGCGTCAGCACCGAGTCTGCATTGCCACTCGACGTTCAGATGGACGAGCAAAGTGACTCCGCGCCGCCGTGCTGCTCCTGTTGCTCGACGGCCAGCAGGCGGACCAGCTGGCCGTCGAGTGAAGCTGTGCGGCCGTGAAGCGTGAAGTTGTGAGGCCGTGAAGCCGTGAAGCCGTGCAGCGCAGCGCAAGCGAGCCGCTTGTCTCTGAACGGCGATGCCACCGCATCCCCCCATCGCATCGACACCACGCCCGGTTGGTTGGCGACGTGCAAGATCGACGCTGTGCGCTTCCCATTCGGATCAGCCCCCGTGCGACGTCGTGCACATCGCACACCAACGGGTTCCCAGGCCCTTCGGCGTGGAGCGAGGATGTGCTCTGCTCCAGCGCCCGTCGTGGCCGCTCCTGGGCCCACGAACTGGCTCTATCCAACACGCCCGGCCGCTCCTTTGATGCCGAAATTGCCCACGGCCGTGTCGAGCGCGCGCAATCTTAACCACGTCGCTCGCCCAGCAGCCACCGCCGTCATCTGCACATCGTCGCGCCGTGTCCCCCTTGCTAGCGGTGCTAGTGCCGGGCTTCGAACAGCCATCGCGCGAGCCAAAACCTCCTTTGTTCGTCCCTACAGACCCACCACCTCACGCCTCCGCCGCACCGGCTGCGTGCTGCACCGCTTTCACCACCACGCCCCTTGGCTCTTCATCGGCTTCCCTTTCGACTCTTGCGCTTCCGCCGTCGTTTGCTCGTGTATCTCGGCGTCCGCCATCCGGTCTTTCCTCGCCCTCCAACCGCCAGCGCCTTACTGCCCTGTCGGCGAATGCATGATCCCTCCAGCTTCCTCCGCATCCCTGTAGTCGACCTTCCACGGATGCACCACATGCCCATGGTCTAGACTGCGACTTTTGCCTTCGTCGAACCTGCAACCACGTCGCAAGACGTCCGCCGAGATGCCTTCCAGCGAGACGACAGCCGCGCTGGCTGCCATCCTGTCGAACATCGCCAAATCACATGATCCGCGACAATCAGCCTCATTCAAGGCTCAGATTGCTGTCAATGGCAGCCCGCTACCGCAGCCTGTCCTCCCGGGCGAGCCGTCGCCCGAGAAGGAGACCCTCGAACGTGAATTAGCGGCCCTGATAGCCCGCGTCAGCTATCTGGAGTCTCGCGCTGCTAATTCGAGTGCGTTCCCAATGACTCCCTCCGAGCCAGGCTTACCACCAGTATACCCCACAGATGCGCTGCACGACCCTCCCAGAACCACCTCGATACCCTCGACGCGACGTGTGTCGGCCGCACGAGACTCAAGAACAAAATGGATGAACGAGTGGCTGGCCGAGGAGCCGACCGCGGGTGCTCCTCTGTCCCCACAGCTCACAGAGGAGCAGCTGAGCTACATCAAGGAGCATCTCAACAGGCAATCGGACCAGTTGCGTACCCAACGCGAGCAGATCGACGATTTGAGCGCCCAGATCTCGACTCAGAAGCAGGCGCACGACAACTCGTTCGCGCACAGCATCGAGGACATCGGCGCCCTGAAGCGAGAGTTGGTCAAGCATCAACAGGCAAACCTAGCGTTCCAAAAGGCTCTACGGGAGATTGGCACCATCATCACTGCCGTCGCCAACGGCGACCTAGGCAAGAAGGTTCTCATCCACGCAAAGGAGCTTGATCCGGAAATCGCAACGTTCAAGAAGACCACCAATCGCATGATCGATCAGCTACAGGAGTTCGCTTCGCAGGTCACACGCTTGGCAAGGGAAGTTGGTACCGAAGGTCAACTCGGCGGTCAGGCGTATGTGCCGGACGTGAAGGGCATCTGGGCCGAACTTACCGACAACGGTGTGTGACATGCACTCCTCTCAAAGCGTGTGGAGCAAAAGAAAAAGAAAAGAATCGACTGACACAACTTAGTGAACTTGATGGCTGAAAATCTCACGAACCAAGTCCGAGAAATCGCTCAAGTGACTACAGCCGTCGCGCACGGAGACCTGAGCAAAAAGATCGAACGTCCCGCCAAAGGCGAAATCTTAGAGCTCCAGCAAACGATCAACACCATGGTTGAGCAGCTTCGGTCGTTTGCCACAGAGGTCACTCGAGTGGCTCGCGACGTCGGCACGGAAGGTGTGCTCGGAGGGCAGGCTCAAGTTGCCGGGGTGCAAGGCATGTGGGAAGATTTGACCATCAGTGTGAACGCCATGGCAATGAATCTTACCACGCAAGTCCGCGACATAGCTGAGGTCACGACGGCCGTTGCAAGAGGAGACCTTCAGCACAAGGTGCAGGCGGACTGCAAAGGCGAGATTCTGGAGCTGAAGACGACGATCAATTCTATGGTTGATCGACTCCAACAGTTCGCGCAAGAAGTCACAAAGATTGCTCGCGAGGTCGGCACCGAGGGCAAGCTGGGCGGGCAAGCTACGGTCCATGGCGTGGAGGGCACCTGGGCAGATCTGACAGACTCTGTCAATCGCTTGTCCATGAACCTGACCACGCAGGTGCGGGAGATTGCTATGGTCACCACGGCCGTGGCCAACGGTGATCTTACAAAGAAGGTGCAAGCGGACGTCCAGGGCGAGATTTTGACGCTAAAGAACACTATCAATACCATGGTGGACCGACTGAATGCTTTCGCCTTCGAAGTGAGCAAGGTCGCAAGAGAGGTCGGCACCGAGGGTATACTTGGCGGGCAAGCAGAAGTGGAACAGGTCTCCGGAAAGTGGAAAGACCTCACAGGTAAGTTCACGACACACAAAATATGGGGCAGGAACGGTGGTTGATTTTGACACAGACAACGTCAACACCATGGCACAAAATCTCACGACGCAGGTGCGAAGTATATCGGACGTCACACAAGCCATTGCAAGAGGAGATATGTCAAGACGAGTCGAAGTGCATGCGCGTGGCGAGATCGCTTTGCTGAAAGACACCATTAATGACATGGTTGCCAGGTTAGACGACTGGTCATTGTCTGTAAAACGTGTGGCAAGGGAAGTCGGCGTAGAAGGCAAGATGGGCGGGCAAGCAGACGTCGACGGCATCGCAGGACGTTGGCGCGAGATCACCGTGTCCGTCAACACCATGGCCCAGAACCTGACCGCGCAAGTGCGAGCCTTCGGCGAGATCACGACGATGGCCATGGAGGGCAAGTTCACGTCGATTCAGGTAGAGGCATCAGGTGAAATGGGCGAGTTGAAGGGAAAGATCAATAGCATGATATCCAATCTGCGAGACAGTATAGAGAAGAACACCCAAGCAAGAGAAGCGGCCGAATTGGCGAACAAGACGAAATCAGAGTTCCTCGCGAACATGAGCCACGAAATCCGAACACCTATGAACGGAATCATCGGTATGAGCCAGCTCGCACTAGACACGGAGCTTTCGAGCTATCAGCGAGAGATGGTCACCATTGTTCACAACTTGTCCAACCAGCTGCTGACGATCATCGACGACATTCTTGACATCTCAAAGATCGAAGCGAATCGCATGGTCATGGAGGAGATACCATTTTCACTTAGAGGCACTGTTTTCAACGCGTTGAAGTCTTTGACCACAAGGGCGAACGATAGAAATCTGGATCTTGCCTACGCTGTCGAACAACACGTCCCGGACTTTGTTGTCGGTGATTCATTCCGACTACGCCAAATCATCCTCAACCTGGTTGGAAACGCTATAAAGTTCACAGAGCACGGTGTCGTGCAGGTCCGAATCAAGTCGGAGCAGACTGAGTCTTGCAGGCCAGATGAGTACATGATCCAATTCGCCGTCATGGACACGGGCATCGGCATCAAGGCCGATAAGCTCAGCCTGATCTTTGATACGTTCCAGCAAGCCGACGGGTCCACAACACGACGGTTTGGCGGTACCGGTCTCGGTTTGTCAATCTCACGACGCCTCGTGAATCTTATGAACGGCGAGATGTGGGTTGAATCTGAGTATGGTGTAGGCAGCACGTTCAACTTTACATGCAAAGTCCGTTTGGCAGATCCAGACTTGTCCATAATTGCGCCACAGCTAGCAGCATACAGGAAACGACCCGTTCTATTCGTCGATCGCAACAAAACAGGCTTCAGCCGAGAGGTCATGGAGGGTCTACAGGCGCTGCAGCTCCTTCCCGACAGAATTGCACCGGATGAAGAACTTCCCGGTGCCGACGCGCCCTCGCGACAGGTCTATGACTGCATCATTATCGACTGCAATGATACCGCCCAGCAACTACGCGAGTCGGAGCGATACAAATACACACCACTCGTCATGCTCACACCCAACATTTCCGTGAGCTTCAAGAATGCTCTTGAGGATGGAATATCAAGCTACATGAGCACTCCCTGCTTGCCTATTGATCTTGGGAACGCCCTCATTCCGGCTTTGGAAGGACGTGCTGCACCACCCGTTTCGAAGAATTCGAAGTCGCTCAAGATCTTGCTTGCCGAGGACAACGCTGTGAACCAAAGATTGGCCGTCAAGATTTTGGAGAAGTACAATCATAAGGTCACAGTGGCCAACAACGGTCTTGAAGCGTTTGAGAAGGTCAAGTTGGATCGATACGACGTCATTCTTATGGACGTCCAAATGCCGATCATGGTGAGTCTTGTCCTGCGCTTTTCATAGACCTTTTGATCATAGCACTAACGAACGTCATAAGGGCGGCTTTGAAGCAACGGCAAATATCCGTGAATGGGAACAGGAGAATGGTGTTCCACGCACGCCCATCATTGCATTGACGGCACATGCCATGGTCGGTGATAGGGAGAAATGTATACAAGCTCAGATGGACGAGTACCTCTCTAAGCCGCTGAAGCAGAACCAGTTGATTCAAACCATCCTCAAATGCTCAACACTCGGGGGGGCTTTGCTTGAGCAGAGTAACATTAGCACTACCGAATCCGAAGACAGCAACGCTCTCAGCCTTTCTGGCTCACAACAAGCTCCCAAACGACCCGGACTTGACGTAAGGTCAACGACGGAGTTCGGCCCAGCGAGTCCCAGCATTGTGACCGTTGATCAAGCTGATCCATTCAACGTACGTTCCGATCCTTGCAACTGGTGAAAGACGGATAAAAGTTCTAACCGAGGAATAGGCTCAGCTTTTGATGAGATCACATAGCGGCTAGCCCAGATAGATGCAGACACGTGACGGAGCCATCTAACACGTGATCTACAAAACGTACGAGCAAGAGGTCTTCTCCCTCTTCTCTCGCTAGATGCAATTACGAATGGCGGCACGTTGTATACCCTTCTGAATGGCCGCCAACGGCGCAATCGGGGGAACATGTGGCGATGGCACGATTCTGTTTTGAACTCACTCATGGAGCGGCATGGTCGCAGGGACCACGCCCCTTCCTATTCTTCTCGACTGCCATATTAGGTCCAGAAACGTTCTCGAGCGTGGTGAACGGGCGTTGATTTCCCTGATTTCCTTATGAGCGACATGCTTCACACTTTCAGGTGGTATTTGGTCATGACTGCAAGGTTTTCTCTGTACGGCACAGCGAGTGCCTTCTAGGCTTTCATGTATACTCTTTGTAGCCAGTTTTGTCAACATCATGAATACATGTAGACTCAGGCCGCGGCACTGAGATCACGAGACCAAAAAAAAAAACTCTCGGATTCTTCTTATTATTAAGTTCTGCTTTACAATATCAGGGCAAGATCATCATCCGTCCTCCAAATTCACCTACCATGGCCTTTAACATCTAATCCAAAGAAAAGGATATCACAACAAGCAGAATCAACCAAGACTCATGCGTCGAGCCTTTGTAGATTTAGCAACTGACAAAACTCCGTGCAAGCCGCCAGACAGAAGTGATTGCAACGATTTGTCAAGAGAGATTACACTGCAAATTTTTTTTCCATCTTCGATGACGCTCAATGACGCTTCAACCATAGGACGACGAGGCCGAGGATTCGATATCCAACGACGATGACGCAAAGAAGTCCTATCCACTTGCCGATCCTGCCTGTTGGGTAACCGAACGCATTGAGCACTTCGATGCCGGCGATCTCGTCGCCGCCCGAGGTGGTGGGCGGGTACATGCAGTAGTTGTCGCCGTTGGCGAGCTTCTGGCACTTGTACGTGCGGTGCTGGAACTCGTTGACCATCATGAGCTGGAAGACGTAGGCCTGGTAGTCGATGTAGTGGAAGACGTAGCGGTAGAAGACGTTGATGGTCTGGACCTGGACCATGAATCCGTTGACGCACATCCACAGGCCGTTTGCGAACGCGGTGACGGCGAGCGCGACGACGAAGATGGGCGCGATGCTGCTGACGAGCACGACGAGGCCCTCGGCGGCCATGAGGTCCAGGAAAAGGAACAGCACCCAGCGCATGAAGGAGGTGCCGTCCATGTGGAAGTTGCTGAGGAAGTAGGCGACGACGGAGAAGAGCATGCTCATGAGAAACAGGTAGGGCGCGCCGGTGATGAAGTTGGCGATCATGAAGGAGGTGGGGCCGTACAGGCCGTTAAGGCGCTCCTTGCGAAAGGCGTGAAGATCCTCGATGAAGGCCGGGATGTAAGCCACGGCCATGAAGGACATGAACGCGCCGCCGAAGAAGATGGCGTTGATCCACGACTGGATGTGCTGCTGCTCCGGCGAGAGGCGAAGCCACACGGTGCCCATCATGATGCCAAGGGCTAGATACATGACGATGCGGATGGTGTAGGCGATCACATCGCGGTAGCTCTTGATGAGATTGCGGTGGATGAGCGTCAGAGGGATCGTGATCGGGTTCGGCCCCACGTGCGCATCCTCCGCGTAGTCCATGGTGCCGATGTGCTTCTCGATCTTGCTGTTGACGCGGGCCGCGAGCGGCGCCGCTTCCCAGGCGGTCTGGATCTCGAGCAGGCGCTTCTCGGCAATCTCAGTGTCCTTGGCGAAGTCAGTATTGACGAGCGAGAGCAAGAACTCGGCCGGGTTGATGTAATGCGGCATCTCGTGGCCGATCGAGGCAAAGTACTCCTGTATGGAGCCGACGGGGCCGTTATACGTGGTCCTGCCTCGCGACAGCAGAAGAAGCTTGTCGAAGAGCTCGAAGATGGCTGTGCTGGGCTGGTGAATGCTTGCGATGACGATGAGCTGTTCCAAGGATTTTCTCTTCAGCAGTGGTCAACACTTCACATGAGAGATTCACGTACGTTGTATTTCTTGGCAAGCGATTTAACAAAGGACATCACCTCGTATCCAGCAGTGGCGTCGAGACCACTGGTCGGCTCGTCCAGGAAGAGGAGCTTCGGGCTCGTGACGAGCTGCGTCGCGATTCCGACGCGCTTCTTCTGACCGCCGGAAAGACCTTTTTGGACCGGCGTGCCGATGATGGTGTCAGTCTGCCCCGTCAGACCAAAGGACTTGATCAGGGCCTTGACCTTGGCGATACGATCCGTCTTCGTCACCGTGCGCGGGATGGACAAGCGAGCAGCGAAGTCGATGGTCTCCTTCACAGTCAGGGCACCGAGCAAGGCTTCCTCCTGCTCGACGTAGGCCGAAATCTTGCGGAAAGTGTCTAGCTTGGGTTCCGCACCGTTGATGTAGAGCTTCTTGGAAACGACCGCGTTCGCCGTCGCCTCACGGTGAGCCAGGACGTTCAAAAGAGTCGTTTTCCCCGATCTATTTGAAAAGGTTAACCGATCGTTTACCGAATGGCACATTTCGTGAGAATAGATACACACCCGGAAGGGCCCATGATGGCCATCATCTCGCCCGCTGCGACATATCCGCTGACGTTTTCGAGCAGCTTGAGTGGCTCTTTGGTCTTGCGATCTTTTACTTCGACGTCGACATGGGACCACGAATAGCTGTGGATCGATGTGTTCTCCAGTCCCAGGTAGTCAACCGTTCCCTTCTCCGAGTCATGGATCGAGGAACTGTTTTCTCTTTCAGCTCCCACGGCCTCTGCTGAAGACTTGGTGACTTGGATCTCCTCCATGGTGCACGTCACGATCTCTTGAGGGTTGATGCAAGAATCCCGCTGCGGCGAAATACAATTACCTTTGGGAGGGAAGAGCAGAGACGATATCTAGATAAGAGGTCCTAAAAGCCAGGAGGCTGAATCTCATGGCATTGCAATCGACTATGTATCGTCTTCATTGGGTAGCTTGTACCTGCAAACAAGCCACTCGGCCGCCTGTCCCTGTCATCTGGATTTCACATTCTACAAAAAAAATCCTTGGGCGTGCGGCTGAAATCCTAGGTAGCAAGGGAGATGACCTTCGAACGTGGCGTTGAATCGCGACGGAAACCAGTGCCATGCCCTGGAGATCTCATGTCTGAGCGGTCAATTGTTGCCATTTGCAGGCGTCCCCTAGTCTTGTGTCAGCTTTGGTAACTGCACGCTTATGATCGTCAAAGCAATATTTACGTCCTTGGCGGTTGAGAGAGGACATCTGGCCCGTGCACGGCTGTTTTGGAGATCCTTGCATGCTGAGGTCGGCGACTTGTGGCCTAATTAGAGAGCTAATGAAGCGTCAGGTCGCCGGATTCCAGCCTTGTGCGAAGTGCTAGCCATCGAGCCGCCATCAGGGTAACTTGACGGGAGAAATGCTTCTCCGCGTGGATTCAAGGCAGAGACTGAGCAGCATGACTACAGATTCTTTGCCCTCAACGAGAGGTGAGACGTTGTGACGCTTGCGCGCAACTGGATAGCGACAAATGCACCTATACATCGAGCCAAATAAATAGAATAATGGCAAACACTCGCTCGCAAGGAGAAAGGTAGATTCGGTATTCTACTCGCACTGTATGCGGCACTAAAAAAAAAAATAGGTTCGCATACCTCCGTGGGCTTACACAAAACGCCAGGAGTCCAAGCACAGACTGCGGAATGCAATCCTGAATCCTTACTCAGGTTTGCCGGGCACATATGTCACAGAATGATACTGCTCAACTCCGGCAGCGTAAGCGGCGACCTGCCAGGAAGCTCTGTGAGGTACTAGGAAGGGAATACGAACGAACCAAAAGCCGTGACAACGCCGCACTTTCAACCAAAGCTTTGCAAGCAAAGGGTGCATTTACTAGCCCCCAATCACAGCCTCGCGTTGTGACTTGTATAGGAACTCAGCTGTAGGAATGATAACAATGTGTTGTACACGACGCCAGAGGTTTTAAACGCGCTTAGAGAAGCGGGACTTGCCGTGGCTCAGCTGTTGCGTCTGGCTATTTACCCCAATAACTAGACCAGGATTGGGATAGTTCTCGTAGAGCTCAACACCAAAGGGGACAGAATCTCGGTACACCCGGCGCAGATTGCACGACCTGACTTTCAGCTCTGTAGTAGTCTCATTGTGGGCCTAGTGTCCTTTTGAATGGTAATCAAGTGCCAAGACGAGCCGTCTGTTTTTGCTCGGTAACATTATTCTATCTTGGCCTTCAAGCTCAGGTGAGTGTCAAATTTTTTTTTCCCGTCGGAGTGGATCTCGTATACTCCCGCATTTGTCCATCCAAGAAGCAAATGACAGTCTGCTGTACTAGTTTGACTTTGCTTCGATTAGACGATGGATAAATCTGGTTTAGGCTATGAGATTGGCACTGTGGGGGGCATTTGCAGAGGTCGAAGATAACGAACAGTCCGCGTAGAGCTGGTGCAGCGACTCTTGCGCCGCAATACTTGCCTTATGCCAACCCCCATACAATGACCGACTTATTGATCGTACCTGCCTCCAAACGTGCTTTCGCTACAGCATATTATGACAATGTCACGCTTACAAGTCCGAATTCCTAGTCTTCCTACGCCATATTCTCCGCGTACTTCAGCTGTTCCTCCGGATAGGTAGCCCGTTGGGAGCAATGTGTCGCTGGTTCGCATACATCAGTCCTGAGGAGCCGTGCCTTCTTGCAGATGTCCTCATCACGCCCGCGAACTCGATATCGAAGCAATGCTCGGAGCACTATCTCCCAGGTTTGCTTCCTCACGGAAAGGAAACCGACCTAGAGAGAACTAAAGATCAGCTGCTCAAAATGCGGAATAGCTTGTTGAACATGGATGGCTTGGGAATTTGCTGGTTCACTTCAGCCGCTTCAAACTTCGTACGACATGTTGACGGACCTAGACCAGCCCTTTACAAATCCCAGTCCCCTCCTATCAACGATTTTAATTTTCGTGGCCTATGTGAGAACACTGAGACAAAGTGCCTCTTTGCCCACATTCGGGCGAGTAGTGGTAGCGTGGTTACCCCGGTCAACAACCGTAGAGTGGCTCCCTTTGCGCAACCCCATCATTCGAGGATGAAAACTAAGTACGGAGCGCAGATCCTTTTGTCTTTGGTCGCCACGTATTCATGCACAACGGCGTCGTCTCAGATTTCCATGACATTCGTCGCGAATTGACCAATCTACTTGCCTACGATGCGTTCTGCAACATTCTTGGGACCACGGACTCAGAGCATGCCGCGGCACTTTTCATGACACTCCTTACGAAGGGTGGTGACAAAAGCTCATGGGAAGATGAATACTCCCTAGAAGCTATGCACGAGGCTTTGGTGACAACCGCAATTGAGATCACGAAGCTCCAGCGTCGAGTTCTGGGCTCCAAAGCCCGCCCCAACAGCCTCAACTTCTGCGTCACAGATGGCTTGAAAATGGTGGCCATTCGCTTTCGAAACCACGCATCGGAGCAACCTCCATCCCTCTACTGGAGCGAATTCGCAGGTCGAACCCTAAATCAGAAATTCCCAGGGCACCCCGACGGGCCCGACATCGTCAATAAGAGTGCGACGTTTGGACCCGAGGAGAAAATAGGCAAGCATACCATCATCGCGAGCGAGCCTACCACATATGATCCAAAAGAATGGCATCTTATTGAAAAGAACTGTGCATTGACGGTTGACGAAGTAGGAACAGAGACGCAGATTCCTATTGTCTATGACAAGGCTCTCGACGCCGAAGATCCGACTGTGTGACCTTTTATTCACGAAGTAGTCTTTTTGGCGCAGGGCAGCGCAATGACCTGAGAAATGAGAAATGATTTCAATGTAAACAGATGTGAGGTCCTGAATTCAGCAAGTCTGTCCTAGTTCAGCATAATTTTGTTTATCGGCCATTGCTTCGGGTGATTTGAAATCCATCCCGCTCGTTCATTGCTAGCTTACGCTATCGCTATTGGCACTCGGAGGGCTGAGAACTTTTATGCAAAGCCTCTAGTCACAAGTTTACCTATTCAGTTTCGTGCAGGGTTGATTCACTCTGCTCTTCCACTCTATTCCCATTGTGTTGCAGATTTTAGGCAAAAAGCCATTTATTGGTGGTACATAATGTTAAAATTATGGCGTACAGAACGCAAGTAGAACAATACCATAGTCTTGATGTATGATGCTAGACAGACAGAAAATAACATAAATAGTTCCCAACTCGTTTACCTATCAAGAGCTTGCGCTTGGCACTGTCGAAGGTCAGCAATCATTAATACTGACCAATTTTAAAGAAAAATTTTATCTCAAAGAAAGAAAGACTTACCATGGAGAAATAAACCCCACGAGCTTTGAGCAGTTCCTGGTGATTCCCTCGCTCCAAGACCTTTCCAGAACCCAGCACGTAAATGATGTCGGCCTTCTGTATCGTCGCTAGGCGATGAGCAACTGCGATGATGGTCCTTTTTCCATCTCCCGCTGCTTTTTCGATGGCTTCTTGCACAAGCTTCTCTGATTCAGAGTCGAGACTGGACGTGGCTTCATCGAGGAGGAGGACATGAGGATCTCGCATCAGTGCTCTAGCCAAAGCCAGACGTTGACGTTGGCCACCACTTAGAGACACACCTTTCGGGCCAAGATATGTACTATATCCTTCCGGCAGGGAGACGATGAAGTCATGTATCTGAGCGGCTTTGCATGCTTCGTACATCCGTCCCTCGGTAGCTTCGGTCATGTCAACCGATAGGCACACGTTTTCACGAATCGATCCTTCGTATAAGGTGGACTCTTGAGCAACGAGAGACATGTTTGCTCGGTACGCTGGCACATTTAAGTCCTTGATATCTTGTGAGCCGTACATGACAGCACCTTCGTCAGTATCATAAAACCGCTCGAGCAAACTTATGGTGGTCGACTTTCCACATCCGGTTGCGCCGACCAAAGCGACGAATTGACCAGGTTGGATCTCAAGGTTGAGCCCCGTCAGAACCTTCAGGTTACGACTCTTGTAGCTGAAATGCACGTCATTGAAATGAATATCCGGGTTTTCCTCGGGGGGCAGCAGAAACTTGACTTCATGCTCGATCTCGGGCGTCGAAACCCGCGAGCTGAGAATTCGGTTCAGGCCGGCCGTTGCGTTTGCAATATTTGGTGCGAAAGAAAACCATATGCCTGCTGCCATTCCGCCCTGCACAATGGCTTGGAATATAACAAAATACTGAACGAGACCATACTCTCTGCTAGCTAGCAAAGTGCCCCCATACCACAGCATGAAAGCCTGACAAGCCATGTCAACGCTGTTGCTAAGAGCAAAAGCCAAAGTCCATGCAAGTGACCTGATCGTCGCTTTTCTAACATGCTCCGTCATTAGCTTGTCATAACGATCTGTGATAGTAGATTCCAATATCAGAGAAGTGACGGTCCTGAACGCACCCACGGCTTCTACGGCGAATTGCGAGCTAGCTGCGAATACTTTCGCGTTCATGTCTTCAAACTTCAACTCAAGGCGTACTCGAACAAAGCCAGCGCCAAGAGTAAGTGGTAGAATGATGCATGTTCCCACAAGCGAGAGCTTCCATCCATAATAGAATGAAATGGCAAGAGATCCGATCAAGTTGAAAACCGAAACATAAGCCATGCTCATTTGTGCGCCTAAAACCATCTCGATCTGTTCTGGATCAGAGGAGAGGCGAGATGCGATGCTTCCTGGCGAATTGCCCTCAGCATCGAAAAACACAATCCTTTTCCGCAAAATATTCTCCAAATATTCCTGTCGATAATTTTTGGTAACCGTTGCGCCGATCCAATGCGTAGACCATGCAAGAACGAAATAGACTATCAGCAACGCAGAGGCCAGAATAAAAAACATCAAAGCCCAATGGTTTGCTGTGTCTTCCAGTTTCTTCAGGTCGAGCAGAGTGAAAGCATTGACGAGCTGAGCGAAGATGAAGGCCTGAAGAGGAAAGGCTGCACCAGCAGCGCAGCAACCGGCTATAGTGAGAGTGTACTGTGGCCAGAATTGTTTTTGTTCAAGAAGGATTTGCCCAAAACCCTTCATGAAACCAACGCGGCGATAGCCTGACAAAAGGCCATCTTCAGTCATGATTCCATCGGAGCCAGTCGCTTCACCAGTTCTTGTAAGGGATTTAGTTTTGATCAACTGTATGTGCTCCTCCTCTGAGTCATCTTCCTCGTTGCGATCATATTCAACTCCCATGGCTATGTTTTGAGCACGAACTAAGCCGCGATAAATGCCATCTTCTTTCTTCAGTAGCTGCGTGTGCGTTCCTTCCTCCATTACTTGTCCTTTGCGGAGCACAATGATCTTGTCCGCCTTTTTGATAGTTGCTAGACGATGCGCAATGACGATGGTGGTTCGACCTTCCGATGCCCGGTCAAGTGCAGCTTGTACAATCTTCTCTGTTCGAACGTCAATGGCGCTGGTAGCTTCGTCAAGAATGAGTATGGATGGCTTCTTAACAATTGCTCGCGCTATAGCAATGCGTTGCCGTTGGCCACCGCTCAGTTTTATACCAGACTCACCGACGTTGGTCTTATAACCATGGGGAAGCCGCGCAATAAACTCGTCTGCAAATGCCAGCCGACAAGCTTCCTCCACCATCCGATCCTTCTCCTCTTCGGGAATATTCTCGTACCTCGTTCCGCATAGACCATAGGCGACATTGGTGTAGATGGTGTCATTAAACAAAAACGGCTCCTGTTGAACGAGGCCAATTTGTGATCTCCACCATTTGGCGTCAATCGTAGCCAAATCAACATTCCCAATCAGAATTCTGCCTCCAATGCGCGGTCTCTCTGCTCTTGCAGGACCCTCAGTTCCAGATAGCCTTTCTACAATACTAGTCACTCCAACATCGCCTTGCTTTTCTACAACCTCAACCCCATCTGAACTCGCGTGATAATCCACATCTTCAACGTCATATCCTCGCGCTTTCCGGAAGATAAACCCTTGTTCGATAGGGTTGCTTGAATATATTTTCGAAACAAAACCACGTTCTATAGGATTTTGAGAATTGCGTACTGAAGATATTCTCCTTAGCTCGCGGATGGTGACATTCGTACTTCTCGATGACTTTGGTCGACTGAACGATGTTGTAGGATCAGCATATCGTACTACTGTTTGTCGGACAAGCTCCTGCGTCGTGTTGGCAACAATTTGATTTTCTTGCTTCGTCTCCCTCGGCTTCAATTGTTTTGGTACTTGATAATCATCAAGACTATACCACCTTTCAAGCAAGCCGACCACCGTGCTTTTTCCGCTTCCGGACGGTCCAACGATAGCTGTCGTCCTTCGAGTCTCGAAAGTCATACTAACATTGTCTAGAACCTGGACATCTCTGCGGGAAGGATAAGCAAAAGAGACGGAATCGAAATGTATGTCGTTTTCCGAAGAAACCTGGGGTTCCTTCAGGCCAGTCATATCCGGAAAGTCGATATCCAGTGTTGCGAGTATATCGGCGGCTACATTATGTCAACTTCACACAAGAGCATAGTGAGACAGCAACATTTCTTACCAGCAGAAGCTACTCGCGCCATCTGAACTAGAGGTCCGATAATTTGACTGAAAGCCATAACCCCCATCATTACGCTAAACAGAACTACGATGATGTCACCAATGCTGCCAATACGCCCATGAATATATTGTTGCACTCCAAAATAGAAGGTCAGAGCAAATGTGGAGAACATTGCAAATGTTGGGGGAGCAAATGCCAGACCAAGTAGTGGACCAAGTTTTTTGTCGTTCTTGTACTTTTTTTGTAGGAAGTTCTTATGCTTTGCACTCAAGCGATTCTCCGCACAGAATGCAGCCACGATCCTAATCGACGTGAATATCTCGAAAGACAACGCTGAGGCTTGTTCCCCCCAACGCGTAGATTCGACAAAAGCTTCAACAGCATAGGGAAGAACCACGACGTAGAGTATCATAATGGCTGGCAGAGAAGCACTAGCTACCAGCGTGAGGAGCCAGGCCTTGGTGAACGCGACAATGTAGGCACCGATCAACAGTGAGATCGCTTGGAGAAAGATTGCGAATTGTTGAGAGATACCCATTTGTATGATGTTGCTCGACGCAGTGATGCGACTTGCGATCACACCTGGCGGAACAGCGTCCACTACGGCCTGAGGCTGGGTGAAGAGCGCTTTTATGTATGCCAATCGCAACGCAGCAGAAATTCGAAGACCGCTAACTCGGATGCAATACATTGAGATGTACGAGAAGATGAATCTCGCCCAAAACAACCCGAAGATGATGAGACTGCGAGCAAAAGTCAGCGAACCCCAATTTCTTAAGACGCGGCGCACTCTGTAACCATCATCGAACAACCAGATAAACCTTTTGAAAAAGCCGATGTAATGGGAGTTATTGTCAATAGCTCGAGACTTTTTGTTTTGCCGCTATCTTCTATTTGAGAAGCTCCAAGACTTACGAGTTCTTGCTCACAGACTGCATAAACTCAGACTTTGTAACGCCACTTCCTGGAATGAAATAGCCTGTGAAGTTATTGACTAATTTGCCCAGGATCAAGAACATCAATGGCATTGACTGCTGCGGTATGAGCCTTCTTTATATCAAAAAGCAAGGGGTGACGAACCACGCCTGCCGCGAGAGATGTAACCCCACACAATAACATCATTACGGTATCTAATCGGTCTCCAAATGATAGAACTCTCTAGTGTCTGTTTTCAGCTGAGCTTCCCGATTATGGGATGCTAACGTACGAAAAAGTTTTTTACCGACGCGCGCGGCAGGCCTTCTTCTTTGGCAGCCTTCTGAGCAGCCCTCCATTCTCGCAGCTGCTGTATTAACGGTTTTGATTCAAAACCGGGTACAACAGCTTCCTCCACGGGTGCGGAGTCGGGCTTTGCTTCCGAACCACGGGGTGAATTCTTAGGCATTTTGACAGAAAGCACATGGGAACAATATGAACAGCTAAGTTCGGCGAGAGCGAGACGTCTGAGGTAGATATCACAACTCGTCGGCAAGATTTGCAGCTTTTTCGCCGCCTCTCATGATTTCTGGCCACGAGATCACAATCATGATGCCTGTCCCCGATGATGAGGGTACGCGATCCGGTTGCCGCAATTCACGATCGAGGGCATGTCTTCATCGGCGTGTTTGACGCCGACCTGGAGTATAGAGCTCTATGATTGGTGGGTCCCTGCTCTTGACTGCTGGATAAGCTGCCAAATGCGAGCTTCGCGGCCGAGGTTCGAGTCCCTATCCGTCGACATCATGGCGGCACAATGGGAGCATCATCCTGTTCCTTCGTAAACCCTAACGTGCATGAGTTTGGGGTTTAAATTCGAGCCGTATGATTTCATGTGTCAGATTCTTAAGTTCACAAATATGACGCGAAATTGTGGAGACCAAGATACTTTCCCAATGCGGACACGTGCAGATGCGATGATACGAAGTTAACGCTACAATCCGCATTTTGGATCGTATTTGATCTTGAGTCATTCGCCTAGGCACCCAACATCCTTATTTGTCCCTTCGATATGATAGAAAGCTATTGATCAGCAAAACTCAAATCTAGTTCTTTTCACCTCTTTTCTGAACATCTGCATATCTCGTAGCTTTTCATTATCAGTTTGTCACTCGTAATAATCGACGCGAGCTAGCTCGAATACGTGTACATAACTAATTGATCAACATGCCAGACTCTCCAAGTGACACTCCGTTAACTGGAGGGTGTTCCTGTTCCTACGTTCGCTACAAGGTCAATGCTGCACCGTTCGTGATCCATTGCTGCCACTGTCATGAATGTCAACGGTTGACTGGAAGTGCATTTGTCATCAACTATCTGGTCGAATCTTCGCACATCGTTCTGGAAAACGAGGCACAACGGCCGGTCAGCGTACGAACACCATCGACTTCGGGCTATGGCCAGCTGATCCAGCGGTGCCCGAAATGTCAGGTGGCTTTGTGGAGCTACTACGGGGGATCTGGGCCTTTAGTCGCATTCCTGCGAACTGGCACACTCGACTTGCAGTTCCAAGGGAAAATTGTGCCAGATGTGCACATATTCACAAAGACGAAGGTGCCGTGGTTGAGATTGCCGGAAGACAAGCCCTCCTTCGAGGAATTTTACAGTTATGACGAGTATTGGAGTAAGGAGAGTTTGGAGAGACGGAGGGCAATACAGCCAGCTGTAAAAAAATGGAGGGAGAAACAAGAAAAGTTTTGCGATGGGCAAGCTGAAACTCTGGATGAGGCAGCTGTGACGAAAATGCTGGCTGACGTAAAATTGTAACTGATGTTGGTTAAGTTGCTACTTAGACGGATCAAGTCGCATGAGCAAAAACCAACAGGACCCCCCCCCCCCCCCCCCCCCCCCCCAAAAGAAAAGCCAATTACGGTTTTGCTATTTAGGTATCATTTTCAATTTTCGGAACTGTTGATATTCTACACATCAGTCCTGCTATTTATTTGTATACGTGGATAGCCTTAGCATTGCAGTATGCGAGGACACCGTATGGTCCCCACTCGCCACCAACACCACTTTCCTTGTGACCAGAGAAGAAAGCTTGTGGAATTGGCTTCGTGAAGCTATTGATGAACACATTGCCTGCTTCGATGCGTTTGGCAGTCTTCTTCGCTTGCTCAATGTTCTTGGAGAAGATAGAGGCACCAAGGCCGGCATTGGTGTTGTTTGCACGAGCAATCACCTCCTCCTCGTCAGACCATGGCTGCGTTGGAACTATTGGACCAAAAGGTTCCTCCTGGATGATGCGACTGTCGTTTGGTGGGTTGTCAATGATGGTTGGTTGGATGAAGAAGCCCTTGCTTGGGGCAACATCTGGCTCGCCTGCAGCAAATTTATAGCCCTTCTCCTTGCTGTCAGCAAAGAATTGTTTGACCTTCTCGTACTGCATGGAGTTCTGGATGGGGCCGAGCAAGACACCCTCCTCGTCGGACATGCCGACTTTGATGTTCTTGGTAAAGGCAACCATACGCTTAACGAACTCCTCGTAGATAGATTCGTGGATGTACACGCGCTTTGTGGCGACGCAGACCTGGCCAGAGTTGAAGAAGCAACCCATTGTCACCTCAGGTACGGTTTTGTCCATGTCTACGTCAGGATAGACGATGCATGGGTCATTACCACCTAGCTCGAGGGTGACACGCTTTAGAGTTTTCGCGCAGGCCTCCATAATTTTCTTTCCGGTTGCAATCGATCCAGTGAAACTGATTTTGGCGATGCCAGGGTGAGCCGTCAGCATCGGACCAAGCTTGTCATCGCCACCGAGAACCTGTACGACGCCTGGTGGGAAGATCTGCTGGGCGAGTTCAACAAGCTTGAGGGCTGTGTATGGAGTAAATGGCGACGGCTTAACGATGATCGTGCAGCCTGAGAGCAAGGCTGGAGCGATCTTGCCAGTCGACAGGATGAGTGGGAAGTTCCACGGGCAGATAGCACCCACAACACCCAGTGGCTCCCACGTCGTCTCCACCACCTCGGTCTCGTTCTCAAACTTGTGCACCGGAAGCTCGAGCTCGGCATGGAATTTCAGAAAGTCCATGACGGTACTGACCTCCGAGCCAGCAAAGGCACGGGGCTTTCCGGTCTCCTTGCACATAAGATCAGTGAACTCCTTCTGGTAGCCCTCGTACAGATCCTTGAACTTCAAGATCAGTTCTTTGCGTTTCTCAATTGGCGTTTGTGACCAGGATTTGAAGGCCTTGCTAGCTGCCTCAACTGCATCGTCGACGTCTTGTTGTGTTGCAATGGGCACATCCCAGAGCTTTTCACTTGTAGCCGGGTTGATGCCATTGTGTACGTTCTTGCCGGATCGCTGCTTGCCGTCGACGATATTGTAGAACGTGTCAAAGGAGATGTCGATACTCTTGGAGGGCGCCATGGTGCGGGGCGGTTGCTATGACGTCAGGAGGATGTTGCTGGCGTGAAGATAGGGTGAGAAAACGGGAAAATGTACGATGAAGAGAGACTAATATATGTCTTCAGGGCACAGCTACGGAACAGCAGACTTGCTATCTATTTGAAATTCTGGCCCTCGTCTCATGTGTTCGATACAGCGATCTCTGACGCTTTTACCGGAGGGGCACCCTCGTGTAGCCGACTCGTCAGCCAGATGCGGGGTTTGAGCCAAAACCAAACGCCCAGACACCACTGCTTGGATCTAGTTACTATTTGGTCGAAAATTGCCTTCTTTGTACACTGGGCGCGTTTCTCGCTCTTTATCCCGCTTCTTCTGTGCCGCGTTCTATGCCGGGGCATGCTCTGTCGAGCGTCCACGGCGACAAGTTCCTGTTAGGCGTCTGCTCCGTGTATAACCACCCCTGAGCACATGAACGGACTATGATTGCGCAACACATACAAAGCAACGGACGAGTATTGACGGCGATCCTGCACAAAAGAATCCTGAGCGGAAAATAACCGCAGGATCGGGAAAGAGCGTGAAGTCCAAGCACAGGATGCCTTGTTTCGTCGGGAAGGCCTAGAACGAAGTCTTACCAAAGCGAACAGCTTTCGCATCAGTGGTTCCAGGAGAAGCATCTCAGCTTATTGACGGACCCTGCCGACATAGTTGACAGCTCATCCTGGCAAAGCATCGACACCATCGACTCAGCTTATAGAAACCTCTTGATTTAGCGCGAGTGGAGTGGATTGAATTTGGAAGCTAAGCTGAGTGAAACTGCAAAATCGGGCATGTATCGGACGAAAATGCGGCAACTCTAAACTACAGCAAAACGCGATTTTGATGGTTATACGAAAGACCTCCTATCGGCCCGAATGTGTGCGTCTTCCTCTTCTAGTTCGTGCAAGCGTTCATTTGGCAATAAAACAGCCTTGTCGATAGCGACGGGCAAGCCGCGATGACGCCCTCTCAACATCACAGCGCAAAGTATCAATTTGGAGAGCGCGTGCCAAGAACCACAAAAACTATACGCCTGATTCGGCAGGCCGACCGAGATGCCCACCGTTCCGTATCCTGTGAAAGACAATAAGTCAACAAAGACTTTGTCTCGCCTCAAAGGTGCACCGATTGACTTACCTGAAACAACCTCGAAGAGGACGTTGAAGACTGAAAATACCCCAGGATCCTCCTGAAATTGCGAGCCTTCGACAACCATGATGAAGAAGACGGCAAGTGCGAGCCACCAAAGATCATGCGCGAGCTGTGCACGAAGCTGCTGTTGTAAGAAGTATTGCTTGTGTTCTGGCCCTCTGCTCCAGCCGAATCGCCTCAAAATCCAACTTTTGGCTGTTTTACGTTCAATCTCGTAGGCCTCATATCCGGGGTCGTCGGAATATATGCCTAGGCTTCGTTCTTCGTAGACGTTTGAGTTGCGTATCGTTATCGCCACAGGAAACGCCGAGATGTACATCATAATCACGTACAGAACCTGTAGGCTGATGCGTACTGTTGAGATTGGGACAACGTAAAATCCACCAGAGCGGACAGCGAAGGCCTGGAACAGTCCGTCGATGAACTCGATCCCTGGCGGAAGGTCGTCGATGGCGTTATTACCAATATTGAGGATTGCAAAAGCTGCACAATCAATCCCGTTAAGAATGATGACGCTAAGAAAAAGCCACCATGTATGTTCAGATGGAAACATGTTTGTGTAGCATCGTCGAGGATGATCGAGTAAAAACTTTAGCGTGCCGCGGAATTCATCCCATTTTTGGGCCTTTGGAAGGAGTTTGTAGAAAGACCAGACGATTAACCGCAAGAAGACAGGGAAGCATGTGTTTCCAGCTAGAATGAGAAGTCCCATCGTAAGCAGCATATAGATGGCTCTATTGAAGACCGTCATATTTGCGTCAAGTAAACTCATTCCAGAATTGTTAAACGCAGACACTGCATTGAAGACCCCAACCCACCATGGATTCAACCCATTGACTCGTGTCGTGCTTGCGTAGTTGTTACTGACGTAAGCTCCAAGCCCCAGACATCCCAATAGCTGCCACGAGAAGAAGTAAATGGGCACAACCCAGCTAAGAAATGTGACAGCCCGATACTCTTTACCTCCAAGCCGTAGACGATCAGCTTCAGTGAGGTGATGGAATGTAGAGTTCCTAGAAACAGAGGCGGCTGAGGCCAGATCGCGATTTTCATGACGATGTATCGAGTGATGGAATTTGAGACGAACATCGCTATGCATAGTCAAAGGGCTGCGAGTCCTGCTTGGTGGTCTGGCTCCCACTCCAGAGAATGTCAGCACTCTACGAATTTGAGAGCCAGAGTCATGATGGAAGCGGGTGTCAGCGCCGAAGGAGATATGGTCGTGCCGTGCGCCGTCCAACGTCCTCTCAACAGATAGTGAATGACGTACAAGAGTAGCGTCATCTGCCCTGGTGGAAAGGTCCGTTGGTTTCGTCTCCTGTGAACCATCAAGATTCAGCGCTAGTCCCGGCGCAGACCTGAACTCTCTCAGGGGAAGACCAAGTGCCGATCCCTGGTTATCGGTGTTTCGTAGAACATCATCTTCCGGGACTGTGGGTTGTACAGCGTCTTGATCTCGTGATTCTTGCTGAGCCTGAACAGTCTCATCGATAATATGGCTGGGGGTCCTTTCATGCTCAAGCAGGTTCTGGAAAACCTTCTCAAACGCCCGTCGACGAATATGCACCACAAATGCAGACACAAAGATGGCAGAGCCAGCGATGATCAGAAAAAACAGCACGACCTGCTGAAATGTGTTCAAAGTGGACAGATTTATAGTGTTTAGGCCAGCCTCGGTCATAGCCGAAACGGCCAAAAACAGAGCGTCGACGAACTGGACGCTGTGGGACGGCGTAGACGAGCCATAAATGATACCAGCTGACACCAGGGTCGTCACGATGAAGTACAAGTAGTGCAACGTAATAAAGTTCAGTTCCGGTAGATAACTACGAGCTTTTCGTCCGAAGCGTCGAAACAACTTCAGACGTGTTTTTAGTGGTGAGAGAAAGGCCGCCATGGTGAGTATGTGGATTTTTTGAGACGGCAAGACCTGATCCTAGAATGCCTGCTGCGCTGGCAGCTGGAGCCGCCACCAAGGTTATACTGTCGAAGTCTATGGTCTTGTGAATGCATAGGGTGAACTACAGGACGTTAACAACTGAATGTGGACAGGCTACGGAAGGCAGACTAGTACTCTGGGAACACTTCGAAAAGCTTAGCGTAGGCATTATTGGGCCATGATAATGGAATCGCCTGGCACGTCGTTTTAAGTCTGTGAAGTTTGATCGCTGATGTTACAGGACAAGCTGGCCGTTGGGCTTCAGGTTTTGTTTGGAACGGTGTTGAGTTGAACAGCGCGGTCTGGGCGAGATAACGTAGCAGAGAAAAAAGGTCCCTGGGCGCGTTCTGGCATTTCGGCCCTTCTCCCTTGGCGCCGATCGTTTGCTGGGGACGCATTGCCCACGTCTGGATCGCATCCATCCTTTTTTGGATTCTCTTGAGAAACCACTATTCGCCGAAATGTCTCTCGCGAAATCGAACGTGGTTATATGTGCGCCTGTGGTAAAACGTACGCCAGAAGAGTGATGACCGCATCACCTCGCTTGTCGTTTCGCCGATCCCGGACCAGCAATGCACCGATGTGCGGCCACGCGATGCCCGTTCTCAACCTTTCGTATCACACGGGCGCTTTTAGAAGAGCAGACATGACGCCTGTGGTTCCTCCAATCAGCTCTGTGGCATCTGGCTTAGCCTGTCGGATGCCCCAAAAGCGATGTACGGCCACAATCACGGAGTTTATAGTGGGGTACAGTGTCTGCTCCACAAGAATGTGATGCTACATAAAGGCAGCGGCCGGCGACGGGCTTCTGGGTGAACCGAACGATTGCTTCCCACCTGTATCCATTTGTTTTTCCGCCTACTATCCGACGGCTCCATTGTATCGTTGCGTTAGTTAAGACACTTTGTTTCCACTCACCATGTCTAGCACGACAACGGAGATCAGAGTCACCAAGCCCAACATCGGAGTTTATACCAATCCAGCGCACGATCTATGGATCGGCCCCGCAGAGCCTACGGTTGAGAGCCTGGCCAGCAGTGAGTCCCTCAAGGAAGGCTATGTCACTATCGCTATAAAGAGCACCGGCATCTGCGGGTACGACTGATTGCACGGTGATTTCGATTGCACGGGAAGGCTTACAAAGCGTACAGGTCCGACGTGCATTTTTGGCACGCGGGTTGCATAGGGCCAACGATGGTTGTCCGCGACAACCATATACTTGGTCACGAATCGGCCGGACAGGTCATCGCAGTCCATCCGTCGGTGACGTCTCTCAAAGTCGGCGACCGCGTTGCTATCGAGCCCAATATTCCCTGCTTCGCATGTGAACCTTGCCTCACCGGGCGCTACAACGGCTGCCCCAACGTGCAGTTCCTGTCGACGCCACCAGTTAACGGCTTGTTGAGGCGATATGTAAATCACCCGGCCGTGTGGTGTCACAAGCTTCCAGATAATTTGACGTATGAAGATGGTGCCATGCTTGAGCCTTTGAGCGTGGCCTTGGCTGGTATCAAGAGGGCGGATGTTAGGCTCGGCGATGCAGTGTTGGTCTGTGGGGCGGGTCCAATCGGTCTGGTCACTGCTATGTGCTGCAGGGCGGCAGCATGTGAACCCCTTGTCATCACAGATATTGACGAGGGTAGGTTGAAGTTCGCGAAGGAGGTCATTCCTGGCGTCAAGACGCTGCAGGTCAGGATTGGCGAGTCATCAGAGGACTTCGCCAAACGAGTCGCGGATCTAATGGAAGGAGACGAACCGTCCATTGCCATGGAATGTACAGGCGTGGAATCGTCCATCGCAGGGGCCATAGCATCTGTGAAGTTTGGTGGCAAGGTGTTCGTGATCGGTGTTGGCAAGAACGAAATTAAGATGCCATTCATGCTGTGTAGCGTGAAGGAGGTAGATTTGCAGTTTCAGTACAGGTACTCGAATACATGGCCAAGAGCGATCAGACTGATGAAGAGCGGGCTGGTCGACTTGAAGAAGCTCGTCACGCATCGATTCACTTTAGACCAGTCTGTGGAGGCGTTCAAGACGGCCGCCGATCCGAAGACTGGGGCAATCAAGGTGCAGATTCAAAGCATGGACTGAGAACCAGCGGCACGGTCTGGATGGATACATTGCACAAGTGTAGTTACATCTTATTTACCCACATATTGAAGCGTCAAATGACACATGTTGAATGGCCAGGACGAGCACACAGATTCGGTTGAGACCATCCACGTCTGGGGAGACGATATTGAATGAATAAGGCCATCGACGGTTCAAATCCAAATCTCCAAGGCCTTGGTCCTAGACATGCCGACGCTGCAGAATGAATGCAAAGGAAAAGACGAGAAAAAAATGGATTTGAATTTTCGCTGGTGAGCAACGTCATGCAAACGAGCGTTGATTGGCTGGTCCTGAGGTGAAACCACATCGGGGTTAGCTGGTCTTCGAAGGAGACATGTTGGCAAGCCTGTGCACCAACTTTTGATCCCCGAACACCACGCAAAACATCGTTCTCGCGCGCGTTCGTCACTTAGAATTGGCCTTCAATTTCGCACGTAGCGCGTCTCATCTCGCAAAAGTCGGGGCTCACTCACGGCACCCCCCCGAGCGTCCCTCATAGCTAGACACAAGGCATCGTCGCCAAACCGCGTCCACGACGCTTCTTACATCGCCCACAACGGCGTACACACACGGGTCGGCCTAAATCATACGCAAGCGCATGGAAGTTATATAGGTGCTGCAGTTGCTTCCGTCGGCCGCGCCACTTTTCTTGCACTTAGGCTCTGGGGGAGGATACGACGCAGTCAATGTCGAAGAGAAGCGCCTCAGAGTACATTACCAAGGACGGCATTGGAAGTATGCAAGGGCAAGATGATGCTCCTGTTCAGCGAGCAACAGCTGCGCAGCTTGCGAACCGCAAGTAAGTTCTGCCGACGCGTGCGCGCAACGGCTGCAGGCCTTGGTCGCGATCATCGTCAAAAGACTTTGTTTTGTATGCGCGATAGCTAATGTGTTTTGCCAATAGAATCGCTCAGGCGCGCGGCCGTAGCGGAGCCAGACATCGTACCGCACAATCAAGTGGCTTTTCGACGCCCAGTACATTTGGGAGCTCAACCTCCCAGAGCTTTCCTCCTGTGAACGGTCCCTCTGCCGTAGGCAACGGAACGGCGAGTGTTTCCTTCGGAGGTTTCGGGTCTGGTGGCATCGGCAGCAGTTCGACCTTTAATTTCAGCGCTGGAGGTATTGGTACAATCAACAACCCGTTCGCGCAACAGAGTCAGCAACCGTCAACAAATGGTGCAGGCTCAGGTAGCATCTTCAACTTCGGAGGCGGTCAGTCGCAAACGAGCTCTCCATTTCAGTTTGGCAGTACGCAGCCTCAACAGCCAGCGTCCAACATTTTCGGCGCGTCGCAAACGCAATCAACACCTACGTTTGGTGGATTTGGAGCCTCGCAGTCGACAGGGACGACAAGCCTGTTTAGCACATCTACATCACAACCTGCCTCGATATCAGGTTTTGGCGGATTTGGCTCTTCATCTAGCGCTACTACCACGAATTCATCGAATCTATTCAGTGGAACATTTGGTCAGTCCGCTGCGCCGTCAACATCGACGCCTGCGCCAAGCTTTGGGGGCTTCGGACAAGCAGCACCTTCGTTTGGTCAGACAAATGGAGACTCTATGATGTCTATCACGCCCGAGTCATCACCTCAAAAGAGACTGGGCTGGAACAAAGATGTTACAAACGGGATGGCAGATGCACAGAACGACGGAGCCGAATCACCAGATCGGCCACCGCACGTCGAACAGGAGAGTGGGACACGACCGAATCCGTTCCAGAATATCCAACGTGCAAACCCGCCAGCACCGACGCCCAAACCAGCAGAGCCCAAACCTGCATCAGCACCTTTATTTAGCTTTAGCCAACCAGCTGCAGTTGAGAAGTCGACAGAGCTTGGAAAGTCGCAAGAGCAGGAAAAGGAAAATCAAAAGCCAAGTCTGTTTGCTTCAGCTAAGCAAACAAGCACGGAAGCACCAACAAACCCATTTGCGACAATCCAGCGAATGTCTCAATCCACACAGTCGCCACTCTCGCAAACGCCGTCACAGCCAGAGCAACCAAAGTCGCTCTTTGCCAGCACACCAATCACAGCACAGTCTTCCAGTTCTCCTGCAAAGCCATCTTTATTCAACCCATCCACAACGTTGTCCAGTTTTAGTAAGCCGGCAGAAAATGTCCCGCTTTCACAGCCGGCTCCTCAGTCTGAGCCTGAGCCAACGCGTATTCAGTGGGGCAAAGTCGACACCTCGTCAAAGCCAGCGGAGACCATCTTTTCGAAGCCCACAGCTGTGTCCCTAGCACCTGAGCCTTCACCTGCTCCTCAATCGCCCGAGAAGGCAGCTACTCTTCCAACGCCAAGCACTGCAAAATCCGCCTTCTTTCAACAACTCTTACCGATTGTCTTACGGGAAGACAACTTGCAGGCTCCAAACCAAAGTCTCAACTCGGAGGAAAAGACGTCATGGTATCAGGTCTTGAAACTGAAGCGTCTGAATCAGATATTCAGTCAGATGTGGAGCAAGGCACCTGATCATGCAGACTTGTCGTCTTATTGCCGAGATTATATTTTGCTGGCAGCTGAGATAAAGAAACCAACAGAAAACGGCCGTTTAGGTGGCATAGCAACTGTCCCTAAGGAAGGTACGAACAAACGCAAAGCATCACCATCAGAAGAGCAAGAGCCGGAGAAGAGACCGAAGACGAACGGAGACGCTCCAGCATCTGAAACTGGGAGCAAATTTCAAAGCATCTTCGAATCGTCGGGGCAGAAGAACAATATTTTCCAGGGCACAAGCAATATTTTCGCTGCTGCAAGTCCTACTCCAGCCAAGACCGCCAACATCTTCGCACAAAGCACAGCATCCCCAGCACCAGCGCCTTCGCCAGCTAAGAGTCTGTTTTCTTCTTCCACGGCTGCACCCGCGTCCTCAGGTAGCAGTCTCTTTAGCAGCAAGTCTAATGCAACACTGGCGAACTCAACAGAGGCAAATTCTACCAACGTATACTCCAAAGAAAGTACAGCGTCCGCTACTTCGACAACTCCAGCATCAGGCGGTACCAGCGTGTTTCAGTTTAAGCCAGTTGGGACCTCAAAGGCGAGCAGCGCGCCTCCAGCTACAACATTTGTAGGCTTCAAGCCTACGAATAACTCAACAGCCTCTTCATCTGCAGGCCCTCCAAAGTTGGATGCTAATGCTTCAGCAAGCAGCTTTCTGAGTCAATTTGCTAAGAGTGCTGAAGAAACAGCGAAGGAAGCAAAGAGAAAAGCTATGTTGGAAGACTACGACTCGGATGAAGAGACGAAAGAAGAGTGGTCAGCAAGATATGATCGTGAGCAAGAAGAAAAGAAGAAGAAGCTTGCCGCATCTGCCACTAGCAGTTTCAAGTTTACTCCGACTTCAAGTGTGGCCGGTAGTAATGCCGGCTCAGGTGACGAGGCGGAATCGAAAGCAAAGCCTTCGTTCCTCGCACCACCTACGACGAACAGTTTATTTTCTGGCCTGTCAAGAACCCCAAGCCCTGTGTCTGCGGCCTCGCCATCAGGTTCTGTATTTGACATGCCGCGTTCAAACACGCCTGGTCAGCTTAGCAAAGATAATCCGTTTGCAAACCTTTCACGTCAAGCTTCGGAGAAAGGAGATGCCGATGATGAGGACGAGGATTCATCAGCTGACGGAGACGTGCAGTCACTGGATGAAACAAACGAGGAAGGACAAAATACCAATGGAGAAGCGACACCGAAAGTTAACGGTGTGCAGAAACGAGTCGGGCCTTTCGAGGAGGATGAATCTGAGGAATCACGGCCGACGACACCGAAGCCTGCCGAAGAGCGGAAGGACGGCCTGTTTGGTCGCGTTTCTAGGGATCCACCAGTTTCCGGCGACCGAACGCCTCTTGCCACAACAGGCGCCAATACCAGCAGTGTGTTCAGCACTTCAGCTACAACAGCGGGTATTTGGACGCCGAAGGATCCTATTAAGTTTGCCAACAAGGACACTTCTTCCGAGGGTGAAAAGGAGACGGCTAAGAAGCCGTTGTTCAACTTCGCCCCAGTCGGAAGTTCATCACAAGCGCCTCAATCTGTCTTTAGTGGCCTATTTGCTGGTACGCAGAATAGTTCGGCTACACCATCCGGGCCCGCCACACCCTCGCTCTTTGCAAATCTTAATGCTTCAGCCTCCAAGCCTTCTGGTGGAAACTCGCTTCTCGCTCCACCATCAGGGGCGACCTCTGTATTTAGTACGCCGGGGTGGAACTCTCGTGCGTCAAGCGTCGCACCTTCCGATGTGTCAGGCGCGGAGTCGACGGCTGGCGAGGGCGAAGAACCCAAGCCCGATGTTCAAATTGATATCTCCGACATGGCAAAGGACAAAGAGGGTCATGAAGTCATCTTCGAATCGTCAAAAGTTAAAGCGACGCGCTTTGAAAAGGCCGACGAGGCGGCCAAACGCGCCGAGGGCTGGCAAGTCATTGGAGTTGGACCTATTGCCATCTTGAAAAATGATGATACCGGCGTGGTCTCTATACTCATGCGCACAACACCATCGGGCAAAATTATCATCAATACCCGCATGAGCAGTATTCTCAAGGCAGAGGTCATGAAGAAGAGAGCGCGCATCATCATCCTTTCTAAATCTGGTCCTGAGCCTCACCTAATCAGCTTCCAGACAGAGGACGATTGCAAAGCTTTCGTGGATGCTTGCAAGGCGAATGGAGCGAAGTAGAGCATTTACGTCTAGAGGGGATGGAGAGTACGAAATCAACGTAGATAAGGTGGTTGACGGATGCTGGCGGTCTTAAACACGCACATTCTGCTTTCCCTTGCCTGGCACTGTTCCTCTCCGGGGGCTTGACGCATATGACGACTTTGAGAGGAACGTCGTGTTGTCCTAGACGAGGAAGTTTCAATTGTGCTGCAGGTTACATGCGCCCGAACGAGCCCACTGAAGTCTTGCACGGGAACATGCATGGACTCTATTCACCCTTGGATCTTTTGACAACTGGTCTACCGTTCATTGTAATAGCTTTTTCTTTTTTTTTTTTATTTTCATCTTCTTTTTGGGTTGAAGCGTACCGGCAACAAACTAGGTAAGATATCATGGAAGAATTACTGCATATGGGCGGGCGCGTTTTGTACACATTCTTAACAAGGTCTTGTTGCTTTTCACTTTTCTTTCGAGAATATACACTGGCATGAACTAGCGTCGCCTAGCGTGGCAAGGCGCTTTATCGCGTAGGATGTATAAAATTGGCTCTTCATAATCTAGCATGAGAGACACACAGAATCCCTTCTTTCCGTCTCATTTCACGCATTCGATCCAGATGTCTTCACCCTTCTTTTGCGTTCGCGATGGAGAGTTTCCCGAAACGTTTCAAAGGGTCTCGACCCCAAGGCGACAGAAGCGGACAGAACCCACGGAGAACTGAAATTTGATGACGCACATCAACAACCAAAAAAAAAAAGGATGCAGCGGTTTGGCGACGAGTATTTATTGTGTGTATGTGTGCTAAAAAGTGGCCGAAGTGTTCGCCGTTCTCAACTTCCCTTTGCCAGCAAACTACCCAGATACTTTTGAAAGCATGACTCTGTGCCCGCGAACTGGCGACCATCGTCGCTTCATCCATACCAAGGTATTTCATACTCCAGGCACGTACTTGTTCGCCTCGTACCGTCGCCATCATCACATTCGTCCGTAGTGCAGACCGCGCGCGGGCGTCCCTACGTGTCCAAGCAAGATGCAGCAAAAGAGTAATGAATGCCACGCCTTATCGAGTGGAATATACAAATATCATTCCTTGCTCCCATTGAATAGACCCCTCTTTGTTCAAGTCGATGCTTCCGTACACGCTTTTCGTTTGAGAACGCAATGGAAACAATGTTGAAGAAAAGCCTTGCGTTCAGGTACCGCCTAATAGGAATTCTATTGCGCCCTGCACGCTGCCCCCGCTTCTCCGTAGAGCCTGAATGTTCCGGTCAAACTCGAAGAAGCCCATGTCGTTCAGCTGTCTCAGCTGCTCCGCATACCGCTCCTCGGGGGGTCGGTCGTCGGGGGGAGCGGGCGAGCCGCCGGCCATTGCCCACGGATTTCCGGCGCCAAATAGAGCCGCAAAAGGATTTGTCTGGTTGCCTTCCGCTGCGGTGCCTGTCGCTTCGGGTCCTGCTGGCGGCGTGCCGAACATGGCGCGCATCATATCTGGATTTTGCATCATCTGCCGAGCCATCTCAAAGATGTCGCTATTTGTTCCTCCAGCGCCGGTTCTGGCTCCTGTGGCCCCGCCAAAGAGATTCGCGAAAGGATTTGGTTGTTGTGGTTGGTCTGTGGTCGTGGAGGGAGTACCTTGTCCGCCTGCGGAGCCTGTTGGCGGAGGCGAAGTTGAAGAAGTTGTACCCTGCGCACTTGCCAGAGGAGAACCGAAGATCGCTGCGAAGGGGTTCGCTTGCGCCGCACCAGTCTGGGTGGGAAAACCACCGAACAAACCCATATTGCCAAATGGGTTGGGCGGTTGATTCTGCGTGTTCCCACCGGTCGCGCCGTTACCTGTTGTGTTTGCGGCGCCCGACGTGGTGTCAGTGGCCCCAGGCATAGGAAAAGCCCCGCCAGCGTCACCACCAAGCTGACGTTGCATCTGCAGCTGCATGCGCAGCATTTCGGGGCTGAACATTAGGCGTCGCATTTCAGGATTGCGGATTATATTCCGAAGCATAGGATTGTTGGCGATCATAGGCTGCTGCTCCAGTATGCGTAGCACGTCTGGATTGTTCATGCTTTCGTTAAACATTTGGGCGAAGTTCGGGTCGTCTAACATGCGGAGCATTTCCTCAGGACCCGGCGGTGCTCCCATCTGATCACAAGACATGTTAACTTCCGTTGTTCCAATGTCAATCGGCAAGCTGATCCCCAAACCGCGGGAGGTGGCGAGAACACAGAAAACTTACTCCTCCATCTGCCCCGAACATGGAGGCATTCGGCAGTCCATGAAAACCGGCGTAACGGGCACCTGTCAAGCCAGCAAGTGGGTTGTTACCCGTGCCAGTTGCCATGGTGGGCACGGCAGGCGGGACGGCAGGTGTAGCGCCCGCAGACGAGGTGCTTGATGCAGGATTCTGTCTTGCATTGCTGGCGGCGCCCTTCACCATGTGTATCGTGTTGCCGTCAGCTACCTTGTAGGTAGCCAGTGTGTCTGCATCTTTTAGTACTCTGCCCGAATAGATCAACCGTATGCGCTCGACGGGCACATCTGCGTATTCGGGTGCGGACAGCTTTGCCTTAAGTTCGGAGATTGGTGTGGAGACGGGCAAGGTGAGGACGAACTTCTGCTCGTTGGAAGCCTTAATGTTGAACGTAATCTGGCGCTCGGCTTCGGAGGCGTCTCCTGATGGGTCCTGATTGTGTGCCATGGCAGAGATAGCCCAGGTCGGCGGGTGGAAAGACGAGGTAATAGACGCGGGCGGCCAGAGGTTTTGCTAGGTGGGGGGGTAAGCCCAAGATGCAGGGATGGGAGAATGAGACTACGTTGGCGACACGTATGGTAGGATACTGGAGAGAAAACGCGGTGTTTGTGCGCAAGATAAGAAGAAGACGGGGGGAAGGTGATTTCTGAGGCGAGGTTGGAGACAGGTGGTGGACATGACAAGCAAGCCAGCAAGCAAGCAAGCCCGCAGGCCCGCCAGCGCCGGACTGCTGAGGCAACACGACCGGCGCTTGCAGGCCAAAAGAGCGCATTGAAGCTTCTCGAATGACGTTGGCTTGGCGCCGGCCCAGACTGTCAGCGTCACCTGCCCAACTGCACTTCGCCTCCGGCTGGCTGCGGTCGACCTGATCGCCTCTCGGTGTCCACGCTGCCGCCGCCTGTCGCCGGTCTCGCTTGCACACGTTGATAAGAGCTTGCCCTCGTGCTGTCAGAGTCCCGACCCAGACGTCCGTCATGGCTTCCGATCTGATTCTTCGCACAGACTCATCCTCCGCAGCCTTACCTTAGAACTACGCCTAACCATCGGCCGCCTCAGACGCCGAGTTTTCGTTCTCGCTTGTCATCTCGGCGGGAGCCGCTTGTTTTGCCTATGCATTTTGTCGAACGCACATTCCTCCGCGATAGTCTCGTCCTCAAGATGCTTGCTGTGTCATGCCACCTCTCTACCGACATCATCTTGGATGGGAAAGGCACCGTGGATCACTGATGTGTATCGCGTGCTCCTCTGCGCCTTAATGGAGGACGGCTGGTTTGATACGACACGTTCGTGTGAACTTGGTCTCGGAGCGATTACTCTTGGCTGGTCGGGCAACCAAGCCCGCTCACGCGCACCCACTGTTTTAACGCCTCGTGTTCCTCCTCTGCCTCTCAAGAACAGCAAGCAATGGAAAAGATGTGAGCGATTGCGTGCGCGACCATTTGTCCAGTAAGCACTGTATATTGTTAAATACTGCTTCCACGAGGAGTGTATCATTAGCCATTATCACGTCTATCAGCTTTTTCACGAGAAAGGCCTTCCTTGAATGCATAACCATTGCTCCAAAGCTGGCTTCGGCGACAGGTTCCGTGCTATCTAGTGCGACGCCTATTCCTGTAGCTATGCGTGACTATACTGCCGCTCCAGCTTCACATCATGCGTTCTCCCGCTTCTTTCTGGGACAACAGCCGCCTCTGCGATAATCCTCCCTTCTCGCATCATGACTCGTACAGAGGTTTTTCTAAGGTACGACTCGGCTTGCAAGTCTCGTATGCTATTTTGCTGTGCTTGAACCAAACACTATTGTCGAAAAACTACCCGTCTAATAGCATGTCACCGTCCAGACTTGTTCGTCCAATCCAGCAGCAATCCCGTCAATGAAAGCATTGGCTTTGTCAGCAATGGCAAGGGCATTAATTCAATGGGGGAAAACGGCCGCGACAGCTGTCTTGACATTGGGAAGTCAATGGTCCAGACTAAAGGCGCACCAATGAAGATTGGCGAGGCTATGGCCAAGGTCAGAATGATGAAAAGGAGAAGGAGAAGAGAGGAAGCGTTTACAAGACTGTTTACCTCTGTCATCGTAGACGAGACGATGATCGAGGACAGTCAGACGCCGGAGACGCAATACCCGTGGTACCCGATTATTCAGGCAACGAGGCGTCCGGTCACGGCGGTTAGCGGAGTTACCAGTGCCTGGAGGCGATCTTTGAGCTCCCCGCAGAACGCACCTCGGCTCGCCTGCCATTCGAATCTGCACAGGGCCGGCAAGCCGTGCGTCCCAAGGAACATTCTTGTCGATATGGATCCAGACCATGGACATATTTTGAATTGACCCTTTTCTTCCTGCCTCTTTCTCCGTGTATCGTACTGTTCGGTGATTCTTCCAGTTCCCTTCCTAGGACGCGCCTAGAACTCTCTTCTGCCAGTTTTTGCGAGTAGCTGTTCATTTGGGTAGTCCTTCATCATGCGTGGCATACAGGTTTCGGAATACGTCAAAGTTCGTGGACTCAGTCCCTTAATTTCGCTTCACGCAATTGGCAATAAGCGTGCATAGCAAGGCCGTCGCTGACCATCATCTCGGAGCACAGGGCCCTGAAGAGCTCAAGGTCATTGACTTACCTGACCCAGTCCCCAAGGAAGACGAGTACCTGATCGGCATAAGAGCAAGCGCAACGAATTTTTTCGACCTACTCCAGATCAGGGGCAAATACCAGCACCAGCCGCCGTTTCCCTGGATAGCCGGCGCCGAGTTCTCTGGCGTGGTGTTGAAGGCCCCAGATCGCTTGTCGAACGGCAAGAAACCAGCATTCAAGGTTGGCGATGGCGTGTTTGGCTCCGGTGCGGGCGGTTATGCCACGAAGATATGTGCTACGGAGTGGAGTCTGAGACCAATACCGAAGGGATGGAGCTTCTTTGATGCGGCCGGCCTGTTCGTTACGGCACCCACAAGCTACGCAGGGCTGGTGACCAGAGCGGGCGTCAAAAAGGGTAAGGAATCAGCGACTCCTCATCAGAGGGATATGCGAGGCTGACGAACCTCATAGGTGACTGGGTCCTCGTTCACGCCGCGGCCGGCGGTGTCGGTCTTGCCGCCGTGCAGATCGCCAAAGCCTTTGGCGCAACCGTCATTGCAACGGCGGGCACAAAACACAAACTGGACGTTGCGCGCTCCTTTGGCGCGGACTACGGGGTAGACTACACGAACAAGAACTGGCCCGAGGAGGTCAAGAAGATCACCCCGAACGGGCGCGGCGTCGACATCGTATACGACCCTGTTGGCATGATCGTGCCGTCCACAAAATGCACGGCATGGAACGGCCGAATCCTTGTCATCGGCTTCGCCGCCGGCGAAATCGAGAAGGTGCCCGCGAATCGATTCTTGCTCAAGAACATCAGCTTGGTGGGGCTTCATTGGGGTGCTTACAACGTCTACGAGAGGGAGACGATCCCGGAGGTGTGGAAGGGCCTGTACGAGCTGATGGAGAGCGGCAAATTCAAGGGGACGTGCTACACCGACAAGGAATATGTGGGACTGGAGTCTGTTCCAGCAGCGTTGAAGGCGCTTGGCGCCCGCGACACTTGGGGCAAAGTCGTCGTAAAGATACCCGAGGAGGGACAGAGCAAGCTCTGAGATTCTCATGCACGGCTTAACTTTTCGAAGCAACGGCTGCAGCTGATTGATTTGTCTCAATAGAAGAATGTACTGGAGAACACCATGTGATTTCTCTCATCTTTCATGTCATCCTCCGCTGCCTCTTATCACGTCGGCTAGCCATTCTTTCACAACAAGGCGTCCAGAGGTTTCTACCGTCCCTCGTGAATGTGCCGCTGCCCTGTCGTGGCCTACTTCTTACCAGCTACCGGACACGGGGTCGGATCGGAGACCTTAAGCTCTTTCACTTTGCTATCATCGACCTGCATAGTCTCGTGGCTCCCGAGCTCCGAGCGAACTTGAATGCTGTATTTGCCGTCCTAACATGAACCGGATGAGCCAATGCGCATCTTTTTATTTAAAAAAAATCCCTCGGTGGTGGTCAAGCTCACAGAATAGCCCTTGACAACGCCTACAACGTCATCTCCGGCGCTGTTGGTGAAGGTTACGTGTGTGTTCCTGTTCGTTCGAGGTCAGCTTTCAATTGATCTGGGGATCCTGAGCGTGCGCACTGAGAGAAGACCATGTTGCGTATCACGTTTATCCTCTCACGAAAGTAGACAGCGAATCGTGCTTGTTTCTTTCTTATTTATTGCTTCTGCTAAGGAACCGACGTCCAACCTTGCGGGGTAGTAAGTGGTTCTTCTAGTTCTCTGTTGGATCTATGAAAGCTTATTGCTAGGCTGGATCTCCACACGATCCGTGATGCTGGTTGGTCAACACTTTGTTCGCTGACGTAGGGGTTCTGCAAGCAACCCAACGTTCTCATGATTCCGTCTTGCAAACATCAATGCAGCCATTGGCTTACGTATCCCATTCTCATCACGTCCCTGCATGTTCTTTAGAGGTAATGATGCCCGAAGATCGCCTGATTGTTGCTCTGCGGACATGTGAAAACAGACGACTCATAAGAGCTAGACCTTTACCTTGCACACCATACGCCTAAAACACCACAGCACAAGGATTCACGTGAGTGCTGCCCTTCTTTTTGGTCACAATCTGCGCTTAAAGCGACATATCATGATGTGGTCCCTTGATCATAGGCACCTTACATACGGTTTGTCAACAGGAGAAACGGATTATCACGGGAACAAGCGTGGCAGACTTCAGCATCATCTCCATCTCGATGAAAGGCGTTAAAGGACAGCCATTACGCGGGAAAACATTGATCATTTGATGTTCCTATGAATTTAAAACGCACACATCAAGGTTTGGCTTCAGCCCTAAGTTCGATGAACATTTCGACTGCAATTTGAAGGATGATGAGATGGTGAATCATATGAAAAGGCGTTATTTATTACGCGCCCTCCTATCTTTTCGGAGTTACACTAACTTCGGAGGGTTTCAATGTCGTGATTAAAGAGTCTCTGACAATAGTCAGACTGTGGCGTACAAAGCTATCTTAACGTCACCGTAGTCAAACAGATGACGGGCTCCCTCGGGGATGACATTTTTATGGTTCGTATTGAGCGTGGAACGGAGTAAATTCAGCAGCTTGCAGATCCTCATTGCACGGTGTTAGGCTTTCGGCTTTATCATGCAAGGGATATTCTGTAGACAAAGGATGACTCCGAATTTTCCGGTAACAATCGACATCAGAGGTTCACGGTGTGAACAACAATAGTGCTCTGGCTTTGTGGCAAACCAAGTAATCACACCAGGCTATTCTAGTGCCTTTAAGACACCTCTGTATGGTCTGACCTTGAAAAGCGTCACCACGATATCCTTGATTTTATCTGTGTCCTGACCGATTTGCACATTCAGCTTGATTGCTTGATCGAGAACGGCGGTGAAGATCCTTCTTAGTCTATTCAAGTGATTGGAAAATCACGCCCATACATATCAGCTTCATGCCTCGCAACTTCCGGAAGGATGTGTTGAAAATCGGGTGATAGGAAAGTAGCGTGGCCTAATGATGCTGTTTGTACTCCCTCAACTTCGTTTTCCTTGGACATCATCTCGTCACGATCTAAACAACATTAGCTGCAGCATCGGACTTGTTGAATCCCTGTCATTTATAGAAACAACGCTAGCAAGAGAGTTCATGCAGGCTATCAATGCGACATCGAAGTATGCGAGCATCCATCGAACCCTTGTCCATGCCCTTGGGTTGAAAAACGCTCCATTCCAGCCAGTAGAAATAGACAAGTCCACAGGTTACCATATCTCAAAATATGACCACAGGTTCGCTTCTAGGGTCTGTCAGACGTTGTTTACAACATACGTCGTGTTGGAACGGTTTCGCGGGCCGAATAACTAACTCAGACTATATCAGCACGCGTTAAGATCGTGTTACTTCTCAACTTCCCGAGGTAGCCCGTCTCTTTTTAAAAAGATGAACGTGCCGTGAAATGCATCGTATACGTGCAACGCAGGTTACATCTCCACCAATTAAATGTAACCTTGTTTACGGCGCCGTCACGCTCTCTTGGAGCTTAGATGTCACGCCATGTCTGCACCAATGCTACTGGGCATCAAATGCTAACTGGACCACCTTTGTTTGGCTAATGCGGTTGTGCTAATTCAGAATTTTCTCCGAATGTCCCTCAAAGACTGCGTTTGCGCCTCCATAATCATCACTAGGAACCTTTGCTCCAGTCAGTCACACTTTCCAACCGTTTTATGATGACATCGTGGTATTCCGGTGGAAAGGCAAAAAGAAGACATAAGTGCCTTGTAGCAAAAGAACGTGAAGACAGCATTTTTTTAATCTAGAGCCTTTCAGGGATCTTCATAGCAAATTTGTGGCGAGATTCCGGGTGCTGTCTTCGGCGCGTGGCACCGCTGTCCCACGACAAGATGTATGTATATCGTTCATCATGTGCGTCCGTCATGGCGCATGGTGAACGTCGCATGCCCGTACTTCATCCGCTACCCAAGGGCAAAGGTTGTCTCCCAATGTTGTGCTTCGGCGAAGGCAGGCAAACTCGACCAACAGCAGTGGCACTTGTGTCCTGCTAGTGGTACTTCACGAGCATATAAAAGCTGCGTCCAAGTTCTCAACGGTCATGCAGAAATTTTGAGCCTGAACAAACTTCTTCCCGGCAGTGGAGTCAATGTTCGTATCAAATTTGCAAAGGTGTCAAGGTCGTTTGCAAACATTCTTATTCAACATCCAGTCTATCACCCCTATCTCATCTGCGATATGCCTATCCCTTGTGTCTCCCCAAGCTCCGATGACATTATCATCTCCGGTACAGTCATCTCGATCTGTCCAGAGTGCGTTTCGCACCCTTCCGGCCCAGGGTAAGGTCCTTCCACTGGCTCTTAGTTGGCTCTAATCGTACTGTAGGACGGGGCGCGAAGCATGCTTAAGGTGTAATGGGAAAGGAGTCATCGTGAAACGATCGTCAATTGTCGCCTTTTAAATGACGACATGAGCTCGTTTCGGCTTATCAGAACGGTTAATCTGCTAGACGTAACTCTTGCGAAAAGGTTTCTTAACTCTTTCACAAGCCTCGCAAGTCTGTCTAGTCCGCCCTCAAGAGTCTCACATGGCGCAATGTATATGTCGATCCGCATATGCATTTTTTCAACTTTCGACGTTCAAGGTCAAAGAACCTAAAACAGAAATGGTACTCAGTATCCTTTCATCGTCTTTCTTGCTCGCATGCTTTATTCACGGAGATTCGACTTTATAACGTGTTTCTCAAGTACGGACCAACGAGCCAAAAACTCAATTGTTCTCTGTCGTTGCTCAATCAGAGATTACGATTTATGAGCCCGGATGTCTTTCCTACCGTCGAGACATAGCCCCTCCAAGCTCTTGTATTCTCTTACGTTTGGAATGTGTACGGTAGCCGAACGAACACTTCTTGCTCTCACCGACATTTTGTTTCTTCAATCATTACGTAGGCCTGGACAAAGATTCTAGGATGATTTCTGCGCATAAGGTTCCGTCCATGCAGCTTGCCGGCAACAAACCCCCTTATTGTGCAACGCCCACGTTCACAAATTCCTTTCGAGCTCCAGCATGAAGCTTTTTGGAGACAATGAACCAAAGGTTTGGAATACGCTCCCACAGCTAGGAGGTTGTGGACGTCGGAGAACCGGAGAAAGGTACGCAGACACTTCAATATTCTCGAGCAGCAGAAGCCTGGTGACACCGTTCCAAAGCATTGGTGACCCGGCAGAATGGGCTCTGTGCAATCCCGACATATTGGCCAGACGGCTGTTTTGCCATCGGAACTGCAATCCTGACGCCGCCTTTATCGCTAGACCATTCAGATTTCCACTTTTTCTTTCTTCGAGAAAACCGTAGGCGAATTCTTGAAGTCTAAGGTTGGGACTGCAAGAATTACAAAGAGAAAGCGTGATGGCGATCATCTCATTGTGTTCGCTCAACCGCACACTTGCAAAGTACCCATCTGTGCTTGATTGATTAGGACAAAGCTCGGAGAAGCTCGCGGTGTAAGTATTGCTGCTCCTAGTTCTCTAACCATAGCTATTACACGTGGTTACAAAAGGATGCCTTGTTCCTGATGTCTTAGTAGAGGCTCGATTGCTTCCTACCGGAGGTCGGGGACCAAAAGCCTAGACCTAGCAAACTGAAGCGACCGACGCTTCACGGCAAATAGGAGATGATGCATGCCCTTGTTATGCGTTACTCAAGCTTGCCAACACCTCTTAGGCTAAGATAAACATCCGTCCCCCATCCATACAGACTTTGAATCGCGATGCCACCCCCAAAGTATTCGGCATACGCTCTGCCAAGTGGCAATCCATAGCCCAAGCCAGCTAAACTGCTCCCTCCTCCGGCACCCGTCGTGATGGCATTAAGTGCATCCATGTTACCATGCTGTCCTTCAGAATCACCGTGTAGTTTCGACTGTATCTTGTCCTCGCTGAACGTAGTAAAGCTATAATCCCATATGTGGGCATAATTCTCTGGTGAAATACCACCACCACGATCGCGAATCCGGATTGTAACGCCGGGCGTTGTCTTCTTTAGGGGTCTGATGTGCTCGGCAGCCGCGATCTCTTCGAGATGGGATTCAGGTGCGCCCGTAGACGCAAGGTCAAGATTTCCCTGGTCAAGATGTGAGATGTGTTTTTTGCGCCCGGTAACGTCTGGGTCTTCTGGCAGCGGGGCAATGGTGACTTCGATCGGAACTCTCTCGTTCCCATTTTCGATCGTCGCCCGAAACGAGTTTTTAAGCAGTTCTGTCAAAATATATTCCATGTGCATCGGAATATGCGCGAAAGTGTAATTAGGTTCGCCGTTGATCTCGATCTGCGGTCGGGTGCCATACTTGAATTCACAAATGTCACCTACGGCTTGCTCACAGTGACGTATGATGTGCGCAGGGCATAGTTCCGTGTCTATTACTCCAATGAAGCTTGGGTCCGGCGCCTCTGGCGGCGACTGCTTCGCATCGTGTGGGTTCAACTTCATGTGTGGCTGGCTTGAGAAATGCAAAGCTATGTGTTGTTCCGCGATCAGTCTCGTGCCTATTCTTGCCCGCAGATGTTCATCCAGAAAGCGTGTGACTTCTTTTGCGCTGATGTATTTTCTAGCTTCTAGAAAACCTCTTGCTAGAATAGAAATGGTGTTGTTGTGCGTCTGAACGAGATCCGCCAGGACCTCAGTGAACTTGATCTCGTCTTCCAACGTTCGTATGTCCTTCTCAACCCACGGGAGGAGAGTCGACAAAGAATGCAAATAGTTTCCATGGATTTTCGAGATCTGAGGGTTTGCCACGACAATGAACGGTAGGTTTCGGAGAGACTGTATCCGGTGTGCTAGCCGGGAGGGGAGTATAGAGACGGTGAAGTTGGCCGAGTCTAGCAGCTGTCGCGTTGACAGCGGAGGTCTTCCATGTCTGCTGCAATGTCAGGAGGGATCAAAACCATCATTCTAGACTACTGACTTGACCAGATCAGCCAAAGTCAAGGGATGCAATGGCCGTGACGCAAGTTCAGCAATGACATCGTCAGTGACTGGCTCTTTATGAAGGAGTCGCCGCGCAAAGGTAGGAAGCCGCTGTGTTTGCGGTCGCAATTTATGAGGGCGCAGCGATACTCTGATCACTGGCCTTGTGAATGCCATGTCTTGCCGGCATATTGCTCAAAACGTAGTGATGTCGAACGCAGCTTGGATGGGCGATCTAGGAAGATCGTCTGAGGTGGCATGTGCACGCGAGATCAGCACTTGCGGCTGTGGGAGCGTCCACTTAGAACTACTCTCTCTGGCATCATCATGATTCGAGAGCTACAAGGGTATTTCCCTTATTGATTTCAAGTTTCATTTTCGCTTGGTTAACTGGGAAAATTGTTTGATCAATTCTTTCCAAAATTGCTCATTGGCTAGAGGCTGTCTACTTGGTACTTTGTCCGCCCATGCTTGTCACCGATGATGCAAGCGACCATGTTCCGTTAACTTATGCTATGAACTTGCTCAGGTTGACCATGATGGTTATCTGTTACCCAGAGACGTTGGCTGCCATCAGCGACATCTCCTACGATGCCTTTACCTCCTGGTCGGCCTCGACCGTATAGGCGTCGTTGCTCTGCAGCGTATGAACTGCGTCTGGGGGAAATTCTACACTGAAACGGTCTTTTAACATACGCTCATTCCAGCTGATGGTGAGGACCTACGTAATGCTTTTGATCAACTTGGATTCATGCGTGATCTTGCCTCCTTGATCAAGAGCAGTCTGTTTGGCTCTGAAGTCCTCAGTCAGCGGACTTACGGCTCTTGAAAATCAGAGGCCACTGCACTTTTCAAGATCACTAGCGGAAGCACCCTCCTTTAACGTGATCTGGCTTCAGATCAGAATGAACATAATTCATCGGAGACAAGGTTGCAAGCTGACCATGACGGTAGGCATGTTGTACGGCTTCGTGTCGTAAGACCCTTCGACAGACCAGGAAATTATTTCAGTATTGTCTGATAATGGGAGTTGAGATCAATGTCCTTTTGGGGGATTTCTTGTGAATGAACAAGAGCAGGTAAGTTTCTCAAGCAACTTGAGAGTTCAAGACTGCGCCCTCTCTCTTCTGCCTTGGCCCCACGCCCCCGGCGGACAGCGATGACGCCATGTACACAAGTCGCGTGGGCACATCGAGTGGATCCATAAAGCCGGCAGACGCCAATCCTGGCCGGGGCGACAATCAGTGGTCTACACCATTTGTACGGCCCAGGAAATCGTGACATTCTAGCCGGGTCTGCCCGATAGGGAGGGGTCTTCTAGTGTTTTGCTTCAAGTTTCTCGTCGCAAGAACGCAGAATCGTTTGTGCGATAGATCCTGGAAGTGTATGTTCGTCCCTCTATCCCTTCTCCCGCTTCCTTGTGACGCCAGTAAGAAGAAATACTTCACAATGCTATGCTTTCTACCGTGATCTACCTGCTCGCTACGCATGATGCTCGCCGAGAGCTTCCTGCTCCCGTTTCGCCCTTACAAAATCTTCGTACCAAATACACCACAATGTACATACAATGCCAACAAGGCTGCTGAAGAAAGTGAAGAGATACGCCGCTTTGTAGCACTCCAGCCCTTGTTCACAGACCAAGTGCCCTTGATCATGCGGTACAGAATGTCGGTCGTAAATCGCACCATACGCAAGATTGAAGATGTTCCCCATCACCACAGGGGCAAGTGTCATAAATCCCCAGTTGACAGACAAGCCCGTCACACCGAAGGTGTCGGCCACCAAGGCAGGGTAGACACCAAAGAGCGCACCGTACGCGAGGCCAGTGAGACTGCTAAGCACCCAGAGGTAGTGCGGATCAGAGATATTGAGCCCAGCGACCTGCGCAAGCGTAAAGACGCAGCTGCTACAAACTAAGCACCAGAAGCGCGACATGTGCAGGCGCTTGACCAGAACGTCAGAGCCAATACCGCTCAGCAATCTGCCAAGGAAGGAAAAGACAGATATTATAGAGACATGCATCAGCTGCCTCTTCATGATAAACGTCGTGTCGGCATCTGGGTCATTGTACCACAACGCCTGAACGTTGTTGCCAATGTTGTTGATCGTCATCAACCCGATGCCGGTGAGTACGCCGAGCATGACCCATAAGGAGTAAAACTCAACCTTTCTGAGAAGCATAAAACCCGATACATCTGCTCTATGTGAGTGAGTGATTCCTGAATCATCCAGAGGTTTCGAATCTTGAATGTCTCCAGGGATCGAGGAGCCATCTGAGAGCAGAGAAGCAGATTCGCTGCTAGAAGGCTCCTGAGCGCGTGAGGAATGTCGATCTTCCTCATCTTGGTCTGATACTGCTTGTTGGCAGCTGATCTTTGGTGATTTGACAGGAAGAAAAAAGAAGAAAGTTGGATAGACTGACCTGGTTCTTCATGAAGTCGCGATCCTTTCCCAACCTTCCACACCGGTTGCTTTTGCAACGGATTCGAATCTCGCCGTATTCGAGGCTCGGAATGAGCCAAAGCTCGATATTGTTCGGCGTGGGGAACAGTGACAAAGAAGAAGGAGGTGAAGGTAAGAACAACGGTGCCAATGGCGAGAAGCAATAGATATTCACCCACGTCATCTCCGAGGAATATATGTGAAACTGTGGTGAAGAAAACCGCGCTAAGGCCAAACGCGGCCAGCGGGAAGGCTGTAGCAGTACCTCGATGTAACGGCCAGTTCAAAGCGGCTACGAATTATGAGTGAGAATCGCAAATGCAGCCACATCAGAACGTACCTGTCTTGATTGCGGCTTGGAAAGCCGAACAGCTACCGAAGCCGGTCAAGAAGGAGAAAAAGCAGAGCATAAAGACGCTCATCGAGCCAACTCCACCATCGTATGCCAATTTGATGGGATAGAATCCTGCCCCCAGTGCGAAGCTGCCAAGCAAGACGCCAGGTCTTGGGCCTTTGTGGTCAACCATGTAACCCAGTGGTATTCCCGATGCGTACATGCCAATATTGCCCATGGAGCCCTATATTCCTCAGTTGAAGTACGATGCCAGTATACGTGATGACCGCTTACGATTAGGTTGCTTTGCGTCGAAGACAGGTGCATACGCTCTGCGAACTGTGGGGCCCATGCTGAATATGCATACTGTGATTCTGTTAGTTGGTGTAGTAATGGCAGAGGCCGCGTGGTCGTGTACATTTGTACCACAGGCCAGGCTGATCAATGTTGCCGCCACTACGGCCACCTTCCTCCTTGTTCTATGAGATTGTTCCTCCAGCATTGTGGACGCGTATTGCAGCAGGGCAGCTGCAAAGCTCGAATCAAGATATCATGCTCTTCAACCCAAGCGTTGGGAAAGCTCCACGTTTGGCTGAATAGATGTGCGGATGAATGCAATTCTACACGGGAAAATCTCGAAAATCGAGATGAAGGCTATTGCATGCGATTTAGAGCGTAAAACAACGGGTAAGAAGATGCGTCTAGCAGTGGTGGGACGAAGGTGGCTGTCTGGGATAAGTTATGACCATGCGGCTGTCAAGTCCGCTAAGTCGACGATAAGGCCCGATGCCGATGTCGCGTACTCCACCAACCATGAGCCATGCCCCTGCTTCCGCGGTAAAACGCGAGGTATATCTTGTTTGATAGGTTGATAACACGTTATTGCATCTTCATGGCCTCCATAAAAATATTCCTCTGTTCTCTGACCTCCTCCAAGTCGTTGACCACTTCTGCCATAGATTCAACTTCAACGATACCACGTCCGTGCTTGAATGACCACCTGCCCTCTGTCTCACACCGGACTTGGAAGCCCTGCCAACGCAGCTGCTTTAAAGTGTGTACATGTTCGTCGATGTCATTGCTTGGACCAGAAAATATCATGACGCCTGGATATCCCGGCTTTGTGATGCCGCTGATCTCTGACGCGCCAAGTACTTGAGGCCAGAGCGCTTGTTTCCTCTTGCTGGTAGCGAGCAGATGGTGAAGCCAGATGATGGTGGTCTTACTCTGGTCCGAACCACGTGCTGTTGAACTCGGGCTTCCTGTCGTGTGTGCTTCTGTCGCCAATTTCTCAATCAGAGCGACAAATTCAGCGATGATGGCGTCCAGGCACGGCTCCCCGGCCTGCTGGCTGGCAAGGATTTGATTTACCTCTGCTCTCAAGTCACACTTGCTTGGGCCAGTAGCTGAGATCAGGCCTGGCGTAGACAACGATGGATAGCTAGCGGGAAGCCGTAGTTCTATCTCCCCCTTCAAGTGCTTAAAGTTTAGCCGTGAGCTCTTTATATCATAACTTGTTTCATCCGGATACATGGCCTGTACGAGCGCAATTTCGTTGTGCAACCCAGACTCATTTGAATGAGGCTCCATTGCACAGCGTCATTTGGCTTGTCCTTTTTGGGGCGGGAAATGCGCGCCTCAAAACGACGTGCCAAAAGTATGAGATGCAAGACACGAATCTTTTGGCACGATTGAATAGCAAGTCTTCTCCTTGGACCAGAGAGACATGAGCGTCGCAGGATCGGAAAAGGAAGAATTTGACGAGATGAAGCCCTCCAGCACGCGTCTTTCTCAAAGTCCGTCTCCCATTGCTGGTTATTTCAGTAGGTAAAATACGCACGGTGATAGAAGCTGCACGTTCACTCCAAATCTTGTCGAACCCTTTGTCGTGTGTGGAAACACCAATGAAAAAAAGCACACGATCCCTCTCGGCAACGCGGATGCTTGTTGTGAATGATCCAGCTCCAAAGATTCAAACATGGAAAATTCCTGAGAGACGTACCACACGTTCGGTTGGTCCAAAATTTGATCTCAATGGATGTCTCAGCTGCCTCATCATCATCGTCGTCGTCATCTGTTGCTCTTGTTGAACAATCAGGGGATGCTCATCATCATGATAGACATGCAATACCGCCAATGTTCATCCAGAAGGCTCACTGGCACTATTCCACGGTGAAGAAAGCTGCACTAGATTTGGATGAGGACGTGGTCGACTTCAGACGCGGATTAACCTTGAAACAAAAAAATGACCTAAAGATCGTTGGCAGTCTCTCTGCCAAAAGGCTTGAGACTGTTTGTTCGCAATATATTCAAGCTCGGGTTGGTACTTCTGAGGCCATGGAAGGCCTCGAAGATGTCACTATATATGAACATAATGACTTTCCGGGTAAGAGAAAGACGGCTTGCCAATACGTCATTGACTGATAGTTGTGCTCAAGGACTACAGATTTTGCCAGGACTTCTGCCACCAGAAATCCAACAGCATTTTACATCACAAATACTGCATAACGAGCTGGCCAACGAACGGCACAAAAACAATTTGATGCCTGATTACAACATACCCTACCCAGGGCCGAGATCGACCCAGCGGCCGACCGAATTCAAGTCATTCTTCACATATCCGCAAAATTCAAGTACAGGAGCCAATCTGGTACCGAAGACCCCAGAAAGTGCGAAAAGCTTGAACATGGCCCAGTTCCTCACCAGCAAGCTTCGCTGGCTTACAATCGGGGATCAATATGACTGGCCCACTCGTACCTATACGCGGGGTGGACCGTCAACATTCCCCCCTGACCTTGCAGGCTTGGTCAATGGGCTCTTTCCTCACATTCGCCCTGAATCGGGAGTCGTGCTTCTGTATTCAGGTAAGGACTACATGCCGGTTCACAGAGACGTGAGCGAGGAGTGCCATACAGCTCTTGCAAGTTTCAGCCTTGGTTGTGATGGCATATTCATTGTTGCTCGGGGTGAGGATGATGGCGAGGGAGAGAATAGACCTCGGACAGTTGCTATTCGTGTGCGAAGTGGGGATTGCATCCATCTCGATAAAGAGACTAGATGGGCATGGCATGCCATGGCAAGGACAATATCAGGAACGTGTCCTGATTTCTTGAGTCAATGGCCGAAAGGAACTCCAGGGGCGACGCTGGAGGAAAAGAAAGCGTACGAAAAATGGAACGGATATATGAGCGGAAAACGGCTCAACGTTTCGTGCAGGCAAGTTTGGGAATGAGTTCGCCTCTTCATACCACAGACATCTTGCTGGAAGGATAGTCTAGCAACGTTCGTCACGAGCAGTTCAGATGGTCTAGAGTCGCGTGCTCATTGCGTATACCAGTAGTTAAAGCTCGTCGAGCTTCTCAGATCTTTTTTTGGTGAAATTTTAATACGAAAGGGATAAAATTCTCCCTTTCCTCAACTGCTTTTCATCGACATCTCCCTCCTTTCTTTACTTTGGTCATCATTGCCCATGTGTTAAACCACGCAACTAGCGGCTCGTTGCTCTCTTATCGATAATGCCCACAGACTCGCAGAGCACGTGCTCACTCACTGCGCTCTTGAAGTGACCTCTCAATTCCTCATGAGTTCCAAACAAAGACCTCTCTTCAGCTAGGTGTGAGCTCCGGGCCTTGATCGGCGAAGACTTGGGCTTCGTCTCTACGAGAAATACAGCAGATCTTATCTTTTACATCTGATCTAACGTGACTAAAAACACACAGACGTGTCGTCGGCGCAGCTCGGGAACTTTCAATCCTCCCAAGAGGGCCTCGGCTATTCTGACCCGCATCTGCGCGCGGACTTTGCCAAAGACAGCTTTCAAGCGTGCACCCTCATAGGATCTCGAAAGGCTCCTCGGCACATCCTGGGTGGTAGCGTAGACCGAGCCAAAATCCTAAATTGCCGCTCGAAATATTACTTTCGATCTGATCCCAACGCATCTGATCAACAGACCACCGATATAAGCCGTGGGAATGTCCTGTGCGCTCAATGGCACCTTAGCTAGAGCATTTCGCGCTCCCCTCAGTCGACAGCGAGTTGTGCCCAGTGTCTCGACCGTAGGTCCCCAGGTTTTGCTACACAGGGTACGTTGTGAGCCTTATCTCGGCCTTGAATGATTCCGCGACAGATCCGTCTGTCCGTTCCTTGGGTTATGCTAACGACGTCTGTGATCCAGTCACCCACGATGGCTCAAGCACGAAAGTCGTCCAGCCTGCCAGCTGGTACGTTCACCGCTTCGTAATGTCACTCGCGTTGGACTAACCAAGACACGCAACATAGGGTACAAAGAGGACTGGTCAAAAGGGAGGATGCTTCGTTTCGAAGAGTCGCTCCCTAGGCTGCCTGTACCGACTCTTGAAGGTAGAGTAACATCGTCGGCAATCTCGATCAGACACGCTGATTCTCCCTGATCTTAGAAACCGCCAAGCGCTACCTCAAATCTCTCCACCCTCTCCTCACAAAGAGCGAATTCGAAAACTCGACGAAGGTTGTAGAGGAGTTCCTCAAGCCCGGCGGGGCTGGCGAGGAACTGCAGAAGCGTCTGATTGCACGCCGCGAAGACCCAAACGTCAAGAACTGGATCTACGACTGGTGGAACCATGCGGCATACTTGGGCTACCGTGATCCTGTAGTCCCATACGTCTCTTATTTCTATTCGCACCGCGATGACCGGAAGCGTCGAGACCCGGCCAAGAGGGCTGCAGCCATGACTACTGCTGTCCTTGAATTCAAGAGGCAAGTCGACACTAAAGAGCTCGAGCCGGAGTACATGAAAAAGCTCCCGATCGCTATGTCAAGCTACGAGTACATGTTCAATTGCTGCCGGATACCAGCGAAGCCAGCTGATTACCCAGTCAAGTATGATTATAAGGAGCACCCATACATCGTCGTCATTCGCAAGAATCAGTTCTTCAAGGTTTACCACGAGGTCAATGGTAAACAGCTGAACACGTCCGAACTTGAGCAAATGTTTCGCAAGGTCTACCAGAAGGCTGAGAAGAGCCCTCCTGTTGGTATTTTCACTTCGCAACAGCGAGACTCATGGACGAATGCTCGGGAACACCTTCTAGCTGCTTCTCCGTCGAATAAGGAGGTTTTGGAAGCCATTCAGGCCAGCTCATTCATTGTTTGCTTGGACGATGCCTCGCCTGTTACTCTCGAGGAGCGAGCGCATCAGTATTGGCACGGTGACGGTGCCAATCGCTGGTTCGACAAGCCTTTGCAGTTCATCATCAATGACAACGGAACATCTGGCTTTATGGGCGAGCACAGCATGATGGACGGCACACCAACTCATCGCCTGAATGACTACGCCAATCAGGTCATTTTCACCAATGCCCTTGACTTCGACAATCCCGAAGTTCGTTCCAACTTGCCAGAGCCACAAGTGCTTCGCTTCAAGCTTAACAAGCAAGTCGAGGAAGATCTTCTCGCGGCCCAGCGCCATTTCGATCGACAGATTGGTCAACATGAACTCAAGGTCCAGGCATTCCAAGGCTACGGCAAGGGTTTGATCAAGAAGTTCAAGTGCAGCCCCGATGCATATGTCCAAATGATTATCCAACTTGCCTACCATAAGATGTATGGCAAGAACCGACCAACTTATGAGTCTGCCGCCACTCGCCGCTTCCAGCAAGGTCGAACGGAAACCACTCGTACTGTCAGCGATGAGAGCGTCGCTTTCTGCAATGCTATGGCCGATCCAAATGTTTCGTCGGAGGAATGCGAGAAGCTTTTCCGCGCGGCTCTCGACGCCCATGTCAAGTACATTAGCGACGCTAGTGACGGACGTGGTGTTGACCGACACCTTTTCGGCTTGAAGATGTGCCTCAAGCCAGGCGAGCCGGTTCCAAGCATTTTCACTGACCCAGCATTCACGTATTCCAGCTCTTGGTACATCTCGTCCTCCCAGCTGTCGTCCGAGTACTTCAATGGCTACGGATGGTCGCAAGTTATTGACGACGGATGGGGAATCGCATACATGATCAACGAGAACAGCATACAATTCAACGTCGTTAGCAAGGGTCTTGGTTCGGAACGGTAATTCTTCACCATTCTATACATCAGATGTTCTTTCGAGTACTAACGTTTCAAAAGCATGTCCTTCTACCTCAACGAGGCCGCCTGCGATATTCGAGACATGCTCCTACCAAGCCTGAAGGAGCCACCCAAAGCCAAGCTTTAGTGTCTCTCTAGGCAATCGAGGTTCTCGACAATCAACTATCCAACCTTCACACTGTACAAAATCTTTCTTAAGCATCATTGGGACCTTGTTATGTGCGAGAAGCTTTGAAAGTCCATCTAGACCAGATCTTATACTTGAGCCAGTTAAGCATCGTCCAAGGTCAAAACGCGAGAAAAAATCGATTTCTGCGTGTCATCTACTCTTCGAGATATAAATCAAGAATTGATTGATAAATTCAAGTGTCTATCGCGTGAAGTGTTGTGCCCTTTCTGCAATTGATTCCTGGAGATGGAAATTCCTTTTTTTTTTTTCGTTCGGGTTTAGTTTTACATTTCGAATTCATGACGGTCGGACAAAGAATATTTCGGCTCGTTTTATATGTGTCACTCAATGCGTCGCAATCTAGTGTACATTTGGAGGTCTCCAACGCATTGTCAAGCTAGTGACAGAATCAAAAACCAACATGCAACAGTGTACTACCTGCGGCGGCATGAAAGTTGTTTCTTTTTTCTGTCATCAGTGCGAAAACATATCGCAGGCAGGGCCACGTTTTGCAAGCACTTTTGAGGTTCGCGACGGCGCACACCGATGCAGCAATGGGCGTATCAAGGGCCCCAATGCCGTCGACTTTTCGACACATCTGCTGTGGCTCTGGAATTGCGGTTAGCAAAGGGCACTGGGACTGCCTAGCCTTGCCGTTGACGTTTGTCTGTAGCTTCAAGGGGAAGGTGAGGAGGAATATAACTGCACTCGCGTGACAAGGCTGGTTCGAGTGAAAATACATCTCCTACAGTCCTCGCCACTATTTGCAGTTGAATCAGTACAATTCACATTTTTTTTCCTCTTTCAGGAATTAGATACGATAAGAAAATTACCAAAAATGGTGCGTTTGAAGATCCATATCGTAGAAGCCCGCCATTAAGCCTTTGAGACCTTGATCTGCAAACGAGCTTGGTTCCCTTTCTTTTGTCTGGACTTCTCAGGAGTAAGACATCAGTTGCGTCTCCTTCCTCCTCCCCTCGCCTCTCCTTGCCTATGTTCCTCGAATCATACGAAATCATTGAAATCAAGGTTGTGTTTCTGACTTGAGCCGCACGTTTGGGATGACGATGATTTTTCTTTTTTGGATGTTCTTTATTGCACATCCTTGTGCATGACAACGAGAGCCCGTGCTGCATGCATATCGTAGCGGGAGATTCACGAGCTATCAAAAGTTTCAATCGTAAACGCCGTCGCTCCCAAAACATCATGCTGCGTGCTCATTATTTTGGGTTTAAAGCGCGCTTTGATGCAGTTTGATCCTTTCGCGCGTAGTCACCACTGGAGCGCCGATCTCTGCCAAGCCAGGTCCGACACTTCTGAAGGAAATTCGGAAACATTTTTTGTCTGGAGAAAGAGACTGACCAGACGAAGAAAAAAAAAAAAAAAAAAAAAAAAGGGGGGGGGGGGGGGGCGCGCCAAATTAGGGCTTCATAGGAAAATGGATTCGTGAATTTTCTTTTCATCATACTACGTCACAAGTCCATAAATTTTTGACTCCACGTTATAGTACGTGGGGATTGCTGTAGATGCTAAATACATATTTGCGGCTTAAATCGGCCTCAAAATGATAGACGTGGACTCGTGAGCATCCTGTGCAACGCTCATGTAATACGCTCTTCAGCATCAATGTCAAAGGATGGGGAGAGATTATGCGAGGAATGGAAGAGCACGGCGGTTGCGTCCGCCACCAGTCTTGCCACCGGCTGAAGATGCCCCTGCGTTGCCCTTGCCACTGGCTGAAGATGCCCCTGTGGTGCCCTTGCCAGTCTTTCCTCCAGCTGCGGAAGCACCGCTTGCAGTAGTTGCTTGCGAAGCTGTTGTTGAAGCGCCAGTGTTGGTACCTGTGCCGCCTGTCGTGGAGCCACTGGTGGTAGAGCCACCTGCAGCAGCAGTACCGCCAATTGGATTGGTAACTTTGCCCTCTGGATGAATATTAGTATATGCATAAGTTGCGAGAAATGAAGCAAACTTACGGTTGGGGTTGGCAGCTGGAGCGAACGCAGTTGAGCGGTCAGCATTCGAGCGAACGTTCACAACCTGGATATTGCCAGGGAATGCGCTGTTGGGAGCAGCAGCGACAATGCCTGGGCAGGTGTCTGGGCGGATTGCAGTGCGAAGGGTTGCACCACTGCCGATGACACGAGCGGCAACAGCCATGTATGTATCGATGGATGGCAGAATCTGCGTGCAGCGGACATTGGAGATGAAGTCGATGAGTTGCTGAGTGTTCGCACCCTGGTCGGCCATGATTTGCAGGTTGTTGACGACCGACTGGAAAACACCGTTGGTCAGGGTCTGGTTAGCGATGGAGACATCAGGGTCGTTTCCGATGACAGAGTCCAGAATAGCCTTGTGGGTAAGTTCGTCAACCTCAGCGTTGTAGGCGATGTTGGCACCCTGGTTGAACTGTTGACCAGTGAGGGACTTGCCGGTGTTCAAGAAATTGGAGACTTGGGCGGTGTCGAAAGACCAGTTGTCGGCAGCTGCCTGAAGAGCCTGCGCAGTGGAGGCATCGACAGAAGTTGGAGCACCAGTGGCGATCGCAAGTGCTGAAGATACCGGAGTGAAAGGGCCGAATGTTCCAGTATTGGTCGCAGCATTGAAGTTGGCTTGCGGGTTCGCAAGTTGAGGAAGGCCATTCGGTCCATTTGAGCCGGTAGCACCGGCGTTGAGAGCACCACCAGCCTGACCACCGTTGATACCAAGCTGGTTGACTGGAGTGCCCTGTTGGCTCGTCTGAACAGTGCCGCCCGTGGCGCCGTTACCACCTGCTTGAGCGGTTGAGTTGCCAGCACCCGTAGTTGCGCCTGAACCGGTCGTTGCACCAGTGCCTGTAGTCGAACCGGAGTTGGTGCCCTTCCCAGAGTTTCCAGATGCGCCGTTCGCGCCAGCCTTACCACTGGTGGCCTGTCCCTGTCCCTGACCTTGACGGGCAGCGGCCACACCAGATGCGGCCAAGATTGGCACAAGAATGACTGAGAACCTCATGGCGAAGAGCGGCTTTCAAAAAATGGGGTCAAATGTGGGTGTAGAAGAGGAGTGTGATGGTAAATGATAGACTGCCCAGCAGTGATCCGATCCGGAAGGAATGTGCAAGAAGAGGAGTAGAGAACGTAAATACAATGGAATAGCCTCAGGCCAAGAATGGAAAAAGAATGAACCCAGTTCAAGAAAGGAAGAAGGTAGTGGTGGAGATGTTGATGCTGAGGATGCTGATAGTGGAAGCCATGGCTGGCAGTCTTGAGGCTAAATAGTAGCTTGCTCAAATTCAAGAAAATACCAAGGCCGATTTCTTTGACAAAAGCCAAGAAGACACCAAGGAAATGGCTGGTATGGCTGTCATTTGTGCGTGTTTCTTCAGTTTTGGATGCTGAAACTCCAGGAGTGACAGGCAGCGGACTCTTCCCGCTACGGGCGTTCTGCTGAAGGAAGCAACGGGCGCTTTCTCCACATCGATGCCTAGCGCAGGAAATGGTTCTGCGATCACACTTCTTGGCCTCAACGGACTGTCAATGCTGTCAGAGATCAGAAATAGCATGCTGGTTGCATTGACCACTCCCATCTTGGTGGCCAAAGGTGTGGAATGAATAGCATGGCAGCAAACGAGGAGCTGCCAGAGCAAGGAGGCGGAATGCCGTTCGTTGCATGCCCCATCGCGCTCCAACTGACGTCTGGTACGGCCAGAACGAGCATTTCTTCCTTGGAAGATCGTACAATTCCACAGCCTACGCGCAGTCCACTCGATCTAGAATGCTTTGCGGGCTGCACAGCGAGATGTCAGCCTGATGCCGTCATTCTCAGCGTCTCACCCACCAAACTCACGGGCGCTTAGGCCGGCCCAGGCTCAGAACCATCGACAAGCAGAGCGAAATTGGAAGGCAAGGTGCCAACACGCCACGTTCGAGAGTTTGTAACAGCAAAGCATTGGGACTGAGCCAGTGTGTTTGGAAACAGCGGGCGACGAGCTCTCATAGGCGCGCTGGCGAGCACGCCCTGCTGATCGGGGTCCCTGCGGCGCTCTGGGGGGGCCTCTAGGGGCCGCTCTGGGCAGTGTGAGCTTCGCCTGCCCAGTGCAGTGCTTATGGGAAACGAGCAGAGGCCAAGCGAATGCAAGCCTTTCTGTGTTGCGGCTCCTTGCCTCCCCCAGGTGCGCATCCAGACACGATACACGCTGTTTGCTATTTCTCAGCTAGGCGATTGGGCATTGGCTGGCCCGATGAAACGACGTCGAAACGAGTGCGCCGGAACAAGCAACGGCCCAGGGGCCTTTGGCCAGAGCTAACGTGACTTCGCTGAGCTTGGCACTATATAGCAGCCAGGCCTGTCCCACCACCACCACAACGACCTCGCCTCCTAAGAAACGAAACCGTTTCTTCCTCCCTACCTGGCTAAGGAGCCAGGCAAGAAACGGGCGCAGGCTCCTTTTCTCATTTCCACAATGAGCTCGACTTGAACTTGTGTGCGGTGCTTGTCGTCTATGCCCAGATTCAGCACTCAAACAGCCTTGTGAAGCGCTTCTAGTTTCTAGACCCTATTTCCTAGTACTAAAGCTGGTCACAGCCCCCAGAAAGTTGACTTTCGGATCGTTCACTTGCCGGCCGAACCAAGCTGTGACAGTGCCGATCACGATACTTTTTGTGAGCAGTCTGTAGCGGTGCTCACGGTCCATTGTACTGTCACAGAACACTGAGCTAGTCCCCATATGTCTCCTTGAGCTCCGCGAAATGCTCACGATGCTCCTCAGCAAGCTTCCCTTGTGCTTCTTCGAGCACTGTCGCTACCAATGAGAAGTTATTGAACAGAAACCTCTCCCTTTTCCTCGCTTCTCCAACAGATTTGCTGAACTTGGTGAGAAATGCCTCGTATTCACCCCTTAGGCGGCCGAGACTTCTGGCCACGGGCTCATCATCACCGGCTTCACTGCTTAGATTCAAGGCTCCCAACAAGAAACTTGCGAACCGCTGTGTGAGGGGATGCGGCGCAGTTGAATGCACTGGAACCGCCGTGCCCCCACCCGAGAGGAGCGCTGAGGCCCCCGTGCGACCAGACAGAGCGGCGGATGCCCGTTTCAAAGATTCACAATGCAGGTCAATCACCTGTTGGAATCGAGGCCAGAGCAGAATGTTGGTGGCATTGACATAGCCCTCAGCGGCGGGTACTTTTCTGCGCTGTAGCTCGAACGCCATCTGCTGGTTAATACGAACGCATAGCAGGATCCCCAATGCGTCCGTACTGTTCTCCACCAACGACTTGGTCAGATTCTGGCCTAGGTTGAAGGTAGGGTTGAATATTGCATCGAATGTTCGGGAAATGGCGTGGAAATTCTGTGTCGGCGCGAAGAACCCACTGAGGAACGAATATTCGAAGCTAGCATTGTCAATCAGCGCCAGGTTGAACGATCTAAACGGAGTTTCCATGTAATGCGTGGACTTGTCCTCCTCCGCGAGATAGGACGAAAGCGCAGTTCGTGATGAAGGCTTCAAAGCGTTGATCCGTCTACCCAAACTGAACGGATCATGTGTGGCTGGACCCGGTTTTGCCGGTCGTCGAAGGCTAGGATCATCTTGTTGTCCTATGAGATCATTTTTATCAACAACATGAAGCTTGATAGCCTTGAGAGCAGCCTCGTATCGCGTGAAGTGACTGAGGTAATACCATCGCATTGTATTCACGTACGCCTGCCCAATCTCATCGGCAAGTTTGGGTTGGTACCGTGCTAGGAAGGCATAGAGGTCTTTGTATTTCATGAAGTTGTCCTGTTGGATAATTTGTGCGTTGATGTTAGGAGACCGCAACGCCTTGATCTGGGCGACGAGGTAGTCTCGTATCCGCTCAATGGCCTGTGATAGATCAGCTCTGGTATAACTTGTATTCACAGAGTGTTCGTACTCTGTTCGTTAGATTCTCGAGCAGAGGCTCGATATCTTCCAACGCCTTGACTTTTTGTGACTCCTGTCTCTTTGCTTCAATCGTTCTGGACCTCTTCTCGAGCTCGGCCAAGGCGCGAACCCATGCCTCATCGACCGTTCCTTCGGAAATCGTTCGAACGACTGCTGGCGACAAGCTCAAACTTTCCACTATCGGTCCAAGGAGGTTCTCGACAACTTTGCGGCGCTCGAGCTTGGTGTTCATGGAAGCAGATCGTGACTGAAGAGTCTCGATCTCGGCAGATACAGCTCCTAGATCCGCCTGAAAGCCAGTCAAGTACGTCTCTACTGATTGTAGGATTTGATCGCAGGCCTACCAGGGTCAGTTTCGCGATGTATATGATCTGGGAGGGCGAGCGTACAGAAATGGACTTGTGCAGGTCCTCAAATTTCTCCTTTTCCTTGTCATCTGCGCGGGTATGAGAGAACGTATCGGTGACAAGCATATGCTGTGACGTACATTCTTCTATTGATTGCACTGTATAGCTATGTACATCAATGGTCTGCTGTGTGCCAACGGCGTCGCGTTTCAGAAAGTCTTCGAGGCTCAGCTCTCCAAAATCAATATCTTCGACGAGCTCATCCGGCCTCCATGCACGATCAGGCGTCGAGCCATTGTCAGCCTGTGTGCTCAAAGGCTTCCCAACAATGGCTTGCAACACCTCCAATGGGTCTGGCACATTGTCTGGAGGCGGATGTGTGATCTCATTGCGCAGACTGGATCCATTTGGCTGCCTTGCCGCGGGAGCAAGGCTCGTTACCGACGCATTGGGCGTTGAGGCGAGCGACGATGAGGACGATCGAGAGTACAAGCTGGGCCGAGGAGGAAGAGGTCCAGGTCCGGTTCGCCTGGATGCCGGAGAGTAGGGTCGCGATTGTGGAGGAGTAGCTGAGGGAGTCGACTGACCCAACCGCCGATCTGCCCACATGCTGCCACGAAGCGGGGAAGTACGCTGGGCTACCGCATACTCTAGGACTGGATGCCGCGACGCGAGTTCTTGTGGTGCACGAGGATTGCTCGCGAGCCCAACGAGCGTCAGCCTCTCCTACAAAGCCCACCCTCAGCGAGCATGCGAATCAACGACGGCGGTGCGAGCCGGGCGGCAGAAAGGAGTCTAGCTGTCCGCGTGGCGATGTGGCACGAGATAATTCGGCTGCTTGTGTTGGCTGTCGAGCGGCGGCCTGGCAGTGGGAGCAAGCAACGGCGCTGTCGGGCCAGGCGCAAGGCAAGGTCGCGCGGTCGTGTGGAAGTCAAGCGGTCGACCTGGTCAGCGTGCTGGGTCGACGTCTTGTATGGCAAATGCGCACGAGCTAATTAGCGGTCGCCGGCACAAGTGGCTAGATCGGAGCACGGACGCCTCGTCGCCTGGCGGGGTCTTTTCTCGGTTCCCACATCGCTCGCCCAAGAAATTCTCCTCGACTGCAACATTGCACCCGTCAATTAACCACTCATTTTCTGCTTCTTGCTTCGTCGTCTAGCCTTTACTTACCCACACGAACGTACTTTGCATCCATCCACCATGGCTGACGACGCACAGGTTAGTCCTTGCTCGCGTGCGCACAGAAGAACGTCTCCGCATCCCACTTTGACGTGTGCTGCAACACCACTCCTCACTTGTGCGCACACTTCTTGACGAAGGCCGCCCTCCGCCATCGGGTTCATTGTGCTAACGAAGATGAGTGCAGCATGAGCACACCTTTGAGAGCGCCGACGCCGGTGCCTCGGCCACGTACCCGATGCAGTGCTCTGCTCTCCGCAAGAACGGCTTCGTCGTGATCAAGAACCGTCCCTGCAAGATTGTGGAAATGTCCACGTCCAAGACTGGCAAGCACGGCCACGCCAAAGTCCACTTGGTCGCAATCGATATCTTCACAGGCAAGAAGCTCGAAGATCTCTGCCCATCTACCCACAACATGGACGTTCCCAACGTCCGCCGCCAGGAGTATCAGCTTGTAAGTTGAAGGAGCAAATGTGATTTACGAGGTACATCGGCTTACAACAACGCCAGCTCGATGTCACTGACGACGGCTTCCTCTCCCTCATGCACGACGATGGCTCCACCAAGGACGACGTCAAGGTTCCAGAGGGCGAGGTCGGCGACAAGATCAGGAAGCTTTTCCAGGAGGAGGGCAAGGACACCAGTAAGTTCTTCCGTGCTCGTCATCAAAGAAACAAATCTAACGGTCCTCAGACGTTATTGTCCTCACTGCCATGGGCGAGGAGGCTGCCATCGACGCTAAGGAGGCTCCAAAATAATCAAAAGCCTGATGTAGAGCTTCACCTCCCGAGCTCTTTGCCTCGGATCTTGCAACATGCTGTCAATGTATGAAGAGTGATCCAGAAAGGGCCAGGACGTGAGAAGCCATGTCTGATGATAAATGATGTCTGGTTTACGGGTGGTCGGAAACACTTCGACTTGAAAATGGGCGTTGGGTCACGCCAGCACAACGTATCTAGAGAAACCCCATAGCTCACTATGCTGCAAAAATTCAAGACATGCATGTGTTGTAAGCTCGCTCAGTCGTCCTAATGATTCTCATGTGATTTTGCAATTTCGTGCTTGTGATTGTTGTGTACGGCTAGATTCCTCTTCGTGCGCTGGGCGAAAGCTTTTTCTCCGAACAACCCTGTTTTTCTAGCGTACCCTCCAAGCTTCCCGTTGACTTGCAACTCCGCTCGGATCAAATTGCGATCTCAGACGTTGGGACGGTAACGAGATATCCGCTTGTTGCTTCCAGCAATGAAATATCGTCAAATGAAGGCGTTGGCCCGATCGCTGTGTGATGGCGGACAACGACTATGAATACCGCATTGGAGATCGTTGTGGCATCGACGGATGCCGCTCCCGTAGATATCGGACCAACGAATCAGGTTTTGAGGAATGTGCTCGAGGCCACCAACATGATCTTGTGCGCGGAGACGCTGGGAATGATGAGGATGAGTTTGGCATCAATCTTCATGGGAAGCGTTTTAGAAAGCACGTCGAAAAAGTGAAAGTTCTCAAACGTACGTGAACAACTTTTAATACCGGAAGACTATACTTATATCGAACAGATTTGAGAGGCAAAGATGCGTTTGAGTTGTACCTTTTATGCTATCAGATGATTCTGCGGAAGCAAGCTTGGTGGTTCGTTCACGAGAAAAAACTGCCTCAGAAGTTCGAGGTAAGCTACGAACACGGACATTTCGGCTTGAAGACGAGCAATACTCAGATGTTCTTTAGACTGTCGTTCATGATTTATGGGCATTACGACTGCAGAATCTACGAACCCGTCTTAAGTTCGAAAGCGACCCTGGAACGGCGACGGAGTCTGGCGGAGAACATGAGGAATCTGACAACATGTTCGGTACGCAAGATTTCGAGAAGACAGATGACCATGCCAACTTCCCATCTGTTAAGCGTGCTGCGAGGTCCGAAAGTACTCCAAACCTGCTTCAAACACTTGCAATGATGTACATGGCAACGCAAATCTTGCGCCTGCCTATCTTTCTCGGAGACATCATAGCATGGGTCGAGTCGGGTTCGCTGTTGTATTACGATGCGATCGCGGAATTGCCACGTGAAATGATCGACCGACTCGTTTCCAACTATCAGAATCAGTTTCAGCCAAAGATACGCTTGGCTGCGGGCAGCTTGCTGTCCGAGTTCAGGAGAATGTTGTTATTGTACAACAAAGACTTCGGATTGGTCATGCCAGCCCTGAACGTCCCACCGGCACTTCTCCGCCTAATCGAAAAATTGGCGCTTCCGCTTGAGGTATACTATGCTGTGAGACGACTTGCGAAATACATGAAGCTGGATTTCACTTACCCTCCAGTAACGAAACACCATATCAACGTATTTGATTTCCCCGAGGCACAGATCCTTGTGTGTATTGTCATAACTCTCAAGATTTATTACGGAATCGATGGAAAGAATCGAATTCCCACCTCGGACACAAATCCAGCCGCAGCAATTATTGATTGGGATCAATGGGAGCGGCTCATGAAGGAACACGAGCCCCTCGAGCACGACGAAGCCATGCGAATGGTTGATCGAGACGTTATTAATTTGCCGAATGCAAAAATAGATGATTATCTTGACTTCTTTCAAGAGAACTTCGTGGTTCAAGACCCTCAAGATCGGAAAATAGATGCTGAGTATCAAAGGTCGATGCTAAACCTCTTTCCGATAGTCGCACGCTCGGACAACCAACCCGATAGACATGACAAAGTTTCAACGCGCAAAGTAGAGTATATACAAGCCATGCAAGGGGCACTGCGTCCAAATCTGATTATCGATGCTGAGAACAAACATGATCTGCACAAGAAAATTATCCGCCCCGGAGAGCAATATACTACGACTCGAAACATGTACCAGGAGACCGGATATACAAGGACGCTCCTAAGGGCCCTTGCTCATGTTTCTGGACTACCTTTTAAAAGCGTTGCAAGGGCTGTTGTGCATGGCGAACAGCTCTTGGTCAAACTGAGGGCTGGGAAGCGGAGTCGAGGAAGGCCACGCAGGAAACATCTCAGTCGGGAGCAATCGATAACGGCAGACGCGATGAGTGATGTGTTGTCAGTAATAAGCGGGGTGTCCGGCTATGAGGGTGCTGGTGAAGGGACTGTCAATAGCGAAGAGGACGCAACTGAATGAGCTGCAACACGGGCAAAGGAGAACCGAGTGTTGAGACAAAGGTTTTAATATAACATGGGACGCGAAAGCGTCGGGCTTACACATAGATAGCTACACGACCGATGCACTTCGAGCGGCAGATCTAGTGTTATTGAAAAATATCTCAAGATCTGAAAGGCCGTTACCTGGTATCAGGTGCTCTGATCTGGTTTACTGTCATTCGAGAATCAGCGGGAGTGTAGAGCGCCGGATCTTATTGAATTGAAGAATATCATGCTACGAAAAGGTTTCAAAATCAATACGTCAAGTGCGATAAAGTTGTGAAATTATGCAGTGCAATTCCGACTTAGGCATATTTGACAGCAGGTTTTCAAAAACTAAACAAAAGTTGATCACGTGATATTGTCAATCCTAAACCGGACTAGTTTGCTGATGGCGACGCACTTTACATTTTCGTTCTCGCGGACGCCAGTGACCTTTAACAACCACGTGTGAGCAGAAGATTCGCAATCAGTGAGTGATCTTATTTTACACAAAAGATATGTGCATGTCAGGCTAACCAACTATCTTCCTTCATAGTGCAAATGTATGTTTCGTCCTATCGCCTACGGGGCAATACACATCTACGACAGCCACATCTTCTCTTGTGACGGAATTGATGAAACGATAAAACTGACGACAAATTCATAGCTTCGTGAAGACCCTCACGGGCAAGACTATCACCCTTGAGGTGGAGTCGTCGGATACGATCGACAATGTGAAGACCAAGATCCAGGACAAAGAGGGTATCCCACCAGACCAGCAGCGCTTGATCTTTGCTGGCAAGCAGCTTGAAGATGGCCGCACCCTAAGCGACTACAACATCCAGAAGGTGCGCCAAATCGTGCATGTCGCCAAATAGCTACAGGATTTAACAAGGGGTGATAGGAATCGACTCTTCATCTCGTCCTTCGTCTGCGTGGCGGTCTCATCGAGCCGTCTCTCAAGGCTCTTGCCTCAAAGTACAACTGCGAGAAAATGATCTGCCGCAAGTGCTATGCCCGTCTGCCGCCGCGAGCTACCAACTGTCGCAAGCGAAAGTGCGGCCACACCAATCAGCTCCGCCCGAAGAAGAAGATCAAATAAACGTGTTTCCTTGGCGACAAGGACACTTACGATGTACATGGTGTGGTTGGAACGAGGATGCAAAGGATGGAAACATGGAATGAGGAGACAAAGTGCTATTCATATCTGTGTTGTCTTAGAGGCTCTTCGCAGATAGCTACACATCATCATTATAGGAGTCAAATGGCATGGGTTCTTTGCATATGTCGCGTGTGTAAATTTGTGCTTCGTTTCCATGCTGAACCATAACTTGCTCGTGTCGATCACATATTCCGCTTATCTGTTTCAATAATCTTGTCGAGATTTATAACATTGCACGCGCTTATGCACCTTCTCGAGATCACTATATGCTTCAACGCTAAAAAGTCTAAATAGGCTGTCTTGTACTTAGCTAAGGAGCTTTTTTACCAAAGTTTGTTGCAATTGTTTCTGACTGTTCCAAGATTTAAGCCATCAGAGACTAGGACTGCCTTGAAGAGATGATTCGATCCGGTGAAAAACTGCGGTGATTCCCATTCCCTTTTGCTCTTTTGGCCTGGGTACAACATTAATCGCAACTGCTCTCGAGCTCGTGACACCCCGCGTAGTGCGTGTAATCTTTTCACAAGCGCCGTCCCAGGCCAGCATCTTCACAGAAAAGAATAATTAATGCCCGCGCGGTCTGGGCAATCTCACAATGAATCACAACTGCTTCGTGGCCGTTTTGGATACCTTCTCATCAAGGATCCTTACTCATTGACAGACTGATCTGCCAAGCAAGGTTACAGAGGCCTTTTCAGCTAGGAATCGATTTGTTACAAGCGTGCGCCGGTTACTTATCTTTAGATCGATTGGGAGCATCACAGTTCTTGATGTCCATCTATGAGAAAATCCTATGTTTGCGATAAACTGAGGAATTTAGGCAATGTCATTTTAACCTACTCGAGGATGAATCCCTGTTTCCTATTGTTACACGTTTGCACATTTTCATTCTGCTTTCATGGTGGTTTGACGTGCCAGATTTACACACTGGAAATAGGGATGCAGGTATTTGAGGTTTGTGCCGGTCAAAAATCTTCCATTTACTTTACTGGTCGCGATATACCTTTGGTGATACAATCTGTCCTTTGATAATTGCACTCAAACCCTATGCCTAATTCTTCTACTGCCGCTCTTTGTCATCGGACTCCGTCACCTTTCGTCTTCCGAGCTCGAATATCTCCGGCGTAGTGGCTTTGGGCTTCTATCCGACATATCTGAGCTACTGTTTCTCCTTCTTCCCCTTAACAGTTCTCCCCTAGGCGGTGTCGCCGAGCGAAGCCGCTCACCATTTCTGCGTGGCCGCGAAGCGCTTCTTTCACTTGATGTTCTTCTCGCCTGTCTACGAGGTGGAGGTGAGCGAGAAGCAGATCTTGAATCATCATGAGCGCGTGACGGCAGTGAAGGGCTGCGCGAAGAGCTATAATTACGTGCCCGTCGGCGCGGAGGTGATCGACTGTGCGATCGCGATATGGAACTGCTGTAGCTTCTTGAGCGTCGCGATGCTCGCCTTGGAGGACTGCGAGATTCGGATGGCGATCGTGAGCGTGAAGAATAACTATGCCTGCTACGACGTGAACGCTCTTCTGAACGTGAACGAGCAGGCCTTCTTGGTGGACTCCGTGAATCTGAGTTAGTATCCGACTCAGAGAAACTACCACGCCTAGCATGTCGACTCGCAACACGACGAGATGGCGGAGTACGTGAACGAGAGCTGTAACTTGAGTAGCTCGAAACACTTTCGCTGTCCGACTCTGGTTCGGGTAGAGGTTTGGGCTCCGGTTTTGGCAGACTTTGGAGCCACTCGCGCATTCCCTCGGTGAGGACGCCCATTTGAATAGCGGTAAAGTAATTGATTGCAAAGCGGGTGTTTTTCGGGTCGTCTGTTGGGAATAGACCCGCAAGGCTGGGTTGAAGTGCGTCGTCTTTAAGTCGCTCCACCAACGTGCTCATGCCGATGTTCAATGAGAGTTCTTCGAAAAGAATCTTGATAAAGATACGAGAGGACGAAGTTGTGTCCTCCTGATTGAGCTTAATGACCGACAACACGTGCCACTCAATAGCGTCGGTAGCCAAAAGGTGGGCAAAAAGCTGCGCGATGATGCGTAAGCGGTTTGTCTCGTACCGATGAATGTTCTCGTAGTATTTGATGAATTGCCTTTCGAAAAGTTCTCTCCAGAGCCGGTTAAGCTTGCAGAACCGTTCGGCAATTTGCCCGTAGAATTTCTCGAACGTGCGTTCTTGGCTGGCACATTCAATAATCATGCTAGGGAGTTCTTCTTCCAATCCGACAGGAAGGTTAATTTTCATCAGTTTATGCACGGCTTCCTCGAAAAGACCCGAGGACTTGATGGTAAGGTAGATGCTCCTGCGGAGATTGACCAAATTTTGATTTGTCTCGTCTGCAATCTCCATAGCTCTTTCCTTTTCAGTCTCCTCCTGATCTTCGCTTTCGTCGCTGTCATCTTCATCTTCTGCTTCAGAGTCATCGACCTCGCCTAAGATCTGCGCCTTAAGATTCTGGTATGCTTGTTCGTTAGCTTCATAATCAGGATCATATCTGGAAAAGACGTTAGTACGATGAATTTCGTAGTAAAGATATAAACCGACATACCTGAACACATTTAGGGCGTCTTCAGTTGAAAATTCGCCATCCAAGTCTATGTTGTGTGTGATTTGATCTTCTTCCTCAACGAGGTCAAGTTCCTCCCTTATGGCTGGGAAATCTTTGTACTTGTCTTTACGAATCTGGAAAAGCACTTCAATGGCGTACTGGGTCCGCTTCTCCAAATCATTGGCTTCATGCAAAATATTCCTGAACTGGTCGAAGACTGCGGCGGCAATAGCACTGTTGAACTCTTCAAGATGCTGTCCTACTTCTTTGCAGAGGTTGACCGCAATTTCGCACGAATCATCTGTTGGCTGATGCAGCAGAAGAAGTAGGATCTGAGCTATAAGCATCTCGCCCACCACCTGCTGATTGCAAAGATGTGCTAGGAATGTAGAGCTTGAGATAGCAACGGCCTTGTCATTCCTCTTGAATCCTTTCCTAAACTGTGAAATGAGCCTTTTTACCAACAGCTCGCCAACTTGAGGTAATTTCGTGTTGACTATTGCAGCAGTAGCAGCGAATATAGGGGAAAACGGTAAACTTGATGCCTGAGCTTTCATGATGCTTCGGCAAAACAATCCCCGTCCACGAATGAGATTTTCTCCGAAGAGCTCAGGGACAATGAACTTGATGTTTGACACGTTAACCTTGTTGATGAGTCCGTTTATACTTTTCTTCAGAGCTTCCCAAGCCATGCGTTGCCATTCTTTTGATTGTTTATCTTCACCAAGTTGAGCTTGGAGACGTTTTAGTCGGGCGGGAGGAATATAAACGCCACCACTCCTCTTGTTAAGTAGCTCTTCATACTCCTTGCGGGCAGCGGCTTGCTTTTCTGCCTCGGTCAGTTCAGGCTTTGCTTCTTTGTCCTGCTGCCTGATTTCAAGCTGTCGCTGCCGTTCTCGAGCCCGGTGTTGGTCCACATCTCTTGGCAATGGCGCATCTCTACGATGAGCACGATAGTTCTCCGTGCTGGGAGAGCGATGGCGGTGGATTCTGTTACTTTCGATTGGACTTCGTGTACGCTGACGGTATGCTGGCGGCGATGATGAGCGCGATGGAGGCGATCGTTTTCGCCGATGCAAATGGCCTGAGGGCTCCGGAGAGGGATTTTGAGCTGCAGAGACCACCTCCATGGCTATATACCGCAGGCGAACGTCGCGGTTTGTGGTCTGTCAATGTATTGATATGTGAATCAACGACGGCTACTTGACTTGCTCCCTTGAAAAAAATGATCCAATGACGCGGAGGCCTCAGTCCCTCTTTCCCTAGCGCAAGGCCGTCGCACGTGCCACGTTCTAACTTGGGCTTGCAACATGTTACTCCTTTTGGACAGTCCATTTCGTGTTTGCGAAGTGTCCTTTCACTTTTTTCTTGCGCCAACTGTACCATATCACCACGACTTCTTTACTTCTCGACGCTCTTTAAGGGAAATTGTGCAAGATGGTATTAATCCCCTTAAGTCATTTTTATGACTTGCGCTGACTTTGTAGCTCGACAAACTCGTCGGCCTTGCCATGCTCGTTGTAGCTACCGCCGTCTTTTTATACTACACTATTTGGACTCTGTTGATGGTATGCGCAAATACGGTGCCGGCACCGCTTTTCTCGCAAATGTTAACCTCTGATAGCCATTCGTGGACGAGGACCATCCGCTTCACAGCCTCTTCCCACCTCGGGTCTGGGCAATCCGCATCCCCGTCATCCTTATATTACTTGGTTCCGCTGTTGTGGGCTCCTTCCTCTCTGTCGTCATGATAAGAAGCAATAGGAAAAAGGCGCTAAAGGCCAAGCAAGCGAAGAAGGCGTGATCAGTTCTGGGAAAGGAGCACTTGTGGCTTGTCCATCCGATGTCGACTGTGTTGATAGCTCTAGGCAGTTGTAGATGAGGTAGCACGGCTTTCTAGACATTGGTACAGGATAATCGCTAATGAACCTTATGCCAATCTCAATGTCTGTCTAAACAATCTTGTAATCGCTTCGGTTTTACATTCCACTCTCTTGAATATGTCCGTAAAACGTTTGGGACAAACTTCACAATGCCTTGGTTGCTTCTAATATGGATTGGATCAACTATGCGCAGATTTGTTGGTATTTTCTTGACGAACTCGGTGTGCTCATGATTCTTGATGCTTACCGATGAATTGCCACGCAGGCTTCAAGACCTCAGTTCTCCAATTATTGCACATACCTATAGCGCATACTACTTCGAATTTGGACTTGACGCTGTACATGTGTTGGTGGATCGAGTTGCACACGCAAAGATCTTATGTTCGTATTTCCTCGACCTGGATGGTCTACATTGAATGCTCAAGGTTTGATAATTAAGCACGCTGAAGTGTAAGATAATAAACCTAGCCCATAGATAGACTTCAACGTCTTCTAGATGACGGAAACTCTAGGAGTAAAAATTGGAGTCTGAAGAGCGACAAGGCAGAAACTCCTTTGAGCAGAGATAGACACCTTTCTGGCCGCTGTCATTTTCCTTTGGAAGACGTTTCAATGGAAGAGAGGAGGAAAAGGGAATACGAAGTTGGATCATGTCCTGCATCTTAACCTGGCTGACTCCAACGAAGTGTATCTCGGCTGCGCACCAAAAGGAGGGACACCGATGCGGACTGTTCACATATGAAACAATATTGGTCAATCAAGGGAACGCAAAGGCGTGGCTGACTGGAGACGCATGCGCAATCCTACTATACAAGTTGAATAACTAGGCTTACTGAAGCTCTTATTGGCTGCGTAAGGCATATATAAATATATTCTGAGTGATCGATGCAGAACTAACCTCATTTTCCATACTTACAGTCATCATCGAAATGGAGAAAGGTTCTGACAGGTTTCTGTTTGACAAGAACAATGGTGCCCATTCGTCAGCAAGATGCACGGAGCTAGTTCCTGCTACGCCGATTTTGATATCCTGAATTAACTTTAAAGGATAGAGCAGTGCAACGGTGGAATCGAAAGGAGTGTCATCAGATTCAAGTCCGTTCTCCCATCTCCCCTCGACCTTTTTCTGGACTTTGTCAAGTCTAGATTCAATTTTTATGCACATTGAAAAGCAGCCGGAAAGTCAGTTCAGTAGCAAATAAGTTTTTGAGATCTTTCAAGCATGCACAACTGCCCATACCTCACACTCGTACAAGATAGCTTTTTTGGCCAGGCATGCGACGCCAATAACAGTGTCAGGTGGTCGATGACCGTCTGCTTCGCGATCCATGAACTCCATCCAAGCCTCAGCCCAACCGCGGTCAACTACGTCAAGTTTATCCACCTGAGCATCGCCCGAGTCCTTAACAATGTAATGTTTAACTTGCACAATGTCTCGTGGTGTTGCACCAGCAGCAGCTAAACCTTTTTTAACCTTTTCATACGCGATTGGAGCTTGTTCGCGCACGGTTTTTGGATTATCTGCCCGCCTGTAATCAGTGCCGGTCATACCAGCGAGTGTGATTAGTCTGCTTGTTGGGAGGAGTGGCGTGATAGCTACGTGCTTATAGGACGGCGGGGGTGTAGGCACGTCTGGTAAATTAAAGGCATATGGTTTACTTGATTCGGATGTCATTTTAGGTGAAATCAGAACGTACTCAAGTGGAAACTGGTGATAGAGAGACCATTTTGATAAACTTTGGAGAATGAAGTAAGACGAAATGGTGCGTTTGCCGAGCTCGGAGATCCCGCCATACCAGTCAGCCTTGTCGAGCATTTCTGTAGTAAGCAGACCAGAGACCGCCTAAATTCAGGAAGAAATTATACAGTCAAGAGCTAATTCGCTGAATAGATCCTGCTGAAAGATATCCATGATAACTTGACAACTGATTGCATCTTTAATGCATTGGGAAGAGTGAATAGCCGCTATCCCTTTGCTTGGCGCACGATCTTTAAAGACCTAAGCTCGGCACGAGATCAGCATAGTCATGATATTTGACCTTTTCCTTCGTCTCAAGAACCAAAGCAAACAGAGGACTGAAGAATAATCCACGATTGGACACTTTTGTAGCCAGTCACTCATGTCTCGGCGCAGCCAAGAACATTCTTGGCACGCCAAGTCTGACAATGTGAGTTATATCGAAATGCTCAAAAATCGCTGTGTCTGCTCCAGGAGACAGGCTGAAGAGATTCGAAGCGGCTTGCATGGTTTTGAGAGTCGAAAAGTCAGTGGTGCCTTTACTTTGCAACTCTGACATGAGAGACCTTGGGACCCACATTGCTGGACTCTTGAGGAACAAGTGGAAGTCGACGTGAGTTGCATCTGAAATCTGAATTGCGTGGCTGTTGGAATTTAATTATGTGTTTCTTGACACAAATAGTCGGTCAATTACTTACGCCTTGGTTCGGTTTACTTAGCATGTCTGTTTAAGACTTGTGCAGTCATCAGAGTTCCAAGAAATATCACGTGATCATACTTATGGTTTTCTCTATCTGCCAAGTTTCGGACACATATTGGTGTTAGATCTGTCGCTGAGGTGTGAAACTAACATCACCCGGCTTCAAAAGTAGAAAGACAGAGCTGCGCTTTCATTCAATTATACCGTGATATTGTGCAAAAAAGCTTTCGTCGTCAGAGAACGCCCATTTTCTATCGAGTTTTGACCAAGCTAGAAAGTGCTGTCCTTTTTGAAGTAGAATACTGCGATAATATTCTCCAGAACTGACAAGAATCGCGTGTAGATTGTTCGAAATTTGCATAAATCCGTTAACGCCATACATTAGCTTCTTCATGTCAATAGAACATTGTAAACAAGCATGCAAGCCCGAAGACCCTCTATAGCAATAAATGAAAGCTAATTATGTATGAGGGTGACGGCTTCACGTAGCCGGCTAGATTTACGACGCTATCAGAAATTTGTCTAATGAGCTACAGACCCTCGAGGTGAAGAGTGCTCTCCGGGTCGAGAATCCTGCACCTTTCCCTTTCGGGCACATCTGCCCATCGCCCAAGATTTGACGACGGAAGATAATCTTCAAGGTACTTTTCTATCAGCAGCAATGCGCCAATTTTTCATAACGTGTCTGTGATTACATTACTCAATCTTTTCTCGGGTTATAGAGATATGAACATCATGGTAGATTGAATGATTCAGTTTCCGGTAGCCATCAGGGCGCGCATAGAACGATCGCCATGCTTTCATTCAAGTTACCCTTCACAGCGACGAAGCTACAAGCAGCTACTTATCTATTTGGAGTATGCTTGTTTAGCATATCGTTCCTAGTGTTCCTCAATTCGTCGATCTCGTTCGTTATCACCGATCGAATAGGCCAGAAGAAAAAGGTGGGCGACGCCGTGGGAACCCTCGGATTCGCGGATGAGCTGGTGGCTCTAATAGCCTGTCCCCTTTGGGGTATGCTTAGTGACAGAATTGGAGTTCGCAATGTGGCTGTAGCTGGGTATGCCGTTGTTGGCATTAGTTTGTTTGCACTTGTTCAAGCGCGCAATGTGTACCCGGAATTACTGCTCGGCCGACTGTTGTTCAGCATTGGCGGAGCCGCAACGTGAGATATGCTGGGACAACACAAATGCAGCTTTCGATCAGCTAACTTGGAAGCAGAACTACAATGGTCACCGCAATTCTTCCGTCAATGACGCACAAAGAACCCAGAAACACATCGTCCCCAACCTCCGAGTCAACGCCAATAGGCAATGGTCCTTCTCATTGTCCCGCACCGTCCATTTCATCCGAGCTTACTATTACACCAGCACGCTACAGGACATTTCCCCCCCCAATTTCGTCTACTCCACCCACAACAGAGCCGTCGGCATCTAAGCTTGCAGGCATTGTGGGGATGCTCACAGGGTGCGGAGCCTTGGTCGCACTTGGACTTTTCCTTCCTCTACCAACTCGTTTCCAAAAGGGCGGAACATCTGCAAGCCAATCAGTTGCCGATAGCTTCTATCTCGTTGGAGCTATGGCTATCTGCGTGTCCATTTGCTGCTTCTTCGGTCTTAGAAACCTTCCTGGTGAAGAAGGCAAACGATTTATGCATCTTTTCCCAGGCTTTTGGTCGTTCAACAGCCACGGCACGCTGCATGCGCAAAGACCGCTCCCTTCGTATCTACGAATGCTTCGAAAGTCTGCAATCCTAGGTTTTCAAGATGTAAATATTGGACTGGGTTATGTAGGAGGTTTTGTCGCCCGCGCATCGTCTGTGGCAATATCCCTCTTCATACCATTATACGTCAACGCATACTTCATCTCATCAGGACTATGTCCAGAGGACCCAGACGACAGCATGCAAGATCCAGGAGAGATTAAGCGGAACTGCCAACGTGCATATGTCATCGCATCAATCCTCTCTGGGATGTCTCAATTAGTCGCCCTGATCTGCGCACCAATCTTTGGATATTTGTCTGGTATCTACAAGACGAGCAACCTTCCTCTCCTCTTAGCCTCGGCAAGCGGAGTGGCCGGGTATGCCACGTTTGGTAAACTCAAAAGTCCAGACACGTCGAGAGACGACGGAAACTTCGGCGTCTTCTTCATTGTAGCGTTGCTGGGAATTAGCCAGATTGGCGCAATTGTGTGCTCCCTCAGTTTATTAGCAAAGGGCATCGAGACTGAGGTTTCCGACATGCCGGATTCCTTCCAAGCCTTGTCGGTTGAGGACGGTACCACGTGCAACGAGAACGGGCACGACTTCGGTGGCGAGGAATCCGCGCCCTTGCTGCTAAACCATTTAAGACACATCAAAGACGTTCATAGCTCACGTTCGGCACTGAAGGGTTCGATTGCTGGTATATACTCGCTATCTGGTGGAGCAGGGATTCTGCTCCTGACGAAAGTTGGTGGTTTGATGTTCGACAAGGTCGACGTTGGGAGCCCGTTTTTCATGATGGCCATTTTCAATGCAATCTTGTTTCTGGCTTCCTTAGCATGCGACCTGGGTCGAGCTTGGCAAACGCACAGCGACGAGGACGACAGAGCGACTCTGCGTGGCCGTCTTGAAGACGACGGAAGTCACAGATAGAGAAGCTAGATAGCGAAGTGGCCCAAGGCACGACGTCGCAAATGCCACTTGGCCGGCTGATCTACCATAGCTCAAAAGGTACAAAGTACACAAAAAGCATTCCGCCGGGGCGAACGGAGACTATGCAGCCGAAGCATTTTCCGCCGCCGCAGCAGGTTCCGAGATCCACGCCAGGTACGGCAAGCCTAACGTGCTAGGGAAGATGCAGAAGGCAGGCCGGACTTGTGAAAGATGCAGATGTGCGGCGATGAAAATGTAAATGTATGATGTTCAATTGCGATGTGGTGACGTTCCGAGGCATGTGCGCACCCGATATGACCCGCAATCGATTTAAAGCTCAGAGCCAACCGCTATAAGTCGGTGATGGTACCCCGGATTGTCGCGCGACGTTCTTTGGAGTATAATATAGTGGACCTGCCCACGTCTTAAATGTGCGGATGGCTATTTGACTTTGACTTTTTGTGCTTGGCCTGGCCGTTTCTTTTCGACCTCTTGTGTCGTGGAGACCACCACGGATCGAGGCTGCCTGATGCAGCTGCCTTATTCCCTTGCTGCCCGACAGACTGGCCTTTCCTGAGCCTTGCGTCCTCAGGCCTGAAATCCCCCCCACCTACGGTCTTTCCTCATGCGAACCGTTGCCACCTTCTGTTACACGCCCACATGTTGCCCGCCTCGGCACGCTAAATCTTCCACCGAACTCGCTTGTCATGCCGTCGCAATGATGAAAATTTGCCAGCCCAGCTGCCTCTTAAGGCCCTGGAAGACGCGGCTAGAAATCCGGATAGGGTAGCATGGGCTTTAGAGTAAATGAGGGGATTTCTAATTTCGAATCTAATAAGAAAAGAGAGTTTCTCATCTGCCGCGTTGTCCCTTAGACCTCTTCCCATAGTGAGCTCGTGTACACTAAACAAGCAGGTTCCAAAACACTTACCCGCGGATACTGTTACCCCGCGCCCCTACACCTACGGAAAGCTTCGATCCCGCGACGAACAGCCGTGTGCGAGTACGGTTGGCCGCTGGTACCGACGTAGCGGTTTAATTTCTAGACTCTTCACTTCTTAAAGCTCTTGCCCTCTCCTCCTTCTCCCGCTTCGGAATGAGCAGCAGTGCTACTACTCTTCGCAGCTGCTTGCGCGCATCGTCTAACACTCTTCGCACATATTCGTCGCACCAAGCTCCAAGAGCAAGAATCTCTGCGCCGAGAAGAGCCGGGATTGCAAGCAGCAGAACCATGGCGACGTCAACAGGCTTCAAGAAAATCAAGGTCAAGAATCCGATCGTGGAGATGGATGGCGACGAGATGACACGGGTCATCTGGCAGGATATCAAGGACAAAGTGTGTTAGCCAGCGATAGACTTGTTGCGAATGTGACAGTGACTGAGACTTCCAAAATTTAGTTCATCTACCCGTACCTCGACATCGATCTCAAGTACTATGACCTCGGCATAGAATACCGAGACAAGACAAACGACCAAGTCACCATCGACGCCGCAGAAGCTACCAAGAAGTACTCGGTCGCGGTCAAGTGCGCAACAATTACACCGGACGAGGCCCGTGTGAAAGAGTTCAACCTCAAGCAGATGTGGCTTTCACCAAACGGCACAATCAGAAATGCCCTCGGCGGTACGGTCTTCCGAGAGCCAATCGTCATTCCTAAGATTCCCCGCCTTGTTCCGGGCTGGAAGAAGCCCATTATCATCGGGCGTCATGCCTTTGGAGACCAGTACAGGGCAAAAGACAGAGTAATCCCGGGCCCAGGAAAGCTAGAGATGGTCTATACTCCCGTCGGCGGCCAGCCGGAGGTCCTTGAAGTTTACGACTACAAGCAACAGGATGGTGGCGTTGCAATCACTATGTACAACACCGCGGAATCCATCAAGGGATTCGCTCACGCTTCGTTCAAGCTGGCATTGGACAAGAAGATGCCTCTGTACATGAGCACGAAGAACACGATCTTGAAGAAATATGATGGCAGATTCAAGGACATTTTCCAGGAAATTTACGAGAGCCAGTACAAAGCCGAATTTGAGAAGCTGAATATCTGGTATGAACACAGACTGATCGACGACATGGTCGCCCAAATGCTCAAGAGCGAGGGTGGCTACATCATTGCTATGAAGAGTAAGCAGTGTCGACGTGCGGTTTAGCAAAAGCAACGTGGCTAACGGAACGCAGACTATGACGGTGATGTTCAATCTGACATCATTGCTCAAGGTTTTGGCTCCCTTGGCCTCATGACATCTGTTCTCATCACTCCAGATGGCAAGACCTTCGAAGCCGAAGCCGCTCACGGCACTGTCACTCGCCACTACCGTGAGCATCAGAAAGGTAATGAAACCTCAACAAATCCAATTGCTTCTATCTTCGCTTGGACTCGTGGTCTCGCCAAGCGAGGCGAGCTTGATGGCACTCCGGAACTAGTTGCATTCGCGGAAGCGCTCGAGAAGGCCTGCATTGATACCGTCGACATTGACGGTATCATGACCAAAGATCTAGCGCTGAGTTGTGGACGTAAGGACCGGGACAGCTGGGTCGTTACTGGCAAGTACATGGACGCCGTTGAAAGGAGGCTGAAGGCCAGCTTGAAGGAGAAGCTGTAAAAGCTTCTTGCAGAGAAATTTATCTTCATCATAGGCGGAGTTTCAATTGTCAGTTTACATTTCTACTTCTGCATAGGAGAGCATCTGAGCGTCGAAGTACACTAGAGGTATGTGATGCATTTGTTGGTTGATGCTATAGGTAGAGAGCAAATACCTTAGATGTGCGTACTGCCGTATATGTTGATCTTTTATTTTTTTTGCCTTTCGCAGTCTCGGACCTCTTCACGAATTCATCTTCCAACTGAAAGTATTAATATTTGTCTGCGGCGTTGAATTCACTGAGCGAAGCCTGGGGACGAGTTCAACAAGAAAATGCAGCTTAGTAAACTCTTGGAGCTCTTTACACAACCGCTACCGTGGACCCAACAAATGCCGAGCTTTGTCACATTCCCTCATGCGGACGCGCCACTCGAAATACATCTTCATCTAGAGGTGTGTTATTGGTCGCTGCCTGCCAAGGAGACAACTCAGAGTCTTGACCTAAATCCTGCAAACCTGCAAGCCGGCCATAGTTCAGTCAGGTGGACAGCTCGAACCAGTCCCACATGTAGATCTGGTCCTATCCAAGTTCAGGGTCATGATACCGTGGCCTAGGTTGCTGCTTGAAGGCTCGGGTATAAAAGCAACGATCAGAGTCTCGTCAGTTGTGCTGAATCCCAAGACTAGTTTGCTTGCGGAACAAAACTGATCGAGAAACATCGACTGACGAAACATCGACGCTTCGCGAATCCATCTCTTTCGTACAAGAGGTCATCATGGGGAACTGGTGAGGTGTTCCCTGCGGCTAGAATCACATGTTAAAAAGGCTGACGGAGCGATTTATTAGCTCTTGCTCATCCTGTCCAAACTGCAATGGAAATTGCGAATCCAGCACCTGCTCCTGCAAGGACTGCAGCGTGAGTTCGTGAGATACCTTTGGCTTTCGCGTTGTCGATTGACTTTAAACAGCATTAAGCCGTGTGGAAAAAACGGCGGTCGGAGGTCATGGGGAAAGGTAACAATGATTAGATGAGAGGAAAATTGGATTCGTGTCAAGGCAACGAAGAAGCACTTCTTGAGCTTGGTGTTTAGAGAACTTCTTGTTTTGTTTGTTATTCCTAAGATCTCCTGTGCGCCGTCGGTGAAGTACGAACCAGGCAGCACGTATCTGCAATTTGGACATGTACGACTCCTCTCAACCACGGATGGTTTCAGTGGAGAACAAATTCTGTAGCTTGGTTATCCACGCACTCTTTCCCAATCAACATCATATCACGGTATGCGAAATGTTTGGTACGAGTTCTGTTTTGTTCCGCAGACTATTTTCTTGGATGTTTTATCCGTGTCAGAGCCTCGAGGACCACAAGGCAGTTAATGTCGTAGCGGTGGACGAGCTACAGTGACTTCAAAGTGACTTAATTTTTCGCTGCCTACTCGTTCAAAGCGGTATACAAACGAACTGGCAGTTCCAATCTTGCCGATACCTCATGTCCAATTAGAACCGCCAATTCAAGCATTAAAAGCATGCTGCCCGTCATCGGGACTTCATACGCAAAGTCGTAAAGATACAACGCCACGACGCGAGGGTTAGTTTAAAGAATACAAGAAGTCTGGGAGTCATCGTAGATTTCCAATAATCCTACCGGATTCAACGGGTGCTTGGACGTATGAGCACCTGGCTCAGAGCTTTGAAAAGAGATACCGGATCATCGTAACTCCACAGACTTCGATCCACGATAGGCGTTCCGGTCTTTCTGTGATCGAAATTTCTATGCAGACTATGAAAGTTCTCAAACGAAAATTCCATACACGCATGTATAGATTAGTAGTTGACCATGGTTCAGACATATGCAGGGCGGGAGATGCCGCATTCGGTTCACAAATTGCCCCGCTAGCGGATCTCAACACCAAAGCCAAACTCTAAAACGCGAAAGCTTTCAGTCGCTTACTCCGCCTTAAGTGAGAGAAAGCTGTGAAACACCATTCGAGGCTCCAATAATATCGACATATCGAGCGTGATATGCCAGTTTTTCACTGGAACAATGAGTGACGATCAGGTATTGGACAGCTCACCAATACCGTCTCAAGTTTCTGTGCTCTTCGTCTGTCTCGGTAATATCTGTGGGTGATCTACTCTAGCCTAGCATGAGACGATAGACTCACTGTTATTCAGGTAGATCCCCAATGGCAGAAGCTGTCTTTCGAAATATTTCCAAATATCCTGCAAATCCCCTCATAGCCAAAGTTGACAGTGCGGGGACTGGCGCATATCACGTTGGCTCTTGTCCGGACCCACGTACAATCAAAGTGTTGCGAAAGAATGGAATCGAAGACTACGAACACTACGCACGAAAGGTTCATGCGGAGGATTTCGATACGTTTGATTGGATTTTTGCCATGGACGCAGATAACCTTGACGACTTGAAGAGCATGAGAAATAGAGCGAGGAGCAGGAAGGGGAAGGCTGGATCCCAAGGAGCAAGCACGAAGGAGCCAAAAATCATGCTGTTCGGAGATTTTGGCGGAAGGAAGAACGAGGAGGTTATCGATCCGTACTACGGAGCAGACAACGGCTTTGATGTCGCGTACGAACAAATGGTCAGGTTCAGCAACGGCTTTATAAAGCATCTAGAGAACTCGAAAATCTAGATTTCGATCCGAAGATCGTTATGATGTTAAACTATAGACGCATTGTCGGAAATAAGGAGGCCGGATTATACCGCTTTGATACTGAGACGAATATACCCTTACAGATTCTAAGTGACAAGCGCAGTCGACAATTTTGAATTTTACAAATTTGCGGGACAGTCGAAGTACCACATTTCGTCAGATTAATATTGCATTATTAACAACAATGAAACATTCTGATCTGTATGGAATGATATTCATGCGCAAGCACAGTCTTAAACACTGCCTTCTTGAGTTTAGCGTGAACTTCGCGAATTAAAGCACTTGCCTACGTTCAGGTCACGTCTTCTCAAGAAGTCTGCCTGAATTCAATGTCATGAACACAAGCTTCTTCCTATCATCAAATGAATAGTTGCAATACTTTTTGAGAAAAACACGCTCGGATTGAGAGGGTCAAAAGAGCAACTTCCGCGTGACAATCATGCTGGTTGTCGGAGAAGATTCTTGACGGAGCCCCATTCACCGTGCCGCCTTCGAGTGACTTGCACATCGAATCAAAGGGCGATTCACTTCTTGGACATCTTCAGTTATAAGATCCGGAGTTGCAGTTGTTCATTCACGACACCAAGACATCCATCATGAACGCCAGCCCTCTAATCCTCACTGAAAGTGCCATGTCAGATGATGCAACGAGGCATCTGAAGACAGAAGAGTACGTTTTCAGAATGCCAACCCCGCCACGTATTGTGATTCCTCCGTTGGCTAGCTGGAATCATACTCAGGTGCCAATTGACCTGGGAAATATTGTTCCGCATTCAGATCCTGAGATCAACATCGATTTTCTTACTGGCACCGGCTATGATGAAACGTTGTCAGTCGCTCTGAACGGAACAGCATCAGCTTGGAAGTATGAGCATCGACGGCAAGCCCAGGACATATTGTCCTTTTTATGGCTAGGCCCTCTCTGCGCAGCCCGCGACAAAGAGTTCCTTGAGCGGGAAGGCATTACTTTGTTATTAGCAATACAGCATAAGGGTGGCCTTGGTCCTAAACTTACTATGGGAGCGATGCGAGTGGCTGACGAGCTTGGTATTGCAAAGGCGAAACTGGAAGTTGGCAGCAACCAAGACCTGATTGCTTTGTTTCCAGCAGCAACACGCATCATCAACTCTCACCTGCGCGACATGTACAATAAGGCAATGCTCAACCCCCACGGATGGACCCGGCCAGGCAAAGTTCTCATATTCTGTGAGAGTGGAAATGAGAAATCGGCCGCGGTTGCTGCTGCGTACTTGATGGACAACTTCGAAGGCGTCGACTTTCTCAAAGCATGTCAAATCTGCAATGCTCGTCGCTTTTGTTGTTCATTTGACGACAGTATCAAACACTACCTTAAGTCTTACAACGATATCCTCCAAGCACGACGTTCAGTCGCAGCTGCATCTTCTCCGCAACAGAATCCGGATTCACTCAGTGGCCACGCAACAAATCCGCTTCTTAGTGCACCAACATTGCACGCACCACAGCCCCAATGGATTACAGCAGCACCATCCCTGAGAAGCGGGAACGCAAAGAGAGCTCGCGAGCGTGATGATGATGACATGATGGACATGGAAGAAATTGCAATTGATGACGCCGCTCGATTTGAAGGCCGTTCATATGCGCCTTTCAAGTGAGAGTGATGGTGAAGTGTGTCAATCTCATGAGTGTGCGGAGGCATCTAAGTTTCCGCCACTCTGCTCTAGCAGGTTATAAAAACATGCCGGGCGAGGTTCATGGGACTTAAAGGGCTTATTCTCTTGTAAGAGAATGGGAACGAATTTTCCCAACTAGCACATGGTGCTTCCCCCGGACCTTATTTGAGAGCACGTGAATCGGACAAAAAACGAGTGGTATGAACTTATCGAGCTGGTCGTTGTACGATAACTGACTGCTTGATTATGTAGAGATGACTCCAAAGAAATGGACAAGTTAACGCCAGACGTGAATATAAATCTCAAAATCTTCGCATCGTACTCCGCTTTCGATACTATTGACAAGCAAGTAACTGTAGCTTTCGTAACCAGATATCCAGTGCTCGTATTCGTTTGTACCGCCATTCATACCAACTCGTCCGCATGGTGTCAACACATTGACAATTGGCGTTGCATACGCTGACGGCACATTCGGGTTTCCCTTATAGACACTATTCATTAGAGCCCTAACTGAGTGGATATTGGCCAACCCGACGACGACAGGAGCTAAGAGAAATTGTCGGTAATGTGTCGTCGAAGTCATCGGTCGACCGCTGGGCGACTACCAGAGCGTTATCGTGATGACTTTATCCTGTCGTTACCTAACATTGTGTCCAGCCAAAAAACTATCGTCGCATCTTCCGCGTCATCTTCACATGCAAGGCCGCCACCGCCAACGCGTCCATCACAGAGCTGCAGGCCACGTGTGCCCATTCCTGCCCCCGACAGACTTAAAGAGGAAGGCGCTACCGGCGAAGACGTGAAATATGAGAGTCTCGCCACAAATCCAGCTGCTATTTTGTGCACTGAAGGGCTTTCCACTACTACAGCCTCGACTCTTGCCTGGATAAAGGACGAGAGCTCTGCGGAAGAGGCCATGGACGTCAAACATTCACGTAATAAGAAGCAGTCAAGAAGTAGTCCGAGTAAGCAAACAAGCCGGGCATATCTTGCGAAGTATCTAGATGGCACTTGGATGGACGAGCATGGAAGAAACGTACATTTCCTTGACAAATACTACGATGAGCATGTTGAAGAGTATGAAGCGGAGAAGAAGAAAGACAAGGTGGAAGACCTGAAAGGCGAAAAAAATGGCGTTAGACTGTTCCCAGAGGCTGCGGAGCACGAGGCTGTGTCGCTATACAATAATAGAGATGTTGAATTGGAGGCATTCGAGAAATGGTTGGTGCATGGTGAATCAAAGCATGCTGCGGCCGGAAACGGTGGTGAAGAGATGGATCAAAACATAACAAAGTACTATACGGACAAGGTAGGTTTTTAATCACCAAAAATCAAGGAAGACTGATGTGAGCGCAGAAATTTGCTGCCCTTCACTTCAAGTTGCAGTGGCACATGATACTTGAAGCTGAAGAAGACCTTATCTTTCATCCGCCTCGGCGTGCACACGCAGACGCTAATGGAAAGCCATTTCGATATGCGCAAAAGTTGTTTGGGATCAACGGTCTACATGCTATCAGCGCACTGGAAAAGAAGAATAAGGAGGCACGGAATAAAATTGAGCTGATGCCACAGAGAAGTGACTATGAGATGGCGAAGGAATATCTGAAAGAAAAAGGACTGCCGAGCTCCTTAATAGCGATGTACAACTATCTTGATCAGTGAGATACGAGGTGGAAAGATCCTCAACTAACACAGGGAGAGAAATCCTGGCGCGATAAATACTCGAATAGTGCATTGCAGCTTTGTAGGTGGCATATCGCGTAAAAAAGTCAAATTCATTCTAAGTGGTGAGTGCGTACTTAGTCTTCGATGATTTCCTCCAAACATCATTCGATTTTAGCCCACTTACGCAAGTCGCTTAAAGGCGAAGCAATAGCGACAGCCACACGGTTGACCGGCAGATAACAAACGAAAACATCTTTCAGTCCAATACCTTACGTCTTCAATATTAGGTCAAGTCGTATTAACAACGCAGTCTTTTCAGCTACAAAAAGATAGAATATGTGAAGTCCTGACCAGCTCCACTCATATCAGACATTTTGGCGGTAACAAAGAATGTATGACTATGCGAAATCCTCAACAGTTTGCCAGGTCGTCCTTTGTTTTGCCTAAACAATTTTTGGACCTTACATCATACACGGTAAAGAGCATGTCAAATCTCTTGCTTTGGGTGACTACCTCTTTGTGATTCCAACGCTCACACCAAAACTACTTCGGTTTGGGGCTTTGCTAACACAAAGTCGAGCAACGGTCTCCCAGAACCAGAACAAGACCATGTTCCAAGCCGCGAGAAGACCATACGGCTTGTCGACCGCTGGCGCAACAACAGACCACCCATCAAAGACGATTTCCCCGTGTCTTTCTTTTTCGCATAGCGACACAGCAAGAGTCCAAAGAGGTCTTGAGCCCTTGAAACCTCGCCAATGTCCTTCTCATCTAGATATATTTTATCGACGTCGCTGCCGTCTTCGGCCTGTAGGAAGTAGCCCTTCCCTGCCTTCTTCATGGTGGCCATGATTAGGTGGCCTTTTACCTTGATCTCTGCATGGGCCAGCTGTCCGGTTGGATGCTTCTCGTCAACAGGTTTGACGCGGTGGCTGACGTATGACAGAGGAACGGCAACATTGCCTCCATAACGGTTGCTCATCTCGACTGGTCCGTCAATGCTCGCCCAGCTCCAGGTTGGAGCACGCGTTGTTGGTTTTGCCCTTGTCGCCCTTCTCTCCTCGAGAACTTCTGGCGATATTCTCCACATCAATTGCACGAGCAGATCGGACTTCCACAGTCCAACAATATATTCGTCTTGGTTTGTGCGTCCAAACTCAGAAGCCAATGCTTGTATTGCTACCAGTTTGTCGTCATTTGGTCTCCCCAAGCGTCGGGTGCTGTAGTCCTCGACGATTTGAGACCACTCTTCTGGTATTCTACCATTCGCGACGATTTTGGGGTCGATCTCGTCCGCTATGCCGGCCCACCCAGGGAGACCGGATGGAAAAGTCTCCGATCTTCTTCCGCCATCTCTATGGTTTCTGCGACATTCCCAAAGCATCTGTCTCGCGCCGAAATGCAGGATGCGTGGCGAAAACAGGCGCTCTTGAAGTGCCCATCCACGTTTAGCTAACGGCGAAAGTGATACCTCGCAGAAAGGGTCCTGCGTGATCATGTATACCTTTTTCGAACTCAAAAACTTGAAACCACCCTTTTGTTCGTGCCAGTAGGTGTACTGCTGCGGCACAACAGTTCGGCCACGACGAACGAAGAAACCGGAGTCGGCATATGCGGCACATGAAGCCGAGATGTTTAGCACACAATGCTTGTATATATTCCCCATGATCGCAGCGTTATCTCGCCAATCCTGTGTATTGTGATCGCTATCGTGCAAAATGCAGCTAGTCACTTGTTAACAAGAAACACTTGCGCAAGCTATGTGATTGACACGTACAGGGCATCGATCCATAGATATCTCAAATTTAAGCTCTCAACTACCTGGATTGCTTCTTTGAAATTTCTGGGCAGCTGCTCGAACGGGATCGACTTCTTGAACTGGTCCAGATTGTCTGCCGTAAGAGTGATGAAATTTGTCTTTCCCCAGCAATGGCTGAGCGTCACGTAGGGCCCAAGAGGTCGCTCAGTGTTGGTTTCAATAAGCCGAGGTGGCCGGAGTTTGACGTCTATCAACCTTGGCGGATACCAGTCATCTTCATTATTGTCAAGGTGGCATTCAGGGTGGCCCTGCAAACACTCCTGTAGCCAGTCTTTGGCTTGGCCTAGTACATCTGGAGATCCGGTGCTTTCAGGGAGACTAAGCCAGAGTTCATCTTCCGCGATCAGCCATGGTGCTCCTTGCAGGACAGGTTTTGGTGATATACTCGACAGTCGAGCCAAGTGCTTCTCATCATCAATGGGGATCAGCTTGAAGGTGCAGTTCTTTAGCCACCAAGTCTGGGGAATGTCGTTTGAACCAACGATTCGAAGGTAGCGAAAGTCGAAAATGAATCTAAACTCCTCTTCATGATTGACATTGATCCTCTTCCCCTCGAGTTTGCTTACGACAGTACGGCATATGTAGCACCCGCCTTTGGAGGCTCTAACCATATCGGCCCCCTTTGCATGGTGGAGCCCTTCTTTATTCTTCTGGCGGAACAGCTGGGTACATAGATTGCAGAGCATTTTGGCGACATAAGGAGAGAAAGAGAGAGCCACACTCCGCTCAGCCGGCCTGATAAGTTGCGGAATGTTCTTGCCAAGCCGAAGCCGTCGAAATCACTGGTTGGTAGGATGGTGAAACAAGCCCCCTGGGCAAGGCGTCAATAATTCGTTGTAGGGCTCATTTGAAAATGCAAGCCACTAATGCTTTCCACGGCAGATAAACTATCAGGCTGAAGGAATCGCAGGGATCTGTGACGAAAATAGCCTGGCCCTCTACCTCTGGGATCCTGAAAGCTGGGGTGCAGGGAGGAAACACTGAGTGCGCCAATAGCGTACGAAGAACCCACTTTCCTCATGTCATAGTGCAAACCCTGTGGATCTGAAGCAGCATCTGTGCTGGTCTAAATGTGAACATTCACACAGAATTCAGGACTGTCCCGCTCCCTCTCTTGGTGCTAAACCAACAGAATCTTGCATCCTATCTGGTTATGAGACGGCTTGTCTCTTCAACTTTGAACATGTTCAGGGGAGGTTTTAGAATGCATGAGTATCCTAAATTTTTCTCGTTGAGGATATAATGCCAACTTCATGTCCTGAAAGCATCTATCTACCATAGCCATAGCCATTTCCCTTTCGAGCTTGAATTTTTTTTTTCGTCTAGCCGGTTAGTAGGGCTGCCCTAGTCGTATCAGCATATTTTCCATCCGGAATACAACCACAGATCATTGAGGCAACACGCATGCGGTCCCTTACTGCGTTATATATCTTCAAGATAGCTGAGAAAAATCATGATATCTCGGTGAGAACATTATTCTGTCTCCAGTCTACCGTAAGTCTTTTACATGCAGATTCAGTCGGTGTGTATGGAATGTGGAAATTTCTCGCTTAGCAAGCCTCCAGTGCTACGTGAAAATACTTAACTTCGCATGTTATGAGAGATCGGCAACTTGGCACTGCATATGATTATGCATCGGCTCACAAGCATAGTCAAGGACAATGCATCAAATACATTCCGTGGTGTGTGTACGATCCTATTGACGACCCGAGTTTGGCAAAAGCCCAATAAATATTCTGCATTGGTATAGTGCTACGCATCTCGTGTATAAGTTAGTGGTCTAAGGCCAACTACTTCTCATCGCTATCGGTGTCACTAGCACTTTCGTCGGAGCTCTCCTCAGAAGATGATTCAGAGGCGGAGCTCGTCGAAACTTCTGAGCTTGAATCGGACCCGCTGCTAACATCCTCGCTGCTTTCATCTCCCTCATCTGTACTTGTGGCTGATGACGGAATAGAAGACATGCTGCTGGTCTCATCTGTGTCATCATCATCTGGCGCACCTGTTCTCATCTTTCTGCTACGTCTCACTTTCTTCCTTTTTGTTGGGAGCCCATTTTCAGCATCATTCTCAGAAGCTATTCTGGAAACGCCTTGTTGACTATCTTCGAAACTTATCGAAGGATACATATTGAGGCTTTTCAGAATCAGTTCGGCTCGCTTTCGCCTTTGAAGTTTTTCCTTGTGCTCCTCGGATGAAGTCTCCTCTACTGCCTGTTCATTGCGCTCGAGGCTGTTCGTCTGCTTCGGCTTGGCTCGGAGTGCCCTTTCCTTGGCTTCATCCAAATTGGAATGGCGAGGCATATTTGCATCCGCACCTTCAAGCTTATCTGTCTCAGAGATGATTTTCTCGGCAGCCTCAGCAAGACGCTTCTTCGTGGCGTCGCCTTGAAGCCCGGAGAGGTACAATGACAGCGCCTCATCAAACTCCGTGGGCAGTCGGTACATATTGTATAGATTTTGCAACAGTTTTGTCTGATGATTTTTATTGAACTTCCAAGAAGGACGTGAGCTGTGGTATTGCTTCAGGTAGGATATGTACGCGAGATCTTGTTGTGGTTGGCTCTCAGGGTCAACCCGCTTCTTCTTGGGCTTCTGCTTCGTATCGCGGGCTTTCGGCTGGGATTCAGTCTTTTTGTGGACCTGAGAAGATCGATTGGCCGAATGATCCTTGGCTGATACCGTGAAGTGTGCTATCTCGGCTTCTGAGAATTGGTCCTGGCCACCTTTCTGACTAGCGACGTAGTCCTCAAGCAGCTTTTCGTTGAAGTCACCGTCTTCCTTCTTGGTACCATCTACGAATGAAACCGACTTTTTGCGCTTCGGCGGTCGTTCGTCGGACACACGAGCCCCACGCATGCGGCTAGCTTCAGGCTCTGCTGAGAGAGCAACGTCGGGTCGGCTACTTGGCGGAGCAACGTCATCGAGTACGTCCGACACCTTTCTCTTGCTCTGTTTGCTTTCAGACGTAGCGTCTACCGATGGCGATGCTTCTGTTTGTCCATTCGCGGGCACGCCGTTCTTCAGTTTCAAGCCCAAACGCTTCCACGCGGGAATGTACGGCTGATTTGGCGCCTGCTCCACAGCCATCGTGAAACAAGCAGTTCTTCCAAGACTGTTCAGAGGGGCCAATCTCGGACGCAGCGACCGAGGAGTATCAATCGTGGAGTATGAGCTGAAGAACTGGGCGTGAAAATATTCTGGGGCGGAAGGCACGATCGGCGTGTGATTGGTCCGTTTGTACGCCTTGGCGACTGCTTGATCTGGACCTTGCGAAGGCAGCTCCGAACGCGCATACAGCCTCACCTACACATTCTCCTGTCGCATCCTCCATACGCCGTCAGCTTTAATTTCGGCGGCGCCGTACTCGCAATACATATAGAACACTCCCTCGCAAGTACCTAGCAAGAATGTCTTCCGGTAAGCATGTGCTGCTTGCTTGTCTGGTCGTCCTCGACCTTTACTAACTGTGCTTCGTAGCTGGATACGACAGGCATATTACCATTTTCTCTGACCAAGGCCGTTTATATCAAGTGGGTAAGTTGTCTGCTTTGATTACGCCATGCCATCGACACTAATTCTCGGTGCTAATCCACTCTCCGCAGAGTATGCCTTCAAAGCCATCACCGCGGCAAACATCACCTCGGTGGGCGTACGAGGGAAGGACTGTGCGGTCGTAGTCACGCAAAAGAAAGTGCCGGTATGGTTGATCATCATCACTTGCCTTTAGATAACGTATGTCCTGACGGCCATCTACTTCAGGACAAGCTCATCGACCCCTCCTCCGTCTCCTACGTATACAAGCTGTCACCATCAGTAGGATGTGTCATGACAGGGTCAATAGCAGACGCCAGAGCCAATGTTACTCGAGCGCGAGGAGAAGCCGCTGAGTTCAGATACAAGTACGGCTACGAGATGCCATGCGATGCACTCGCAAAGCGACTTGCAAACATCAATCAGGTGTACACGCAGAAGGTGAGTTAGAGAGAAGTTCAAAAATCGCTATTCCGCCGTAGCAGGAAGGCTTAGCATCTGGATAAAGATATCCGTCATTTCAGACCATTTCTAACTCTTTGGATTTCCGATTAGGCTTACATGCGTCCGCTCGGCATCGCCAGCACACTCATCTCTGTTGATGCGGAGTTCGGCCCACAGTTGTACAAATGTGACCCTGCTGGATACTACGTCGGATACAAGGCAACGGCGACCGGCCCGAAGATGCAGGAGGCGCTCAACTTTCTGGAACGCAAATTAAAGAATAAGGATCACGCCGAGGGCACATGGGAAGACGTCGTGGAGCTCGGCATCACGACACTGGCCTCTGTTCTCAGTGTGGACTTCAAGAAAGGAGAGCTCGAGGTTGGCATTGTTGGAGGTCCGAAAATAGACGGAACGGAAGGTACCACAACGGAGTTCAGGGCGTTGACAGAGGACGAGATTGACGAGCGATTACAAGCCATCGCCGACAAGGACTAGAAATAATTGCGCACATCCAGTCATGTCGCCAAATTATGGCGTAGGGAGTTGGTCCGGAACAATCAGTAGCAACTAAGGCGCATCTAGGCCGACCATTGCATAAGAGGTTATTCAAGCCAAAGATCGACCGTCCACACCCGTGCCTTACATGCTCCAACGGTCCGAGGGAATTTCGTCTGCATCGCCCGATTCCGTGCAGCGATACCAATCGTAAGTTCAGACAATCGTCCCACGCGTGCGGGCCGGGTTTGCCCAATGTAGCATCTAGGTGCATAATCTACTAATGTCCGCCATAGCGGCCGATCTCTCGAATCAAATGGCAAAGTGTGGCTATGCCGCGGTATATCAGCACTCAAAACGTGGTATCTTTACTTTTCACAAAGCCAGCCACAGTGCGACACTTCCAGGCTGATGGTACATGGTAAACGCAGTTTAACACTGTCCGCTAGTGGTGAATTTTTCGTGGGCCGATCCAATGGCATGCGCTGACCACCCAAGCACTCACGACAAGCCAAGGTGGACACAGCAAAGTCCTCCAATCAGCGACGTCGCTGCTCCACAAGGCGCTCGCGCCTCAGCTGAATCGCATCAGTATCTTCGTTCAACCATCTGCCAGCTGTGGTTTTGTCTTTCGTTCATTCCAACTCTCCTTTTTCAATTTTTGACTCCACAGTGTTGATTCAATGGCACCAGCGGGCCGTTCAGCGTTCGCTGAACATCTGCCAAGAGCACCTCCATAACCCGGAATCACGTCCTCATTGCACAGTGCACCGTTGAGCCCCGTTACCATCCCTGGTGCTTGACCTGCCTTGCTGCCCTATGATCTGTACTCACAACGTAACCGACATGATGTTCTACACACTTTCCCAAGCTTTATATCAAGATGTCGTATGGCATTGTCGCAAAAGCCCACATCTTGCTTAACACCTAGGCAGGCAATTTGCTCAGCGGCCCTCCTTTAAGGCCAGCCAATTTCGGTCGAAAAAGTTGCTGACTGATCTCTACACCTTTCATTCATGAGCGAGCATGATGGCGGATGGATGTGAGTATCACACGTCGACAATGTACGCTACACTACGGGTCGTACACAGTACTAAATCGCCATTTCACTACAGACAACCACGCGAGAGCAATGCGCGTTGCGGAGATCATATCAGACTTTCGAAATCTGCAGCATTACATGGCACAGATACAAGCAAATCCATCAGCAGAGGAGTACTATCTCCCTGGTTATAGCTTGCTGCGCGCCTGCATTACCGAAGCGCAAGCAGTGCTCGCCTCTCCATACGTTTATGGAGGCAACGCAGATCCTGAGGGAGATCTCGAAGCTGAGAAGGCTCAACTGCGGGCGTAAGAACCCCCTATTTAGTCTTCCATGCCAAATACTCGTTCTCGCCAAGATCAGTTTGACGATCACGGGATGCATGTTCCGTCTACTAGTTTCTACCAGACTTGGTCAGGAAGAGCAGGCTATTCAGTTACACCCTCTCCCATCTGCTTCAGGCTCTACGGCTGTACTATCGTCAGAGCTTGGAGAATTTCGTGATACATCGCCTCAGATTATCAAGAGTTGAATGGACGCGCTGACCTGCTGTCAGAATAATTATCGATGCAGGCGTGAGGCGATTCCAACTGCAGAGATGTTACCTACGCGCCGTCGCAGCACTTAGATGGATTAACGGTCGAGCCCAGATCTTACAAGGTCAGCAACCGCACTCAGGACACACTGCACAACTACAACAAGTAGATGCCACGCTTCAGCAGGTTAGTAAACCCCTGAACTGCCTTTCCTCCGGAGTTTGGATGGTCACGGAGAGTCAACATGAGCGGGCGCCGTGGCTGCCCATTAACACTCTGCTATGTTTAAATCTTGTCGATTTTGACAGCCGGAAGCGAGATCGATTGGACCCCCTGAATGCGCGAGTGAATAGTCTATCTTTCTCGCCATTAAATGGCCCCACCGTAGTGGGGTCCTCTTAGCCGCGAACCTTTAGCCTTCTTGGCACATGCGGTAACAACTCCGAGAACTTTGCTTTCTATTACCTGTTTCTGGGCCGTGGGAGAGAGACGATTCGGGCTAATAAGGTTCTTGCCTAGGAGGTCGCATCTATAACGGACCAGCACGTCGAATACTCGCTGCGAGCGCAGGACACCGTACAAGGCAAATGGCTGGACGAGGATCCTTCCCTCGCAACTATCCTGTCACGCTTGCGAAGGAGTTGACAATCAGCCTCTCGAGGGCGTACGACTCGAAAAGACTTGACAATAAGTATCCTGGTGAAGGACACATCAAGACCGACGGTCTGAACGAGCGCGCGTTTGGCCACAACGAGGTACTGTTTCTTACTCTCACCTAAGTCCTGGCGACTGGTGTACACCTTTCCTAATTCATCATTTGGGTGCCTGTGGTCGCGGCGACTGATTTTTGCCATGCCCACTGAGGACAAAAAAAGCAACAAAAAAAGGGGGAGCGTAAAATATAGGGAGGCAATGGAATGGCCAGGTCAATCTCATCCACATATGTATACTTGCACAGATACATATTGTTATACCTCACAGCATTTTAAAGGGGCGGCGCAGAGCACTACCTCGTTCGTTGAGCCTCTTACCCTTCGAGAGGGCGTGGGTTTCGAATCATTTTTGAACTGTGTTCCACATATTCTGCGGCTGCAGAAATGTTATCTAAGCATCTGTTTAATAAATATTCATTTTCTGACTACAAGCCGGCCCTTGTGACATTGCGAACCTCGAAAGCAAAGTTCTGCCATTGCAGCTTGATCGAACTGCGCAGGCGGACGTTCTGAATTGTTCGTGACGAGCCTCTTTCCCAAAGACTCGGTATCCTCCGTTTTGGGACAGCCTGCTGTCGTGCTCCAACCTATGCACAAGAAAAGGAAAAGCAGCCTATGAGGTGTTTACATTCGTGCTTCCCGCCACGTCAGAAGGTTCCACAAGGCTCACTCAAAAAGAAACTACGCTTGCATTCGTTGCATTGGCTCGTTGGGGTCTTACGCGCGTCAAATCCTTCATCCAATGGACTGTAGAAAGCGGGAAGGAGAGCGGGCCCCCAGTTCGTGTTTGAGGGAGTACGAGATGGTGCTCAAACGTTCGCCACACCCAACGGGGTGGTTCTCAGCACGTTGGTTTGTAGCGGAAGCTGGTAGCTTTCGACGGCCAGTTCCGACCACCCAGCCAAGAGCGAAGGTGATTGCGTCTTCGTGTGGAGCAACGACCCTTTTGTCTCGCCCTGACCGCGGGGTTGACAATGATGCGCAGCGTAGCAATTCCGCCCTAGCCTCTTTCCCGCTGAGATTGTCCGCCCGTGTATCAGCAAAACCGGCTCGTACTGAACGCGCATTCAGCTATTGCTCGATGCCGCAGCCGCGTGATGTGTTCAGCTCCTCCTGGCCTCTGGCCGTCCAGCTGATTTTGCTAGTTTGTGCGGGAAACGATCGACCATGCTCTCCGCGATCATGCAGACTCAGCCTCGCGCAGGCGTCGTCGGCTCGGGTCGACCAATGAACGCGCGGTTCCGCACGATTCTGTCGTCTTCGAGTGTCTGGCTTCAGGACAAGGGTTCTGGAGCTTAATTGAAGGAGTTGACGTTCAAATTTCTCGACGCAGGGACAAACGCGTTGGAATCCATCGAATAGGAGCTGTCGCACGGTACCGGCCGAAGTCGACATTGGCTCGCTCAAAGACAAAAAAAAGCGTCGTGTAATGGACCAGCCAAAGATCTCAGAGGCAGAACAAAAAAAAGAAAAGAAAAACCAAAAACACGAGATATCCACGGATACGCGGAAAACCTCTTTGGGCAAGGTATCCTCGAATCAACGGACCTGGCTTGGTTCTTTCTCATTCGGCAACGATGTACCTTTCACAAGTCCAATTACGCAAGAGCACAGCACGGGAGCTCTACACGAGGTCTTCAATGGAGCTTACAGTACCTCCATACTCAGCACAGTAGGCGCAGTGGCAGACAGACTGGAGCCGATCGCGGCCCTTTGCTCCGACAAAAGAATTTGTGTGGGATCAGACGGATGAGGGTTCTAGCTGGTGTGATTCCGTCGATCCCGGCTCACTTTTTCCTCTCCGCTCAACCACCGAATTCGTCACTTTCATGGACGTGAACCAGCCACGAGACATACCAGAGCCTGCCGTCAAGCAGGACCTTTTTTTCTGTCTTCAGATGTGGTGTGCACGCTCTGTCGTGGTGCAGTCTTAAAGCGTTGTTGTGCCTGCACAGTCCCCGCTCTTAACCTGCTCCTGCGGAACAAGCAGCAGGAAACTATTGAAAAGGATGCACGAGATTCACGCTGCGGCCAATAGCGATGATTCCAGGTCCAGAAATGGGATTCTGGATCTGATGGTGAGCATGTTAAGTGGCCGCGTATTCCTGACTAGTGTAAAAGCGGGGTGTGGTTGCTTGATGTGCTCAAACCTTCTTTTTGCCTGTCCACGAGGTTTGGCACTGTTGCTTGTTGGGCTTGATGGGTTCGCCAGCCTGAGATCCCCAAGGACAAGCGCGATACAATGGATGCCTATTTGCCACACTGCATTCCGCTGGCTACTAGCTCTGATCTCCGATTCTCCTCTGTTTTTGAAGGACTTGTTGGTCTCACGTTGTACCGTCATGCGAGCTAATCCGGCGCAAAAAATCGATGACGTCGTTGCCGTTCTAAACGACAAGCTTTCTCAATGACAGGTTGCCCAGCATGATTCACCACATCGGTTCTCCATTGGTCTGCGAGATAGGGAAAAGAAAAACCTGCGGATCCAGTCGGGCCAATGGCTTTGGACCGGAGTGGACAGAAAGCTAAACGCTTGAAGCTGACTTTACGCCGACCTGATGCGAACAACAGGTGCCCGGATATGCAAGTGTCTTGAAGCTCCCAATGCAAGCATACGGTCGTATCCCTGTCCTCGGATGATTTAGGTTAGTTTCACATGGTGTACAATGGATCCATTTGTTCGACGTAAAGAAAATGATCCAAGGACCGAAGACGCTCGATTTGGAGCCGTCAACGTAATGATTGCCGGTCCTCTGGAGACAAAACGTGCAATGGCAAAGTCTGATTGAAAACGGTACGTATCCACTCTCCAGCAAGAGTGGACATCCCTCCCACTCCACCCGGCCGAGGCAGTTGTTTACGACGACAATGACATATCACCCAGCCAGCGACCGTGACCAGATAGGTCCCGATGATGAAGTACATCCTAACGTGATCGTCGGTCCTAACACGCCTGCCCTCACCACCCAATACTTTGTTATTTTTTTGGCCGGGTGGGAGCGGCGCGGCGTTCGCGCTCGGCGAGCCTGCAATCCGATCGCAAGATGCTGATCGTGGGCAAAAGAGAGGAGAAAGATGGGAAAGTGATCAACCCCGGCTCGACTTTCGCTCCCACCGTCCACACCAAAAGTGGTCAGTTTACTGTTCTGTACTTTGGCGAGCCGGGCTACTGCAAAAGCATGTTCCTTCCGCTGCGTTGTTTTCCCTGCATCCATGTCTGCTAAAGAGCAATAGGCACGTAATGAGGCTCCAGCCATCCGGTGCGGAGCAAAGCCAATTACACTCCTTGACGCTGGATTCTGCATAGCTCGCACTAGCATGAGGACTTTTAGCTTATTGTCCTGAGCTCCATACCACCATGGATTGCTCACTCGTCTAACGACCCAGTTTTCGTGGAACAAGCCCGCATGCTTTTAAAAGCTCGTTCGATAACCGCCCTTCGCTTACGATTCTGCATCCAGTTTTCTCAGGACGTCTCTCAGCTTTGCGATTTTGCACATCACAATTCGTTCCCAAAGTTTCTCGTCTCAAAAAAAAACCGGGATTTGACTTTTATTGCGTTTTGCGCTCTGGACGCTTCTCGTGCCCTCGTTATCTCGCTGGATACGCACAAGAGCATCCATCACTCGCTTTGCCATCGATCACCGGAAAGACGATCCACACCTCGCAAGCAGCTTTCACACAATCTAAAGCGGCTCCATCATTCGCTACTATCGCATTCTTCTTGAGTAGGGCAGGAAGAGGGATTTCCACGTAGAGAAACAACCAGACAAGGAACGGGAATCATCGAACTTGAGCATCCTCGGAGCACCCTTTAAACTCGCTCTTCTCTTCCTCTCCATCACGCGGTAGAGAACTTGTCTCTTCACGCCCGTCGTTTCGTGTGCGGATCATAGTCTCCGCAAACCGGCTTAATTTTTAATCATGCGATACGCATTGGGTCTTTTGGCACTCGCTGCCTCAGCAGTGGCTCTCCCTCAAGGTGTGACGGAAGCCATTTCCCCATCGTCCTCGGCCCCAGCCGGATGTAGCCCAAATTACTCGGGTTCCTTCCAGATCACCGTGGTCAATGTCACATCGGCCGCGAAGGTCAAACGCGACGCGCTGGTCTGCACGTTGAGCGGCGGTATATTGAAGGATGCCCACGGCAGAACGGGCTACATTGCCAGCAACTACCAGTTCCAATTCGACAACCCACCCCAGGTAAGTATCGAGCAGTCGCACGTGATTGGACTGACTGGCATAACGTTCCATAGAAGGGCAAACGAGCTGACTATTGAAATTTGTCGAATAGGCCGGCGCAATCTACACAGCTGGATTTTCCGTCTGCAGTAACGGATCCTTGGCCCTCGGTGGCTCGGCGATCTGGTACCAGTGCTACTCCGGCGGGTTCTATAACCTCTACGACCGATCCTGGGCAGCCCAGTGCTCGCCCATCTACATTGAGGTCATGGGAGGCAGCTCTGCGCCAGCAGCCACGCAGGCTTCTGACGGCCAGCCCGGTGTCACCACTCAGGTTAGTCAGATCAGCGATGGACAGGTCCAGGCGACAACTATGGCTGTCAGCCAGATCAGCGACGGACAGATTCAGAACGGTCACGTGAGCCAGATTAGTGATGGTCAGGTGCAGGCAGGCGGCGTAACTCAGATTTCGGACAGCCAGGTGCAAGCAGGCGGCGTGACTCAGATTTCGGACGGCCAAGTCCAGGCCCCGACCGGCAAACCGGTTTCTCAGATCTCGGACGGCCAGATCCAGGCCAACCCCGTGGGTCAGATCTCGGACGGTCAGATACAAGCTACTTCCGCTGCCCCCGCCGCTGCCCCAGTTACTCAGATCAGCGACGGACAGGTTCAGGTTCACTCTGCTACTCCGGTCCAGCAGATCTCCGACGGTCAGGTGCAAGCCTCTGGCGCAGCGTCCAAGGCTTCCGCCGCCCCTGTGTCTCAGATCAGCGACGGCCAAGTTCAGGCTGCGGCCAGTTCCGTCCCCGTTAGTTCTTCTCGAACTAGCTCCACCACGCCAGCGCAGTTCACCGGTGCTGCCGCACCTTTGGCCAAGCTGCCGGCCGCCGTCGTCGCCGGTTTCGCCGCCGCCGTCGCCTTCTTGTAAGCGCACCGGCAAGCCTTGCGTGCAACGGGCTCTCAAGATGAACGGTCTTTTCTCCTCCGAGACTCTTTTCAGCCTCCGTTTTGTGCTCATCGAGCACTAACTTACCCCCTCCTGACCGATCCGAGCTCACGCCGAGGCCCGGCAAATACGGCTGTAAACGCGCGACTATAATCAAACAATGCCCATCGATCGGGATGCTCTCCTCCCCATTCGATACGGGACACACTCCTTTCTTTTCCTTAACCGTGTGCATGTGTTTAAACGAGAGGATGACGACGAGTAGGGGGCTGTAGCCGGCCGGTCAATTCCTTCCCCCACAATCCTTTAGTCATTCAAAGGAACAGGAACCCCCCCCCCCCCCCCACCCTTGGCAAAGATCCATTCGCACGTTCCGAATGCTGTTTTGTTTTTGAGAATGTTGTATGTGTTTTCGATAAGCGGAAGACGTTAGCATCAGCATTCCTTTTGGACGCAGCCAGCACACGTTCACAGGCTCGTGTCGTCCTCAACTGTCACCGTGAGAATAATATGCATATTTTGTTGTATCTTTTTTTTTGTTTCACTTCACGTTCAGTGAAAAAGAAAGAAAGAAAAGCAATGCATCAGTGAGGGCCTCCCAGCGTGGAGAGATGCATCGAAAGGTTTTTTTTTGGGTTTGTGTAAGAATGTGTACATCCAAGGGGAAGGCCGGGAGATAAAGGCGAGGACCAATGGGGCTAAGAGCTTGTTGGGAAGGTCTCCCTTCTATGTACACACTTTCTCTGTACATAAATTATCTTTCCATCTCTCCTTATGCCGTTCTATCCCATCATTACCAGTAAATGATTCGGGAGACGTAATGGTGGCTGTGAAAGGATGTAATGTCGCGGAGGTCTCGAAATCATAGTTCCCTAGCTCTTCCTCTCCCAAAAGAAATCGCCAAGTGCAATAATCGTGCTTCCTCATTACGTCGCAAAAGTCAGTCAATTAACACACACACACACACACATATATATATATATACGTGTGTGCATATAAAGATTGGTAGATTTGATGATTGATCATGCCAAAGGCTCATACGAACCCGTATAACACGGCAACAAACGACTGAGAGGCCTGCAAAGAAAAAGTGGCCATCTCTCGCACTTGTCTCCCACAGTGCACCGTAAACTGCTTGACGAGGACGGGCCGAAGAGTGAGTTCAAGAGTGTGACGGCGTGGCCTGTCGAGATGTAGATAAAAGGTAGGAAAATGGGGGAATGAAAGGGGGGGGGGGGGGGGGGGTGAAGATGGGCTGGTGGACCAGCACGGCGAATAAGTAGTTATTCTCGCACGAGGAGAGAATGGAAAGAAGAAATGATCCAAGCGAAAGTGGACGTAGACGCTGAGCGAGGATGGCATAAAAAGAGGAAAAAAAAAAAAAAAAAAAGTAAAGCAACTAAAAGCAGACATGACATGACGTGTTTAAGAAAAGAACCTCCAAGACGTCAATTTTTTTTTTTTTTTTTCAAAGTAGAGTAGCAGCTGCTTGTTTCTCTCGCCCCTTCCTCCTGAGAAAAAGCGGCACGCGAACGCAAACGCACGCTCAACTCTTCTCGCGCTACAGGATTAGATATGCCTTTCAACCTGCCCTATAGAACACCTACGGCATACACAACCCGTCCACGTGCGTGCCTTGCAGTGACACAATGTATGAAGACGACAAGAGAGTAGAAGGAAACAAAACACAGACTGAAACCTTGGGAAATGAAAGAGCAAAAGAAAAAAGAAAAAATGGAGTGCACGCGGCGTGGAGGTGGTAAGGTGTGAGAACAGTATCCGCCTCTTCGCGTCCTTGCCTTGCATGAGCATGCAATCCGAGAAGAGACACTACCCACATCTGTCAAGGGAGGGTCCAATGGTTATGATGACGACGATGGTGATGATTGCACGCAGATATACACGCACAAGACTTGATTTCGCCAACTGCACCAGAGAAAAACCAGCCAAAAAAAAAAACAAAAGAAAAAACAGCACCCATGAACCAGCATTACCAACTCGCTCACTTATGACTGATTAATATGAGATAGAATGTAGCCGTGCTCAACCAATTTTTTCTGTCACACCACACTTCCCTTTGAACGTGGAAGAGGAATTCTTTCGCCTCCGGAGGGCCGTTCCACCTGCGAACTCAGAGCTTTTGTCTTAATTTTTTTTCTCTTCTTTCGGAAAGGAAAGGCTGTAAGATGCAGAATCTCGCAGAGCAAGAGCGAGATACAGAGAGAGGGAGAAAAAGGGAGGAGAGGCTGTGTACGTTTGAGAGATAGACAAAAGAGTTTCCGACAGTTGAAGGCAGTATTAACGCGGTTAATAAGGGGGTCGTGAGACTTTGAAAACGCAGAAGAAAGCCAGCAAATGGTCGTGAGCCGTCGCCGCAGCGACCCTGCGCCAAAAAAAAGAGAAAAATTTCAGCAAACCAGGCACAAAGGAAGGCCGCGAAAGGGACGAGGGACCGTTTTGCGTGTCCCAGACTGGCCGTCGAGCTCTTTAGCGAAGCGAGAACTTGCCCCTCGTCTTCTCCTTGCCGTCGATCGGTCGTCCGCTCTCGATTCTGGCCTTCTTCTCCTCCAGGTCTGCGCGCTGGCGTTCGAGTTGCTCCTTCATCTCCCTGTGTCGCGCGTACAGCTCTTCCTCGCTCTGGCGCAGCTTGCTTTCCTTCTCCTGCACCTTCTGCTGGAAGACCATCTTCATCTCCGCCTCCATCTTGGCCAGCTTCTGCTCGTGCAGGGCGCGCTCCTCCTCCTGCTTGACGGCTGGGTTGACCTCCTTGAAGACCGATGCGTCCTGCTGCACACCCATGGCCGTGAGCTTCTCGGACCGGTAGTCCTCGTACAGCTTGTTGTTGGTGTGCTCCTTGAGCTCCTCCATGTGTGTCCGGATGAGCATCTGGCGCAGCTTGACGAAGTCGCAGTGCTCCTCGTTGTCGACCTCGATGACGCCCCAGGGGTAACGGCGACCTCGGACCTTGCGACCGTCGGCGGTTGTGACCTCACTGTTAGCACCGACAACGGCGAATGGGACCTTGCTCATGATCTCATTGTTCTCGGCGATGGTCTCCTCGTCATCGAGCTCGTATCGTGGGCCCTCGAAGATCTGGATGTGGTGGTATGCGATGTCGTCCAGGATCTGGGGTTTACAAGTTAGCCTTTTTTTTTGACGGCGTTTGACGTTGGTGGTACGACGCCAACTTACTCTCTTCTTGAAGGCCGTGATTTCGTCGTCGGTCAGGGTATCGGCCTTGGCAATGACGGGGATCAGGTTGACCTTGGTGTGGAGGCGACGCATCACCTCGACATCAAGAGGCTTGAGCGAGTGACCGGTTGGCTGGATGAAGTAGACGCAGGCGTGTATGCGGTTATCGACGATGTTCATGCGATTGACCCTGTTCTCGGCATCGAGGTAAGCGTCGAACCGCTGCTCGATGCTCTCGACGATGGGGCCCCAGGAAGCATCGTTGTTGACGAAATCGCCGAAGCCCGGAGTGTCGACGACGGTCAATCTCAAGCGGACACCGTTCTCCTCAATGTCGGCGCTGAGCGACTGTATGGACACGGTCTTGGGGATGATGTCGAGGCTGGGAGCCTTGCGCTCCTTGGGCGGGTACAGCGAGGTGTTGAACAGCGTGTTCACCAGCGTCGACTTGCCAAGGCCGGACTCGCCTAGTGTCATCGTCAGTCGCCTCGTTTCATCGACGGGCACGCTCGTCAGCAGCGGCTGGACAACGTACCGACAACCATGACATTGAAGTTGAAGCCCTTCCGCACACTCTTGCGGTGCCACTGATTGGGCAGATTTGCAAAGCCCACGTAGCCAGTCAGTTTTCGGCGAACGATGTTCCTGCTGTCGGCGGCGACTGCAGCAGCCGCCTTGGGATCTTTGGACGCAATGGTCTGCGGGATAGTGCCTGCTTCGGGGGTTAGGATGTCGCTCGTGCTTGCATCGGTGGAAAGGGGGTTCGTGCCGTTGGCCATATCGGGGCTCGCAGCTGGAGCAGGAGAGGGTCGGGTAGGAGGAGCACCGTTGGCTGCTGTGGCGAGAAGAAAAGGTACTGTCAGCACGGCGGGTGTGTTGCAGAGGATGGGATGCGTGTCAGTGGAATGTCGTCCAAGCTGGACAGGACGGGCAGACGGCGAATGGGATGGAAGGTCGGGGGGGGGGGAAGGGTTGTGGAGTGGTGCAGGTGATCGGGAGCAGTTACGCAGCAGTAGCATTAGCATCTGCCGTGGCCGCAGGCGAGTGACACGATCAGGGGATGACGAGCGAACGAAAGGAGAAAGGGAACAGGCATGGCAACTTACCCATTGTGTGAGCTCTGCTGTGCGAATCGACGGAGCGTCTGGGCTACGTAAGCGTACAGTTGCGGACAGCTGTAGCAGACCAAGTCAGTGGTGGAATCTCGCGTGTCGATGAGGATGCGAAGCGGGATGCGACGACGAAGGCAATGGAAAGAGATCGCAGGCGATCAGGTGCCGATGGCCAGGAGAAGGTCGCACAGCAACAGGACAGGTGGCTCGCACGAGGTGTGCGCGTAGATGCGAGCGAGGGCGAATGCAAGTGCAATTGTGTGAGTGAGTGTGTGTTTGGAGGTAGGGAGAGATTGGGATCACAGACCGTTTTTACGTTTTGGGTCGAGTCCCTTTTTTTGGGGGGGTGCGGTTGTCGGCAAGGTTGACGGCGAGGGTCTGGCACGACACGACGAAGGCGGATCAGGGCACGACAAAGGTGCGGGCACAAGAAGGCGCGGAGAACAGAAGGAAGGAGACCGAGTGCGCCTGCGATGGACGGAGAGATGTGTGGACGTGGACGTGCGGGTGGAGGGGAGGATTGGCGGGAGACGGTGGTGCAGGTACAGGCAACGGGCAGAAGTGGCCGCGCTGGATGGGCATCGAAGACGGGACGAGGCAGAGGCAAAGCAGGAGCAGAACGACGAGCCAGAGGGCGCGGGCGGCGTGGACGAGGTGGACGAGGGGACGAGCGGGCGTGCGCTGCTGGCCCAGGAGAGCGCGCAGACGCCCAAGCCCGCGCCCGAGCCCCTTGCGCGCGCGCCCAAAGCGGAATGGCCGGGGCGGAAGGCGAGGCCCGCAAAGGGGAAGGGGAGAGGACACGCCAACGACATGGCCAGCGGCCCTCGGCCGTCCAGCCCACGCTTTCATCCCTTCAGTTGCACGCGTCCGTTCAATCGCCCCGTTCGCCCGTCCACGCGCTCGTTCGTCCTCGCGCTCGTTCGTCGCGACCTGCCTCCCGAGCGCGCGAGACCCCCCACGGCCAAGACAAAGCCCGACCTGTGCCTGACGCTTGTGTGCTGGGCGCGGCGTCCGCTCCGCCTCAGGCCGCAAGGAACAGACGACGAAAAATCTCCGCGTCTCTGGCCCCCCGTGCGCCCAATAAATTTGACAGCTGCAGCCAGCCAATCAGGACCGCCCGCCGCCCGCTGGCTTGTCTGGCCCCGTTTTCTTGTCTCGCCCTTTGCGACAGGCCCAACGCGTGCTTGTGCCCACACATGCTCACCTACCCCATACGTCGTGACAACCGCCCTGGACGCGACGTCTTCAACGATCTTCGTACCGCTCTGCCCCAAGGCTCTGTCCTCGCACGAACGCGGGCCCCCCCCTCTCTCGTCCTATCTTCGCACGCCGGTTCTGTGCCACACGCCGAGTAGCCTGGGCCTCGTCCGGTGCAAGGGATGGATCGCACACCAATCCTGAAAGAGCCACCTTCCTTAGCACGTCTTGATTCCACACGCGATTTCTGTAACCATGGCTGCAACAGCAGTCATGTGTCAGTCAATAGATGTATATGTATCTTTGTGCGTGTACACACTCATGTGTGGATCCAGTGTCGCACACCGTAGAAGGCGTTCAAGCAGCTTCTTGGCGGAACGTCGCTTCGGCCTCAGCTTCTTACCGCCAGCAGGTACCTTTGAAGCTGCTTAAGAAGAGCCGTGTGGGATGAGGAAATCTCAACCTTTGAACGCGCCTTGCCGTCACTATAACTGCCTCTGTCTCTACTGACCTCGACACGATGATCCCGCGCCCTGCCATCCGCTGTGTGAACCGCGAAAGGTCCACGCTCGAAAGGCTGGAGAGGAGGGAAACGATATGAGGAAGGCATGCTGGCCTTGTCACCTGAGTCATCCCGTCGCCATCTCCATACACACAGAGTGACCGGACACATCACCAACATTGCGCGCGAGAAGATGCATTTCTCCACTGCGTCCTCCAATCTCCCGCACGCGTACACTGTCTCCGCTGCCTACACCAGGTCTATCTATCTATCTATCTCTCTATCCATCTGTCGACTACTGCGCATCTCGTGCCCGCTGCTGCACGGATCAGATTCCAAAGTCTCTTTGCAAACTCCTCTCTACCTCCTCCCGGTTGATTCACAGCCGTCTGATTGTCGCCGTTTGTAATCGTGCATGCCTGTGTAGTATATGTTCACGTGTGACAAGCATATTGGACTAGCACTGTAGAGGTAAAGGCTTGTGCCATTGCTGTATATGTACATGAAGAGCAAAGAGCCACAAGAGAATGTGAGCAAGTCCTCCAATGAAAGCCGTTGGGGGGCGACCATGCGCTCGGAATTTATTTATTATTTTTTCATTGAGACGATCCCAAGCAACTACCGCAAGCCGCGAGGAAAAGCAAAAGAAAAAAAAAGCAGAGAAAATGCAAACCAAACAGCTGTTCACACCCAAAACACCCAGCACCTCGACGTAGGGTATCCAGCAAGATAAGGGAAAAAAAAGGGGGGGGAAACAGGGAAAAGGAATGGAGATCAGAAAACAAAAGGATTCCGGTTTTGAAAAGGGTCAAGGAACTTTTGATCCGTCGTCCAGTCACCCGGCCCACATGAACGGGATCGTCTCGTAGCTCGCGTCGGCCTCTCACAGCGTCGACAACGTCGCCGCCATCTGGCTCTTGTCGTACTTGACGTACTTTCCCTTGCCCTTGTCGATCTCGTGATACCTCTCCCAGAACCGGCGGTACATCGGCTCGAGCAAGGCGCTGATCTCCTTCGAGAACATGGCCCGGGCCTCCCTCTCGAAGTTGTAGCTGCGATGCTTGGCCATCAGCTCGTCGAAGTCCTTGTTGAACGCGGCGAACTTGTTCTTGATGGCCTCCTTGTCCTTGGAGCTGAGCGCCTTGACGACCACCGCCGACTCGGACGCGCCCCCGGACGGCGGCCGCATCGCCCGCGTGTTCTGCTGGTCCAACAGGTGCCGGCACACCATCTGCCACTCGTCCAGGTACCGCTTCGCCGCCTGCTTGCGCCGCGTCTCCACAAAGGTCGGGATCAGGTCGGAGAGCAGCGGGAAGAGGTCCGACGACTCGATCATGCGCGTGATGACGGCGATGTTGTTCGCCATGAAGACGCCCTGCACGGCCGCGCTCTTGAGCAGGGCTCGCGCGCGCTGCTCTTCGGCGTTGAGCAGCGTCTCGATCATGTCGCGCGCGTACTTGACGAACAGCTGCTCGCCGTTGGGCTGCACGTCGAGCGTCTGCACCGGTCTCGACCACCCCCCGTCGCCAAGGTCGCGTAGCACAGACGTCACCGGTTCCAGCAGGCGCACCATGGTCTGCAGCTTGGTCATAACGTCCGCCGTCAGCGGTATGGCCCCTCCGTCCTGCGGCAGCGACGCCAGGTTCGACGCCGCGTCGCGGATTCCGGACAGGAGAGACGACATCGACATCTTCGCTGTGTCGCGCACCGGCTTGAGTGCGTCCAGGATGGGCTGCTTGACGTCGAAGACACGCTCAAGGTCCAGCGCCAGCCGCTGCACGACCCCGACAATCTCGTACGCCAAGAAGCAGTCCGTCATCATGTTGCTCTGGATCTGCGTGTTGAGCTCGCGCAACGTCTTGCCGAACTCCTGAATCGGCTGCCGCATCGTCGACGCACACACGCGCTCCCACTCCTCGCGTCGAAAGATGGGGCTCACTACGTTGTACTCCGTCTCCGCCATCTGCTTCAACCCATCCGCATACATGGGCAGCGTGTTTGTGCCCGGCTGGTATATCTGGTCGGCGTTCATCTTGCGGCCCGTGTTGACGGCCGCCATCGCGAGCGTCTTCAGCGTGTTTGCTATGTACTCTCCTCGTATCTCCGTGTATGCTTTGATCGTGGGCGACTCCGCCGTATTCCCTTGTGAGGCCTGCGTGACGGATGCAGAAACGTGAGTGTGGATTTGTCGTAAAGTGTTGCTGTTGCTGTCCGATATGGTGGGGAATGGCTTGCCTAGAACACGAGTTAACCCGATCGAAGACTGATCATCTGTATGGGAACAGTACCTTTGGCCATGTACTGCATAGGCTCTATTTTCGCTGATTCCTCTCGCAATATGTCCCTGAAGACCTGCTCCAATTGCTTTGCACCATACCGCAGCAGTGCCGAGAGCTCACTGATAGCTTTCTGGTTCGTCTGTAGCGGGGACGCTTGAAGGCCGGCAAGCGCACGGGTGGCTCGGTCTATCGATGCCACGTAGTCTGGTATTCCAACAACGCGAGGACTGAGATGGCATATCAGCATGTGCAAAGGCAGCTACCGAAGCACGATATTGACGTACTCTTGTCGTATCACTTTATCCTCGCGATCCCGTTGGTCTAGGGGCTTCCTAAAGCGATCAATCACCTCGATGACATTGTCGATATCTAGGCCACATTAGCTATGTCACCGGAATATATGGATGTGGGTAGTAGCCCTACTCCTGTTGGTAATCTGTAAGCGCTGCGTATTGCTGTAGATGGGTGCGATGGCCTCCTCGACCGATTTGCCGCTCGTCTCCAGTCTGTTCAAGGAGCCTTGAATCTTCTTCGTCAAGCCTTTAAGCTTCTCCAGGTTCGCATACAGCACCTCCACCTCGGCGCTCTCCTCTGCAAACGCACTCTTCCGCTGCACAACCATTGCGAGCTCCGGGTGTCTCGCGGGTCAGAGGGCCGTTTGAAGATGGGGAATCGCTAGCGTGCAACCATGCAACCACGCTGCGAGCGACTGCACCATAACATGCTCCCGTGAATATGCCCGGTAGTCCCAAAAAAGAAATCTATTGGAGTGCCTCAGAAACGTGGTCGAGTCTCCCGCGGCTTCGCATTGCGTTCCAGCTTACTCAAGGCCCGTCCCCCCCAGAAGGCGGCTCATGCACCGCGATGCCAAGACGGGACGAACCGTGGTGCTTGACCCGTTTTGGCCGTACGCTCTGTCAAACCTGTTCCGGTGCTCAACAAAAACAGGCCGCGGCGGCCTTTCGAGCACCCAAAAACACCGTCCTCTTGGTGATTGCTCGCCGAGTGGACTGTTGCGCGCGGCCAATTGATGCATTCGCGCTTAAGAAGGCAGTGGTTTTCGACCCAGCACGATCATGCACGTGAGAATTAGGTCGCGCCCGCTGTGTGGCCGAGGGCAAGGGCCGATCGTATGTCGGACACGCAGGTAGGTTAAAGACTTTCCCCACCCAGCCAGCAGAAATATCGTCTTAGTCGTCGAGCGAGCACTGATTGTTGTCTTCGTTCTGGCCATATAGTGTGTATGCAGGTCGGGCAACGTCTTCACGCCCAGCTCTTGCTGGTCCTTCTTTGTCTCAGCTGTTCATCAGCCATGCCGTCACGCTCTCTGCTGGCGGCACGTTTCTCTACTTATGGCAGCCGGATTTTCTACGCAAATGGTACTCTTCCCACCGCCCGAGATGTGATGGGCCGAGAGAGTACATGGACCATGACGAGGATCAGCCTTCTGGCATCGGAAGACTAAGCACGTGGCCGTCATGGTGGTCGTCGCGTGCTGTCAAGGACGAAGATGACCAAAAGTCTGGCGAGCAGGATCCCCCGACGCAACGGCAAGTTTATCTAAAAGACGAGCAAAAGCAAAACGAGTCGGGACAGGGCAGCGTCATTCCCAAACTACCTACTATCGAATGGGGGACCATCGGAGACAAGATCAGTGACCTTCTCGTGCCGGGCTGGGTCAAAATGCTACCCGGTTTCATGAACAAGCTCCAGAGGGAGATGTCAATGGCTCCGGGCTCTCTTGCCGAAGAGATATGGCAGGAAGCCAATGACCCCGAGATCAACCCCGAGATTGTATGGGACTGCTCGGTGCGTGTGTCCAACGACCTTTGCGAAGAGGAGAAAGCTTTTCTCCAATGGCGAAAGATGCACACGGTCAAAGCACTGGCTGGGTACTTGGATATTCCCGAAGGTAAGATACATCCGGACGATGTGCCTACGATTGCTATGTGCGGATCCGGTGGAGGACTGCGCGCTCTTGTTGCGGGCTCGGCATCATACCTGTCATCGCGAGAATCGGGCTTGTTCGACTGTATCACCTACACGGCGGGCGTTAGTGGCAGCTGCTGGTTGCAGACTCTTTTCTATTCCTCCATTTCTCAACAGAACCACGCAAAGTTGATTCAGCATTTGAAGAATCGTCTAGGAGTTCACATTGCCTACCCTCCAGCTGCTTTCAGTCTGATCAACAGCGCTCCTACGAACAAATTTCTGCTCAGCGGAATGGTTGAGAAATTAAAAGGGGTGCCAGACGCAGATTTTGGTATCGTCGATATATACGGTCTGCTCCTGGCTGCCCGCTTGCTGGTTCCAAAGGGCGAACTTAACGTTGATTCGGATGACCTGAAGATTTCGAACCAGCGCAAGTACATCGACCGTGGCCAGAATCCTCTTCCCATCTACACGGCAGTGCGTCATGAGATCCCGATTGCAGAGCAGAACGAGAAGACGGCAGAAGAAGCGGAGATCAAGGCAAGGAAGGAATCATGGTTCCAGTGGTTTGAGTTTACCCCTTACGAATTCTGGTGCGAAGAACTCGCAGCAGGGATTCCTACCTGGGCAATTGGTCGACGCTTTGAAAATGGTCGGAGCGTGTGGCGAGAGAACGGACTTGCTTTGCCAGAACTGCGCGTCCCCCTATTGATGGGCATTTGGGGCAGTGCATTCTGTGCAACACTTTCTCACTACTATCGGGAAATCAGGCCGGTCATGAAGAGTCTCACTGGTTTTGCAGGCATCGACCAGATGATTGCCGAGCGAGACGATGACCTTGTCAAAGTGCACCCCATTGACCCCGCAACGATCCCAAATTTCGCAATAGGTATGCGCGGTCAGCTCCCACCATCATGTCCCGAAAGCATCTTCCAGTCTACCCACCTTCAACTTATGGACGCTGGTATGAGTAACAACCTTCCAATCTATCCATTGCTTCGACCCGGTCGAGACGTTGATATCATAATCGCTTTTGATGCATCTGCAGACGTCAAAACGGACAATTGGCTACGTGTTGTCGATGGATATGCAAGACAAAGAGGCATCAAAGGCTGGCCACTCGGCGCTGGGTGGCCGCCTGCTGAGGAGTCAACAGCACAGGCGACGAAGGAACTAGATGAGGCACAGTCTAGCACTGAAGCTGAGGCACGAGCCAAAGTAGAACAGGCGGCACGTGAGGATGCGGCGAAGAGAAGCAACAAGAAGGACCTCGGCTACTGTAATGTGTGGGTTGGAACGACAGATGAACGGTATACAGACAAAGAGTCCCCCACCTCGAAGCTTGTCGAAGATGATTTGGAGCTCATGAGGCCAAATGCCGGAATCACGGTCATCTACTATCCTTTCTTGCCAAACAAGAAAGTTGAGGGTGTTGACCCGAAGACGTCGGACTATCTTTCTACGTGGAACTTCATCTACACGCCGGAGCAAATCGAAAAGGTGGTGTCGCTCGCACGAGCCAACTTTGACGAAGGCCGCGAACAGACCAAGCGAGCGGTTAGAGCTGTTTATGAACGCAAGAAGGCCATGCGGCTAGCGAGGGAGGAAGAAGAGCGTGCGAGCAGACGCCAAAGAAAAATGCGCTCTGGCACTTTGGGCAAAAGGCTCGGAGAGGGCGATCACGCGGACCAATTCAGTTAGGTACTGATCCAGCAATTCTGGAGCAGCCTATAATGTTATCTCACAAGGGAGCACCATTGCACTTAGTAATATGAGTCATGATATACATACTGGTTCCAAGAAGAACAGGATTCGCGGCGGGATTGGAACAATCCTGGACCGATTTAGATTCAGAACTGCACATAAAAAAAGGCATGGTCTATCACCGTACATATGTCGGAGGTATTATGGAGACATTGTAAGTTCGCATAGATGATGTGCTTTGAAAGAAATAAAAAACAATTTAAGGCCCCATGGAGGGTTTCCACAAATCTTTCACGGCTAGATCTCATTAATATGCTAGTTTTCTGGCACGGTGTTTCAACTGCTCTTGAGCACAGATAGTTGGTTTCCCCATACAGCGGATTCTCTCTTTTCTCTTTCTTTCTTTGCACGATCAAACTGGAATTTCACCATTCCCGTCCACCATGCTGCTTTGTTTTGAGCAAGGACGACAAAGAGAGTTTGACCAAGCTCATGCCTTTACTCTTTCTGCTATGATGTCCTTAGTGGGTATCCATATGCACTCTCTCCACTCAACGAGAAGTGGGCAAGCATTCGAGGAGCCGATTGTCGAGAAGGTCAAGAAGTTGTTCTCACGCTTCTCGAACCCACCCGCAGCATGCTGCGAAATCAGCCGTAAATGCGATTCCGGAGAAATGCGGCTCAGTTCGTACCTGAAAGCACAGGATTTATGTAAATTTCTCAATCCCGTCCGTGATGATACCAGCATCACTTTCCCGCCTGGTAACCAAAATCCAGAAACGAGATGTGCTCACAACCCGCAAGAATTTTCCTGGAATGACAGGTGCTTCATCGGTTTGGTATCAGAGTGAGAATTATTAAAAACACGCGTGCCTAACGCAGATATTCCGGTATCAAAATGATTTCCGAGATTCTAAAACGTGCTTAGAGGAATTGGGGCAGCTTGGTTAGTTCATACTAAAACGAGCCATGAACAAGCTCCGAGTGAAACTTTGGAAAACTATGATAACTAGGGCAACTAGACATGTCTAAGACCTTTTCGTAATCAGGAATGGAGAGCAATTCGCCTGGTTTGGAACTCCATATTAGAGACTGACTGGCTGGTCGGGCAAGGGAAACAGGGGAGCATGGGTCAAGCAAGAGTCTAAGTCCAAAAATGTCCAAAACATCAAAAAGAGTAACTTGCAAGTTTATTAGGAATAAACCATATTCGGCCGACGCTATCATCGCTGAATTCTGACAACTGAAATGAATAGCACTCGTGCGGGGGCGGTTCCGATTCGGCATCTTGCACGACTCGAACGACCCGAAGTTCTACTGTTTCTCCTCTTCCACGCCAGAACACGTTTCTTTCAGGATACATGCAAAATTCTTTTCTCTAGAAGGCAGTACTAATTATGACTGAGTTCAAAATTGAAAGTGAAGACTTAGTTGGTCTCAAAGACAAGGTTGTGGTTATTACGGGTAACTGAATGTCCGCAGCTTCAGCAATCCACGTTGTCTAAACCTAATTAGGCTGCGCCTCGGGCATTGGACTTGCGACGACTGAACTCTTATTAGAGCTGGGTGCATTTGTGGTTGGTAGCGACTTGAATGTATCCCCCACTAATCACTCAAGCTTTGTCTTCGTCCAAACGGATGTCACCAAGTGGGCGGATCTCGTGGCCTTGTTCAAAACTGCCATTTCTCGACATGGACGTGTCGACCATGTCTATGCCAATGCGGGCATAAGCAACAAAGAGACGTACATCGTGGATCGTTTCGACGCGGACGGCGAGCTACTTGAGCCCAACCATCTTGTCTTTGACATTAATCTTCGAGCTGTCGTTAACACGGCTTACCTCGGCATCCATCATATTCGCAAAAATTCCTCGGGCGGGTCAATAGTTCTTATCGGCTCCGCGTCGTCGTTCCAGCGCTTTCGCGTTCCGGATTACTGCTCTGCCAAACATGGAGTCTTGGGACTGATGCGTGGCCTTGTTCCTGTGCTCGAAAGCGCCGGATTGCCCATCAGAGTAAACACGGTTGCCCCATCCTGGACAATTTCAGGGCTTGTTCCAGAGTCTATCAAAGTCACAGGCAAAAAGACGCAGGGACCCGAAGTTGTTGCCAAGAAAGTTGCCTTCTTGATGGCTGATGGCTCGCGGAATGGACAGCTAATCTATTCACATGATGGAAGATATTTTGAGCTGGAAGAAAGCATCTTCATGAAGGCTGTTGAGCAGATACTAGACGGCGATATCAGCGACGACATGGTGGTGAAGCGAATGGTGGATTTTGCACAAGTTGCAGCGGTGAAGCAGAATGCTTCCGCGCAGTGATTGCTTTTTCGCAACCTAACAGTATCATCAAGATTATAAACCAAGCTTACATATCGATTAGAATTATGATAAGACACTTCTTGCAGCCAACGCGGCATGTTTGCCTGCTCTCCTACCAGAAAATACACAATCAGCAAGTGAAAGGCCACTGATATATCGATTAGAGCACAGTCCTACAGCATTTCGTCCTGCAGCATATACACCAGGTATGGTGGTGCCTTTATCAGAAAGCACCGACCCAGATTCCTCGTCCACCCGAAGCCCTCCCAATGATAGACCGGTAGCAAAGTGTAAAGCAGAGTCACGAATTGAGATATCGATCGCGTAGAAAGGAGGCTTGCTGATTGGAGAACAGTATTCAGGATTTTTGAAGTAGGGGTCTCCACTTTCCGAGCGTACTCCATCGTTGTAGGCTTGAATAGTCTCGTTCATTACGTCTGCAGGGACTCCGATAATTTTGGCCAGTTTTTCCAGAGAACGGGCACGTGCATGCTTCCAGTACAGCGACCATAGTGCAGGAACATTCATTGGGAAGGTAGATTCCACAGAAATGCGGGCTTTAGCTTCGCGCCATTGCTCTGAGTCAAGGATCAAATATCCCCTTCCACCATGGTCATGAATCAGAGCCTCGGAGAACGTTGCGCCGTACTGATCCTCTGCAGCAATCCGCTTTCCATTCAACCCGACAGCTACACCGCGCAGGAATGTTGACGGAGGGGTGAGGAACCTCCAACATGTGAACCTATCCATGTGTGAAGTAGTACCTCCAGCGGACTGCCCAAGGCGAATACCGAATCCCAAGTCGTTCCCTGATCCGAGAGGACGAGTATTCTTGTATTGGGGGGCGAATTTGTTGACCCATTCCCTATTGAAGGCGAAGCCACCTGCTGCCAAGACAACCGATTTTGCTTTGATTGTTTCTGGAAGAGCAGCGCTCTTGTAAATCTCTTCTGCTTGCTCCCGCAGTTTAGCGGCACGTTTTGGAGAAGATATTATGAGCGACTTCGCTTTCCTGCTAAGTTTTTTGTGCCTCGCGAACATTGCATGATCTTCCGTTACCCTCAGAGCACGCAAGCCTTGAAAGCGACCATTCTCCATTATAATGGACTCGATATGGCAAAGATGTTTGAATTGAACATTTAGCTTCTGTGCAGAATCAGTCAACGTTTTCCAGAGCCCGCTGCCGGAATCGAGGCCCGGTTTGACGAAGCGGTGGCCGCGAGCAGCTGGCTGCGCATTTCGGTTAAACGGATGCGCTTTTTCATTACCAGAGTAGTAAAGGTAGTACTGATCTGTGGGATATGAGCATTTCCACGGACACAGGGAGCCTTCGAATTTTGCCCCGTGCTTCTCCAGCCATTCGAGCATACTAGTACTTTCGTTACAGAATCGCCTCAGCGTACTATCACTGACCGCATCGCCGACCTCGAGTTTTAGATAGTTAAACATATTTTCTGGAGTGTCATGGATTGATGCCTCCATTTGCTGCTTCGTTCCTCCACCAGCATAAACAACACCGCCGGACATTGCAGAAGCTCCCCCGCCATGATCTCGATCTACTACCAAGACCGATGCGCCATTTTCAGCAGCCGAAATGGCGGCACACAGTCCTGAGAGACCATGACCGACTACAACAAGGTCATACTGTTCATCATGTTTTGGCTTTCCCGACGAAGTAGTTGATACAACGCGTTTTCCTGGACAATATACATGCGTGCGAGTGAAATAAGCACCTAGGCATAAGTTAACACATGTTTTCGTACTAAGCTAGCAAGTTGGCGTTTGTACTTAGTGGTATTGTTCTCAAAAAGTGGAGCAGAGAGTGCGATGTCATGGTGAGGGGCCAAGAACCCTTTTCAGGGCGTGCATGGGACCGAAATCAGCGAGAAAAAATTGAGTCGCGCAAGGTTCTAGCCTACGAACACAATAATATAAGTCTTTTGCGTGATGAATGCAAGATTCAGAAGGATTACAACTCGAAGCGCGGAGCAGTCCTCGCTTGCGTTTCAACAACCGGCAGTGAGATTTTAGGTCGCCCTTCCCCCCCCAACTGGCGATCCAGAGCTTCGGGGCCGGAGAAATTATACAAGCAAGGGACAACAAATGCACTCGTTCATAGGACCAGCGCTGTATATCAAAGATATCATGCCAATTTTGAGAAGGCTTCAAACCGGGTTACAGCACAGATTCGATGTTGCAACTCAAGCGCCCACCCCTGGACTATATATATGAGACACATAAATTGAAAGCACATTTGTATTGGAGCGCGCTACTTAGGCAACAATCTGCGCTTGGGCAAATGACACAAGGACTCAACCATAATTCTTCCTCTAACACTCTTGATCCTCAGTCTCATGAGCCACCTAGGAACTCATGGTTCTTTGCCGACGGCGTCCAGATCCTCAATCGTTTTCTTAGGTCCGTGAAACCAATAACGACCACCTAAACCGAAAGGTAGAACCCAGCCTACCAAAGAGATAATGCTGACAATACCTATACAAATCGGCGCATAATTCAAAGTTTGCTATTTTTGCTTAGCGAGAGCAATCTCAATTACGCCTGAGAAACTTACAGCATCAACTGGATAGAGCTGTGGGAGGACGAGCACAGCGAATAAGAACATAATATAGAGGCTAGCGATCAGTCCTAGGACTGGGCTGAATTTTCCAAGATTCCATTCGGCGGGCTGAAAGTTTTTCTTCCCGACTGTGTATCGGGCCACGATTGGAAAGAGGTAGGAGACGTTGGTCGCAATAGTCGCAGTAGCAGTTATAGCACTGAATGCGACGGCGCTTCCAATTACAGCACAAGTTATTGCAATGCTCAAACCGGTGACCAAGTATGCAGCATTGGCCGGGATTTTGTTCCTGTTTAGTTTCCTGAAAAACTTAGAAAATGGGAGCACACCATCTCGGGAAATGGCAAACGTCACTCTCTGCGCCGAGAGAAAGCAACTCGCCGTTGCACATGTCGAATCTACCCAAAGTAGAGACAGTATCGCTACAGCACCTGAGAGCATAGTCAACATGGATAAGAAAAAGTCAGCTCTCTTGTTCATCTTACCATTTTCCCCAACTAACTGAACAAGATAAGCAGCCCAGTTGTTTGAATAGGTTGCGTTTATGATTCCATCAAAGTCCTGGATACAGAATAAAACAATGACGAGGGTTGGAACGGAACCAAGCCAAGCGCTTAAAGTGGCCATCCACATTCCTTTTGCGACGACATCAGAAGCCTCATGCGTTTCTTCTGCTAGATGGGCCGAAGCATCGTACCTACGCTTATGCAGTTAGAATATCGATCCATCTAGGTTGATCGTCACAAGCTTCTTTGTGTATCCAAAATATTATCCACTGGGAATCCTCTCAAAACGTACCCATAAAATACCCACGCTCCGAACAAAACTCCAATCACCCAGCAATACGGATCAGAAGCTTGTTTCTTATCTCCAAGATTTATTCCGTTATAGAAATTGTTAAAAACTCCGTCGCTTGTCTGGAAATGGCCGCTAGCTTTGATTGGGAACCAGATCCAGTACAAGGCGAATAGGGTGAAGAAGATGATAACAGCAAATCGAAAGTAAATCCGAAGCACGCGTTGAGAAATGATATTCGGTGCCATCGCAAAGAACATTCCAATACTGGTTAGCAGCCAAGCGAACCATCCCTTAGACAAGACCTCTGCATTAGGGTATTTGATCTCGAGGGCACTTATCAAGAAGTTTGTAGAGCCTTGCTGTACTCCCGGGACTACACAAACCCATCCTATCGGGGAGTTAATCGTAAATTAACTTGCTTTCCCAAGACAATCTTACCAGCCCAATTCCACCAGGCTGTCATCCAAGCCAGGAATGGCCCCCACTTCTCACCTCCCAATCGATAGGACCAGAAGTAGATACCACCCGCCGTAGGAAAGGCAGCTGCAAGCTCCGCTAACACAAGACTCACACAGAACGACAGGCCTCCGACCATGGTCCAGTTAGCAAAGGCAGACTCGGGTCCTCCCGTATACATAACCCAACCGAATAGAACAGGTATGCCAGATATGAAGTTCATAGAAGTAAAAGTGGCTGCCCAATTCTCGAACAAGCTGAGATGGCGAAAAAATTCTAATGGGATATTAGCAAAAGAAAAAAAAATGAATTGGAAATCTTGGTTTCGCACCTTGTTTGTATCCTAACTTGGCCAAATGCATCTCATCTTTATTCATTTGTAGCACTTTGCCCTCCATAACATCAACAACCGGAGGCACAGTAGCTTGTTTCTCGATCTTGTTGTCTTCCATTTTGCTTGCACCTGGTATATGCTTGAGTGGAAATAAGCTCTAATTAGTGCAGGAGGAACCAAAGATATGGGCCTTCATTATATGTCCCTAGAACAGTGTGCTGCAGCACGAACCTAACGGTTCCTATTATAACCTGATAAGGACTAAGCGCTTCCACGCCTACATCCGCATGAAGAGCTAGCCTTCTGATGATTGCCTTCCGTACATACGTTATCTTCGGCTCTGGATCTAACTTGAGTTAATTCGACTGCGAGTCGACTAGGAGAAAGAGGAGAATTCGACAAGTGATTGCTGACTAGGAGATGCGCTAGGACAAATTTAGAGAAGCAATCCAGTTAATGGCAAGCTTTAATTCGCGTCTGCGACAAGTGCTTATCACAGCCAATCAGCAAAGCTTGATTGTGACCGCGAGGCTGCACCACTTGAACGAGCTGCGATTGAGACCATGGCACACCGCAGCCGATGCCGCGATAGCGATGAATATACAACTTCAGCATAGTCGTCGTGGACTTTCCGAAACAGCCGCAGGTGTGGCTTCTCCCTTCACTGTACCATGACGGCTGTCGATAGTAAAAGCTTTTTGTCTAATGGAGGATATCTCCAAAAAGGGACCGATGTCAACATTCGTGAGGTGGACATAGAGAAGAAGGTATCAGATTTACTTCCCTCGAGGTAAGGCAATAGTCAAAGATTTCTAACAATTATCAAGTCGTGATGCTGACAAGGCTCAAGATGGTACCGCGATGAGAAGATTTTTCAGCTTGAAAGAAGAAGCATATTTGCTACAGTACAGTAGCTCCATCCCTATTCTATGCTTATCAAATAACGATCTGCAGTTGTGGCATGTTGCCAGCTTTGTTGGACGATTTAAGAAAGCGGGTGACTATGTAGCTGCAGAGGTTTGCAAGCTTCACTTATGCAAAGTCGCGAAACGGAAACTAACAGGATCAAAGATGTTTGGGTGGAATTTCTTCATCATTAAATCAAGTGATGGAAGCATTAATGCGTTTCACAACATCTGCAGGCATCGGGGGCACCCAGTAGTCACCAAGAAGTGTGGCACGTCCTCGTTTCTCACGTGCAAGTTTCATGGCTGGAGCTACAAGACTGATGGATCACTTTATAAGGCACGTGAGTATGATGGTCTTCCCGACTTTGATCGAGCCGGGCATGCCTTGTTCAAAATTCATACACATGTGACTCCTCAAGGGTTCATCTTTGTCAATTTTGACGCACGCGAGCAGCCTGCCGTGAGTTTTGAAGACCAGTTCGGAGATGACTTTGACCCGTTGCCAAAAAATGCAACTGGAAAAGTCATCGGTGACGAATTTTCGCTCTTCAAAAAGGACGAATATGAATACGACCATACGTGGAACAGCAGCATTGCTGGGACAAAGTACAACTGGAAAACATTCGTGGATGGATTCCAAGAGTGCTATCATTGTTTGACCGGACATCCGACAACGCTACCAAAGGACTTTTGCCTAAAGGACTACTACCTAAGGCAAGGATACGGAGCGTCAAGGCATTTTTTGCCGCCAAGCCGGGACGACCTCAGTGAAGCTTACATTACCTGGCTATATCCATTGGGTGTGATAACCTTTAGTGAGAATCTGCTTTTTATTGGCCGCTTCGATGCGAAAAGTGCATTGCATACAAGCTACGACAGTGAGACATATCGAAGAGCGACGACAATACCGAAGTCAGGTGAAGCCTACGAGCAATGGATGGGTCATGAAATCGCGTACTGGAGACTTGTTGAGAAAGAGGACGTCGAGCTAGCCGTAGACGCGCAGAAAGGATTAATGAATGGTGTACTGGCCAAGGGTCGACTACATCCAACACAAGGTAAGTTGAATCGAAGAATTGTAAGCAATGTAAATGACGCGAAGCAGAACACGCCGTAAAGTGGTACCAGGACAAAGTAAAAAGCTTTGTTACAGAACATGCGATACTTGAAGCCAAAGAAGGTCACAACATTGACTACTCCATCCCGCAGGCCCAGCGTGATTACGACCAAGGCGATGTTTTGTGCAAACTCATTGGACCAGAATACGAATGGTGACCAGAGTCGCTTACGGAGCGGGTTATGTAGTCGAGAAATGATTATCTGAGCAGTCCCCATGGAAGATATTTTGCAATGGTCAATGGTCTTTGTTGTGAATGACAATCATCTTTCAGTTCTCCTGCAATCTATTGAAGGAGGACGCTCTACATGGAAACAGCACGTTCTCTTTGAATCCTTTCTCCAGACGTGGATGATTGCTTTGTCATCCTTGTCCCTTTCAAGAACAATGAACATTGGGCGGAGAAAGCGCAAAATATTCGCAACATGCTGCTATAGAGATGATGATGTACCAATTCAGAGTTCAATGGCTGAAATTGTTAGGACGATTGTTCTGAGCAATACACGAGCGAGATACCATGGATTTGTTGCACTTGGGAAACTATTTGTTAACATAGCATTAACAACATTTGCACTTGCCCGAATGCTTCACTAGTGCCTGCTGCTTCACATCTCCATACTCATATTACGAGCCCAGACAGGCATTGTAAATTTTGGGTCAGTTCAGCCTTCGACAGCAGTTTGCGTTTCTCGAATCTTAGGTGTGGAAACGCCACATTTAACGGTTTTTTCATCTCTAAGATGTCACGACCCGGTTCTTGATGTCAAGATGTAACCATGTGATGACTGTTAAGTGCGACAGTATACATGCATTATCTCTAGGTCACAAAATCAAGTTGTAAAACCATGAGAAGAATGTAAAGTAAGATGTGATCCAAAAGGATGCTATGAAAAAAAAAATGCAAAGAGAGGGAGAGCAAGACAAAGGTCGAGCTTCTTTGCTTCTCGCTAGCTTCTTATCACCAACAAAAACGAGAAGGGATGAAACCCGGCAGGTGAGGTTCTTCATATTTTTGTTGTGGCCGAACTGATAGCAGAACTGCCCAACACACTTCTTTGCATAATGCTTGTTCGCTGGGGAAATTTCGCAGGATTTATCAAATTGGAGGACAAGGTGTAGCATTAGGCTTTGTTCTGAAGACAAGGTCGAGTTGCATGTGTGAAATGCCGATCTTTTAAAACCTTTTGAGTCTATCCGAACTAGCATTCTCATAGTTCAGATAGAGTTAATGGCTCCACTGTCGGGAGAAGATAAGCCATTCAACTAAGCGAGAGTAAACGCACGAGATTTATCAAACTCCTGGAGGTGGTGGACAAGTTGGTGGTGGGATTCCCGGAGCAACCTTTACTGGCGGCGGTTGTCCGCGTACTCTCTCAGCCTTCACGAGAACAGGAATAACACCTCCCGTTTGCAGTCCAAACGGCTCGTGACCAAGGACACGTAGGAAACCCCCAATTGCACCTGAGTGGCTTGTCAACGAGATGTACGTATGCTTATCGTTAGTAAAGATATCGTCAAGCAGGGTTTTGATACGTTGATCAAGCTGCGAGTCAGATTCACGGATATCAGCAACCCAGAGAGGGTCTTCCTCTGCGAAGTTAGGTTCGAAAGTGAAGTTTGGCCAACGCGATTTGATGGCTGTCGCGGACGAGCGACGGTCACAAGTGTGCACACCAACAACTTCTCGCATAAGCTATTGGGAAAATTTTAGCACATTTCCCGGGCGTCCGTATTGTTTCACTCGTACCTCCTTGATCAAGGGCTTAAACGGTTTGTCCTTCGGCAAATCTAGGCCTTCAAACGTCAAGCTTGCCGTGTTGCAGCACCGGTCCAACGGACTAGAGTAGTAGCTCTCCGGTGCGGGTATCTTTTCTTCCTTCAGAGCCTTAGCCCAAAATTTGTTCGCTGTCAGTGCCTGCTGTTCCCCTTCAGGGGTGAGATGTGCGTCTGCCCATTTGAGTTCGCCGTCGCCTTCCAACTTCGACCAGTAGCACTGTATGCAAATGTTAACTTCCATCAGCCTCGTTCAGAACATGGCTCATACATCCCAAGCTTCCGTCCCGTACTTCGCTTCTGCCACATTATGCTCGCCTTCGCCGTGTCGTCCAAAATATAGCAGCTTATATTGCTCGTCTTCAGCAGCATGCGAATTCAAGGTTTGGATGTAGTTCTCCAGGCGTTGCCACTGGGTTGTTTGTTTCGAGGAGTCAGGTTCAGTGTCGCTAGGGTATTTGCGATCGATCAGACCGAGATTGCTCTTCGCCTGGTTGGCTATGTCAGCAAACCAAGATGTGCGCAAGAGCTTACGTGCAGAATCTCATACATAATCGAAGTCTTTGTCGATTTTGCTCGGCTCGTCTTGTACAAAGAAACCCTTCAGAGCCGTGTATTTTAGGTAGTGCTGAGCCACAGGAACTGTAGATGGCGGTTGACTCATGACGTACCCCCGGAGGAAGACGAGGAAAGTGAAGAAAGAAAGGAAGAACCCGCTAAATAATGGAGAATCAGCCTCAAGGTAAATGGAGGAACGTAGTACCAGATTACCAGAAAAGTAAAAAGCGACAGGAGCGCCATCGCCTCAGGCTCGGCGGAGATGTGCTGCCATGCAGATATGGGAACAGCGCCATCTAGTGCAGATCCACATGCTTTTCCTGTTAATTATGTCGAATAGGATTCTCCTCGATTCCGCATGGGCATTGTCAACAGCCTCCGTCGTCGATGTCGAGAGGCATGGTTGAACAAAGATAATCCAGTTTGCTTGCCCTACCCTCCTAGCGAATTCGCCGGGAAGCGTGCACGTTACTTCCCGTTTGAGGTCTTCGCTTTCTAACGTCATAAGCTGCGACAACACGAACACGTGAGTTGTATAAAACTTGTCATGATCATAGGTCTTGATGTAAGGGCTAAAATGCGTTCTTTGACACTCATTGCGACATAGAGGTAGCTCATTTGCATGCAAGAATCACTCGGCATCAATCTGGTCCGTGGCCTCTTTCGTCAAAGTAATGTTCTGGCCATGTCGACATCTTGGATTATAAGTTTTGATATCCACTATAAGAGTTAGGAATCAATGAGCTCAGCAGTCATACTCATAATGTTCAGCGCGTATGGACCGCATTCAACCCTCCCTGGAAATTCACTGACAAGACGCTGTGAAAGAAAAAGTAGCCGCTTTCATGTGGCTTCCGGCGGTTGCCATCTAACGTTTTTGTAAGTATATCTAACTCTCAGAGTCTCCAATGGTGACATTTGAGCTGCATAGGGCAATAGAATAAATTCTAGAACAGCATGTTCCGGGAGCCACGCGATTTGGGCAATTGACATGCCAAAAAAGAGTATCAGGCAGCGTTGAAAGCTAGTTAGGGTCAATTGATTGTCTTCAGAATTTGTCCATGTACCTCTGCACCACAACAGCTCAAACGGGATTGGGCATTTCGGTGCTGATTACCGAGAGAAAAACCAGCCAGACTCAGCCGCACTATCCCCGCTTTCCCCAAGAAACAATCTCAGGGGTCAAGAACTGCAGGCAGGGGCTTAATGTCACTAGAGATAAATGTGTCTCGACATCATTCTGAGATCACCACCGTCGATCTGTCTATATGAATTGTAAGAAGACCACTAAGTTAAAAAGCTTTCGTTCCTGCTCGCTCCTTCATTTTGGTCGATTCAGCCCATGACTTCTGCTGAGACGCGCAATTACGTCTGCCAACAACATGGCCACCGAGATCGAACTGCAACCGCTTACTTCCCTTGAAGCTTCGTCGTATTACATACCGGCACACGGCAGAGTTCCGAATTCATCCGCTCAGAACAAGCCGTTGTTGATCTATCGCAACTGCATTCGTGCATGGGCCTCGCCTGCTTCAATAGAGCGGCATCTAAAGACTGTGGGGGTAGTCGAACCGCAATGGAGGTATACCATGTACAGCACGAGCCACTTCCACAGCACAACACACGAAGTTCTGTGCGTTTTCCAAGGGTCGGCAGAGCTATTATTTGGCGGCGATGACAATCCGGAGAATGTTGAGACCACCGTCAAGGCTGGCGACGTGATAATTGTCCCGGCTGGTGTAGCGCATCGGCTGATTACGGACAGAGAAGGGAACTTTGAGATGGTTGGCAGTTATCCTCCAGGAGCGAGTTGGGATATGTGCTACGGGAAGCCAGGCGAGGAGCCTAAAGTCAGCCGTATCAAGCAAATAGAATGGTTCAAGAGAGACCCGATCTATGGAAGCGAGGGGCCTGTTTTGGACAATTGAACGTCTATACGCCTCTCTCGAGTCGAGTCTCGGAGAGGGCCTAAGTCATACTCATCCTGAAGAACTGCAGCATGACTCGGTCGACACACACTTCGTTGCAGCCTGTCCATCAATGCCTTACGGGTGTTTTCGGGCTTGACCGTAATGTCGAAATCGAGGCTGCTCCGGCCCACTGAAACGAAAAGAATCTATACCTAAGACGAAAACACCGTCACGATGGTGATATCGGGCCGATGGCATGATTTTTCAGAAATTGGCTTCGCTCTATCGAAACTCTGGGGAAACGACCCATGCTCATGTTCGCGGCAGTTGTGCAAGGCCTAAGAGCCATTGGATCTCCAGGCGGCTTGCGGCAGCCGATGCTACCTTCATGCAGCTTGGCCTACTCCGGCGCGTGCAGGGCTCGGTATGCATGCAACGGCAATCAGCGTGTGCGTTGCTTTGCCGTGCAATGGTCTCTTCCTAGAATGGCTAGAACGGTCGCCGTTGCACCTTAGATTCCCCGCGCTTGGTGCTTGACCTTGTAAGCTCAGCAAATGGCGTGTCTTGGTATTGCTTGCCTCGTTCCGATGACGGCAGCAGGCCTTCTCCACAAAATGGAGAGCGCGCACGACTTCTTTCAGCATGATCTCCGCTGCTGGGGAGATCACCGAAGTGATCGCCGGCTGCTTGCGCTCGAATTTAAAATGATCGCAGACCCCGCGTCGGAGTCGTCTTGTCGAGCAAGACTTCCTCCTCTCCTGCTTGGCATCGAGAGTTGTTGAATGAAAACTCGGTCTTGAGAGGAACACGTTCGGCGTCGCGGCATCTTGCGCCGAAATTTCCTTTGATCAAAGCCTGGCCAAGCTTGGCGCACACACTTACCAAAGTCGAGAACGATATGGCGACTGATTATGAGAAGCAAGACGGGGAAGGGCTACGACCTGCTTTCACGCACGAGCCCGAGCCCATGTCCATCGGCAGGTAAACACACCCAGTACCGGCTTGCTTCTGGCTGCAAGGCACCTGACTTGTTGAAATGCAGATACATCGTGACCCGCATCCCCAGCCTCAAGCCGCCCATGAACAAGGCGCCAAACCCCTTCAAGGCACTTGCACTACTTAACTTCCAACAATGGATGTTCTTCCTCGTCGCCTTCTTCGCGTGGAGCTGGGACGCATTCGACTTTTTCACCGTCTCTCTTACGGTCACTCAGTTGGCTGAGCAATTTGGTAAATCGAACACGGACATGTACGTTTGGACCTCTGCTCGCTCACAAGGCCGTCAGCTAACAGGAGGTAGAACATGGGGAATCACCCTGGTTCTTATGCTTCGATCAGTAGGGTCGATTATTTTTGGTATTGCTTCAGATCGATGGGGTCGGAAGTGGCCCTTCATCGCCAACAACGTCTTGTTCATCGTGCTTGAACTAGGCACTGGTTTCACATCGAGCTATCGTTCGTTTTTGGCTTGTCGAGCACTCTTTGGCATTGCTATGGGCGGTCTGTATGGTAACGGTGGGTATAATGTCATAGAACTAAAGCAATCCGTACATGGGTGCTAACAGATCCCCCAACACAGCCGCTGCAACTGCCCTGGAAGACTGTCCGCCCGAAGCACGTGGTATTATCTCCGGTATGCTTCAGCAAGGGTACGCGTTTGGCTACCTGCTTGCTACTGCGTTCGCGCGCGGACTTGTTGATACCACCAGCCACGGATGGCGTCCATTGTTCTGGTTTGGAGCTTGTCCTCCCGTTCTGATCATCATATTCCGTCTGTGTCTGCCAGAAACGAAAGCATACAGAGAGCGCAAAGCTGTTCGTGAAAGCAATCCGAACATTACCAAAGTCTTCATCAGCGAAGGGAAAGTTGCTCTCAGGAAGCATTGGTTGCTTCTTATCTACATGGTGCTCCTGATGGCCGGCTTCAACTTCATGTCACACGGATCCCAGGATCTATATCCGACAATGTTGACAAATCAGTACAACTTTTCCCCTAATGCGGTCACTGTTACCCAGGTGTAGGTCTTGTGATTTGTTAACCATCAGAAGTGTATTGGCTAACTCGAGCTCAAGGGTTGCGAATCTTGGAGCTATGACTGGTGGAACTTTGGTTGGCTACAGCAGCCAGATCTTTGGACGACGATTCTCTATCATCTTCATCTCAGTTGTTGGCGGTGCTTTGTTGTATCCCTACTGCTTCACTTCCAGTAAAAAGGTCATTGCAGCAGCTTTCTTTGAACAATTCTGCGTTCAAGGAGCCTGGGGCGTTATTCCCATCCATTTGATGGAACTCAGCCCTGGCAGCTTTAGGACTTTCGTTGTCGGCACAAGCTATCAGCTTGGCAATCTTGTCAGCTCTGCTTCTAGCACCATTGAATCGAGGATCGGCGAGCGATTCCCGCTTCCACCGAAGCATACAGCAAAAGGAACGATCAAGCGGTACGAGTATGGCAAGGTCATGGCCATCTTCATGGGCTGCGTCTACGCCTACGTCATCATTGTCACTCTCATCGGCCCAGAGTACTTGGGAAGACACTTTGATGTGGGTCATGATTCCGACATGCGCGACGCGGCCGGAGAGGATGCCTTTGCTGTTGTTCATCCAAACAAAGCGGCAGCTCATGATCGCGCACACTCCTCTGATGCCGACGAGAAGAATGTACACGCCGCAGATCAAAAGGAATCCTTGTAGCAGACTGTGTTGTCAGTGTGAGAAGTGCAACGAAGCTTGACGGTTAGAATGAACAACATCACTGTGAAATTGAACTTGAGTAAACCAAAGATCAGCCGTCCAATGAACGATGATGTCAATTCCCTTTGTGTATTCTTCTTGTGAGATGCCAGAAACTCCTTTCTCGTCAGCAGTTCAGAATAAATTTGGAGAAGACGCGGTCGATCTTTGTGTCGAGTTCGACGTCTGTAAAGCGGGCGTTTTTGATGTCACGACGTTAGAAATAGAGCAAATATATGCATGAGCGTACTCTGTAGCAACAGAGTGATTGGCTCACATTACTGGGGTTTGGTGGGGGAAATTCGCGTTACAGGATTGGATGGAGGAATTCGATCAGGAAAAAACGGCGAGCGCTAGCCATATTAGGTATAGTGTTCCAGATCGGAGAGATAATTCAGCCGTCTCTACTGCAGACGGAGCGATTGGATGGCTCTGTACCCCCGGTTGATATACCACCAGTGCTCCGACTCTTCCATCGCCTCGCAAAAATTGCTCCTCTTGAGCTGCGCCTTGTGGACGACGGTGGAATGTCGATTCGAAAATGCTCCTTCGGCGACTGAGGATGGCAAGCGATATAAAGGGCCATTTGGAGCCTGGATGAAGATGGCTCGAATGAACGAGCAGTACGAATCAACTGTACAACGACGAGTCGGACATCAGCGCGCGCGCAAAGCGAATCCAGAAGAATATCCTCGCTCGATCTTCAAGCGCTCGTGGGATTAACAAAGGGGACTTTGCCACCGAGGTCGACGCAATCTGAACCAACAATGTCCGCAGCGAAGCCAACGCTTGCTTTCTTCGGCGCCACAGGCGGATGTGCGTGCACTGCGCTTGCACTCGCGCTGAAGGACGGCTATCAGGTTTCGGCACGTATGTACCACCCAATGCGGTGCGATCAGCAAGTTCAATTTCAGCAGCTGACCCACGTACAGTCGCGAGAACGCCTCAAAAGCTCCGCGATATGCTGGAGAAGGAGCACGCGGTTCCACGAGGAACCATCGACGCCAACCTCACCATCATCCAAGGCAATGTCACAGATATCTCTGCTGTCAAGAAGGTTCTTGCACCGGAGGGCATCCCTGTATCCCTGGTTATTTTTGCTGTCGGCGGAGTTCCAAAATTCAACTGGAGCCTATTCACGCCTTTTACGCTTGATCAGCCGACAATATGCGAGGATGGCTCTGTGGTCATACTCGCCGCGCTGAGGGAATTGCGCCGTGAGGGGGTGATTGGCGAAGACCAGAAGCCGACCATGATTGCCATCTCATCTACTGGCCTTACAAAGCGACGTGACGTGCCTATCGCTTTCTTGTGGCTCTACCATGTCACGCTGAAGATACCCCATCTGGACAAGAAGGTTATGGAGCGCCTGATCGCTCAAGCAGCCACAGAATCTGGTCACGAGGCTCCCATTGACAGCTTTGTTATACTCAGACCTAGCCTTCTTATGGATGGTCCCGGATTGGGTATGGATTCAGTGAGAAGCGGTTGGGTGGAGCATGAACTCGCGCCACATGCTGCACGAGGTCAAGCAACCGGACCCGCCATCGGCTATACCATTCGAAGGTCGGATGTTGGAAGATGGTTGTACGAAAATGCGATTAGGAATGTACAGGAGTGGCGAGGAAGATGTGTCTCTCTTACTTATTAATCTAATCAAAGAAGCGGGTTTCAGGCGTACAGGCGCAAAGAAGCATTTATTGGTAGATTTAGACAGGGGATCTGCACGAACAGTTGCACAATAGTTCCAACCATCATGTGATGCAATTGAGGGCACTTTTCTTTCCAAAACGTTCCATTTTCCGCTGTGATTTTCAATGTTCAAACAACGGACAATGCCACGCAAGAGGCTACTTGTGAAGACAAAAGGTTCTACTTCGCTTTGATCATTGACTAAGATTTGGACTCTGCATCCCAGAAAGTGCTAGCCTAGGCTCAACTTGCGAAGGAGAGGCGCCTTGAGGAAAAGACTTGAGTCAATTTTGTACATAGCTTCTCAAGAAGCACGAGCATGAAAGTGTGCTAAACGAAAGAGCAGAATGTCGCCCAGGAAGATAAGCGCTTTGGGTTCCAGAGGCATAGTGTGCGCCTGACATAGGCTTCAACGTGGCATGTATTGTGTGGATATCGATGGTTGAAGACAAACGATGGTTCTGTGGAAAAATTTGATGGCCTAAGTAAAAAGCGATCTGGAATTTGGCCTGAATAGTGCTCTTTCGACGTCATCTAATTGTCTACGCCTTGCAAGTTCGACTTTGGTGTGTATTCCAAAGTTCAAATAAAGCACATCCAGGTTCTGGGTTCAGAACTGAGAAAATGGCATGTGCGCCCGATGTTCCGGGTAGAGTTCATGGATATGGGCACTGGGCCTCCTACTAATGGGCAGATATTGCTTCTGATTCGTTCGGGATGATGCCTTGAATTTCCGTGAGTGACCGCTGTTCCTGCAGTGACCGAGGCGTATGTCGGAATGGCAAGAACGGTTGGTATAATGGTGATTGGCAGACTAGTATATTACTGTGTCATCATCGGGTAGTGCGGTTGACTCGAGAATTCCGCGGTAACCTTATGCGTCGGTCCTCAAGTTGGCAGGGGCATGGCAATACATCCATCTATGTGTATAAGGTCCTGCTTAGCTCGGCGCGTCTTGAATAGGGTTTTCCCGAACAATGAGCAAGATACTATGGAGAGGCTGGGTCCAATCTCAAGCTGGTCTTGTCAAACGACCGGTTGCAACCCCTCGCACACTTACCTCGCAATCAGTACCAGTTTATTTGACGTCTCCGAGCATATGACCAGCTGTCTCACGACGGTATCACTCTGCTATGCTTCCTTGTACAAGCAATGAGTTCGTCAGTGTAATTTAACACCCATCAACCTATTTGAAGAGTACAGTTCCTTTCCTAATGCACATGCGTCATCCATCAGGCTTATTAAGCCCTTGCTTCTTCGATAAATGTGGCGCATGTGAAACCTCCTTGGCAACATTACGTGGTCATAAGCTTGGGTAATTGAGCAATTCAGTTGTTACTAACTTCAATGATTTTGCGCTTAGAAAGAACGTGAGTAGTCTGTGTCGACTTTACAGCAATGATCGTAAAAAAATGTATTAAGATAGTATTGATTAGAACCAAGAGTATCCGAGCAATAACTGTCTCGGGACGGGGAGAATAATCGTTTGAGTGGGTATTCGTTCTCATCAAATTATTTCGCCGTTTCTCATAGTGATAAAAAGGTTGCCGATCTCGCAGCAATCTAATCGCGGAGCGAAAGCAGCCCTGCGACGCACCGCTTCCGACTTGCATAAGATATGCTTTCAGCAATCGAGCTTGCATATGCATGATTCCTAACCACATTAAGACGAATCGAAAAGCGAGCTGTCGTAGAAGTGTGCAATTGACGATCGCGTGGGCTTTTTTCATCTGCCTACCCTCCGGAAGTGCGGAGTCCTAAACTCACTTGACTCAACCAAGCTCTTGTTTGGGAAAGTGCTCAATCATCAGTCTTGACTGCTCGCCTTGTTATGACAGCAGATAAGGTTTTAGTGTGATAATCCTCAAGCAAGGATCGTTGCGCAAGATGCTTTTGCATCATGACTGCAAACTGCTCCAGTAGCCAGAATCGCTGTAGCGAGAGGATGACGTTGCTGTGGTTTGTTCCGTGGACGAGCAGGCCGCGCAAATGTGGCCAACAAGTACTGTCTTCTCCGTCACGGCATGTCCACGCTGGCCGTATGAGGCGCATTGATCAACAGCATGGCGATGATATAAACATCTGAGATTATCAGAAAAGTAATAAAGTGAGATCGTTCTCATTACCTGCAGACTACACTGCTATTAGCTGCTATCGAATCAGTAGCGGTCAAATTGGGAGACTGACCAGCATAGCGCTCTACGACTTGATAACACATCTTGATAGATTCACACACCGAGAGACTAGGATCTCTGCCAGCAGCTGAGGAACTACGAGATTTAGCTCTTGCGATCAGCGCATTGAGCACAAAGCACGCTTAGGGCGGCCGCAGGTGGAAGGATGAAATTGAAGAAGACGGGGAAGTCAAGCTGAAGAAAGGGTGAGGCCAAAAGAAAAATGGCAGTCGCGCTTGGTAAGATAGAGGAAGGGGAGACGGAAGATCGATAGATACTTGGTAGCCGGCATGTTTGCATCAGCCGACCGCAGCGACGCTTATTTGGGAGGGAAAAAAAATAAGAAAGCATTGCCAGCAGGCAAACAGCCTACCAGAAAGCTTAGTCGAGTCTATGGCGAGTCTTCAACGGCGCCCAAGCTGCGGAGAACTCAGTGGAGCAAGGGGCAGCTCGCATGGCTGATCCAAACGGCTTAGCCCGTTCTTCCTTTTACCATGGCAGCGGATGTCAGATTGTCGGGCCAAAACGCTACCTGTACTCGGGCAACCCGGGCCTCGAATCGTCATCCTGAGCTCCTGGGCCGGCCTGCACGGTGATAGCATGACCCAGTTGGATGGTACGTTCCGAGGAGGTGAGTGTGAGCTTAGGTCCACTGTTTCCGGAGTGGCATTGCAGCCACCACGACCACCACCACAGCAGCGGGAGGACTCGAGGCTGAGTTGCCGTGCGAAAAAAAAATTGGACCACTACTTCGACTTCCGAGAAAGGATGGGCTGCTGCTGCTGGAAACGCCATGTGGAGCACGGTGAGGGTGTGCGGAGGCTATGAAAGAACGTCGATGGCTTTTTGATCTGCCGCTATGACCGCCAATCAGGGCTTAAAAATAGACGACCAGATCCACGCTTTGGCCTGCCAGACTACTGCACACTCGCATGAGCGGAAGAACACGTGCTCTGTAGACAAAGCGGCCATTCTTGTGAGTCTCCCATCTAATCAGACGAGCAGTGGGTGGTCATTGGCGGCAGTACCTTCGCACCAAGCATTGTCTGCTGTGGAGGGCGAATAAGCGCACCGTCTGATGATACGGTGTGATACAGCGGTTTCACGGTACAGGCCTTTGTTGCCCTCGCGTCTGATCACCGCATTATGATTCCGAGAGCGCAATACCGTTGTTGAGGCAATAAACCCCGGCGTGGATCGTGTTTGCGCCAGAATTGTAATCAGTCACAAAATGTCGAGTCGTATCAGGGTCGCTGGCTTTCGGGGGCACCGAAACGAGTCGGGCACCCCGTACGCGCGGTGAACATCCCCGCAACGAGGCTACTATGATGATGATGATGATCGCATCTTCCGCACGAACAACTTCGTCGAGACTTGATGTTGGTATTTCTGGAATAATATTCGGCAAACCGATCGTTATCCCACGAAATTATCAATCGTCACTTAACATCGTGCGTTGCATAATCAGCCCCACACTGCCCTCCCTTCTTCTTGGCGTGTGGCCCCCCCCCCCCCCCGCGCGAACCAATGGTCCTTTTCGGTATCGCGAGTGCACCTACTAAACGCCACGATAAAAGAATCGATGCGGGCAGCGAGAGACATAAGTCGACGTCACGAAGGGGGACAACGAAATATCGGAGTTGCCAAGGACCAAAAGAAGCAGGAAGGGACAAGACTTTTGAGAAGAACAGGGCCATGTATATCTTTGGCTATTGGCTGGCCTAGTTTTCTGGTTTAACGTACTCCTTCCCCCGGAGTCCACTTCTTCCTCCTCTGCATCCCCGGTTGTTAAACTGCAGGGTCTCTCGGCACTGTCCGGAGTGACAGCCTGTGAGTTGCAGCAGCTTGTCGAAGCCGCGTTCGAAATGTAGTCGCAACAGCGGACACCATTTCTTAGCATGGGGACAACCGTGACAGGCCAGCCGACACGGAAGCACTCACGTCTACGAAAGGGTTCCTTCGACCATTACATTCCCATGTACAGAGAATCGTCTCCTGCCACGAAGAACCACATAAAAGAAACATCTTAATGAGTGTCATCTGAGAGGTCCAGAACAGGAAGCTCTCAAAAGAGGAAAGATGCCGCCATTCTCGGCAGTAGTTCATCTACACGTCTAAGCGCGGATGACGACGCCATGTCGTCGGGTAGCTCGGCTCTTGTACTCGGTCTCGTACTCGGAGGCGCAGTCGGAATCATCATCGGAGTAGCCGCAGCGGGAGCCACCGCAGTCAAGCTTGACACGGTTGCCAGAGCGGGTGATGCCGTAGCGCTCGCAGGTGCAGCAGCTGCTGGCGTCGGAAGCAACGCTTGATGGGGACGAGCTGTTGGAGCTGCGAGAGCTAGTGAGCGATGGGACATCGGAGTCAGCATCGGAATCGATCTCGGAGTCGTCGTCCATGTTGGCATAGCCGAAGCGGGCAGTGAGCTCATCAACGGTGGTCTGGTTGTAGCCTTGAGCGACGATGTTGGCGGTCTGGGCTGGGTTGTACGGCTTTGGGCACTTAATGTCCTCGCGGGCGACGCCACGGCCTTGAGGAATCTCCTTGGAAGTGCGGCGGGAGGAGCGCTTGGACGAAGTGGTCTTGGCGGAGCCAGCTGGGACGTCGAGGATGTTGAGCTTGCGCTGAGTGGTCGGCTCAAGAACGGACTGCTTGGCTGGGTCATGAGTGCAGTGGTAGCCGTCCATGATGTACTATCGTCATGTATCAGCGTTCTGTCACCTGCTACCAAAACTTCGAAGGGGCAAACCTACGTAGTACCAGTAGCGCTGGCCCTGCTGGAGAGTGCCACCAGTGAAGCGGAAAGTGCCAGTCCAGTTACCAGCAGACTTGGAGGTATCGCGAGAAAGTGGGAGCTGGCCCTGGTAGCCGTCCCATGATCCGAGCAAGTGTACGGACTTGCACTGAGCGGTGGTGCGGAGAGTGAAAGAGAGCTGAAGAGTAGCCATTTTCAAGGGGTTGATTTAGATTAGCGAGAAGTCGGTGATTGAAACTTGTCTGATAGCGCTGATGAGCAAGTAGAATAGTGAATTATTTCGTTGCGTACGTCGACCGGCGACAAATTAATTAGTATGATAGTAAAAGATTGGTTGGATATTTTGGTGGAGGGGGAATTGGCGAGACGAGCACCAGGCTCTTAGGAATTAGAAGCAGAGAGAAAAGAAAAAAGAGAAACAAAAACACTATTCTGCTGGTTGAGAGCTTGCTGAAGAGAAGAGAAGAGAGCGAGAGGCGAGGAAAGCGGCCATCTTATGTGCACGCAACCGTCGTCCGCTGGTGGACCTGCGTGACCGACTCTGCTTTGCTGGGTCGATCAGGCCGAACTCCACGCCCTTGCGGTCTTGCGCAGATGCCAAGAGGACGACCATTGGGCCAGTGGCTCTGTACGCGCCCAAGCTAGCGAGTGCACGTCGCCCTTTTGGGGGCAGCCAGGGCACCGCAAAGCCAGCCGAGCCCCGCCAGCCAATCACCGTCTGCGCCTCGACTGAGAGCGTGAGTGACCGTGCTGTTCCCGTCCGACATCACGCATTCAACACCTGCATGCTGTCGACGAGATTCGACAGACCATCTGCGCACTTCCCTGCCGCTGGTCAAGCGGCTTTTGAGCCGGACATGGACATGCCATGGAGCCAGCCTCTCAGCTGTAAACCTCCCCGAGAGGATCGACGACGGCTTTCTGGAAGGCCACTTCAGCATTTCAATGTTTGCCCGAGCCTGTTGGACGGTACGCGACCGTCCGTCCTTCCAAACCTGTGAAAAATGGAACTGCGCTGTTCTACAGTCTGGCTAGGATATCCTCCACGTCGCACATGAGTCTTGCTTGTGTCGTTTGTGCCGTCTGGCCTACCGTCCGTTCAAGTTTACCTGAAGATGATCGATTCGGCCAACCGATACCTGACCCTTGCCCTCGGAGATCTGGTCAGTGTCCATATTCATTGCCGTGAACGTCCTGGTCTAGCGTAGCGCTTAGAAGCATAATACATGTCGAAGAAATTAGCGGCCATTACCCTTTCGGGAAAAACGCCATCAATTTGTTGACAATGCCTCTTCCCGTGCTTGTCTCCTCACTGGTCCATACCGCGTGCCTTGCATTGCATGCCGTTGTGCTGCATCACGAGATGGGCAGCGGAAGGCCGCGTACTGGCACTGAACAAGGTAGGTTCTGCACGTTGGCAGCAGGTGGATTGATGCTCTGCATACTGAACGGCGGCAATGTCGATTTTGTGCAATCAAAATGCCTCTCGTCCGGCTCAACCCCTTGACAGCTTTAAGCCGCTCACGTCCTCCACTCGCAGACTTCACGACGCATACGGTGGAGATCAATCGTCACCTGGCTTGTAATTATGCGCACTCAGAAAGGGGGTATCTTGCTTCCGACACCAAGGACAAGCCTATGAACACTGCGAGCATTATCAAATGCTGTAACTCCGGCCGTCACGACCCCTCCGCGATCAACTCACGAACATCAGACTCTCCAATTCCTCTGGCGTTAGTGTGGATTTCCTTCGCTTTGGTCGTCCCCCAATCTTCGTCTTCCTCGAATTGCTCGCAAGATCTCTCCTTGCCCTCGGCTTGGGGATTTCAATCTCACCCTTTCGCACCCGATCGTGCTCCAGCCCCTCTAGTTCAATATCGAGCTCGTCAACTTCCGAGCCCGCGGCTACAGCGGCAGCTTCTGCCTCTGCCTGAGCAATATTAAGTTTTTCTTGCATGGTAAGCTTGGGACTCGAATTACGTTTCGGGCTTCGCTCCTCTCCATGTGGGTGAGGAGAGCTTAAACGCTTTTTTGTCTGTAAAGCGTTAGTGAACTTGTTCTATAAATTTCTAGAGCTTGCTTTAAGCTCTCAATCGATTCCGAATATCCTCATCTGAACTAGGTGATGGACAAAATGAAAAAAAAATTTGCGACATACTTTGCGTGGAATGCGTGATGGTTCCTTATCATTTCCTGTTGCTGAGCTTTGCTTAGGCTTGCTCGTTGATCCATTCCGCGGATGGCGCGTCACTGAACCCAGTCTCTCCTCTGCATTCTCTGAACTTGGTGGCTCTTTATCCTTGTGGATCTTTAGTGCAGACTTCCTCGGTGATACTGCATTGCCGGTGCTTTCTTTTAGGGGCTGTGCTTTGTAGGCGGCCGAGCTTTTCTTCGACTTCCCATCGTCTGGAATAATGCTAGGGACTAAGTCAACCGACTCAACCATGCTCGGAACCTCCTCTATATCCGCAAGGTCTGCAGGCTCCTCAAAGCTTGGCTCATCTTCGGCCTCGGAATCCGTTGCGCCGTGATCTCGCAGAGCGACTGAAGCTCCGAAACCACAACCTAGTCCCAGACCATGCTTTAGCTCCTCGATATTCACGGTGTCGCCACCATTCATCATACGCTTTCTCCAGCTGTCCATTAGAGCGATAGCTTCGCGCCATCGAATCTCGATCTTGTCAAACCCTTCACGTAGCCGTGCAATTTCCTCTTCTCGAGCAGTGACCTCATCAATGGACACAAAGTTGGGATTGGTCAAGAGCGTTCGCAGGTTTTCAAGGACATTGTGCATGTCAATCGCGAGAGACTCGTAAGAAGTTGGCAGCGTGTGAACCATATGCTGATCGCTGCCCTGATCTTCAGAACCATTGGATAAGGCGGCTTGCTCGGCATTGTCTGGTATTCCTTGAAGCTCTTTTAGCGTGGACAGCGTGCTCCTCACGAGGCCGATCAGATTGTCGTTCTCATCGCTGAGGCTCTGACTGAGCTGCGTAAGGAATTCGGTGGTTTCCTGGCGGAGATTGTACTCCGGATCGTCGACATCGGGCGCATCGCCTAGTCTCGACGCAGTTCCGTTAACGCTTGCTCCCGTGACCCCAGGAGTGATCGTGATGCTCGCCCCGACTAGTCCCGTCTTGTTGCCTCTTTGCTGGGCGGTCAGGTGCGACTTCAGCCTCTGAATCTGCACGTCGCGCTTGCGAACGTCGTTTGCGCATGATATCCGTATTTGCTGAACTGTCGCTTTCATTCTTGCCATCTCTTCTCTCAACGCCTTCACGGACGCCTCGGCGGAGCGCAGCGCACTTCTTGCAGAGCGTTCTTGCGAGTTTGCCAGAGACAATTGGCGCGTAAGATCCTCGTTGCGCATTTCTAGGCGATCGATAGTTTGTGCATTTCGCGTCGCCTCGCCGCGCAGAGACCGGAGTGTTTCGGCCAGTGCTTCTCGTTGCTCTTGTTCGCGCTGCGCATTTGTTAGCGAGATCCGGAATAAAACGCTGTCAAGAGTGAATATTTTGTCGCACATCTCTTCGCAGAATCATGTCGTGTACTAAGTTGATTATCTGGGCCATTGTAGCTTCTGCGCCGCCCTCGCCCTTTGAGGGCCTGGCAAACTCAATGGGTTTCCCATTGCGCAAAAGCCCACGTGCAAGAAGCAAATTGTTAAGGTATGCAGAAGCGGTTTTCAGATTAAAGGAGTCCATCGCGCTACAAGAGGAAGCGTTATGAGGACTTTGGAGAGATAGGATGTGTATATCGTGACGATACAACAACAAATCACCGCTTCTGGACTAGTCTGAGAATTACTATCACGTGATATCATGTGACATTTTTATCGCGCATGTGAAGACTGAATGAGAATTCTACGGTAAGCCAATTTGGACCAGAGGCCATTCTATGTGTTTATAGTCTTGAAGACTGAGAGGGATGTAAGTGGTAGCCAGGCAATACATTAACAATGGAGGAATTGTTCGTCGCTTTTGGTAGCATTGAATTAAAACAGATTCACGAAAATCCGCAGTCGTTAGCTTCTAAGCTCACACGTATTGAGCACTTGTTTGTAAGTTATTCGACCTCAATTCTGACAAGGCTTCAGAGCATAAAGCTAGGAATGAACATGTGGACGTGCCTAATCATCTACATTCCCATTAGGAATAAACAAACATGTGTATATTTCATCACTATTTATAGCCGTGCAGTAAGAACTATTACTCCTTACTGAGCGGAGGTCATAGCGGGAACTCCAGGACCAACTTCCTCTTCTATCTCAACCTCGTCCTCATCCCGCTCGCTCTCCTGCATGCTGGGTGCTTTATCTCCCTTCCTGCGGCCCGTCAAACTCCTACGAAAGCTGAACGGTTCCTTTTTCGCCTCCTTCCCAGCGCTAGTTGTGCCAATCAAGGGACTCAAGCCACTGGCGGTCTTACCCTCCTCGTCGGTCTCGTCTGGTGTTCCGCCAATCAACTCGGCTGACGTCGATGCCAGTGCAGGGCCCTTTTTAGCTGAAAAGCGAGACTTGCCTTCCTTCGTGAAGCTAGGAAATTGGAACATAGTTGCGGACGACTTGCGACTGAGTTTCTGCATGAAAGTCTCTTTCGGTGTCATTTCGCTCGCACGAGACGGCGTGCGTTCTAGCGAGGTTCGTGGCTCAGAAGCGGTGTCAAAAGTCGAGATCGAAGGGGCCCCATCCTTGGAGAAACGACCATCAGGTGGAGACAGGTCGTTCGCATCATGAGAAGACGGAGGATTAGGCGACGATGGCTCGAGCAAGGTTGGGCTCGCGCTTCGTGAATCCTTCTCTTTGGGGGGCTCCTTCTTATTTTTGCCCTTTTTGGGCTTCTCTACGCTGTCGCCAGCTTCATCGCCCGGCTTCTTCTCCCGATTAAAGATGGAAATTTTGAAGCTCGGTGCATTGGGATTCAGCTTTGTCTTGTCGGCTGAGTTGGTCGATACTTGAGACGCTGGTCGCGTACCGATTGGTGCGAGCTTTGCTTCGCGTCGTCTAGGAGGTGCTAAGTTTGGATCTGGATCTGGAAGCGAATCATCCACTACAAAGCCATGAGCTGAACCATGAACAGATGGCCGTCGTGAAGGGTGACGTGACCATGAGCTCGCGGCTGCCAGCCCCCATTCAGCACCAATATTTCGTGGACCAAATGGATCACCGGGAGCGCCCCATCCAAAACGGGATGAGCCATCAGCAGAAGGTTTCGGCAGTTGGTGCTCAGAAGAAGCCGTCGAGCCCGGTCGAGGCGAGCTCGGCGAGTCCTCAATCTTCGGTCCAAAGATGCCGAAACGCTTCCGTGGTGCGGGGAGGGACTCGCCCACGGATTCCTTATTAGCGCTTCTCGAGAACGTGTTTTGCAGCTGGTCTCTCCAGGTGCCACCTGAGTGACTGCCACGGCGTCGGGTAGCCGCGCTACCAATGTCAGCAAGATCTTGTCGAGGGAATGACTGGCTTTCAGAATGCTTCAAAGTTCCTAAGGGAGGGCCCTCATCGGATGTAGTCTTTCCTCTTTGCCGGTTGAAGCCAAATATATGCGCAAACTTTGTGGTTGTATTTCCAATCATGGTGCTTGCTGGTCTCATCGAACTGGTGTTTGACCTCACCGAACGTCTGTCGCTATCAAACACGTGCTCAGAATTGAAGTTGAACGGAAGATGTGTCGAGCTTTCTCTAGGGCTGGCAAAGACACTTGGTGAACGACTTGGATTTGAATCAGGCGAAGCAGGATCTTTGTTGACATGCTCTAGGGTTTGGGGTGCACCCAGCCCTGGTAGCGCATGGGATGCCATGGGTGAATCTCTCGAACTAGCAGAGGCCACGCTGTTAAGCCTAGAAGGTTCATCGTCGCCCAGTAATCCGGATGGAAGCAGAGCACCCGCGATTGAGGGGCTCGTAGGGCCTCCACCGGTGAGCTGGTCGACCTGTTCCTGGGTCATGCCAGCGGTAATGTCATGGGCCATCGGAGCGCCGTTCATCATGTTAAAGAAGGGGGACACAGAGGCAAATGCTGGAGATATGCTCGACACGGCAGCGCTATACGGCGGGGGGCTGGACATCTCAAATGGCGAGCTCTGCGGGTTTAGCTCTGTGTTGCGTAGGCTCATGGTGCGCGATCTGCGATTGCTGTCGCGGCGGCGAGGGGGCGCGAAGTCCATGCTGGGCACGTTGATAGGTATAAATAGATGCGGTTCAGCCTCCCTTTTCCGTTCCCATTCTTGCTGGCGAAGTTGCGCGTGCATGGCGAAGTGGCGAGCGGCTTCGAGCTGCTGGTGCGCACGAGTGTAGTAGTTCTGCAACTGCTGCAAGCGCACCGCCCATTCCGCATCGCTGCCTTGTCTCGTCGGTGCCGGTGCGCGAATATCGTCGGCAACTTCCTGATCCAGGCGGTCCCTCTGATTCTGCAATTGCTTGACCTCGCTACGCGCCTTCCTCACCTCCTCCTCCATCGCCTTATTCGCGGCCGTCTGGTCGGCCAGCTCTTTCCGCAGCCGCTCGAGCTCGTTGTCCGCCTCCTGTCGCGCAAGCACCTTCTTCTCCAGCAGTTGCGCGGCATCGGCACGGAGCGTGACCATCTCGCTCTCCCATTTCTTGATGTCATCGCGAAGCTTCTGGCGCTCGTCTTGCTTTGCCTGCAGACGCCTCTCTGCTGCCTGGCGCTTAGATTGCGCGGAGCTATTCTGGCCTGAAAGGTCTGCGACTTGCTTTTTCAGCGCCTTCGACGCGCCTTCCTTGTCTGTGACGGCTTGTTTGAGCTCGCTCCTCGATAGATTCAAAGCCCCTTGCTGATCCTGAAACTCCTCGTCCTCCCTTGTGATGTCCTCTTTTGCAGCTTCGATCTCTTGGTTCAGCTTGTCCAGCTTGGCGGTCAGCTCACGTACCGTCTCCTCACCCTCGTCCGCCTCTTGTGCGGCATGACCCGGCTCTTGATTTGCAGCCGCTGAGATCCGCCGCGCACCCGTGCTCTTCCTGTGCTGAGAAATGCTGCCGCTGTGCTCTCGATTTACTGTCGGAGGCGTGGCTTGTTGAGCGGAAGTGTCGCCAAGCAACTTGTATGAGCGGACCGACGGCACCCCTTCTTCGACCTTGGCAGGCTCGTCCGGAGTGTGATCGATGCCGTCTCGCTTGCGGAAAAAGTCTTGCGAAGAGGCGCTTCTCGTCTGAACATGTATCGGCTCGCTTTGTGTTGAAAAGTTGAGCGAGTTGCTTGCGACAACGCGGATGATGTAGTTTGTGGACGGTTTTAGATCCGTGACGGCAATCAAGGTTTCGAGAGGAGACAATTCGCTGACTGCGCGTATGAGTAAGCATGTTGCACGGAGACCTTACGGTAATATCGGGGGAGTCCATACCGTTGATGCCATTAACGAAAAGCGCGTACTTCATTCCCGACGACTTTTGCAGGTCGGGTGCCTTCCAGTTCAAAATGACTCCGTCGGCCTTGATACCGTGGAGAGCCAACACCGGGGTCGAAGGGACCTCAATACCAAGAAGATCTATTAGAATCTGTGAAGGCTTCGACAACACATTGTAGCCTCGCAGAGTCAACCTGCAGCGGCGCGCACAGTCAGCACAGTCGAACACAAGCCGGGCGTGACAGCAACACAAAGGACGGTCAAACGCACCATCCCAGCGCAGAGAAGATAGCGATTGTGCTGAAGTTGCTTAGCACGAACGCGATGAAGCGCTCCATCTCGGACAACCTTGTGCCAGAGGGAGGGAGCAGCGGGTGAAGGAGCAAAAGCGACTCGTCACGGCGAAGCAGCAGCGGCGCTGCCGCCTCCATGGATGAAGTCTTGTGCGAAAGATAGATGGCGAGCGAGAAGGCCAGCGCCGCAAGGATTATACTAGAAGGTGAGACATGAAGACGGGACATGAGTGGGCGTTGAGAGGATAGACGAGGATTTATGCACAGCAGCAGTCCAAGCGGGTAGACTGCAAGTGCGATGCGTTAGTTTGGTGTAGGTGGTGCCAAGCCGACGAGAGCTGACCGGGGTGGGATGGGAGAGGCTGGAAGGTCGTGCGACGCCTGAAAATCTTGAGAGGCCTGTGAATGGCGGGAGACGACCGAAACGCGCAGGAGGAAGAGCAGCAGGAGAGCGCCCGGAAGAGTGGAACGGGCGGAGGGATTGCGGGGGGGGACCTGCCAAAAGCTAGGGGGTACTCCCCTAGGCCCAACCAGTGTCTGTCCCCTCATCGTCGTCGTGCGCCCTTGGCTCACGTTCACGTATCGACATCAATACGATCTCCCCCCAAAAAATAAAAGTAAATGTGAAAAATTAGGGGCAGAATGGAAAGAGACAAAAATTTGCAAGCGTGCATTGCAAAACGGCGCAGACGCGAATGTTTTCATGAGCGTCTTTTACACCCCAGTGGCAGTACTCTCTATCTGAACTCGCTCATCAACTCATCTGTCGACGCTGCCCGCAGCAATTCAATTGCACAGAATCACGCTGACAGTGCGCGTTCTGCTGCCTCAACTGAGGCCGTCTCGTTCGCGCTCTTCGTGAGTTCGCCGTGCGCGCTGCGGCACGTCCAAGTCGCCAGTCAGCGATGGCGTTGGTCACGTTCACATGGGCGTGCTCGGATGCCCGCACCGGTGACGCCCGTCCGCAATGCCCAACGTCAGTTCAACCAGGATCAATCCCACCAGCTCATCCGTTCGCTACCTTCTCTTTCCTCTCACTCTCTGTGCTGTATCTTCACATGTGCTGCTGCAGTCTGTGGTGGAGTCACGGTCCTTTTCTCGCTCTCTGTCGTGCTTCTTCTTCCCTTACGTCCTCGTAACGTCACCTTCGCTTTCGCCGAGCCCGAACCCATTCGTATACCATTTTGCGCCCCAGCGTCGGTTGGTCATCGCTCCTCTACCTCTCCCACGCACGGTTGAGCCCCGGTTACTCTTATCCCTTGCCGTTGTCTTCTCCATACACTGCCGCAGGAACGCACAATAGTGGCCTTCCTCTTCTTGTGCCTGTTGTTTGTTCTAGTACTTCCTTCTAGTCGCCCCGTCTTCGCCTCCCTTCCCCTGCTTCCGCAACTGCGTACCACGCCTCGCGCTGCTGCTCCCGTGGAGCCCGGCAGCAGTCCGCCATGAATATCATCCGCTCGACGTACGGCTCTATCAAGCAGACGTACAACAGTATAAATCCCGCCACGCTCAGCGGAGCCATCGACGTCATTGTCGTCGAGCACGACGATGGCACTCTTGCTTGCTCGCCCTTCCATGTGCGCTTCGGCAAATACCAGATTCTGAGACCTTCAGACAAGAAGGTAAGAGAACATCTCGTGCGGCTTTGTGATTCCGCATGCTGGCAGCGGCATTGCTTTGCGTGAATACCCGCTAACCTCGGCATAATAGGTTGAATTCACAGTCAACGATGTCAAGACAAATCTGCCCATGAAGCTGGGCGAGGGCGGCGAGGCTTTCTTTGTGTTCGAAACCAATGAGAGGATACCAGAGGATCTGCAGACATCACCGCTTGTATCCCCTGAGACAAGTCCTCAGCCACTTCCAGCTGAAAAATCACCTAGTCTGCATCTTCCCGAACCGGAGCCGCTAGATCTTGCGAGGGACACGCGGAGAGCGAGAAGCACTTCACCGGACAAAGACAGGTCGTCGCTGTCCCAAAGCGATGACGCTGCAGATCGGAATGCGCTGGCGGTTACGGGTCAACCAGTAGCGGCACCGCAGCAGAGACAGTCTGTTTCGGGAGAGTGGCCTGGTGGAACAAACCCGCGAGATTCGAACACCCGATCGGCTACAGATGAGACTCTTGACAAGAGACGCACGTCGATAGTGCACCAGCTTGGAAAAAAAGATTCATTGGCTTCCGAAATCGATAACAAATCCTCGGAGGGGATGGACGCAGAGCGACGGTCGTCTCAGGAAGCTGTTCTCAAAGCGACTGCATTGTCGAAGAGATTGTGGAGCGCCAATATTGCCTCCAAAGTCACAGAGGATGGCGATCTTATGCTAGACATGTCGGGTTACGGCGACTCTGATGGGGATGCGATCAGAGTAGAGGCCCTCGCGCGCAGAGTACTGGCGGAAGAGTTATCGGAAGAGGAAGCTGGAAACTACGATATTGGCTCGCGCATCGGATTAGACGAGTCAGGAAATATCTGGGTGTATCACAGCGAGGAGGCGAAGGCCGCAGCAGATAGAAGAGCCGGGTTGCAAGCATTGAAATACTCAGCTGCGATACGATCATTCGACGCGATCTCAGACCCTGGCTATCACAGTGATGAAGATGCACGTAGCGGAATAGGTGCTGTAGAAACACATCAAGTTGATTCAGCAAATCGCATTCGTCGCGATTCGGACAGCGCCGTAGGTGTCTCAACACCGCCGGACTCGCCCACTCTCGACAGCACCACCCACAGCCAGACAAAGAGTTACGCAAAGACGCTAAGATTGACGAGCGACCAGCTCAAGCAACTAAATCTTAAGCCAGGCGCCAACCCAATGACATTCACTGTCAATAAGAGCACGTGTCCTGCATATCTGTACCTTTGGAGACACGACGTCCCGATTGTCATCTCGGATATTGATGGCACAATCACTAAGTATGCTTTCATTTCCATTTTTCCCGTGCTGAGAGAGCTTGGTAGATGCGTAGCAGACCTCTTCGGGAATCTCGCAGTCCAACTCTACCTGCAGGATTTGCCCTCTTTTACGTGCCATAACAAGGACGAAAATGCTAATTGCGAATTCATAGATCTGATGCTCTTGGACATCTTTTCAACGCAATTGGACGTGACTGGACGCATGCGGGAGTAGCAAAGCTATACACAGACATTGCCAACAATGGGTATAACCTCCTGTATCTCACATCGCGATCTGTAGGACAAGCCGACATGACACGAAACTACTTGAACGGTGTTGTTCAAGAAGGCTACCGGTTACCACGCGGGGCTGTGATAATGAGTCCAGATCGCACGTATGCAGCTCTACGGCGAGAGGTGTATCTCCGGAAGCCCGAAGTCTTCAAAATGGCCTGCCTGCGGGACATCATGTCGCTATTTCAGCCTCCGGGCATGGAAAACCAGTCAAGGCCACGCACTCCGTTTTATGCTGGCTTCGGAAATCGCATTACAGACGCCATGAGCTACCGCAGCGTCAGTATCCCCTCGACTCGCATCTTCACCATCAACTCCAACGCCGAGGTCTCAATGCACCTCCTTGCGTCGGACCAATACCGCACAAGCTACGTCACGATGCGCGAGCTAGTCGACCACTATTTCCCCCCGGTGGGGCTGCTAGTCAAGGAGGGTGGCGAAGAATACACTGACTTCAATTACTGGCGCGATCGACCTCTCGATATCGACGAGTTTTCCGCCAGTGAAAGCGGCAGCGAGTACGATGAAGAGGACGGTGACCACTACCGACCCAGTATCGACGAGTCTGTGCGCAGTGACGACGGCACGGCGGAGGACATGGACGCGAGCTTCTATTCGCAGGGTAGCACGGACGAGAATCTGCCAGACGCGGAGGAAGGCATGGAGCCCGGCCTTGAAGGCTCGATGATCTTGGATGAGGACGAGGGAAGCGTGTTGACGGGGGAACCGGAGGAACTCGAAATCGACGATCCCACCAACAAGCTCGGAGCGTTGAACCTGGCTGCAGAGACGACACCGCACGTGAGGGCTGTGGACGACGTCCGGGAGGACGGCGAGCTCGGACATCTTTCCAAGGTGCTTAGCTCGCCGGAACGAAAGAGCACGACCATTTGAGAGCGACCGGCTTTGGCTGTTCTGTATCGAAGGCACCTGAGCGTTCTGGTTCTAGTTCTCCCCCCACCCCTTTCTACCCCCTTTGTTCTCGATCTCGTACGAATTTTTATGTCATATTGCTGCAGGCATCGGGACGGTGTTTTAGGCTCTTTTTTTTTTTCGGCCAATCTTTTTGGTGTGTACGGCATTTGAGCGCGGGGCGACAGACATGCGGACTGACGCCTTTTTCTGTTATCTTCCCCACGCCTCTGCATAAAGAGCGCGCTGTGATGCTTTCTTTTTTTCTTGCATCTGTGGGCGTGTACAATAGATGGAAAGCTGTAATGCAATAATCTGTCCATGGTCCTTTTGTCCCGCTCCTCTGACCAGCGCACACAATACCGTGGATTCAAACCCCCTCCCCCACCAGGATACTTGAAGAACGGCGAAAGCTTCCCTACCTCTGTGGGAGGTCAAAAAACCAAATGGACGCATCAATGCTTTTGAGACTTGGCCGTCTTCTGATGACTCGTAGGTAACCAATAAAGGCTAACGCAATCAGATTCTCAGCGCATTAAACGCTGGTCTTTGGCATAAGTTTTTAGTGGAGAATCAACATACTTCCAATGCACAGTTTATGATAATTGCTCGCTCCCAGGACTAGAAGCTGTTTAGGGGTATCCAACCCATAATAACCATGCGTGGAAAAATGAGCGAGAACCGAAGAATGTAGACTATACACGTACAAATATCGACGGTCAAAAAGAACCCCTACGACACACACGGTACTTATACACAATGACCTGCCCAAGAATCTTTCGGTTTTCTCCCAATGGTGTCGAGCTTTCCATCGCAAGCCCTTGGTGTTCCAAACGTTCTTGTGGAATGAGAACAGCGGCACATCCATCTGCTAGTCGGAAAAGGTGGGATGTTGATGTATTCAACCAGCATGCTCAACGATCTCGGTCACAAGCTTACCGTCCTTTACGTAGCTCCTGAATTGCTCCGGTACAGGAGCCTCAACATAATCATCATCCTCGTTCTGTGGAGGCAAGTTGACATTGACACTGGTACACTTGCTGGTAAAGATATCCGTGTTGAGCGAGTCCTTGCTCAAGTAGATCTGCGCACCATCGACCTGGTCAAGCAGAATGGTTGGGACCGTCTCCAGAATCTGGATGGCGAAGGAAGGGCATTTGATGACATCAACGGAGCTAACAAGTGAGTCGAGGATAAGCGAAGTCTTGGATGAGTTGTCGATGGAAATAGCGTTCGCCTTGCCATGAATACGCAATGTCGTGCCCTTGCACTTGGTTATAAGAATCGAATGATTAATCTCGGCTTCGATTTCGATTGGTGCCGAAGGCGATTCAAAATTTTCCTGTCAGGGATTGGTCAGTCCACATACAGTATTGTTGCGATCGTTGCAACTTAGAGCTGAGTAAGAAGGAGATAAAGCAACGTACAATGATCCATTTGTTGCCGTCCAGCTCCTTTTTCGGTGGTTTTTTAGTGCGCAAGCTTTCCGGCTTCGGCTTCTTGCCTGGAGGCGCTGGGGACACTCCTCGTCCAGCGGATGAGGAGCTGTCGCTTCGCTGAGGTACTGTCGAACCAGCACGCAAGGATGGATTCTTGTGAGTCATCTGTGACGGGTCGACCTTCCTCAGACCAGCTGTAACCGATTCACCCCGATTAAGATCTGCAAAGACGGCACCCATATCGGCCTGGGCCCTGTTGGACTTGGCCGCGGGTGGAGGAGGCAGGCTGCCCGGCGGTGGCGGAGGGCCAGGAGGAGGGGGAATGCTTCCACCTGAAGGCATTGGCGGGGGAGGCGGAGGCACGGATAAGGTTATCTCACCGGATTGGATGTCCTTAAGAGCCTGAGCTGCGTCGACGCCTTGGGGATTCCATTGCACGCCCTTAGGATGACTTTGCTTGATGTACGAGACCAGCGAGCGCATGAGCTTATAAAATGACTTTACCCACTCCACTTGAGCCTCGTCCCTGCCAAACTTCGTCAGTCTTTGTCGTATTTACGCGCAAATATCACGCGCCAGATGGAGAGCCATACGTGTCCTTGTACTTCTTCAGCACCTTGTTGCCATACATCTGGGCACCGCCAAACAACTCGCTCACCCAGTCTGCCGGTTTGAAATCAATGGTGACCCAGGCGAGAGCCCCGACGCCATCTGCGACCATAGCCAGCCCATCCGCTACAGGGCTCGCTCGGTTGCTCTGCCGTATGTCGTCAACCTTGGTCATGTGCAACTGCAGGTCCTTCAGTGTGTCCATGTACGTCTGCGAGGTCACATCCGGTTTTTTCGCCTTGGTGGTGACGAGCAAGAACTGTCGGAGGGCTTCGAAAGCCTTGACCACGGAGTCGGACTGTGTACCAGTTGCAGCTTGTCAGCTGTGTCCATTCCACGTGCTGGATATCAATCATGGCGTGTGTCAAATTGCGTACCTGTTCTCCCAGAAGTCCACCTATTGCCGGCGATTTGGACAGCTCATGGTATGCCTTCAGATCGGGCTTGATCAAGTTGTCAAACTCTTCCACGATTGCCGGCAATTCCTCCTTTGGTGCGGCAGCAACTGGAGTTGGGGCCTGGGTGATATTCGCAGTCGAGGTAGACGTGTGGCTGCCGACGGTGCCTGCGGCTGCTATGCCGGATGCAAGCACGCCGTTCGCAGTCGCATCCTGACTCTTCTCAATCTGTCCTTCGAACGCGGAAGACGCAATGTCCTCCAACCTCGATGTCGCTGCCTCGAGCCTACGCACCAGCCGTGTTAGCACATGATCATCGGATGCCGCAAGCTGCACGGGCTTCTGCAGCGCTGAGAGTCTCTTGGCGGTTGAGGGCGATGCGGGAGCAGTCGAAGAAGGAGCGTCGGGTAAAGCAGAAGCATCGGAAGCACCTGCATATGTCGCCATTGGGGCTGCCGCTTTCGTCATGGTCAATGGGGCAAGTGCTATGTTGGGTCGGTGTACGTGATTGCGGAAAGAGCAAATGGCAGTCGTCACAGAGGAAGGAACGGGGAAAGAGCAGCGATGCCGTCATGCGTACCGTTTTATCAGGGTCGTCAGGTTGTGCATATTATTTGTCGCCATGATGTAGTACAAGCTGCGAGGCTCGTCGGAAGGGTGCGCCGAACGCAAGGGGGAGAGGAGGGTCGGATCGTTGAGCTTGACGTATGGTAGGTCCTGGATGTACAGGAGTATGGTGCGTTGGCCGAATTGTAGGGATTGGGAAAGCAGCGCAGCTCACTCAAAATGGATTCGTTTGAGGTGAGCGGAAAGAAGGAAGAGATAGATCAGAGAATGAAGAAGATCGAGCAAGCATGCAACACAGGCCACGAAGGGAGGACGCGTACGGGTGCGAGTGGTGATGACACTACACAGGTAAGACAATGTTTCTCCAGGCAGACAGAGATGGATGATGGAAGCAGACTAGTACCGCTGAGTCCCTAAGTCGTTACTACAGAGTGCTCCGTCCAGAGTTCCCCTAACGGAAAACAGCACAGCACGCCGCAGGACACAGGCTGGGAGAGGGCAAGCGTCCGTGCGGCGCTGGCGGCCTTGGCATTCTGCTCGCAGATCCCAACCACTCACGTGACCTGCGGACTGTCCGTCTCTTTGATGCCTGAGGAGGGGAGGCGTGGATGCCTCGCACAGAGCCGTCCTGCATTGAATAATGCACGACTTGTGCAAAGTGGAGCCCACGGAGCGCCAACCCTGCGCTAACCCTTCTTGTGTCTTTCTGTGCAGTGGCCAGACACCTGCCACGAACTTACTCAGCCCCCTTGCCTCGTTGATCACACTCTGATAATTCTATTATTAAAGAATCCGCGTGCTCGAGTATCTGACTTTCATCCTCAACCAGAGCCAAGCTTTGATTTCACCTCGTGCCCAGCTCTTTTCGTCCTCCTCTTCCGTTCCCAAGCTTTTTTCCTTTTCCCCTCCCTGTAGCTAGTCCCGACTCTTCTACTCCCCGCCGCGCTGTACCCGCCCATTCCTGCACCCGCTCATGCACTCGGCGCGCTGATCCAATCCGGTCCATACCAAGACTTCTTTTTTCTTCTCCCTGACCCCAATGACGTGCTAACCCGCCGTCGGGCAATCTCTTGGTTGTTACGTTTGCTCATCGCCATCGTGGGAGCAAATGCTCATCCCACGACGAGCCAGCCAGTCGGCTACTCAGCGAATTGCCGATCAGCTCTGCGTCAATCTGCCTTTGCCTGTGACCGCGACACATTTGTCATGACCTGTCGTCTTCGTTGGGTCACGCTCCCGCGCGTAGCCCATCCCTCACTGCAAACCATGCTGTGCTGGATCTGACGGGCTCCAGAAGCGATTCCCAAATCATATCGAGTTTCCAGCCAAATGATGCGGCTTCTGCCACTCCATTGTCAAGGCGGTGATTGCTGGCTGCCACCCGTCCGCCTGTTACTGTCTCTTGCGGCTGCTCTTACGCCCCCGTCGCGGCCGGAACCAGCCCATACCATGTCCCAGACTATCAACTGCCGCCGACGCCACATTCCCCGTCCATAACTTGTTTGACTTGAAAAGCTATCGGCATTCCCTATCCTTTCGTCTCTCTGCTCGCATTTTCCGGCCGGAGAATGCCTCATGAGGTCGCATTGGGGTCCTCTTTTTCGTATGCACCCTTTTGCGAAACGGCCAAAACGGTCCAACACATGCGAGTTGGGAAGGTACTTGTTCATTCGCGGCGTCGCCATCCCAAGAACCCATAAATACAAACTTGCGGCTGAGAACATCTACTTCGTTCCTATTATTAAGGCTTCCGTGATTTTTTCTTAAAAAAAAACAAGATCCATTTGCGACCACAACTGTTGCGATCACTACTTCTGCTACAAAAATAACCACGAGCCAAACTGCCGCCTTTGAGCCATGGCTGCTCCCACTGACATGGTCATGGATGTGGATAGACCAAATCCTCGACTCAATGGCGGCAGTCCGAGAAACTATCTCCAAAATGGGAGTCCTGGAAGCCCTTACAATGGCAGCCCGCGCAGCATGCACAACGGCAGCCCTCGGAGAATGGGTTTAGATTTTGTCACCTTGGGCATGTTCATAATAGGTGCGTTCCAAGTTTGTATCTAATTCACATGGATCGCCGAATCACCCAGCACTTCAGTTGTGCCTTCAACAATCGTAATTTTTTCCCCCTTTGATTCGCAATTCGTCTTCCATGAACTGTGAAAACAGTATACAGCACGAAGAAGAGAAACAATGGCTAACATGTCATTTCCCGTCCTGCAGATGAAATACATTTTCCACCACCACAACCTGCGGTACAAAACATTCCTGGCGGCGCAGGATCCTTCTCGGCGCTTGGGGCTCGAATATTCTCTTCGCCGCCTGTCTTGTCAAGAGCAGTGGGCTGGATTGTGGATTGTGGCTCGGATTTCCCACCAGCACTACGGCATTATCTCACTGAGTGGGAGACGTACTGCTTGATGCGCGAGACACCCGACCGGTTAACAACAAGAGGACTGAACGAGTACGGTGAGCACGATTTCAGAGGTTAGTTCTGCTTTCCGCCCTCGAAGTTGCCGAAAGTTCAAAGAACATCCATCATGATGAGGTTACAAATGGGATATAAGGGAGATATTGACTTTAGGAAGCTTTCAGATATCTGACCCCGAAACGACGACTGGAATTCACCGATCTGATGCCTGAAATGCTGTTATCTAAGAGCTTTCATCTGATATGCTCGCCGTCGAGGTGTATAGAGCAAGTTGAAGGAATACTACGGCGGAGAAGTCGGGAACTCGGCGTCGATGTGTCGAAGCGACCCCTATTCATATGGGAACCTGTACCGTAAGTTTTCTTTGTCCCTTTATCTCATGCTATGTGGCATGGTTCTTCCAGCTAGTATTGTGAAGACTATATTAACAACTCGCCACCACAGTGATTTGTGCACTCCCTCTCAGTTGGACGTAGCACGCCAGGCACTACGGAACGTTGAAGTCGTTTCCCCAAATCACATGGAACTGTGCGCCTTCTTCGGAATCTCTGGGTCCCTGCCCGACAGCGGTGCCGTCGACCGCAACATGGTCGAACGATGCGCCGACGAGTGGCTCTCCTCCGGAATCGGCGTCGAGGACGGTCCAGGCGCCATCGTCGTCAGGGCTGGTAGAGAGGGATGTTACATCGCTACGCGAAAGCAGTCGTGCTGGTTACCAGCCTATCACCAGTCCCCAGAAAAAGTGAAGGATCCAACGGGAGGCGGTAATACGTTTCTGGGCGGTCTAGCTGTCGCCCTTGCAAGGGATAAGAGTCTGGTTGAAGCGGCGATTTGGGGCACCGTCGCCGCGAGCTTTGCGATTGAACAGATCGGCATGCCAATCCGGACGGTAGGACAAGACGGGAAAGAGCGCTGGAACGGAGATCGTGTTGCGGAACGTTTAGAATTATATCTACAGAGGTTGTGAATACGTGGTGCACATCCGCATGAGAGATTATGGTGGGAAAAGCGAACATTTTGTTTTTGTGAATGGGGCACTACTGCTGCTGATTGAGCTGATGGTCGGGATTCTATATACATACGTAGCAGTTGCCTCGCCATCCTCTCCTCGTAGACTTCTAAGGTTTAGTAGACGACTTGCCCAGATATACCCCTCCAATGAAAGACAACATCATAATCAACACCCATCTTGCATAGAAGCGGCAGTTGCGTCAATCTATTGGCCTAGGAAATCGACTCCCGGCCTCTGTCCTTTCAATTGTCCTCCCACGAGCCATCACGAACTGTCCTTTTGGGCGGCCTCATGCTCTCTTATCTGCTTCGACCAGCTACAAATCGTTAGAAAGCACCTCCGTGAATCACAAATTGTGTCTGCGACGCACTATCTGCTCGGGTAGAATCGCCCCGGCTCGGGCATCCGCGGTCTCCTCTCGATGTTGGCACTGATGTTGAACAAGATAGCGCTGATGCCAAACAGCACAGCACCAGCGATGAGTGTGTTACTCTTCCAGTTGGACGGCTGAGAATACCAGCCACCGGCCGGCGACCAGACATGCTTTGGGTATCTGTTCAGCTAGGTGGTCAGTCATGGACATGCCTCGAAGGCGAGGGAGGGAGTTTCCACAGACGGGATTTTGCCACCGCCGCCCATCTTGAAAATGCAGATCAGGAAGTGGCCGGATGTAGATAGAGAATATGACGGCGTCAGAAGATGTTTGGGCCGTACGTCCACAGCAATTGAGGCGTAGAAGGGAATGGGGAAGCAGCTGGCTCTGGGTTGTCGTAGCAAATGGATTGGTCCGTGCGCGGACGTCGAACCTGCGGAAGGTCGAGCCTGGAAAAAAAGTTCGTCCCCAAAGGGTTAACGCAGCGTTGCCAGTGGCATCGAGAATCGCGGGCTCCGTTTAATCGCACGACCAACCTGCTTTCTCCTCCGCTTCGATCTTTCGTCCCTCGTTCGTCTTCGATTCTTTATCTTCGGCCTGCCGCCTTCTCACACCCACGTTGTCTTCTTTCACAAAGGCCTTAGATGAAACGGATACGGATACACCAGCTGCGCGGGCAGTCGCTGCTCACGCGCCATCGACGGACCTCGCCTTGTCCATTCGCTCAGAACCCGCACAACTCGCCTAATCGCCCATCGAGCACGCAGGCGTCGCAGTTCTCATCAACACCTTTCAATCTGTATGCTTCGCCTTCGAATCCTCCGCCTCCTCCCGGCACGCGATTAGAAGATATACCATCACCGCTAGTCAACGCCTCCCTGAGCTCGGCCAAGCTCGCAGCGTTGCACGCCCGTCTGGCGTTGCCACAAAGGTTCCCATTGCAGACTCTTGCACGGACGCTCGTGGATCGAACGGCGGATCGAGATGCCAGATTCAATAACAGCGCGTTGGCCACGCTGGGCAGCGACGTGATGGGGTACTACATGAGCGAGCATCTTATATGCCATTACCCGCGTCTGCCAATGGATGTCCTGTTCGCAGCTCAGGAGGCTTACGTTGGACCAAAGGCATTGATGACTATTGCAAAGGAATGGGGCGTCGAAGAGGCGGCCGAGCCGGGCGGAGAAGTCGACCCAGGTCTGCTGCAATTCAGACTGACACCGAAGGGCGGAGCGAATGCGCTTGAGTCGTCGCAGCAACCGGCAGAGGAACCGCAGGATGGATCAGGGAGGGCGAACCAGGAGCTTGCGCGGTCAATGGGCTGGCGTCGAGGCATGTCTTCGCGCATCGTGTACGATGACCAGTTTGGCATGGAGCGCCGTCCAGAACCTTCCGCGTCGTCCGGCCACATACCCACCATCTCTAGGGACGAAGCACACGCACAGTTTGTTCGCGCCCTCGTAGGCGCCATCCACCTGCACACGGGCCGTGCGGCTGCGAAGAAGTTTTTCCAGGACCACTTCCTCTCCCGTGTGCTCAATTTATCACAACTCTTCGACTTCCGATATCCTACCCGTGACTTGTCGCGTCTCTGTCTTCGCGAGGGCTTCGAGCCTCCCGTGGCACGCTTGATCAGCGAGACTGGTCGACACAGTGCCCATCCTGTCTTCGTAGTTGGCGTCTACTCCGGAAGGGACAAGCTTGGCGAAGCCGTCGGCGGAAGCTTGGTTGAGGCGAAGAACAGGGCGGCCGCGGCAGCTCTGAAAGGCTGGTACCTGTACTCTCCCACCGAGGTGACGGTGCCGAGCGAGACGGAGGACGGGACCGGCAAGGAGTGGAGGCCGAACATGATTGATATTGGGGAGATCATCACATAGCCCCTTACTTACCAACCCTTCGAACCGCGTACACGACACGGATGTAGCGTGGAAACAACGATCACGTTTTGCGAGGAGAAGAAACGCGGTGGTTTACCAACAGGAAGGCTTAGGCGAGCATCTGCATCATCACGGCGCAAACACGCAACGTGTACAGCGAGCATCATTTTTCCAAAAGGGGAGGCTGGACATCTCTGGCAGTTCTGTTGTCTTGAATGTGTCTAGATTTCTGTACAAAAGATTTTCCAAGGCCGCCCCCTTTTTTCTCCCAGCTCTTAACACTGTATCTAACAAAACAGCCTGCCTTACAGCGAGAGGGCTAAAATCAGGGAAGACGAGGATGTATCATAGAACATTTGTACGTATCAATACTGCACAGAGTCAAAATCAACGACTTTGGCTTGTGTTCTCCCACGTCCACCCGAAGTCCAACCACATCTACGCTGCCTGACTTTTCGACAAAGCCATACTGTGTACCGTTGGTTCGTCATCCGCCCATCCGTTCCAGCACCCATTTTACTTCTTTTTTCCCAACGATTCGCAGGTCACCTTTCGTGGGAGCCTTTCCGCCCCCCCCCCCCCCCCCCCCCCCCCCCCCCCCCCCCCCCAGCGTTGCCGGACCCCAAACATTTGCGTGCGACGGACGAACCAAGGCAGACGCGGTCGCCCCGTCGGCACAGTGAGTCGTCATTACAACATCGCAGAGTCGAACTGGCAAGCGATACAGAGCCCACGAGCGCCACGGCCCGTCCAGTCCGACGCGGCGGTTGCTCAGCACTCTTCTCGTCCCCTCCCCGGGGACTCCCGCGCCCACTCCACGGTCCTGATGCGCCTGTCGACGGCGTTGGGCATCGAGAGGGAGGCTCCAGCAAGCTACCCGGTCGGTCTGAACAGCAGCCCAGCAGCTAGTTGGAGCCTGAACGGAGCTTAAATAGGCAGGGAAGAGGGTTAGGTTGGAGAGAGCTAGAGAGAGGGGGCGGGGGACGGGATGTGCAAAGTGAGCGTGTCATGCTCCCGTGGCTGCACTCTGCACACAGCACGCATGTTCGTGAGCTGGCGCGGCTGGCGAATGTAACCCGGAAAGGAACGTGGCCGTCGCATCGGCGAGGCTGATCGGTACGCTGTGCGGCGGGTCTTGACAAGGAGCAGCTCGACCTCGTGACGTTTGGGTCGTCACTTGCAGATTGACGTGTTGTTGATTGTCCGTATGTGACGTCCGGGGTTTTGGATGTCTGATAGCAGGGGTGAAGTTTTTGGCTAGGGCATCTAATGGGGGGATGTGAGAGGGGGGCATTTGATATCATCTGCACTTTTAAGCTCTCTGCACGCTCCTTGGAACCATGTTCATTCTGTTGCGAGGATGTGTGGATTGAAAAGTCTCGGGTGGGATATACAGGTGGTTCTCAAGGGTTGGGTAAAGAAGTCTATCATTACGTTTCCTAATTTCCATGGAAGCATAAAAAATGAGCAGCGAGCGCGAGAAGGAATAAGCCCAAAAAAAGGCCAGAACTATGTAATATGATGGCCGCAAACGACCAGCCAAAGAAGGGTATCTCAAATGCCGCCCAAACGCAGACTATGCTTCGAGAAGCCAAAACGAGCAGCGTCAGAAAAAAAAGAAAAAAAAAACAACAGCTAATGTTAGTCGTCATGGTCAACTTTGTCAAAAGAACGCTCAATAAAGATGCTCCCCACGCTCTCCACTTCCAACCAGAGGAAGTCCCTTCGCCCTAAATTGCGTGTGCAAGAACCTCTTTTTGTTTGCGCACAGAACACCAGTATTGCCCTAAATAAAATAAATAGGGTAGTTAACGTAGAGCAGAGACAAAAAAAAATATGCAAATGCAAAACGCTACGTAATCATCGTTAAAATGATAATTGTGGTCAGCCTGTGGGGCCGTCTTGCTTCGGACTTCCTTCTCTACTCTCCACCATACACACTTTGCGCGCTTGGGTTCCCATAGAATGCCTGCAAGGATGCGAGGTCGTTGAAAAATGAGCTTTGTGTTGGTGCAGGGCCAATCTCGCTCCTTGCGCCCAAGCTATTCCTCCGTGGCTGCCGCTGGCGTCGACCGGGTCCTCGGAGCAAGTAATGCTCGGCTTGCTTCATGGTAGGTCGCTTTCGCGGGTCCGGATTGAGCATGCCCTTCGCGACCTGTAGAATGTTTCCAGACTCTTCGATGATGGCGACACGCTTTCGCTGGTTGCGAACGGAGATCTGCGCGGTTCGCAGAACGTCAATATAACTCTTCACCTGAGCTAGGTTGGCGTGGAAGCTGTTGTCGTGAGAGCGCTGGGAGCGGAACTCCCGCATCTCTTCAATCGTACGGCCCTTTGCAAATGCTACCATCTCTAGAAAGATGGCCCCGAGTGAAAACGTGTCTGAATGCTTCGCGTCGACATCTCGTCCCGCCACGACTTCGGGCGCGGCGTAGATGTAGCTTGGCTCGTTGGAGTAAGGCGAAAAGAGCTGCGAGTTCGACTTCCTCATCGGATGGCAAACCCCAAAAACGGTGAAAAAGATGCGGTTGTTCGGCACATCCACCAAAATCTTCTGTGGCCGGATGTTTTTGTGCTCCAATCCACGTTGGTGGATGTAGGCCAAGCCACCTGCAAGCTCTTTGATCCAGCCCAGGATCTGCTCTGACTGGGACGAACCAGTCAGCTCGGATTCCAAGAACTCGGCCAAATTGACCTCAGCATAAGGCATAATGAATGCAACCACCTGGCCCTGCGCGTAGCTTGCGACAATCTTTGCGATGGACGAATGTTCTAGTTTCTGATATGACTTGATCTGATTAAGAATCGTAGTCTTATCTCGTGGTCGGTCAGGTGGCACTTCCAAACGTTTGCGGACGTAATATAAGTTGTCAAAGCCGTCCGCAAACTTGATCTTTGTTCTCGTCTTCACTGTGGTGGGCATAGGCGGTCCTACAGGACCGTGATCCTGCAACGGAACAGTGTCCTGCGTTCGAAACTCCACATGACCACCATCGCGGGGTAGATTTTTCAAGATACCAATCTTCCACTGCTCCTCAATCATCTTGGCTGGGTCCGAAACTATCCCTTTCAGGTGAGTTTCGGAGAAGGGAAGCATGCTGTCCTTGAGCTCGTAATAAACAACCAATTTCTGAAGAACATCGAGTTCACCGCAAACCCACAACAAAAGAGCCGTCTTTGGCTGCATGATGGTCCACTGGATGATCATATCACCGTACTTCCAATTCTTACGTTTAATCAGCTCTGGGATCTGCTTGCACAGCTCCGCGGCCATCCTGTGATGGTTGTCAACTATTTTGGGGGGCTGCAGAAAATCATCGTTTAGTTCACGCTTGGCGACCGGTGGCGCTGGCGAGATATGGACCTGCTCGAGCATGTTCACGGGAGACGACTGCGGCGAGTCATGACGGTAGCCTGGAGCACTTCCTGCAGAGTTCATGCTGATGGGCCTGACGGGCGTTGGAGCGACGGGCGTTGGGCACCGGCTTGAAGAGTCTGGCGGCGAGCGAGATTCTGCAGCAACGTGTGAACTTGGTAAACTTTTGGGAGACACGGGAGGGGACGGACGACTGGACTTGAAGAAAGGGTTGCGAGAGTAAGACCCGAACAGCTGCGTCCTGAACTCGATGGGGGGAGAAGGCGGAGGCTTCGGAGTCGCGACGCGCTCTGGGGTTGAGACCTCGGACGAGCTCGCGGTGGGCGTGATGACGCCTTCATATCCTGAGGACGAGGAGGATCGCGTGCTGGGAGAGTCTGCTCGTGCCCATCCCTGGTCATGCAGCTCCAGCATAGAGGAGTGATGTGTCAAGAAGGGGTGGTGTTGAGCCCTAGGGGGCGAGTTGCGATAGCTGGTTGTTGGCACACGCCATGTCGAGTACGGCTGCATGGTCAAAAAACGAGGCTCTCGGTGAGCACGCAACAAGAGACGGGCTAATGGCAACAGGCAAGAGAAGAGCAGCAGCAAGGACCAGAAGATGAGAGGGCTCCGCTTCACCACGAAATCTCAAGGCGTCATCCCAAGGCGAAGGGACGACCTTTCGAAGTCGGGCGGTGGGAGTTTGAAGGACTCACACAACGCACGGGAATCCAGGCAGAACCGGGCGCGCCGGTGGACGGGATAAGTATGGGCAGTCCACAGGCGGCCAGGAACGGGCGGCAGCGCGGAGTCGATGTGGACACGGTTGAGCAACGAGCGAGACGGGTGGTGTACTGTCAATGGTCGCTCTCCGCGTGAACTGGCAGCCGCGTTGTGGGTTGCGGTTCGAAAATTCGATCGGCAGCTTGGGCAGCAAGTCGGTATTGGCTGAGCGCCTGACTGGAGAGCAAGCCTAATATGCAGCACGACGTGTTCTGCCGCGACTCGACATTCTGTGCACCAGAAGCAGCCAAGTCAGCAGCGCGCGCGACGACACTGCGGGCCCGTCCGCGAGCGCGAGCAGCAGAGCGACAGTGCCGTCGACGCAGACCGAAGCGGCGCCGCTGGCGTACAAGTACGGCACCGTCTGGGGCGGGGGGCGAGGCGCTGCGGGCTGTTGGGCAGCCAAGGCCCCGCCGCAGAGGCACAAGTTCCGGCGCGCAGCACGCACGAACGGGCGGGACTGCTGGGCGAGCGGCGGCGACGCTGCCCGCTGGCTGGCCCGCGGGCCCAGTGGGCGGTCAGGCGCTGGGCCACAAAGACCTGCGGGCCGGCCCGGCTGCCGCTATTCCTCAACCGGCTCCGCCGCTGGCTCGCCCGCAAGCTGGCTCCAGCAGCAGCCTGCTCCTCGCCGTCCTTCTTGAAGCGCGACCGGCCGGGCGATGTGGGCGAGCGACGGCCGAGGCGGTGCTCTCGAGGCTCTCCAAGCACCTGCCCATGCGGCGCTGCGCCATCTACACATGCACGATGCAGCCAACGCAGAAACGAGGCTCCGGTGCCGCCCCTCGCCTGCGTGAGAATGTTGTGCGCTGGAATCCGCCAGGTCGGTCCACCACCCATGTCTGCCTCCGCCGGAGCGCGACGGTCGAACAGCAGATGCCTTTGGTCTACATCGAGCGAACGAGCTGGGGCGAGAGCCTCGCCTCGCCCAGAGGACGCGCGACGTCCGGCAAAGTCCGGCCTTGTTTGAGTGGGAATCTGATAGGCTGCCCCTCGCCGGCAACGTCCACATTCGACCGCCGACGCATTGCCTGGCCATGCAGTAGGCGACGTGCACATGGGCAGAGGTCATTCACCAGCAGATCCGTCTACGGCTGTCACCCGATTCACCACAGTATTCTTGTCCCTCCCTTCGTACAGCCGCGCTTCAATATTGGAGCCACACGAGTCTCGGCCATGCTCCCAAAAACAGTGCCACCCCATTTCAACAGCTGAAGCGGGCCTTGAACCAGAATGCTCTGACGATTTCGTCGCCAATTTGCTGGGCACGCGGGCCGTGGCTTGCTCGTCGTCCTTCATTAACGTGTTGACTGGCCCGGACAGCCGAAGAGGTTTGCGGTGACTCAATAATGGCCATTTTGCATCACCACTCATCTCCGCAATCAGCGGAACGAAGGAAGACAGCAACGAAAGATCAGAAACTGGCGTTTGTTCCTCTGTCTAGCTTCTCTGGCAGAACATGCCGAGATCGACACGTCGTCTACGCATAGTCTTGCGGAGGGCAAGTCCGGAGAAAGCATTCATGTTTGGTTCTCAGGAGAGCCTGCATACGGCCCCATAAGACTATCCCCTCGCGCCCTGAGACGTGTTGACAAAGAATTCTCCCTCTTGCGTCGCTGCTGCCGAACACAAGCACACCGGTCCACGCGTACCACGTCGTGTCAGCGATACAACACAGCGAGGCAGGGAAGCGACAAGAAGGTAATCTCTGCAGCCAAACAGCAAGGACTGGAAACATCAGGCGGTGGACATGAGAGTGGTTTTGTATGGCACAAGCGAGCGGCTTTGCGCCGAGCCACCGTCCCCCAAAGCAGCAAGATGGTGGCAGCGAGCCGTGCTGAGCGCGCTGGAGCGGGCCAGGCATGCAGGTCCCGTCTGCTGGCCGAGTGCAGAATTGGGCGTGGTGAAACGTGTGCGAGCGGCGCTAAGCCGGCCGGGCCCCCGTCTGATTGGGCCTCGACCTCGTTTGGCCCGCCCTCCTGAGCGCGCCTCCAAACCAGCGACCACAGAACAAACAACGCTCCCTGAAACCCGTGCAGCCAACGTCTTTCGTCGGTCGCGCGCCTTCCGAATAGCAAGCCTATCGATTGTTTCTTTGCCCCGAGTCCTGATAGGCCTCGCTCGGCAGCCCTCGCGCGGCTGAGACGATTAGCTCACACGTTCGGTTTGAGGTCGCACCATGTCCGGCCGGGTCGTCCGCGTGGCTAGAAGTCGGCCTCCGTAGATGAGTGATTTCGAGCAGTCCGCTTCGAGCCAGCAACGGCGGTTTTGCGTCACTTTGCCGACGCATCAGGTAGGGGGCTCCGTTTTGTAGTTTGGCCCGTTATACGAGGCGCTACCCGCCTAGCCTTTCATGCTGCGCATCTCCTGTCCGTCTGCGTGCAAACCTTTTTCTCTCCTTCACACTTGCTTCGACTACACACGCTCCTTTGCTTTTCTCCTTCTACGCTGCTGAGCAGCTATTTTGTCGGGTTTCCTGCCTGTACTTGGTGAACGGCTGCGGTAGTATCGCTGGACGAGCCCAGGACGCCCTACCTCAACCCTCATTCGACGAAAAAGTGCACGTCCTTGGCGATCGACATGCGGCTCGAGGCCACGATTGTGAGCGTGTTCTTCGCTGGACACCTTGGCTTGGCTCTGGGAAGTGAAATAGACGCTGCTGCAGCGCTTCATCCTAGAAATGCCGACCCGGATGAGCACATGCGGAGGGAGGCGAATGCGGTGCTGCACGAGTTTGGCAAGAGGGGCGATGTCTTCAATGCCCCAGGTGGAATATGGCCCACAGTGGTAGTGCCAGCAGGCTACACCCTGGCTGCTGGTGTTATGCTAACTACCGCATCTGTGACGACGACGACGGCTACAGCAGCCGCTTCCGCCGCCGCTGCCACCAGTTCTGGCGCCGCACTCGTCGAAGCGGCCAAGAGTGTCAATTCGACCCAATGGACAGCGGAGGCGGAGAGCTCTTGCATGACAGCGGTCATGAACCTGAAGGGACAGGCATCGAACCCAGCAGGGCTTGCCGTGTGCTACAATGTGCCCTATCTCGACCAGCAGAAAGGCGTCTTCGAGGCGGAGCTGCGAATGTACAACGTATGCGCGCCTACAGGCGACTTTGTGGGCATTCCTGCCACGGACATGATGGTCACACTATCCTATGCAGGCGCGACTATCCAGCAGTTGAACGGCAGCCAAGTCCCTGTCAAGCGCTCAATTGTGGAAAGACAAATGTTCACGACGACGTCGAGCGTCGCGACGACCACGTCTGTCGCTGCGACAAACGGAATCATGATGCCGGTGCAAGTTGCCGTTCGACAATACGTGGGGCAAGTGAATAAAGATCTTTTGGCTCAAGGAATGAACACGTGTGTAATGTTCGAGTAATGATGTGCGGGCCCCTGCTAATTTGTTCTTAGCACCGAGTATCAGGCCGTCCTCGTGCCCCAGATCTCCATCTCAGGCATGAATCCTGTGTCGCAAAAGTCCGTCAACACCACCCTCTCTTCGACGGAAGCCTCCTTCAATGCCGGTGTCTTTGTAAAAGCTGCAACCAATGCAAACGATCCGCAATCCATCCTCGGAAAACCCGCCGAGGAGATCGCAGCCGCGGCAGCTGGCTTGCCCACGCCTTTCGTTGTGCCAGGCTTGGCTCTTGGTGTTTTCCCAACTGGTCTCATCGTCACCAGTATATGGACGGCCATCTTCCTCGGCGTCGTTGGCTATGGCACGTTTGGCAGAATTCAGTACCGAACGCAGTACAGAATGGCGGTGAAAGCTCAGGGCGAGGAGAGACAGAGACGGATTTAAAAGAAAAGAAAGAAATCTATTTTAAAATGGGAGACAACCCGAACTTTATTTTCCGAGGCGCAACAGAGTCCCGTTCTATGGATACCCGTACAATTCACCTTCTTTCCCCGGCTTCCACATACAATGTCTTTTTTTAAACTCACACGCTCTTGTCGATAAGTACGTAACCGTTAGATTAGAGCTTCCAATGTGTATATTTCTCTGGACGTTGTGTCACCAAATCGTCCAATCCCATATTCTAATCCCTTTCGCGACCATCTCATCCAGGAGCTTGGCAAGATCACAAGGTGTTGCCATATCTGCCAGTAGTTGCCTTTTTTTTCCCCTCGCATTATCAACCGTCATTCCAGCTTTCCACGAGTCGACATCCGTCTCTGACCCGCCGGTTCTGCGGCTAGCATCGGCGTCCAGCATCGGCGTCCATGAATTATTGTTCTCAAGCTCCGCTTTTCCACGGGTCCGCCAATGAGTTTAGCTGCCGCACCGCGATGGACCCTTGCACACATTGAGGTAGGTACCACGCCCTACGTACTGATACGAGTTTATTAGGCAATCTGCAAGAGAAAAAGGCTGGTCTCGCTATGGATGCTCGGTCCATCGTGGAAGGAAGGTTCGGTATGCAAATCCCAGTGACTCAATTGGTTCGACGTTGAGGTTGGCTGAACACCTGAAAGCGGTCAAGACGTCAGTCCCCGAAGATCCGCATATATCCTCTTGCTGAATGCGATTGCATCTCTTCTCACTCCAAACGCTTTGTCTTTCTGTCCCTTTCCAAATCAGATGAATAGAAAATGGCTGCTCACAGCTCCAAAAAGTTCGGCCATGCGCTAAAGGCAGACTTCCTGATCGAGCCAAAGTGGAGAAATCTGAATCACGGTACATCCACGCAGGTACAGAGGGCCAAGTATATCGACCGCTAACATTTACCCTTAGGCTCCTTTGGCACGTATCCACGCCAAATCCAGCAGGAGCTTCGTCGCTTCCAAGATGCCTCGGAGGCCCGAGCAGATGCCTTCATCCGGTATGACTCCATCCGTAGCCTTGACGCAAGTCGCGAGGCTATAGCAAGGCTTCTCAATGCTCCCGTGGAGGCGTGCGTCTTCGTCCAGAACGCCACTACGGGCATCAACACTGTCCTGCGCAATCTGGTGTTCCACCCGGGGGACAAGATCGTGTACTTCGACACCATCTACGGGGCTTGCGAGAGGACGATAAGCTACATCACGGAGACTACGCCCGCGCAGTCGGTGAAGGTGAAGTGCATGTACCCCGTGAGTGACAAGGGCCTGGTGGACGAGTTCAAGCGCGTTGTGAAGGAGCAGCAGAGCCAGGGGTTTAACGTGCGCATCGCGGTCTTTGACACGGTCGTCAGCATGCCTGGGGTGCGCGTGCCGTTCGAAGCGCTCACAGAGGCGTGCCGAGAACTCGGCGTTTTGAGCTGCATCGATGCTGCCCACGGCGTTGGGCACATCGAACTCAACCTAGCGAAGCTCGACCCCGATTTCTTCGTCAGCAACTGCCACAAGTACGCTTCTACGTAGTCTTCCCGTGACGTGTTGACAACATGCTGATTCGCGACCACACAGGTGGCTGTACACTCCGCGAGGGTGCGCTGTGTTCTACGTACCGGTGCGCAATCAGCACCTCATCCGCTCCACGGTTCCGACGTCACACGGCTTCCAGCCCAGACCTAAGCCTGGTGAGTTGCCACCGAACAACCCGTTGCCACCCAACACCAAGTCGCCCTTTGTGGCCAATTTTGAATTCATGGGCACGATCGATATAGCGCCGTATCTGTGTGTGCCCGCAGCGATAAGATATCGCGAGAGCCTGGGTGGCGAAAAGGCAATCCTACAATACTGTCACGATCTCTCGAGGCAAGGCGGCGACCTGGTGGCGAAGATCCTGGGCACCAAGGTTCTGGAGAACGAAGACGGCACTCTCGGGAATTGCTGCTTGAGGAACGTGAAGCTTCCCCTGGACGTTGCCGAGGTGCAGAAGATAGCCGGAACGGACAGTGTAGGCTCACCGGTCATCGTGTGGATGACGGCCACGATGACCAAGGAGTACGACACGTTCATGGCGCTGATGTTCTACGACGACGCATGGTGGGTGCGGTTCTCAAGCCAGGTCTATCTCGAACTTAGCGATTACGAGTGGGCTGCAAAGGTGCTCATCGAGCTGTGTGCTCGCGTGAAGAAGGGGGAGTTCTTAGAGCCAAGCAAGGAAGTTGCAAAGCTATGACAGCAAGCAGGCGTACATCATTTTTGGGGTCGCACTTAGACGTTTGAGAGATAATATAGGTGTATTGTTTGAGGCCGCCTCGTCTTCACATTGTGGTCACACAGAACGCCTCTACGTTGACTTGCGTCCACAAAAGTTGGGCGTAAGCTGCGTCAGCTGCGTGCAGGTAAGCCAAAATACCAAAAAAGAACAGACCGTCTAGGTCACCAAACTACCACCAGAACAGCACGAGGCATAATCTTCACCGTGCCACGTCATTTCGTTGTAATCGATAACGTGGAGACAGCGTATGGAAGCGGGACTTGGGCGCTAACTTAGTATGAATCTAATCTTGCCAACTCGATATGAACTGCATCTATGCGACATAATCAGAGCTTCGTAAGCTTTGTACGGCATGCAATACAATAAAAGGCCCATAGCCAATTCAGTCTGCTTGCGGCTAGAGGGCAGTTCGCCATTCTCGGCATGTTTACTTTCGCCACCGCGCTGATTGTCTTCAGCCATTGTCTGCTCTGAAAATCAAACATGTTTTCAGCACGTCAAAATACCAGATTCTTGCTTGATATCTCCCATGCTGTTCTCGTTGACGTTAGTGTATTTCCTAGCAGCTTTTCTGCTCGCTTATTCTGTCGTTCCATTCCTAGGCTTAGAAGAGCTATTGCGGCGCCCGACACCGCAATCTGCAATGTTACGATGCGTTTCGATTCAAGCCCTCCGCCGGGACCACGTGTCGTCGTTGCAGAGAATCAGCTTTCTTCCACCACGTCCATCCTCCCTCCATATTTCTAGCTGCTCGTGAATCTTGACGTCCTTGGGCATTGCTGTGTGGCGGTGAAGCCACCCCTCCTGGGAACCCGAAGTAGCTCGACGACGAGCTTTGCAGCTTGAGAAACGTTGTGTTGCTCGAAAACGCGATCGGGTAAAACGCATTAGTACCATGCCGGGCTAAGGGGATGGCGGACCTGATAACGGAACCCCCTTTTTTTTGGCGTGTGCCCTGTTCCCCGAATTGCCATGCTGTCGGCCGACTCTCGTAAGGTGCATGAACTATATGACTAACGATATTGTTCTGCGCTGTTTGCCATTGGTGATCCTGCCTATAGCAGTTATAAGCGCAATCCACAAGGGCCGACATTAATCTTTCAGATTCCTAGAAACATGCTCTCATGCCTAATACGGCATATTCAAGCATTAGGATGTTCTTAGTAGGAGTGTGCACCAGAATCTTATCCCTGAACTGTCCTCAGAAGGGATGGCTCTTTTCCTTTATGCCTATTGTCAGCGATTGGAGAGTTTCATGAAAGTGAGGACAAACCCAAAGGCCAGGATTTCTTACTTACTATTTCTTGAGTTTATATCAGAAATCTTCAATGGTGATATAGAGTAGGATGTTGTGTATTGCAATATACTCAGAGCTCTGGGTAGGAGAGCAATCGCCGTGGCAAGGTATAGACCTGACTTGCCTGATTATGAATTGGGTACAGACTCTCGAACAGATGTCTTGTCGACACTGGTTGCCAACAGGTAAGAATTGTCATTATTTGGAACGCCGGATTTGAAAAATTTAAGATACTGGGGTTTTCAGCTGCGCAGGGGGCTGGGTTGGCTCAAACGCTTTCTGAAATATTATCTAGAGAGCTGCTGTCATGAAAATAAGATACTTCCTTATATCAACAAAGTTATATCATTATTCGGCTAAATCGCGATAAAAATCACAATCGCCATGCTCTCTCGGCCCAATTCATAAACGGGCGTACAGCTGCAAGAGCTTTTGTTGCGTCAAAGTATGACCTCGTTCTCCCTATACCTGATAATGGCCTAGTCTTTAAGGTCTTCAAGCAGCTGTATATGCTTGACAGGACTTGAGCGCCCACTCCCGTGTGACTTGGCTTTAAAGACATCGGAAACAGCTTCGCTGGAGGCATTTATGGTCAGAGAAGAAGGAGGAAATCTGGACGTTTTATTGAGGCCATGTAGTCGTTTCAAAGGATAAGTTTTTTTCTATGGCTAGACTGCGTGATACGGCGTTTTTTTTTCTTTTACTGCCGTTCGCGGGTTCTCCTTATCACCACTTGCCCAAGGAAGATTGGGCGGCATTGGTGGCTCATACAAATTTTGCGATGTCGGGACTTTGTCAATCCAGACCTCGACGCTTCAGCCGCTCGTGGTGCTCATAAGAGATGACGAGGAAGTAAGACCTGAATGTTGATCTCGGAGATGTCCTGTTGTGTGGAGAAGCCCTTTGATGGACGCAACGGTCCAAAGTTTGCTCTTGGCAAAGATCTAATCAGCTGATGGATCGGACGCTTACTCTGAGAGGGTGGTTGGGTCGACTTGCGCCGTTTCAGATGACGCTTCTACAAATTACTCTGTAGAAGGCTCCAAGAGCCGCGCCACACTCTGCCCGAGCTGCCGAATCAATGCGATGTTACGTATGTATTAGCAAAATGGACCCAGGCTAATTTGGTTGATATGCTTATCTAAAGAGTGCTGTATGGGTCAGATGTTCTATCGCTCCCTCCCCTAATTCTGCGCGCCCATGCCATCACACTCTTCTATAGGCACGACGCCTTTAAAACTTTATGCTGAGAAAGCTCCTAACTATGGTGCATGGTACATGATTTTAGGTATTGAATGGATGATCTTTGTAGCCACAGTGCAGGGGTTGGCTTCGAAAGCGGGAATGGGTAGCGCCATCGTGTGAATCGGTACGCACGTCATTACAATTGAGCTTGTCAGAAATTAGTGTCTGTAAAGGAGAATTGCTGAAAGATATGCATGAAGCAGCAAAAGTTCAATGTAGCTAGGAAACAGGTGTTTGCGAGAATTTCAGAGTTAATTGTGGCCCGTTGCACCGAGACAGCGGTACTTGTAGATGTTAATGGCGAGTTCAGTGGAACAACGCTTGCCAAATTTCGACCAATCAGCATCGACTTCCGGTGCCTCAATATCAACTACCAAAGGTGAAAACTGCGAAACCGTAAACTGCACGTCAGCGCGCAAAAGCTCAATTACGACTCCGCAAGTCACTGCGACGGAGAGGCAAGAAATTGCCCATTCAGCCATTGCGCAACTGATCACAAGCCGAGACATGCGAGCTCCCGCAGCGGTCTCACCACACAACTTAATCTCTGAAATGCCAGACCCATAGCCACCGCTCTATATTTTCCTTTACTTCCGTCTTCCGCCATGGAGCGGGAGAGAAAACGTGGGTGTCTACCAAAATATGATGCCAATATGTGATCTAGCTGACACTGCACGCAGGCGAACTGCGCGAGCAGAATGAGAGGGCGTGGGGCGGAGACACAGGTATATCAGTATCACACGTTGCAATCGGACATGTTGCTAACCAGTGCAACAGATGTATTTCCGGTGCAGAATTCCTTGGATTCAAACCTGAAGAAGAACACAGCCTTCATTCGGCGCCTACGCACGTCCATCAACCCACAATCGCTTAATGCGTTCCTCCTCGAGGTGCGCTCGCTCTCGCTGCAGAAGTACCTTTCCGAAATTATTTCTGCTTGCTACGAGGGCCTGTGCAAACTCAAGTCTCCAGGGGATATTAGTGTCGGTGTGGAGGTTGTCAGTGCGTTGCATCAACGCTTCGGACCTGCGGAGTTTACGGGCTATCTAGGTTGGATGATCGGCCGGGGCTTGAGCACGCCAGATAAGAGTCAGCTGAAGGCATTGACGCAAGACGTACGTGAGAGAGAAGAGAAGGAAAGGGTCGCCAGGCAGCGAATTTTGCTCCGTGTTGCTACCGAGCTGTGGCTCGTTGGAGTGCTGCGCAGCCTCGAGGATGTTGTACGACCAGAAGAGGCCGGCAAGGCCAGAGAGGGTGCAAAGGTTCCCGAGCCATCGGCGAAAGCAAAAGCCAGCGCGCGAGGAGATGCCGATGCCGAGCCGTTCCCGCTCGAAGTGCTCAAAGATTTGCTGGGTCACGATCGCGAACACGTGAACCTTCCGCTTGTCGTCACTTTTGTCAAGACGTTTTCATGGGACGTCTTGGGTGTTAAGGCATCGGAAGGTCGGAAGGCGAATGCCGAGAATGGTGCTTCCAAAGATGCGGACGACGAGGCAAGTGTCGAAGAAAACGACGATGCACACACCGAAGACCCACCGCTTGTCAAGCCTGAGATACGACAGCGCTTTCACAATATCCTCCTGAAGTATTTTGAGGATGTCAAGAACCATGTCATCCGCGATCAGAAGAACATTGTCTCTCAGGGGAAGCGCAATGCCGAAGCCTATGTACGCTCCGGAGAGGTCTTCGAGGACAGACAGGCGAACTATGAAAAGCAAGTCAAGGCCCAGGAGAAGCTCGTCGCAAGCGCTCAGGTACTTGCTGATGCCCTCGGCGCAGAGATGCCAGACCTCAAGGAGAAAGAGACCGCTCCAGGAGCTAGCGACGGGAGCATTGGGCTTGTCAAAACTGGCGAATATCTGCGCGGTCAGGGCGAAGGTGCGGGAATTTGGGAAGATGAAGACGAACGACGCTTCTACGAAAGTCTAGTCGATCTCAAGGATCGCGTGCCGGGCATTTTGCTTGAGGACAAGAAAAAGAGCAAGGAGACAGAAGAGCCTGTTGGCAAGAAGCCAGATATTGGACCGGAAAGTTCCGAGAACAAAACTGGTGATAATGACGACGCATCCATGACTATTGCCAACAAGTCTGTTGGTGCACAGGTCGACGCCCTACTTGCTCGTCTGCCCGAAATCACGAGTAAAGATGGCGTTGACCAGGCCGCCATAGACTTCTGCTTTCTGAACTCCAAAGCTTCCCGAAACCGCCTGATCAAATGCGTCGAGGAAATCCCAAAAGGACGTACTGATTTATTACCGTTCTACTCTCGCCTTGTAGCTACTTTAGCCAAATACATGCCTGACGTTTCACAAGCACTGGTCAGCTATCTTGATGAGGAATTTAGGAGCCTGCAGAGACGAAAGAGCAAGGATTTCCTTGGCCAGGTTCGCATGCAGAACGTCCGCTACCTTGCCGAGCTTACAAAATTCGGTGTCGTTCCAGAACATGTCATCTTCCACTGTCTGAAGGTTGCGCTGGACGACTTTTCACGCATGAACATTGAGATCATGGCAAGCTTGATGGAAAATTGTGGGCGCTATCTCTTGCGCAACCCAGAGACGTCGCCACGCATGGCTTCTTTCCTCGAGACACTAAACCGCAAGAAGTCCGCTCAGCATTTGGGTCAGCAGGAGCGAATGCTTATCGAAAATGCGATGTACTACGTCAATCCACCAGAGCGTGGCGCTATCGAGCAGAAGGAGCGGTCTCCGGTCGATATGTTCATCCGCAAGCTTGTGTACCTGGACTTGAAACGTAGCAATGTGGACAAGATCACAAAACTCATTAGAAAATTGCACTGGGAAGATGAGGAGGTGCTTTCTTCCTCTTTCGCACGTGCGCAATGTATGCTGACATAAATCTGACCAGGTTATTACCGTACTATTTAAAGTTTTCACAAAACCCGGGAAGGTCAAGTGGGTCAACATCGAACTTCTCGCGACTGTGCTCGGTGCCCTGCGCAAACATCATCTCGACTTCGTCATCTCTGTCATTGATACACTAATTGAACATATCACGTTCGGACTTGAGATCAATGATTTCAAGTTCAACCAAAAGCGCATTGCCGAAGTGCGCTACCTCGGCGAGCTGTATTGCGAAAAGGTTGTCGACTCGCGCCTCATTTTTGATACCTTGTTCAAAATCATCACGTACGGGCACGAAGGTGGTGTACCAAAACCAGGGGTCATAAATCCACTCGACCTCCCTGACGACTTCTTCCGCATACGCCTCGCCTGTACGCTATTAGATGTCCTCGGCGAGCTTGACGGGGTGTTTGATAGGGGCCCGGCAAAGAAAAAGCTTGACTTTTTTCTCACCTTCTTCCAGTACTACGTCGCGACGAAAGACGTTCTGCCAATGGACATCGACTTTCTGATTCAGGATACTTTCTTCAAACTGCGTCCTCAATGGAAGCTTCTTACTGAGCTTGACGAAGCCGGCCAGGCTTTTGCTGAGCTTGTAAAGCAAAACTATCAGAATGCTTCTGCAGATAGGGCTGAGGAAGAAGCTGAGGAAGAATCCGCTTCAGACGACGAGAACGAAGAGCCATCCCTGCGCAAGGACGTCGATGAAAAGTCTTCCGGCGAGGAGGTTGACGAATCCGGAAATGGCGACGAGAGTCCAGACGATGCAACAGAGGATGAGTCGGAGGAAGAGCACATTGTCGTCACTCGCCCAGAAGATGAGCGTGACCCTGAGGCCGATGCAGAATTCGACCGTGAGCTTGCAAAACTCATGGCAGAAAGCGTTGAGTCACGTAAATTTGAGCGAAAACCTATGTTCGATATACCTCTTCCGATGCGACGTAAGGCTGACAGCGGAACCGCGGAGGGTGGCGATCACACAAGCACAGACACCCCTGCAACAATGAAATTCAGCCTACTCAGCAAAAAAGGCACCCGACAGCAGACCAGATCGATCGACTTACCTGCGGACTCGACATTCGCAATTGCCATGAAGACACAGCAACAAGCCGAAAGTGAAGAGAAGCAACGCATTAAAAATCTTGTTCTCAACTACGACTTGAACTCCGAAGCCGACACAGATGGTAATTAGAACGCTTTTCCTTTGCCACCATTTGAACGTTGCCTAAACAGACCCTATCTTGTACAATGATATTGAGCTCAAAAGAAAAGATAAGAAAGAGCATTCCTTCCACGAAAACCGGTTCAAGCATTCACTCGTGTGCAAGACATTTTTTATGTTGAGCAAGACGAGCGTGTGTAAGAGCACAAGAACGACAGTCAAAGCGAAATCAAAGACAGGATAGTGCTTTTGCTGAAATCTGGAATCTAGGCATAGAGAAGCAACCGCAGAACCCGTATAACGTCCCGCGACTCGATAAAGCCGGAAACAGTGCACGTGTGCAACGTGGACGCAGATTACAATTAAGCGATATGGACTGGTATGATTAAAATAAACTCCCCACAAATCTCTTGTCAAACAGGAGGCTGCACTTGTAGTAAAGACATGCCGCTTGATGCTTGGAAAGATGCAATCAAGAATGTTCAAAGCTACAAGTGTTGATCGAAGCCTGGTACCTTCAAGGAATAAAATTCAAAGTCAGAATCCTTTGTGCTAACAGCAAGCGTGCGCGCGGCTGGACAGGACCTGATGTATCCACGAGATGTACGGACGATTCATCAACTTGATATGTGCACATGATGTGTACGCTCTCTAAAAGTCTCGGCGATACAGCGCCCATTAGCTGGTGACACGACAGTTGAAAAAAAATCAGCCTGTCCTTCGATTCACTCGATCAAAATCCAGCACGGGTACGCCAATGGATTGGTGGATGAAAGAGCTAAGAATCGCAGTGGACTTGCCACCATAGATGGTGATGACTGTCGAGAGTAGCTGCAAGGGGACGAAACAATCGGCTGAACAGCGAGTATCAACATCACTTTCTTTATTACGTCAGATTACGTTACACACTAACAAGTAGGCAAAGCTGGGATACATAGCTATGTTGAGATCCTCATACGGGAGTAGGCTTGCATTTGTAGAAATCCAAATTATCGATCGTTTACATATGCCTTGACTTGAGACAACGTCCAAATGAAAGTGTGCGTTCTTGCTAGTAGAAGCAGTCGTACCTCGTATCAAGCCCGTGTGTCGTTCTTTTTCACAGCGAGATTGGTGATTGCTCCAACCTGCATCTTCACCTAATGCTTTCATAGCCTGCTGCATCAGGCGATTTTGAATCATCGTCCTGCATTAGCTTCTCCGTCATCATTCTCTTCAGATCCTGCTCATTATAGCTCTGTCTCGTGTTCAGACCAGGCCTGGCGATGCTGCCCCCGTCAGCGGCGACCTCACTTGTCCTTCTCGCACCCTCTCTGCTCTGCCGCTTGCTCAACAGCGTTTCGCCCGGATCCTCGGTTGCCATCTTGTCCAACACCACTTGTGTGGTGCCACGTGACAGAGTTCCCCGTACGGCTTGAGCGGTTTCATCCGTGGGATACGGCGGCTCAAAGGACACGTGTGCGAGCGCTGCGGCAGCCTGGTAGTTGCTCGAAGTGCGAGTTTTGAGTGCAGGCCGCATCGGAAGGTCTTCCGCCGTTGGCGTAGTAGCTTGAGGTTTGCCCGCCGAAGACGTCTGGTGGAAGGCGTTGTAGGCGAGAGCGATCTCCGCTTCACTCCGCGAGTTAGGCGTCAAACCTGGCGACGTGGAGCTCGGGACCGAGAGTGAAGACGCCATCGTGGGTGCAACAAGTTTCTTAGCCGTCGTACCTCGTTGCTAAAAAAGCATTAAGAAGCGGAGAGTTTTCAGAGACTAATATAGCAACATCATGCTACACTTTGCGACGAGACGATTCTGTTGGGCTACGATCGGCACGAGCCCGAATTCTCACTGCCCTTCGAAATCAAGAGCTACTTTAGAATTTGCGTAGACGGCAGATGCACGGGAGCAGCATTCACGGCGACAAAAGCCTAGGCGCTGCGTCATGATCAGCAGAGCTTTGCTTGTGGGGAAAGCAACAGACGGGGAGGAGAAACGAGTGGTGATCAGCACCAATGCTGTCATATCTGTGTAACATGGGCGTCTCTATCGGCGATTGCAAGCTAATCGGAAAAGTCCTTCACATCGGCATCGCTGATGGCGATGGCGAGTCTGGACCGTCGCCCTGCATTCGCTTAAATTCGGGACGGACTACGTCTGCGTTTCTGGGGACTCAGAGGTGCGGCAGAACTATCGAAAATTCAAAGGTACAAGCCTATAATGCAAAGCCCAGATTAGAGTCAAGATGACATTGGCCCGACCCGCGATTCAGTATTCCCAGCCGTCGACCACCGGACTCCATCCGACATTACTTCGATCCCATATCTCTTTGACGCGTCTAATTTCGCGAATCTGTTCATCATTATATATGTCGCGCATGTCCTGACCAGCTCGTGCGTTGTTCACATAACCCCAGCTCGATCTGCCTTCAGCTCTGTCCTTCGCCCTCATGGCCTCGATCACTCTGATCCCAAACTCGTCTGCTTCGCTTTTCTCGTCCGGGTCTTTGTACCATGCCAACGCTTGCACGAAGTGGCTTCGGCCTCGACCAAAATGAAAATCACCGGCTGAGGAGAGCCCCTTCTGAGATATACTTGTGACAAAGGCAATGCTGTTCGCGCGACTTGCGAGGTTGTCATCTGTGAAACAGCGCCATTTCTCATATGCTTGTTTGATACCTGCTTCATCTACCTCTTCGAGTATTGCACTGTAGAACTCTTTGACATCACCATGTTTGTTCAGAGCTTCACTTGCGCTATTGAATGTTGCAAACTCCTTCGGCACTTCAACAATATTGATCGAGCGTTTCATGACTTCCTCGTTTAAGGTATGTCTACAAATCTCTTCAGCGTCTTTCGATGGTCCAAAGTAAATGAGCGAAAGTAGGAGAATTGGTATGCGAGGCTGCGGCGCTGTTGGCGGCGCGCGCACGAAAAATAGTGCCATGCTCAATTGAGGAGGTGGTGGTTGAAGAGACAGATAAGTCTGAGCGGCGAGTGCAACAGCATCAAGAGGGAACATAATAGTGCGTGACCATATTTGACCGTCTGTTTGGAGTAAGCGTTGCGATAATTCCATGAGCATTCCATGATGATAGACATTCACCTGTTAGATTTAGATCACGAATTTTCCATGCCTTCAGCTTCATACTCGTGATAACACCCAAGCCATGTCCCGCACCGCAGAGAGTGTTGAAAAGCCGTGCACGAGAGCTCTCCGTCGAGCTTTCAGAAAGTGAAATCTCCCTAAGCTCGGATCCGTCGTCCATGCTGAAGGGAACGATGTCGATCGACTTGATGCAGTCCACACCCAGTCCGTGAAGCCCGACTAGTGGATGATTTAGGCCACCGATCAAGGAGCCGATCATGCCAACAGCGTTTGAATTCGGAAAGCAGGTGTACCAGCCCTGAGCTGAAAGCGACTTTAGCACGTCGCCGGCCACACAGCCTCCAGATACGGTCACCTCTCCTCGCTCTTCGTCGAGATGGACGTCCTTGAACTCTGACATGGAAAGATATATAGTTCTTGATGAAATAGGAAGAAAGGATCCGTGAGCCCCAGCGACCGGCACGACCTTGAGATTATGTTTGGCGGCATACTTGATGACTTTGGTGATATCTTCTGCAATTGCAGGCGTGGCGATGGCATGTGGAAGAGATATGTTCATTGATGACCATCGTGATATAAGACGATCAAAGACGTCTCCATCATGAGGAGTATAAACCCGACATGAAGGTCCAAGCTCCAGTGCAATGTTGCTGATTTCCATTGTCAAAATCATTCACACCCTGAAGGGCTAACATCTGATTCTAATCCTTTACGCGAGGTCTCTTTCAAACATATATTTGTGCAATAACTACGTAGTACTCCGATCTGACACATCCTTGCTAAGCTTATGTCAGATCTTTTCAATTAGGCAACACATAAGATCTTACCTCACTTAGTATTTCAGTGCCTTACCTGTTCTATTCGATCGAGTATTTTTGTGAGTTGATGAAAGGGTTCGGTCCAAGAAAATAAGCAGACATCTATCGCAGGGAGAGACGAAAGTGGTCTCGCTTCTTTACAATGTACGGCTGTGAAGAAAAAGGTGGATGCAGTTGTAGGATTTGCAACCCCTGCTAATGTTCGACTAGGTTCGTCTTACGAAGAAGTAGTGGAATCTACCTCTTTATGCAATGCAGGTCCCTCCTGACTAGGTATATAAAGTGCTGGCTTTGAACATATATCCTCTTGATCGTCCTTGGTGATTAGGACCGATTAATTTCACGCAAAGTGGGACTAGATCGGATTATACTGCAGCATACTGTTTCAGAGAGGCGTAAAGTTACTCGTTGTTAAATTTTTTATCTACTGAGAAACTACATCGTACACATGTGTTCAATAATCAAGCTATAGCTGCTCGTTCACGAACAGGCCCGCCATGCCTTGTCCCTGCGTATGGATTAGTAGGAAGTTCGACGCTGATGCACGACATAACTTACGGTTCCGATGCACATTGAAGTCAGGAGGATCTTCTTCTTCTGCCTTCTGCACTCGCTCAAGCCAGTAACGATCTGTCGTGCGCCGGTAGCTCCTAGAGGATGACCCAGCGCAATGGCACCACCACGAATGTTCATCTTTGTGTGATCAATGTTGAGTTTGTTCAGGCAGTACACGGCCATAGACGCAAAAGCCTCGTTCAACTCAATGACATCGACGTCGTCCAGGGTGATCTGGAGCTTCTTGAGTAACTTTGGAATAGCGATTGAAGGTCCGATTCCCATGATGCGCGGAGCCAGACCAGCAACGGTGGCATTGACGAACTTAGCCATGATTGGTTGGCCGAGACGCTCAGCCATGGATCTTCGCATAAGCAGGACGGCTGCGGCACCGTCGGTCACCTGCGACGAATTGCCACCAGTCGATCTGTTACCGAACTGTGGGAAAGCAGGACGAATCTTCGAAAGCGCCTCGTAGGTAGTACCCCATCTTGGACCCTCATCCTTGGTCAGAGTGACCGTCTTCATCTCACCAGTCTTCGGGTCCTTGATCTCAGTGGTGATGGGGACAATCTCATCATCGAACCAACCTTCCTTTTGGGCAATCTCTGCTCTCCTGTAGGACTCGTAAGCGTATCTGTCCTGCATTTCTCTAGTGATGTTAAAGTCGCTGCCAACGTTCTCAGATGTTTGACCCATAGGTTGCATGCAGTCCGCAGCATCCTGGTTCTGCAGAATCTCCTCGGCGAATGGCCGATTGAGGCGGTCGCCACCGAAGGTCATCGATTCTGCGCCAAGTGCCAGACCACAATCAATGCTACCCAGAGTGATCTGGTTTGCAATATCCTGCACTGCCTTCAGGCCAGATGAGCAGAAACGATTTACTGAGGATGCACCGGCGGTGTTGGGAATGCCAGCAGCAAGAGACGCAGCTCGAATATAGTACGCCGCTTTGGCGTCATTGACCTGAATACAGTTAATCTCCTTCTCCAATCCAACTCTTTAGGTTCAATCTCACATTGCCCAAGCAAACATCTTCGATCAGCGCAGGGTCCATGTTCATCCGTTGCACCACCTCTTTCAGTAGCTTGTAGACTATGGCATCGAGCGGGGTATCTTTGAAACCGCCCTTTCCGCCTTTGCATAATGGCGTGCGGATGGCAAGCGTGATAACGACATCGTCTGGGTTTTTGGATGTTCTATTGCATTGTTAGAAGAGATAGATCCTAGACTACCGTCTGACAGAGTGTGGGGTAGCATACATTTGATCCATTGGGCTCTTGCTGCCAACGAGCTGCTCTGCAAATTGTCTTAGTCGTTCAGTCATTTCGAATTATCTTTATGATTGATCGAAGTAAGATTCGAGATATCAAAGAGAATGGGTGGTCAAGTGCGGAGAAACGTGAAGGCGAAGATGAGCTACCTTTATGAACCAATACGTCAATGCCTCGGCACTTTGCAAACGGCCATTCCTGTTTTACGTACCAAGCTGCACGGCCTCGGGAACTTCGTGTTTTTCATTCACTAATCACCAGGATTTGCCTCTATGCACCTAAGTGAATGGCTCGATATTGCATTTACGTTTTGAGCTTTGCCCATGAGTTGCCTGATCGAATCGGATCTGCTGCATCCTTCATGGATTCGAACATGGTTCAACACCCGCGAAACCACCATGTTTTGTTTTCCTCGTGGAACCTGGACCTTGTTTTAGTGTTCAGAATATACTACAGGAGCCTAGAATCTCGCGCAAAGGCTACGTTAGCGATATTGAGTCCTTTTCATCACGAAATTACCCAAAAAAGGAGGAGGCGAGGGGCTCGATGGTTTGCTGGATTAGGAATAGTTAGTTCTATTTTGCGGTAAGGCTGAAGTCAAGCCTTATTCGAGGCCGTTTCTCAACCCTATTCTTTCGTCCTAAAGTTCATGATAATAAAAAGCTTCGTCGACCGCGCAAAATGATGCCTGAAGTTCCGAAGGAGTGTATTGAGCATGTTATTTCTTGACCCCTCAGCAACCAATGTTTGAATTCTCTAAGGTCAATAATTGCCAGCGTTCATCTCAACTCCAATTTCGGTTTCAAGGCCGCTTATCCACTCTCTTCAACCTCTCTGCGTTAGCACAATTACTTTATCTGCTATTGGATTTCAATTTTTTGTGCATATAGTACACCATCAAGGAGTTTGAGAGCTCTGCTTATGAGCTAAGCACTCTATGCGTCTCGTCCTGTAATTTCTACTGTCAATCATTAGCTAATACACCATTCTTCCTTAGCGTCATCCAATGTGATTGCAGATATGACAAGAGTTTAATAGGAATGGGTATCTCAAAAAAATCTTCAAGGAAATACCATTCACCGCTGCATCTTTCGATTCTTGACCTGCCTTTCGCAAAATTTTAGAGTGTTCTTGTCATAGTCGTCCAGTAAAATTATCGGGATACAGTGGCGCCAATTCTGATAAGTTCTAGAACACGTGGTGTTTTCAGATTCTAAGATCTGGAAAAAAGGTCTAGCTACTGTAAGGTAGTACCAAAGAACATGGGTATGACCAGGCATGACTGCGTCGTCTCCGTCGAACAATGCGTAGACACGTTCACTCGTGAGTGCCCTAAAAATTTAGCGAATTTTCAAGCTTCTGACCGCTATATGAAGCCGCTGCGTTTGCGATTTTACGCAGACAGATTGTACCGAGTTTTTCAGAGCTGGGATGTAAACAGGTGGGAAAATTGAGACGTGTTATTAGTTGTCAGCAGCTGCTCAGCAGAAAAGTGAACCCGTGGCTAGATTCACCTACGCATATGCCTTGCGCGTAACTCTTTGAGACACAAAAATCAAGTGAATACGACGCAAGTGATAGGTGTTGATTTAGGAACTGATCACACTGCGAAATTGAAGCAAAAGACTGCTGAAGAACTCTGGTCAAGACGAGCGGGAATAAGGATATATATTGCGATGTCACCAATTCGACTGCTAAGAACCATGCTTTGCTCGGCTGCTCTCAAATCGCGGAGAATATGCCGTGAATATGGACATGTGGACGTCAGAAGCGCTCTGGAGGTCATGTCTTCAACCAACTTGAATGTTCTGATTCTCCTTGGGTTCCTTTAGCACAAACAACTCATGCGGGATGGTGTCGACATTCGACTCTGGACCACCCCAAAACACCTTCCAGTGATTTGATCCAGCCTCTTTATCTGGCTTTAGCATAGGACACTCTTTGAAAACTCTCATCCATAAGCGTCTCATTAACCTTGGCGTAATCCTATGACCTCGATCCTTGCCTTTAATGTTCTTATTCAAAGTTTGCACTCGCAATTCATCCTCGAGCACTGTCTCAAATGCGCTATCCACGGCATTTTTGTCATCGAGCCATGCATCATCCGCGGCCCAGTACCCTCTGTTTCGCTCGTCACCTGCGAGGGCAAGTATCTTTTCTTTCTTTGAAGCAGCTGGGTTGCAATTCGAAAAGGAGTCCAAATAAAAGTGCTCGCCAAAGTCGTCACTGATGTGCACGAGCTTTTCGAGATCGCTGGATGTTAGAGCGAGTGGGCGTCCATCAGGCGCTCTTCTCCGTGGTTTGCATCCTTCCCATGGGATCTTTCCTGTAGCTAGCCCCTGAAGATGGAGCCATTGGTGCTCTTGTAGAGGCGTCAAAATTGCGTCAATGAGTTTTGTGTATTGTTTCTTGATCATGTTTTTGACCCGCTTGCGTGGCATTGGGCGACCCCATGAATTCGTTGCCGGGATGGCGATACGTTTACTTAACTTTGTGCGCTCGCTAGCAATATCACTCTCTAGTTGACTTTGTACAATGGCCTTAAGCTTGGAGTATCGGTCCGAGATAGTGTATACAATGGTATCACCTGTGACGCTTTTTGGTGGTTCTAGAGCATCAGGTACGGGCACTGTAGTGATATCCCTTGTTTGAGTCCGCGGTGCTCCCACCACATCAGGGACAAGCAACGTTCGCAGCATCTCGTACCGCCTGGGCCCATCTCGTCCATATGTGTAACGAAGAATGCGCATCAACGGCTTGATTTCGCCTTCGTTGGCACGGATGAGTTGTGAAAGGCCTTTGTAGCCTTTTCGCAACGCTTGTTCTAATTTGACCTTCGCATCTTTCGCAAATGCTTCATCGCCGTAGACGGCACGACGGAGCAGAGGGTTCCCACGGCGAGCAGCATTCTTGAATCGGTGCTTGATATACTGCTTGAAGTACACTTGAGAAGCTGGATCGGGAAGATAGGTGCACTCGCGCAGCAGCGCTCGGAACAGGTGAATTGAACTCTCCACGTACTGTTGTCGCGTGACAAACCGGTACTTCGCAGCCGCCAACGACATCTACTCCCTCGAGCAAATGGGAAAGCCAAAGGAACAAAAAGAAAGAAACGATCAGCTTGAACAGGTCGCGATGAAGTAGGAGCAAGAGAAATGATCGGGAGTGAAGCCGCAGCTAGACCCAATTGGGTTTGATTGGAGTCAAGCGCGTGAATGAAACAAGACTGTGGCTTGACCCGCGCACCGCGTCTTCGCTTCGCGACCTACACCAAATCTCCGCACGCTGCATCAGCTCTTTGTCGCCGTCCAAGCCAACGCTTCCGATAATTGGCATGAATATTATCGCATAGACCCTCAAGAGCATCGCATCGCATGTCGTTGGGATCGCGCAGCAGATGTCGACGACGATAGAAGTGCCTGCAGCCGCCCATCACAATCCCCAACCGCTCCCCCTCTCGTCACACTCGCACGCCATGCAGCCTTCACATTCGCAGCCTGGGCCACCCATGTCCTCCTTTGATGGAAGGCCGTCATCATTCTCGTCGCAACCCGCGTCATACAGCCAGCCAGTCATCTATCAACAGGCGTCGCAAAGCTTCCCGGCCAGCTACCGGCCGATAAATGGCCATGCTGCGCCAACTCTTATGGACCCGTCGCAAATCTATACCGTACGCGCAACCTTGCGCCCGCCCATATTCATGATAATGCGCTAACATATGAAAACGCAGGCTGTTTACTCAGGTGTGCAAGTGTACGAAATGGAGGTCAATGGCATTGCCGTGATGCGAAGGAGGTCTGATTCATGGCTCAACGCTACCCAAATATTAAAAGTCGCCGGTGTCGACAAAGGCAAGCGCACAAAGGTTCTGGAGAAAGAAATTTTGAGCGGCGAACACGAGAAGGTCCAAGGCGGCTATGGCAAGTACCAAGGGACTTGGATCAACTACCGGCGTGGCCGAGAATTCTGTAGACAATATGGTGTCGAGGAGCTTTTGCGGCCGCTCCTGGACTATGACATGAGCTCCGACGGCAGTGGTCAACCAGGCCAGGGCATTGAAACGCCTACAAAGGAACAAGCGATGGCAGCGAACAGAAAGCGCTTCTACACACAGACAGTTGATGGGCGACAGAGTGTCGGGAGCGCCGGCACGTTCTTTCAAAATATTTCGTCCACTGCTTCAAATGCACTTGCCGCCATGAACAAAGCTGCTCGCTACAATTCCCCTGCGCCACGTCCAGGAAGCGCTACCCATGGCCGACCCAGTCATATGCCACCGAGAAATTCACAGCAATCAATTTTAGGTAGCCAGGAGTCTTTCCGGTCAAATAGCCAGCAAAGCGCACCCGGACTTGGGCGGGAACCCAGCTTTGGCGCGATGTCAGACTCAGCGTATGTGACACAAAATATCCACTCGGGAGAAACCGACAGCCAGGAGCCGCCCAGAAAGCGTATGAAGCCCATGAGTCCCGAGAAATCATTTTCGCAACGCAACGGTGCACTGGATACGGTCACCCGCGAGGGAACGCCAACAGAGGCTGGTGAGTCTTTCATTTATCAACAAGCAGCTAGTCAAGGACCTATTCCTGACGGAGAGATAACTTCGGCGCTCCCTCCTTTGCCGCATCCTGGTGATCAAGCGTCCGAGAGTAAGCAAGCCTTAATTTTGGATCTGTTCACCGATAGCAGTACGACGGACTTCAGTAATCACCCAGCCATAAAGCAGTTGTCGGGCGCTGACTTGGATTTGCCCCTTGACCAATCTGCGAACACTGCGCTCCACTGGGCAGCAACATTGGCAAGAGTGCCCCTCATGCGTTTGCTAATATCAAGAGGTGCAAGCATATTTCGAGGCAATATCGCCGGAGAGACGCCGCTCATGGCTGCGGTGCAAGTCAACAATAACCTGGATCACAGCTCCTTTCCGGAACTGCTCGAAATACTTGCACCACTCATCGAAGTCCGTGATGCAAAGGGCCGCACAATTTTGCATCATATTGCCGTGGCTTGTGGCATCAAAGGTCGAGCTGCGTCATCTAAGTATTACCTTGAAGCCCTACTTGAATTTCTCGTCCGCAATAACCCATCTGCCATTCAAGCTGCAGCGGATCCATCAAGCGGTATGCCGAAAACAATCGGACTCATGCGATTTATGAGTGAAATGGTCAATGCCCGAGACATATCTGGTAATACTGCACTTAATCTCGTTTCACGCATAGGTAATCGTAGTATCATCCAGCAGCTCCTCGAAGTACAGGCCGATCCAACTATCCCAAATTACAAAGGTCTTCGGCCAATTGATTTCGGCGTCACGGGTGACGGCGAAATCACTTCAAGTCAGTTGGGCAGTCAGCCCATCGTAGAGAGTCCTGGAAAAGCTCGCAATAGCAAGATTGATGAAATCAGTCGCGAAATCATGCCCTGTAAGATATATAGTACTCATCTCACAAGATGTTCAAGATACTGACCACGCACCCAGCTCTCACGTCTTCAATCCAGGAAGCACATTCGCAGTTCTCAGCAGAGCTGCGTATCATTCAAGACCGCATCGACGCGCACACGGCCAGCGTGCGTGAGATCTCTAACCAGCAGAAGCAGCTTTCTGCCGAAATTGAGCGTATCCAGGCAAAAAAGCGGCAACGCGAGGAGCGCCGCCAAAAGATCGAGAACTTACGCCGCGCTGTCAGCGAGATGCGTGAGCGCAGCAAGCAAAACGCTCAATTGGTTGGCGACATCAAGCTTGGTGATGCCGATAAAGAGTTTGGCGGCGACGATCCGACAGACGGTGCCGGTGCCGGTCCGCAGACGTTGATGGCGCGGTGTGCGGCCTACAGTGCCCTCAATCAACGGCTAAATCAGCACCTACAGCAGCTCAGGGCACGTGATAGCGAGCTAGAGGCGAAGTATCGGCGGGTAATCGCGCTATGCACTGGCGTGCCTGAAGACAGCGTTGACGGTGTGTTGCAGCAGTTGGTGCAGGCAGTAGAGAGCGAAGGGGATCCATCGAGTAATGGCAACGACGTAGGAAGGGTGAGGGAATTCTTAAGAAGAGTGGAGATGGTGATATGATCTATTTCTGCTTGGGCGCCGCATGGATCTGGGCGTTTGCTTGTTCGCATTGCAAAGCCTGAAATTAGGACAGCATGATGACGATGACGACTCTTTGCATTCTTTCATGTGCATCTCTGAGTTGTAAAGCTTTGTAGGTGACTATCGAATGCTCTCTTCGGATGTAAAAATGAGGCATGTGTGGTATAGTCGACGCCAATGTGTATACTCAATCTGAAAGAAACACTTATTTGTAGGAAAAATGGCTCGTTTACACGCGCGCATCACATGTGGATTATATATAACCGCCCAACGGCAAAAGACACGTCAACGCTACAGCGGCCTCAGTACACAAAGTAGGCTTGAGAAAGCGGTAGCGATTCTGCCGGTTCCGCCGCGCATACCATGCCATCCGCTTTGACGATCTGTTCGCAACGTTAGCGTCTTCTTCCAATGGGCAAAAGAAAATTCTTTGTCGGAAAGTAGAAAGACGTACGTATCGTTCGGGATCCACTTCCATCTTCGGCATGACGTCGTTGTACTTCATTTCCTTCTTGGTGATCTTTCTGCAGTTTCTGACGGCCTCAACGCGCTTTCGTAGATTGTAGGACTTCACCGAACCGTTGTCCAACGACGCCTTGGACACCCAGGTGATGCTTGTCGAGGGCACCATGGGCGCGAACATGGGACGCATGATGATTGGTTCGACGGTCGGAATCGAAGCGTTCGGATCGCCCATCTGCGCGTACGAGATCATGCCACTCTTGATCACAAGCTTAGGTTTGACGCCAAAGTTTCGTGGCTCCCAGACGACAAGATCGGCGAGTTTGCCTATCTCGACGCTCCCGATAAGGTGGCTCATGCCCTGAGCAATGGCTGGATTGATAGTGTACTTGCTGATGTAGCGCTTCACCCTGAAGTTATCTGCTCCCGTCCCTTCGTCTTCTTTTAAGAATCCACGTTGAACCTTGTTCTTATGTGCTGTATTCCACGTGCGGAGGATGACTTCGCCGCAGCGGCCCATGGCCTGAGAGTCGGAGGACATCATGCTGATTGCGCCCAAGTCATGCAGCACATCCTCTGCGGCGATGGTCTCCGCCCGGATTCGAGACTCAGCAAAGGCCACATCTTCCGGGATATTCTTTGACAAGTGATGGCAAACCATCAGCATGTCCAGATGCTCGTCCAAAGTGTTGCGCGTATACGGTCTCGTCGGGTTTGTAGAACTGGGTAGTACATTTGGATGCTCGACCACAGAGATGATGTCAGGGGCGTGGCCACCGCCTGCCCCCTCGGTATGGTATGTGTGGATAGCGCGGCCATTGATCGCTTTGATAGTCTGTTCGACAAAACCGGATTCATTCAGCGTGTCAGTGTGGATGAGAGTCTGCACATCGTACTCGTCGCACACGCTAAGACATGCGTCGATAGCCGCAGGCGTACTTCCCCAGTCCTCGTGGAGCTTGAGACCAACGACGCCCGCTTCACATTGCTCCCGCAAGGGCTTCTTCTCACTATCGTTGCCTTTACCTGTAATACCGAAATTGAGAGGCAGCTCGTCACAAGCCTGCAGCATTTGTCTGATATGCGTAGCTCCAGGCGTGCAGGTCGTGGCGTTTGTACCGGTGCTAGGACCCGTGCCTCCGCCTAGCATAGTGGTAATGCCTGAGCCAATTGCTTCATAAGCCTGCTGTGGACAGATGAAGTGGATATGGCTGTCAAAGCCTCCTGCTGTGACGATCTTTCCTTCGCCAGCAATGACATCTGTATTCACTCCGACAATCAAGTCTTTGTCCACTCCATGCATAATGTCAGGATTGCCTGCCTTGCCGATACCTTTGATCAAGCCATTCTTGATGCCAATGTCAGCTTTGTATATGCCTGACCAGTCAACAATCAATGCATTCGTGATGACTGTATCCAAAGATTCGGCATCTGAGCGTCCACCAGCCTGGCCCATGCCTTCACGAAGGGTCTTCCCCCCACCAAAAGCGCATTCGTCACCGTACTGCGTGAAGTCCTTCTCCACCTTAATCCACAGATCTGTAGCACCGAGTCTGACAAGGTCTCCAGTTGTTGGACCGTACATGCTCACATAGGCTTGTCTATCTAGACTGGCGCCATCAATGTGACCCAGGTCGCCGGCTGGCTCGGGCACATGGGCAAATCCGCCTTCCTGAAGCTTCTGAACGATACTGTCCGCAATGGAAAGGTCTTCGATATAACCGGTGGCCACGGAGTTGCCACCTTTGATGACTTGGTTGCCAGCTATCTGTACCAGAGTCACAGTCTTCGTGTCTCCCGGCTCAAATCGAACAGACGTGCCAGCGGCAATATCCAAACGGAAGCCATGTGCTCGTACGCGATCGAATTCGAGTTGAGGATTCACCTCAATGAAATGGTAGTGTGATCCAACTTGAATTGGTCTGTCGCCCTTGCTGACGACCTTAAGTTGTATCCTCTTGCGGCCTTCGTTCAGTCTGATTCTGCCCTTGACGGCGATGATTGCGCCAGGCTGCTTCTCGGGCTCGAATTCGGAGGGGTCTGGCATAGGGAACTTCTCCTGAGAAGGTATGGGCAGAAAACTACCGTACAGCGCCTTCTCAAGGTCTCCATCGTCGCTGCTGATTGGATAATGAACTGTGACGAGATATGTCCCGGTGGGAAATGTGCCTTCAATTTGCAACTCAGCAAGCGAGTTCACCACCGACGGCAAGACGTGTCTTCTTCCCAGCATGGTCTTGCCGATTTGCATAAGGTCGGCAACAGAATGATTGCCATCACGGACAAGCTGAAGGCTGTTAGTAAACGCTGCCCAATGGTGGGAGACAGACTTTCCTCCTGGAGATTGTTTGCTATGAGCGCCTAACCGATGTTAGCACACATCAATGATCCCGAAGAACAGGAAGTCTGACAGCTGCCTCAGCATGGTTCAACTTGACGCCTCTGGCCAGCCTCCTTTGTGCTAAGTGGCCTAATTGGGATATGACGAGCTTATCAAGCTTGCGGGTTGCCGTCGTCAGCTTCGAGTATGGCACACACGGGCTGAAAAATTCACCTCCTTCTGCTCAAGCTGCATATTTGCGTCTGAGCTGCGACGACACCTATACGTGCCTAATCGAGCAGTTGGATTCCGGCTACGACAACGACGACGACAGCGGCGGTGCAGAGGCCATAACTTCGACCTCGACGGTGGCAGATCACATCATGCTTTTCTCAAACAAGCTGTACCCCACAGCGGCGGACCCCGCAGATAAGAGCACGGCGAACAGCACGTATCTCATGCCATTGGTGCAAATAATCTTCCAATGCCCGAGCAAGGTATGAAGGCTCGACCAAGGACAGGGCTGGCGCAGAGGAACTCGATGCTCTCTTGCTCGATCTATATCGATTTGTACATTTCTTTCTCATCCGAGCACGACCAGCGCGTCTGCATCCAGCGAATCAGCGATTGCCAGCCCCCGAAGCGCCCCGACACACGTGACCCGAGCCCGATCTGGCCGTTCCTGTCCCAAGTCCGGAGTCCTGAAGCCGTTGACTCTCGTCTTCTTCGTCGCTTGATCTCGTACAGACAATCTCTTCAACGGCAAAACTCCACAGCAATGCCCTCGAAAATGCCGCCCCTGGCCTGTCCTCCGTCACGGCCCACCAAAAAACATACGTGAGGCCTCCGCCGATCCTGCCGAAACGAAGCAGACGAAAGGCCCAAGCGCACGGTTTGAAACGTGCAGCCATACCTTGACGGGACTAGAAACTCGGTTCCCTTCCCGTTGCTGACTGTTGGCACTCAACTTTGAAACAACAGATCTTCCATCACGCCCGATTTATCGCTCGTCTGACGGCACCCCTTTCCTGACACTGTTTGGACCCTACCTTGCGCGACTGTCCCCGCTCTTCGCTTGTCTCTATCTCGCCCTGTCGCGTGATTCTCAGGCTTCGAAGGCTTTGAGAACGAAAGGCCCGCAAACACTTCGGACGGCTCCAACGGTTGAGAGCCCTGAAAATCGGCTGCTGGACAGTTCCGCAACTTCCGCTGAAAAACTGTACGGCTGGTGCCGCGATGAGGCTGAACAAGGGGGTGTCGTTGATCTAAATTTCAACTGCCCAGACGCCAGCCCATGACACGGAGGGATTGACAGACAAAAGAGCCGTGAAACCTCTTCTTACATCACTTCTCTTCCTCCTTCGGATCCTTCTTGCAACGCATTCCTTCGCCTTACGCGTGTCTATTTGAGCTCCGGAAGGTCACGATAGACTACGCTCCTCATTCTTGCCTTCATTTTTACCATTGTGTCGTTCTTTCCATTACAATCCACAGTCATGCTTTTGTCCGCATCCAGCCTGGTGCTGCTTTCCCTTGCTTCATCAATCCTTGCTAAGACCGATCTTGCTGGCTGTACATCCACAGTTTCCGGGGCTTCCATTCTTTACTATGTTCCGGACACTGGCGAAATCTGCTCGATACTCGATTGCGGTGGTGGACGAGCGCCTCCAAAAACAGACGTGCCGGGATGTGCAGCGTACCAAGGAAGTGCTCCGTACATGCCCAGCTATCTTTCCGGTTTTGGGTCTACTGCCACCCTAACTTCGACTGGTCCAGTACCAACGACGGGTATTTTGACAGATTCAAGCATTCCCTCTCCGGCATCGACGTTGATTTCAATTGCTTCACCCGCAAGTCTGTTGGAAACGACTACGACTCTTAGCTTCGCATCGACAGCAAGCTTGGTAACATCATCTTTGATCTATGATACTTCCGTTGCCAGCTCTTCGGTGACCAAAGAGGCCGTAATCACTTCGGCATCTGCAGCCTCGACCGCAACCTCGAATGCTGCGGTACGAGCGAAAGATGGCAGGGAATTCATGGTGGCTGCCCTTGGTGCTGTGGCTGCTTTTGCTCTCTGAAAACACTTCCAAACCGACATCTGCCAATCTCATGTTTGACATAATCCATGGTATGCATCTGGCTTATGTGCCTACTTGCATGTCACAAGAATACTAGTGTGTAATGGGACAATGAAATCCACATGGATCGTCACGAAGGGCGGAATGAGTGGGCCAGAGAACAAAGGGCTTGCGGACGAAGCTAGACCTTATGAAATGCATACGTATGAGGATTTTGCACTCGAGTATTTACAGATACATCACGGGAGGGGGGAAGACGGCACCCTGACGTATGGAATATACGACGTTCTTCTACGTCATCATTGTCTGGGGACACAGTTGTTTAGCACATCGAGGTCCCTGGACTGGTAAATAGCAATCTCAATGGTCACGCACTGCCTCAAGTTCGACGGCAACTATCCCAAGTTCCTCTCATAATCTCCACTGTTAACGCAACGGTTGAACTGGCAATCCTCTTCGGAGACTTTGCGACTACGCTGACTGTAAGAAAATAAGGACTAGATTCGCCTCACAGTCACACTAGGCGGTGGCAAACACGCACCACGGCATCTTACACAGTCCTCAACCGATACATGTACCGTATTCAATCTCCAAACACGAATATCCCAATGCATGCTGAAAATCCTCGGAGCAATCATTTTTCGTTTGTTTTCATGACATTTTTCTCCGTAGATGCTTCTGTAGGAAAAGATCCAATTCATTCTCCAACAAATTTCAGATATAGTATCGATGGAAGCGCGTTGTCAACTGGGGGCTAACGACGGATCCTCCAGGTCGTACGCGTACTACATTGTTAAATTCTTCCAGGGCAAGGGCTCGACGAAGTGGTTTCTGGAGGCCCAGATTGGTCTACAAGCGCCCGAACTCACCTTGGGACTTCAATCTTACGCCTGTTTCTACTTTCTTTCCTGATTTTATTCACGATTTGTACTTTGGTCCAGACCTGTGCGCCTCAAGCACATTTCTGCCCGTCGCCTGAATATTCTGCCTCTTCGTACATGCCCGCCATCGTGTGCGAATGCATCATGTGCAAACGCAAACAACCTGGGTACTTCGTCCACAAGTACGCCGAGTATTCTGTTGGACCCTCTCCCGACCTTATGTTTCTGGATACTGCATGAGATTCTGGGAGGAAATCATTCTCCACCTCCATCGTCTACGGAATCGACACCGCCATATCGATGCAACAATGAATCCAAATCATCCCCAATTCGGCAGACATGGCCCGGCGCGGTGTCTACAACCGCGGCTACGACATCTTCGTCACAGCCGGCACACTCACGTTTCCAGTGCATGTTCAAATGCTCCAAACTTTCCCCCCCCCCCCC